GGTGGAATCGGCAAAGTGCGAGGGAAAGTCATCAAGCTTCACATAGACACTAACGTTGCACCCAAACAACAACCACACCGTCGGATACCCTTCCATGTCAGAAAGGATGTCGAAATGGAGTTAAAGCGATTAGAAGAGCTAGACATCATCGAGACTGTAACGGGCCCAACACCCTGGGTGAGCCCTATTGTCATAGTCCCCAAGAGCTCTGGTGAAGTGAGAATATGTGTGGACATGCGAGAGGCCAACAAGGCTGTTAAACGAGAAAAACACCTGATGCCGACCATAGACGATCTGGTTGCTGACCTCAACGGAGCGACAGTCTTCAGCAAGTTAGACCTTTCGTCTGGATACCACCAACTGGAGCTGGCCCCAGAGAGCCGCTACATTACCACATTCAGCACACACGTCGGACTCCGAAGATACAAGCGCCTCATGTTTGGAATTAACGCAGCATCCGAGATCTTTCAGAACGCAATCGAAGAAATACTCACAGGCCTCCCTGGATGCAAGAATATGTCCGACGACATTATCGTTTATGGAAAAACTCAGAAGAAACACGATGAGAACCTCCGTGGTGTACTGGAACGGCTGAAACAACATGGCGTACGCCTGAACAAGGAGAAATGTTCCTTTTCAAGGAGTGAGATTAAGTTCTACGGACAGATTTTCAGCAAGAATGGAGTCAAGGCAGACCCTGCCAAGATCAAAGCGATCACTGACATGAACAAGCCAGAAAGCATCGGCGAGGTGAAGTCTCTGCTGGGAATGGCTCAATATGTGTCTCGTTACATTCCAAACTACGCTACGATAACTGCTCCCCTACGACTGTTAACCAAGAAGGACAAGTCATGGCAGTGGGCCGACGAACAGCAACGTGCATTCGACAAGCTGAAAGACAGCCTGATCAAGAATCACGTGATGTCGTACTTCAATCCAAGACTCAAGAGTGAAGTGATAGTCGACGCGAGCCCTGTCGGACTTGGAGGATTGTTGGTACAGGATGGTAAAGTTATCAGTTACGCTAGCCGAGCACTCAGTGACGTCGAGAGCAGATACTCTCAAACGGAGAGGGAGATGCTAGGAGTAGTCTGGGCAGTCGAACATTTCCATCTTTATTTGTATGGATCAGAGTTCACCATTGCCACAGACCACAAACCACTCCTAGGTATCTTTAACAGTCACAAGCCAACGTCAGCGCGCATCGACAGATGGAAGCTGAGGCTCATGCCTTTACAACTGTCAACTCACCTATCGACCTGGCAAGGACGCAGAGAATCCAGCCGATTTTATGAGCCGCCATCCAAGTAACATAGAAAGCAAGGAGAGCAGCATTGCAGAAGACTACGTGAACTATGTATGCAACCAGGCAGTGCCAAAAGCAATGACGCTGCAAGAAATCAAGTTAGAGTCGGAGAAGGACGTTTCGCTCCAAGCACTTATCAAGGCCATCGAGACTGACAATTGGACACATCCCGAAGTACAGGAGTACAGAAATGTGAAGGACGAACTGTCGGCCTACCAAGGAATTGTACTGAGAGGAAACAGGATTGTAGTCCCAAAAAGTACTGAGAGGCAGAGCTGTAGACCTAGCACACGTTGGACACCAAGGAATGGTAAAAACAAAACGCCTCATCAGAGAGAAGGTGTGGTTTCCTGGTGTAGACAAGATGGTTAAGGAAAAAAGTCGACAGCTGTTTACCATGCCAAGCAACAACTACTAGTAAGGCAGAACGACTCGAACCTCTAAAGATGACACCGCTACCAAACGCCCCTGGAAAGAACTTGCGATGGACTTTCTTGGACCACTCCCTTCAGGAGAGTACCTCATGGTCGTCATAGACGAGTACAGCCGTTTCCCAGAAGTTGAAATCGTCACATCCACTTCTGCTAGATCCACCATCCCGAAGCTTGACTCAATCTTCGCTCGACAAGGAATTCCTGATGTCTTAAAGAGTGACAACGGACCCCCCTTCAATGGCGCGGAGTTCAAGAACTTTGCTGAGCATCTGGGTTTTCACCACCGCAAAATCACGCCCCTCTGGCCAAGAGCTAATGGCGAAGCGGAACGTTTCATGAAGACACTAGGGAAGTGCGTGAGAGCCGCTACCGTTGAGCACAAGAGCTGGAAACAAGAACTCTACAAGTTTCTACGACAGTATCGGGCGACACCTCATTCGACCACTGAAATTTCGCCGTGCGAAGCACTTAACCACAGGAAGCTCAAGACTACGCTACCAGAAGTGACACCACCAGTTCTTGAGAAACAGAAGAGCATGACAGATAGGGATGCAGAACAGAAGTTGAAGATGAAAGCATATGCAGACCATAAGTTAGGAGTGAGAGAGAGCAAGATCAAGCTAGGAGACACAGTCCTTATTAAGCAACCAAAGCGCAACAAGCTAAGCTCCCCGTTCAGTCCAATACCTCTCGTGGTTGAAGAAAAGAAAGGATCTATGGTTACAGCAAGCAATGGGAATAAAACTATCACGCGGAACTCATCCATGTTCAAAGTTGTCCCGAACCACATAAGGCATGCTGAAAAGATAACACAAGGGCAGGCAGACGAAGATCTAACAGCAGAGCCTTGGCCACCAGAAGTTTCAGAACAAGACAAGTCATCAAGTTCTCCAAGCCCAATTACACCCTTGCGGCGATCTCAGAGGCAAACAAGGCTCCCTGCAAAACTGAAAGACTTTGTCCTACTTGTGCAATAGAACCAGACACTCGAAGCTTGCAGTCGAACTTTGTGACAAGCTAAACACGTTCCAGTTTATCGTTCTTAATCATTAGAGTTCAGTTGTTTAAGTCGATCTTTTCCAGACATACATGTATTCAAGTTTACAATCAAGAAGGGGAGAGATGTAGTGTTTCTGACAGCTGCCAATCATAATGTTCGGAATGCACACGCGGTCCCTATGAAGAGAAGTTATTCTGTAGTCGGGTTTCGGTCTCACAGGTTGATTAAAATATCGTTGTGTTTCTACCGAACGTCTCAGTGGTTATTCAGCCGTAAACACCACACTGACAAAACTCGTTTAGTCAGTTTAGGCGGACGCCCAGAGACTGGAGCCATTCGTGTATTTAACCTCACACTGGAATGGCTCCAACTCATGCGTATATTAATTTGTTTTCGATTTCGTTCTGGCTAGATAATTTATACACTGAGATGAAAACTGAAAGAGCGATTTATTAAGTTCTTCTTATGTTGAAGTCTACAGTGCCTGCAAATGAAGCCCTCTTTCATTACTTCAGGGCCATGTAGGTTCTAAGTTTTAAAAATAATGCAGCAACTGCATGTTACGTTTGGAAAATCACGTAATGTTGCGTGACGCTGCGACCGATGTTTTTAATTTGCAGTATGCTCTGCTAGAGAAATATGGCTTGGCCGCAATCAAGGGAGTTTTTTTCGTGGAAAACTGATTTTTTAGGTTATTGTTCACATGAAGGACAAATCCATTCATCGGGCTCTTCATCTGTTTTTGCAGTTAAACCAGTGGCAGTAGCTCTCGCACTGAATCGTGTCGAAGTACCTTGACTGTTTTCAGTGATGGAACAAGAAAAAGTACAATGATTTAAAAAAACTTGTTCTAAAATTAATGAAGGCTGTTCATCACATGACGCTGTATTGGAACGAGTAAATCTCGTTTACTCATTCTTTCTTAAGTGGTATAAATACCTTGTCTAAAACAGTAGTGTGATACGGTATCACACTACTGTTTTAGACAAGGTATTTATACCACTTAAGAAAGAATGAGTAGAACATAAACCACATTTTCTGTAAAGTACAAGAGCCATCCTAACCTAATTTGCCAACTGCTTTCCAGGAATCATCTGTAAAAACACCGCTTCAATTTTTCAAATTTGAAAATTTTTAGCTAAAACCGTGGCTCCCAAAAATATTTCTCACCTTGCCTAAAAAATTTTCAAAAGAAATTTTCAAAATTTTCACAACTTTCCTTATTCCTGCTCGTAGGTCCAGCCAAGCCTATATGGTCATTGGCCCCCGCAATAGCCGCTAACAATAGCTTATAAGTATAGGCGTTCAGTCGTAACTTGTAAAGCTCCCTGAAGAAGTTTACGGACGAAACGCGTCAGAGAATAAAGAAGTTTTACAATTGCTGTTCGCACAGCGCTGCTCACTAGTTTAGTTTTAAATTGTTTGAAATTTTTTTAATTTAAAAAATTGTTTAAAAATTATTAAAACATTATTGAAAAAAAATTATTAAACGTTTGAGTAGGAGCTATTCCTGTCAGCGGTGAAATACAGGAATGGCTCCAGTCTCTGGTCGTCCGCCTGAACTGACTAAATGAGTTTAGTCAGCAGAGCTAATCAGCAGATGACTTTTTCATCGTCGGAATATCGCTGAACGACCTCGCTGAACAAGAAAGGCTGCCTTCCCTTCGCTAGGTAAGTAACCATTTCTTGTTTGACACATCGGTGTTTTCACTCGCATTGATATTTCATTGTTCCTCTTTGAGACACGCGGTTGACAATACTAACTTTTACTATTTTTATAATACTTACTAACTTTTACTATTTTTATCATCCAATCACAGGTCGGAACCATTCCTGTATTTAGTCGCTTGTAAAAAAAATTATGACCGCCACTTTAATTTTAATGGCAGGGGAAGGCTGGGAAGAGAAAGAAATTTCTACCAAGGGGGCGGTCGACGGTCAATAATAGGGACCTTAAGATCCGAGGACGGCGGATGTCTACGACGGCGGGCGGAAGTTTGACTGCGTGTTTACCTACTTCCGGTAGCCGTTCCCCGTAAACTTTCCCGCCGTTGCTGTGTTGTCTGCGACGTCAAAACAACTAGTTTGCCGTTTCGTACAAAACGTGAGTTGATTGCAGTGTTTTTATAAAATATTTTTTATAATTTTCGAATATTTTGCGCATTACGGAGTCAATAACATTTTTAATTCGTTTGCCTACTCTTCTGGGACCTTATTTTCGAGAAAAAACATGTTTTTTTTCTTCTCCACTGAACGGGTCATGGCTGCAGCCGACACGAGTGCCAAGAGAATTGCTCAGTAAGTTCTCTTATTCTCTTTTCTTCACGTTTTTAACAATGAATGTGGTGAAACTCAACACGAATTACGCTTAGTAAATGATAATCTATTGATTATTTATGTTTGTGAAAGTGTCTTGCATATTTGGTGAACAAAAAAGGGTTCTGCTTGCAGTAAAAAAAAAAGACAAACAACATGCAACACAAACAAAAAGAAAATAAGTGTTAACCTTTTATTTTTATCTTTAGAACCAACATGGAGTGGACTGAACAACATGACAATTTTCTTTCTCAGGAAATTCTCGTTCTTGAATCATTCAAGGCAAAGAAAGGAAGCATTGCAAGGGGCCAAATTTGGGATAAAATAGCGAACAATCTGAACAGCCTTCAACATCCCCAGTTCAGAGTGACGAAGCGATCTGTCAGAGTACGATATACGCTTTTGAGCGACAAATTTAGAGCAAAGATGTGAGATGAAGAAAAGGCAAGTTAAATAGATACAGATTTGAGTGACATTGAAAAAGCACTTGAGGGGATAGTAGAAAAAGAAGCTGTGGTTGAAGAAACAGCGCAAAATGACAAAAAGAAAGTCGATAGTGCCAAAGCAGCGGAAACGAGATACAGAGCTTTAGAGAACCTTGGCGGGACACAGAAAAGACAAAGGAAAGATGAGGTAGAGAATGAAACAGCAGCAAGAGCAAAACGTCGAAGAAGTGGTAGTGACACGGTGGCATATTTGCGAGAAAAAAACTCATGCAGAAATGGAAAATGGAAGAAATGCAGCCATAGGAGCAGCGACTAGAGGCTGAAAGCAAGAAGGAGGAGCAGTCTTAAAAGCAACATCAGGATTTGATGCAGGTCATGCTGAAGCAAACTAAACAGCAACAAGAACAAATGCATAATTTTCAGAAGGTGTTCATGCTAATGCAGCAGCAGCAGTCTCAAATTATAATAAAACTTCCAGAAAAGCAAAACTAAGTCATGGCCTGATTTTGTACTGTGCAAGATGAATGTAGTTTTCAGCAATTTCAGGCATATGTTTCAATCTTGATTTTGTTTTGTACACTTGCTTTTATTTTATTGTTAGGTTTTCCATGTTATATCAGCTTCATGTTCAGGCTTTTGATTCAAATAAACTTGATTAAAGACTTAATGTTACAGACACTGGACGTTTTGTGTTCCTGGGTTCAGGAGTGTATCATTCAAATGAGTTATTCTGTGTTATGTTCCTGATAAATTGTATCCACCACATGGCTGGAAATCATACTTAGCTCTGGAACTGGGCGGCCAAATCGTGGAATTAAATCACTGAGTCTACATGGGTACGCAAACCTTCGAAGTGCGATGCACAACCCTTCAATTCCATCGCATATAGTTCCTTGTTGACATGTAAAGTAGTTAGGAAGATGTAGGGCCTCAGATAGGACGGGAAGGTCACTCTTACACAAACGAAACTCGAATAAACACTCACTATCATCCGTATCATTAAAATCAAATTTCCCATAACTTTCATAAAGAAAATGTGGGTTTTTGGATGTGTTAACGTCATAAAGAAGAAGAACTCGTCCTCTGATATATTGCCATCATCAAAACTTTGCAGAAGAATGCTGTTGAAGTCCTAAATGTAATAACTGTCCTAAATGTAATAAAGTCCTAAATGTAATAAAATTTGGTCCTAAATGTAATAAAGCCCTAAATGTAATAACGTTCGGTCCTAAATGTAATAAGCCTCCTATGCAATAGTTTAATTGCGCTAACATTGAGATGTTAAAGTGACAGCTGTTGCACCAAAGAATTCTCTGACCAATATTCATGGAATATTGCGGGCTCACTGATATTAATCAGCGTCTTTTTATTTGCTAAAGACGTAGGTTGAGAAGCATTGGCTACAAAACCTTATACTGATACTGATGTGCTTTTGGCATCAAATTGACGGACGCAAACGTTGACCAATAGCTCTCTCTATATCATTGGCTCAGACTCTTAAAAGTAACAGATTTTGGCGAAATACTTCTGTCATCAATGCGAGATCCGATAGTGAAAGCCAACTGTGTTTGCAGTACAATAAACCCAAGAGGGTCGTTTATTTTTTTCTATGTATATGCAAACACTGTCCAAAAGTTACGAAGTCTTAATGTTTACGTACCAATCGATTCCATCCTATCGAGCTTCCAGCTAAGCACTAGCCCACTTTGGGCTGGAAATGATTTTCTTCAACTCGATCAATTTACCGCTTCAAGGACAGATATTTCTTATGTCTAGCAAGTAAAAAGACGCTGATTGATATCAGCGAGCCCATAACAGCTGCCACTAACATCTCAATGTGGATGTCCGCCATAACAACAATGCACTGAAGAAGTTAAACGATTGCATTGGAGGCTTATTACATTTTTGACTAAATGTTATTACATTTAGGACTTTATTACATTTAGGACCAAATGTTATTACATTTAGGAGTTTATTACATCTAGGACAGTTATTAAATTTAGGACTTCAACAAATGCTACGAATCTCTCTAAAGGAAGCCACGACTGAAGTACTTTATGATAAAAATCGAAAATATGTAAGCAATGCCGCCCGCGCCTTCGACTTGGTCTCTTAAGGATTTTTTGCGCCTTGCGACGGTAACCTCTTCCCAGTCCCCCCTCGGTCATGACAGTCGTCGTAGACATCCGCTGTCCTCGGATCTTAAGGTCCCTAATAAGGAGAGGGGTGAGGGAAGGGGAATGCCCTTCCGCCGCCCCCTACCCCCACCGTCTAGTCTAACTTCAGGTCAAATGGCCGCAAAAACAATCGCGAGCTTACAACGTTAGCTCACCCCACTAAGACGCCTGCACTACACAGCTCTCGGCTTGTTCGACCAGCTTGTAAATGAAGATTTATATAGTGTGTACATCTCTGAGGATTTTTAATTAATAGAGGAAATTTTGTGCCTATTTTGTTACAATTCCTTTGACTACTTGTACGGAGAAAGGCAGACAGTTTTCACCAGAATTTAATAAACACTCGGTATCTTAGCTTAAAAAAAAAGTGTTTCGCCGAACTTATTAGCATCTATTGTGCTCTTCGGTGTTGAATTTGCTTCTATAGCGTTTATCACTTCCTTGTGAGCATTGAAAAAATGTGAGGCAGCCACTTTAGAAATTCAGCACCCCTGCTTTGGGTGGTTCTTGTTAATTTTGGGGTGAAATCGTCGGGGGCGAACTTGCAAATAAAGCAAAAACTTCGGTTTCCTCTAGGCACCACACTCCCGTACTTGGTGTTTTGCCCCGACTGAGAAAATGGGCGACAATATCTCTTTTCAGGAGCCCATTACTGGGCTCCTGCTTTTTTTCATATTTTACTTACAAAACTTGTGACTTACGACTATTCAGAGCTCCGTATATATTTCTATTTGCATCTTCTGGTACATTTAAAATGACCCAATATAATTCATATAAGTACGAAAATATAAAACTCACTTTATCTAAACCACCATACCTATGAATAATAAAACAAAATCTAGCATAAAAGAAAATTCTGGGAAATTTCAAAACAAACTCTTAAAAGATATACGAAGCGAATGCCTCTGCGTTCCCCGTACACCATCACTCCCATTAGTAACCAACACAGAATTTCTCCTCACAATATCAATACCATGTCAAACAGATCAGTAAAGAGAATAAAGATAAATATCAAATAGTGGAATATCAATTGATCAATACCAAATTCTCCGAAGTAACATCATAGAAATTGTATGGCAGAAAATAAGGAGAATTGCTAATGAGATCTTGGGAGTAAAGGGTTGAGGTGAAAAGGAGGGTCAGAATTAGTGCATGGGGAACAAGTTGTCATCCACTGAAATGGTTGTGAAAAATTTAAATCATTAATTAATCTTTGAAATTATAAAAATACTATTAAAATCTCCTAACGGCTTCAAGCCAACTGGTATCCTTAGCCATTCTGCTTCCGGCGTCCCCTTCTTAACCCTTTAACTCCCAGAAGTGATTCACATGTAACCTCTCCCTAGCATATCATCCACTATCCAGCAAACAGGTAATGAGAGTACTCAAATGTATCAGGTAGGAGTTGTTGTCTTGATCTAACACCAAATTCTTGCAACTAATTTACGAGGAAATGTGTTGCAGCTAGAGGGGAGAATTAACAATCGGATCCTGGGAGTTAAATGGTTCATGAAACCACAAGGTTTTAGCAACCAGTCACTATCTATGGAATTTCTCTTCTCGCGTTCAACTCGACATCTCACTCGCTCGCTGCGCACACTCGTTAGCTATCGTGTTGAACACTCGAAGAGATTTCCATATCTACGCGCACCCATGTATTAATCTCTACATGAACAGTTTTACTTTCGTAGGTATTGGAAACAAATGGGCGCTTCCCTCCCCGAAAGAAACTAAATCTACATCAACACTAAATCTAAATCACTCCTTTTAAAAATCACCGGCTTAAAAAAAAACGAAACAATTGAAATCTGAAGTATTAAGCCAACCGCACGATCACGTAGTCTGTTGCCATCTACCAATAAAACACTCATCACTTCAAAACTGATGAACAGTAGTTGCGGGGGCAAAAATATAAAAATAAAAGCATTTCCTTTGGTATTTCATCCTGAACGCCATGGGTGAGGAAAACTGTGAGACCAAATCCACCAGTCAAACCTTAAAAAAAACCCTTCGTTTCCTTACAGGATATCCGGCAACCATTTTCGCCCTGTGGAAGACTCTTGTAATTAAAATGTGATTTAAGATAGCCGTTACCAAAAGAGTGGAGAAAACTTTAAAAAAGAATTACGATAATTTAAGACGAAGGAAAAATGATGGGGATTGCAAAAGACGTAAATAAAAAATTTAGGCTGAAGGTTGAAAATGACTTGGCCCCACTGTGACCAGACGCTGTGTTTTACATCCCAACAGTATCAAATTAATTATGTCTCCACGCTAAGCTTTGTTGTAAAAATTGTACCACTCCTGATATGACATTTTGCAGAGAGTTTTTTTTTTCGGTTCCAAGTCTCTTTTCACGCGGCCGTGTCTCTTCGTTTCTCGCCTAGCCTCTTCAATCAGCCAAGTTGTTCCTGGATGTAAGCCTTTAATCCTTGTCCTGTCTGGAATAACATGAAGGACATGGCAGCGTCAATTACTGTCTGTGGTAACCATCCCTAGTAAGTAAAAAAAAAAAAAAGATAAAAACGCTATCATTCATTTATAACAATTTTAAATTGAATGCAATTTTAATTGAATACCTATTCGACCTCCTGCACGCTCGTTTCGCCTTCCGAATCTCGCGAGCTTTCCTGGAACGGCAGTGCTGGTGATAGCTTACTCGCAGGCCAAATTTTTTAAAATAACTAAGGTTTTGACAAATCGGAATGAGTGTTATGATTGACAGGGCTCTTTAGACACCAAAACAGAGGAGGTTTTTAATCTGGTCAACAACCATTCTGACGCCGGATGCACACAAATGGGGAATTCCTTTTTAAGTCAGTAGCTTAAAGACAGCACAGAACCAGTTTCGCCCTTTGTGGTGTTGTTGGCAACGGTTGGTTTTGTGAGTATATTTCATTCGATGATTTAACTTTCATCAGCCTCTTTTTCATTTGTTTATGTTTTGTTTCTCTCTCTTATAGAGTAACTTGAAAAAGATTATCGAAAGTTATTCGGAATTGTTTTGGTTTTGCTCCTCTATGCTCTGAAATTTGTTCACAAAACTTGCGCCACTTTCTAAACCAATCAGTCTACACCAATTCGAAACTGAAACGGATCGCGATTTGGTTGCTTGTGTTTTCCCGCACTTCAAGCTGTTTACTCGTTTTTATTTTGACTCCTCATTTGCTCCTTGAGATATTAACCTTTCTCCTTATTGGCCTTTGTGATTGGTTTTACGTCATACAATCGTGACGTACTGCTAAACACAAATTATCGATCGGGTGCCAAAACCAACACCATAGAAACCAAAATGCGTCGTGACAAGTCCAAACTTTCACTACTATTTCTTCTTTCTTTAGATCAGACCCTGGCTGGCCAAGCTATTTTTACCTTTAGGTCCACGTCGAACAGCCAAACATATTCAGTACCGCTGGGATTCCCTTCAGCCTCCCGTATAGCCCAGCCACCTGGACCATTTGCGGCTCTGAAGAAACAAAATCAAAACAAAAATAAACAAAACACAAGGCTAAGGAAATAAATTGAGAAGACTTAATCAGTTTCAAGCGAGAAAAGTTGGGAAAAATTTAACATAAGCGGTCATGCATAGTAATTTTGCCTCCTCTCGCCTTAAAAAAGTAAAGGTTTTTTTAATTTCTAGTAAATTTAGTGACTTACAAAACTACCTCCAACTTGAAAGACACAACGAAATGTCAGTTACGAACAACAAGACAAACACGAAAGAGGCGACGATAAAGAAAAACGCAACAAGGATAACTGGCGAGGGAAATAATTGACAGGGGACTCTAAGAAAAACTTTAACTGACTATAATTCGGCTGTTGTAAGAGAAGCAAGAGCCATGAGGTAGAATATAGTCGTTCTCTTCTATAACCATCTTACTTAAACTTCTTAATAAAAGAAAAATCTCTCAGCTTAAACTTTTTAAGTTTGTTTAATACAATCTTTGTTATTTGCCATTCCTGACCATCCTTTTTTGGTCAATTCCTGCAACTTTGGAGCTAACATACGCTAGAAAATTGCTAAGTTTAGCTTTTTAACCCAATTAACGACAATTTTCTGAGCACCGGCATTTAAAATCAGCTTAAAGATCGTGTCTCCTTTTAGCATCTCATGAAATAAAACTCATATTTACCTGACATGCTCCTTTTTCGGTGGCATCTCATCACATTCAACTGATACGTTGCATGAAACAAACACATCTCCTCGCTTTTCCCATCGACGCAAATTCACAAAATCCCTAAATTTCCAAACGCTTCTCGTCAGTGACTCATTCTAACGGTCATAAAATACAGAATTTTTTATTTTTAATCAAAGTAATAAACACTGAGCACGCGCACTCACCGACTAGACACCATTCCACCGCCGGCTTCACCAGTGGAATTATAAACAATATCCGTATTTTCATCAATTTGACGTATGACCTGAAATAAATATGATGATTAGAGATCATACTTTGGAAGTTTAAACAAAATTTAAAGTATCTTGATCTTAGAATAGGGCTAGCACACATTTCTTTTAATAAATCTTAGTTCAAAACCATTGTTTCATCTTTCCAGGCTCAAGGCTATGGGAAACTCAAAATTGCCCAACCATGTAAATACTTCCAAGCGGTAACGTAAGCTGTTGGCCAGGGTAATCTACGTAAAGTCAGCCACCTGACACGGATCTTAATGAGTAACTAAGCACTTGATGAAGCTTAAACAGAAAAACAACAACAACAACAACAACGACACACACATACTACAATGTTTCAGAGATCAGAGCTCGATATGAAATCAGTCGAAGACGATTGAGCGCTTTTCTAATAAGTGTCCCAAACCCAAAACCCAAAACCAAAGTAATCAAAACGGCCTATCAGAAGAAAGGAAATACTTTTAAAAGCCAATGAGAACTCGAAGCTTAAACAACGAAACTTTCTTACGCGCGAGAAAACGCGGGCGACCAATTCTTGATTTGTTTTAGTTTTGCATCTGATTGGCTGAGAAAGTGGGGCGAGTTTTCTGGACCAATCACAGTGTGGAGCAACGCAATACCAAACCAATCCCAGATTGCAATCGAAAATCAATTGAAATTGTTCTATAATGAGGAAAAACGAAACATTAACAAAAGAAAATAGAGTACGATGAAAGTTCTACTAATACTTCTGACTTACAAAGGAAGCTGTTATGTCTCCTCCCCATTTGTGTGCATCCTCAGGATGCTTAATAACCAGATTAAAAACCTCATCTGCTTTGGCGTCTAAAGAGCCCTATTAATATCAATGATAAGGAATTTATATAGCGCTAAAACTATAAACAGTATTCAGAAGCGCTTTACATAAGTTAAAGTTCTACAAAGTTCTAGGCAATAAACATTAGAACTATTGAAACAAACTAAAAGCTTTCCTAAATAGAAATGTTTTAAGTTGCATTTTAAAAATGGCGAGGCTACTACTTGTTCTTACAGTTAATGGCAGCGAGTTCCATAAAACAGATGCAGCATGAGCAAAGGCCCGATCCCCAAGTGAAGAGCAGTTGGCTTTTGGAACGAACAGAAGAGATTGAGCAGATATTGATCAAAACACTTATTTAGATTTTTAAAAACCTAAAATAGTCATCTACACATCAATCTACCCAGCAAGCAAGCAATCATTAGCACTGCTGTTCGAGTAAAGCAAGAGAGATTCGGAAAGCAGAACGAGCGTGCAAGAGGTCTAAGATAGGTCTGACACAACACAGCGGTCAAACGTCTGCGCATGTGCGTTGTAGTGACTGGCGTGATTTCAGGCTGTCAGAACCAAGTTCTCTCACAAAAGTTACAAACAACAACACAAACCAAGTTACACATGGAGTTTAACCCTTTAGCCCCTAAGAGTGACAAGCATCTAAATTCTCCTTACATTATCACCCCTGAATCAAACATGAAAGTTACGAGAATAGAGGAGGTGATCACCAACTTAAGCAACTCTTGATTGTTAAACAAATTCTCCATGTCAGCCTCTTTGGAAATGTATGGAGAACAGTATGGAGAATATCCATACTGATGTTAGGGTGTAAAGGGTTAAAAGCGTATAACTTTTTTCGGTGAAGCAACAGGATACACGAACTCGAATAAACTTCGGGTTCGAAAATTCTCGGGTTTTCTTTTCCCTCCTTCTTCATCCTTTTGCAAATTTCTAGGAACATCTCGATTTTCTTTTGTTTATTTGCGCGACAGCAGTTGTTTCTTAGGTTTTTCTTAGAAATTTCGCCCGGGCGCCCAAAGTTGATCCTCTCGCGAATACCCAACGTTTGTCTACTTCATTGTGTAACACTCTCCTCCTAGCTAAAACGCTCGCGGATAACTCGCGCGCTCACACCTCTCGCCTTCTCGAAACGCGTGGGCTTTGCCGCTCGTGTTGCAGAGTCGCTCGTGCTGCAGCGTCGCAGGCTAAAGAAAAAACAAATTCTTCAAAACATTACAGCTCTTAACCTTTTACAACCTAACTCCAGTATGCATATAGTCCAACTGTCTTCCACACATTTTTTAAGGTGCTGACAGGGAGAATTTGTTTAACAATCAAGTTCCTTCATTCTCGTGACCTCAATGTTTTATTTAAGGGTGATATTGTGAGGAGATATTAGATTAGTCACTCTTAAGGGTCAAAAGGTTAAGAAGGGTTTTAAACAAATACAGAGGTGCGAGTTCATTATTCACAAAGGTTTGCGAGTGAAGCTGAAAATTGAATGTCGAAACTTCTTGTATCACATCAAATTCGTATCGCTTTTCCAATGTTTTCGCCTTCGCCTCGCACACACCCTATTCGTGCACATCGCACGAGAGATTTTACGCTTTTGATCCATCGAGCCTTACGACAGTTCTGAAATATTTCACGATGCATTCTTTCTTGTCAGTAACAAAGCTCGGAAAGAACAACTGCAAATAGACCTCAAACCCGATTGTTACTCTCTTGGAAAGGTTTATTGCGTCTACACTAGAAATCCCCTATAAAACTTTCATTACCGTTAATCTGTATATTTTCTTTCCACCTGCGGGTAGCGGAATCACTCTACTTTCTACAACAACTCCATCCTAGATAAAAAGGAAGAAAAAGGAAAGTGAAAAGAGAAAAAAGAAAAACGATTGTGGTGAATCCACAAGAACAAGCTCTTGGTGGGAATTTTAAACAGTTATTCTTACAGAAAAAGAAGTTTCAGTTTCCCAATCCTCACCTTAGCTTTTTCCGTTTTCCAACCATCATTAAGACGCATTCTTTCCCAGGTTATCTCCATCGTTTCTTTCCCTCTCTGAATAAATTCTTGATCCTTAACGGCCAAACAGATCAACAACGAGAGATTAATTCATTAGATTGTGCAGACACTCTTTAGGTACGCCTGTGAGCACACGAGACATTTTGGAACAGGAATTTAATGAACACTTTGGGGTACATCGTATCGAAGGGCGTGGGTCCAGTACACGAAATCAAGACTACTTTTCACGTAAAAAAACAATAAATAAAACGACAAGTTACGTCTATTGCCCTTTCAAAGTGTAGTACTGCAATTAAAACAAGAACTCCCACTCTCGAAGCGCCAAGCCAGGTAAGGAAGCTTTGTTTGATTTTTGTCCAATTTTTTATCCCCAGAAAGTTCACCGGAAATTCTCGACCCAGTTTCCCGCACATTTGGTTGGGCCAGTCTTAGCTCCCGATATGCACCCCAAATGTGGCCGATTTGAGTAATGTGTTTAAAAGTTTTCAATAGTTAAGGTGTTTGATTACAAGAAGCTCAAACTAAGGCCATTTATCAAGAAATCAAAATTGTTTAAGGTAAAATGATATTCGTCTTGTAACGAGCGTGGAAAAAAAATAAATAAAAATCCCCAGACCTTCGGATTCTGCGCTGTTTTCAAAAGTGACCATTTACAAAAGGTTATATAAGGCAAGGAACAATAAACTGGAAATGTTCATGAGAAACAGTTACCTCTTGAGACAAGGTCAAATTACCAGCCTCTTCCCTATCATTTTCACTTTCTTCGTCAGACGCTGAAAAAGATCAAACCAAGTTGGCGTAAATGAAAGTCAAACAGGCTCTATGCGATGCATTCTTAATAGCTACGGTGTTCAAGCCACTGACCAGAAGACACTCAAATAGAAGAATGCCAAAACATGGGTAGATATTTCTTTGTAAGAGTAACTAAGATAAATTGCAGCGAGACATAGCTTACATTTTAAAGTTTCACTGAGCCTGTGAGAAAAGAGACTAGGTTAATGACATGGGCTGTACACAATATCACAGCGAGAAGCCCTTTTACCTCCCCAGTTATTCATCAGAAACATATTTAACAAGTTTTACACAGATGAACAAAATCAAACAATAAAAAACCCACAAGTACAACTACAAGTCTAACGACACCGAATGACATGTTAGAAAATTACAGGCAATAACTAACATCAAACCAACCTTCTGGTGTGTAAAAAGCATTGTCCGAAATTGTCGAATAAGGAGTCAGGTGCCTGAAAAAGAAGAGCAACATACTATTCTTAACCCTTTAACACCTAAGAGTGACCAGCATCTAATTTCTCCTTACAATATCACCCCTGAATCACATATCAAGGTCATGAGAATAAGGGAAACGATCATTAACTAGAGAGGTTCTTGATTGCTAAACACATTCTCCCTGAAAGCACCTTATAGAATGTCTTGAAAACAGTAGGGAGAAAACGGATCATGATTTTGGGCTGTAAAGAGTTTAAACAACTACTTTCTTTGCAATAAATACTCATATATAAAGTTACTCTCGTAAATCCTGACCACTTTCGGTGTGAATTCAGTGATGTTTCGCCCTTTGCGAGTCTTCTTCAAGCAAAAAGATGAGCTGTACTTAATCTTTACGTTATATCACCAAAAACGATCTTACCTAGCTACGAATTTTAGAAAAAAAGGAATATGTGCTTCCCCTTTAATGAGCGGCCTCTTCGAGTCGACGCCTCTCAGGCTCATCTCTGTTTGAACTAATAATAAGAGCACAGGTGCCCGGGTCCTTGGGTGCTAATTTGAGGATTCACGAAGTAACCGTTAAAGACTAAGAACTGAGAATAATTGGCTACAAGGTTGAATCCCAAGATACCTTCATGTCTGGCTTACCTGCGGTTTTCATTTCGTAACAATGACCTCCTCTCTTCTGCAAAGAATAAACAAGAGATAGTTATTATTACTATATTACTAAGCATTTAGAGAAAGGCTCATTTCTCTTATCAATGGTTATGAAGAACGGCAAATGAAAAGAAAGAACAACGAACCGACGCCATTTATTCTATTCCTTGCAATGACTGTGACAACGAATACATCGGACAGACCAAACGCCAGTTTGGTACACGGTTAAAAGAGCACCAAAAAGCTTTATCAGAGCATACTTGCCTAACCAACCATACAATTGGGTGGGATAATTCTAAAATTATCATCACTAATCGGCGCTACCACCAGCGCTTTTGTTTGGAGGCTTGGCATATTAACTCCGCCCACGCTCCTTTAAATCGTGACGATGGCGGTTTGCTTCCTGACGCCTATTTACACCTCGTCAGAAAAAAGGCCGCTAATTAGTGATCATATAAAAGGACCTCTTGTTGCAGCGTTTAGATCACCCCTGATGAAGGCACTAGACAGGAGTGTCGAAACGTTGGGTCTATGAATTGTAACTTCTTCGGTTACATTCATTAAATCTGCAAACCAGTGTAGCATCAAACTATGTCTGATTGTCCACCTGATTGCCGTGTGAACTTTAATATATATCAAACAAGGCTTTTATTAGTGCACGCTACGAACGAGACCAGGTTGCGCAAGTTTAACTCCTTCATCAAAATTTTTTTTACAACTTATTCTGACATAAATTCTGATTAACCCGGGTCCATTTCAAATGGTTTGAGGTATTACTGAGAGTAGCTTTCAAAATAATCTTTTGCCTTTTTACCGAAAAGTTTGTCACATTGGGAAAATTAGAATTCTACTATTCGCGCTTGTTCCACGTAAGAACATTTCTCGCGCACTACGGTGGAAAGCACGGGCATGCACAGGGAGCCCAAGAATTATGTAGAGAACAAAGCATATCAAACTTAAACCAAGCTTAATTTCACACGATGCAAAGGAACCTCCACATAAGCGAAAAGGTTTCCTTTTTTTTTTTTTAATCCAAAACAGTTCAGATTTCGGGTCGATCAAGATTGTCAGAGAGTAACTTAGCTCTCTGGACATACAAGTATCAAATATACAGTGAAACCTCTGTTAAGCGGATACCCTCGAAACCCTCTCAAGTGTCCGTTTCATAGTGGGAATCCACTAAATAGAGGTTTGTAAAAATTGCGCAATAATTGTTAACGATTAACATTCAACGGTTACTCTGTACTGCGACAAAGTTCCATGTTACTTACGAAGGAATCCAGAGTTCAAGTTCATTACAGTTAATTACCAACCTTAATTTGTAAGTAATAATACAAAAACAACAACGATAATACGCGCAATTCATTGACTCTTTCAGTGTTTATGTATAAATTACACACAGTAGTCTGGTGTCCACTTCGTAGAGGTTTTTAACGATAGAAATTAGCCAAATACAATTTTTGTTAGTGTCCGCGTCCGCTTAAAAAGAGGTGCACGCTGATGGGTTTCGTTATAAACTAAGGGAAATGTAAGACATTAATTTCGGGACCCGGCTTAGTGTCTGCTTAATCGAAGGTGTCACCTTAACTGGTGGTCCGCTTAGTAAATGTTTCACTGTACCTCGAAACTGGCGCTGCTCCTCTTTGGTCTCAGCAGGGATAACCTGAATGATTTAAAATATAATATCTGTTTAAAGCCGGGGGACAGTCAGTATGTTGGATTTGGATTCCTACATAGAAAGATGTAGTGATACTTGTGTGGTACTTTTTTTTAGAACGTGGCTGTGAGGACAGATTAACCATTAAACCCCTAAGAGTGACTAGCATCTAATTTCTCCTTACAATATCACCTCCAAATCACACAGAAAGGTCACAAGAAAAAAGGAAATGATCACCAACAATAGAAGCTCTAGATTGTTCAACAAATTCTCCTTGTCAGCACCGTAGGAAATGTATTGAGAACAGTATGGAGAATATGCATACTGATGTTAGGGTGTAAAGGGTTAACAAATAGATTCCATGCCGTGCGCCTGTTCAGTTGTGGATCACAGATGACCTCAAGATTTTGTGAGAACAAAAAAGTGGCCCACGAGGCGCAGACGAGTGTTACCACATTTTGACGTCTGTGATCTATTTCTGGAAAGACGCACCGCAACATGGAGATCATTTGTTTCATACAATCAAGAGGCAAAAATGTGTTACTGGTGACGCCATCTATGCGTCTTTCCTCCAATAGATCATGAGTAAAGACCAATCAAAACGCGTGTGTAATTCAGCCTGTTATACATTTCATCGTAGCTGGTGACTTTTAGCGAAAATGTCAAGTCTGCAATCGAGCCACGTGACTCATCCAGCCGGAACTTATCGCGATTTCTGTGGCATGAAGTGACTCGGAGTATTACTACTTCCTCTACTTGGAGAAGATGCCAGTTCATCCAAAGATTACCCCACAGAATTTCGTCGTGCTTCTCTGATAATTTGCCTGAGTTCAGCACACGCGCTAACCGTATGGCTACAGTGTCTCCCACTGCACAATAATAAATACGTTTTATATCATCATTAGCCAAATAAAAGAGCACTCAAAGTAAAACAGGCAAACTACCAAAAACGCGGGAAAACGCGGGCTACCAAGTCACCTTTGGTTTTCTTTAGCGTCTGATTGGTTAAGAGGAAGGTGCAGACTTTCTAGACCAATCACAGACCGAATCGATGCAAAACCAAAAAATTTCGGATTCCTTTCGACATTCAAGAGAATATTTTCTTAATAAATAGTCATTTGTGAAACATACCTTAGAATCAAAAACCCAAACTTCTACCCACGATAAAATAAGCGACGACAAGACTAGGACATAGTACAAATATGCGCTGGTTCCATCTTTTGGAGACTGCACAGGGAACAAACCAAAAAGAAAACGTAATTAGATGATAGGACTGTGTCAATTCCCCTTCAATTTTTCAGTTAAATTTAGATTGGATGTTCATGAATCAATCTTTAATCAGGTTTGCAAGACATTAGAGAAGAGGATTTAGGAAGGAACATTTTGAGAAGGGCACTTTTCATAAGTTTGCTCCAAGTGTCAAGTTCATATAAACCGTGACCTGAAGTTGAACATATCAATACATGGGAAAATGGCCATATCTCTTGAATTCCCATAGTGACCAACACAGAACTTCTCCTTACAAAAATGAAAACAATATTAAGTAGACAAGTGATGAGAATAAAGAAAAATATCAATTAAGGGATTACATGTATTGGTTGATCCTCTGAAGTAACATTGTAAGAATTCCATGGCAGAAAGTAAGAAGAGTTACTAATGAGATCTTTGGAGTGAAAAAGTTGACATAACTTAAACAAGGGTCAATTGTAACATTAGGTGAACAAATTATTACTTAAACTTGAGCAATACAAGGCTTGATTCTTAGCTGTGAATTGTGAGCATAAGGATTTTTTATTTCTTTATAGCAACTTAGTTTTTATGACAGGAATAAGTACATATTGCAAATTGTGAGCATGATCCCAACAAGGAAGAAAAAAAGTTGCTGTGTAACTAGTGATGATCCATTATTTTTTTGGTGGCCAACAAAAAGAAGGGATTGGTAAGTATCAAAAAAAGGGAAGCATGGAATACAAACTTGAGTAGCAACTGATGCAACGCTTAATTCTCCCTCTGTTTCAAAAGGGAAGAAGAGTCAATTTGAAATGAGACAACAGTAGCTGATAATAAGTCACTAAGGCCTTTTTTCCATGCACCCCTTTAACCCTGATTTGCTTTGCACCAAAAAAGAGCTCTCAAATATGACTGTCCCCTTTGATAAAAGAGTCAGTCAAAGAAAACAATTTTCAAAAGTACCACAAAAACAAGCAAGTCATAAATCCTTGTACAAAATTGGAAATGTTAACTGCACCACTTGTAGCAATTTTCAATTGTTTTCCAAAAGTTTTGCTACCTAACTAGTACAAGTACTTTGTACCTTGTGCAAATAGAAGTCTGTTCTTATGTTTTCATTACTTTGCTGCTATTGAGCCTCATTAACACATTTCTAAGATACACCTTAAGTGTTTAACATTATCCAGTTCATAAAGTTAACTTACCTTGAAATCCATTAATATGGCTTTGACTAGAAGAAAAACAGTTGAGCTGCCAGTTGTCAACTATAAATTAAAGAAAATCATACAGAGAAAAAATAATTATCTCAATGTCCCTTCAGGATCTGGAAATGAATCACAATTTAAAACAATAAATTATATGGGCACTGTTAAAGCTACAATTTATTGATTTGTTTACTCTTACAGGGCAAGCATACACCTAAAAAGGACTCGTAGCACTGGCAGTTACTAAAATTTTGACAACCTGAACACAAGTCATCACCAGAGTTAAGCAAGGAGTTGTTTATCAGTCTGACACGATGAGTCTAACTTGTGGAAACTTATTGGTCAGTTTTTCTTGACGGTGGGCTGACTAATTCATAAGCATTTTGCCGTGCACACTGCATATACGTGCTAACATTTAAATTTTTTTTTAATCAAAGTGTTGCTGTCAAAAATTTTCTGCAAAGAATTCATTCAATTCAACTCAACTATTTACTAAATATTATTTTCAGTGGAGTTTCTGTGCTGTATTTTAATCACTATGTTACGTTAACAATGCACCTGTAGATAATGCTATCAAGATATGTGTTAGCTTGCAGTGCAAGGGTGTTATTGGAGCAAGTTAAAGTAAAAGTTCGCAAAAATTTATCTGATGGCCAAGAGGCCAGGTTGATTAAGAGTTAGAGTGGACAAAGGGGGAAGAAGGCAGAGAAAACCCCACCTCTGCTCCCCTCTCATTTCTTACGACCGTCATGCACACCCTTGGTACAAATTTCTTTCTCTGCCTAGCCTTCCCATGCTTTAAAAATCAAAGATGGCAGCTATGATTTACAACAAGAATATACCACTTGCTAGTGACAATCATGCCTGCTCTACAGGCTAGGTGGGTGTACAAATCTTTTATACTCACCCCTACAACATACCACTTTCGGCTCACAAATAGGGCATAAGCAAGAAGAAGAACAGTCATCCGCCACAATGCCAACATCTAAACATGCAAGTCACATCATGAGTTAGCAAACTAAAACATTTTTAATCTTGAAACTTAATGCCCCAATTGAATTTCTGATAAATTTGAAAATTCATATTTAAAAACCCAAAACTACATGTAAAAGACTAGAGCTACATTGGGGATGGTTGGTAATGACCTGAGAAAACCAAGGAGAGGTTTCACACTAATTTTGCAGTTACAGGAGTAAAATTGTTGAGCACTAGCTTAATTTTGGCTGTATAAAAAAATCTTTAGTCACCACTTCTTGCTCAGTAAATATGGCTGGACAATAGCACTGTTTGGTTATCATTGTGTCAGATTATCTGTGATGAGGATTACATCTAACAAGAAAAAAATCCCACTGAGTTAAACACTTACCACTAAATCACACAAAGATTTTTTAAAATGGTACTTCTGAACATCAGATTTGATATCTTCCTTAAACTCACCACTTAAACCCTGAAAATTGATTCATACAAAGTTTTAAAACATTGCACTCATTTCTAAGCCTTGAAGAAGGAAGCATTGTCACAAATCTCACTGAGCTAATAAGCGCACCAAATTTTTACAGTTGAAATCTACTATCTTTAAAGTACCAAGACACACCTTTAAATTGTTTCTTTTCTATCAATGGTCTAGTAATCAACACTAGTTATCTAATTTTCCAGTAATCTAACCTTTTCACTTCCAGAATCTTATTAGTAATTCTTCTCACTGTCTACAGTTCTCATGAAGTTAGTTCAAAGAATTTGGTTCTGGATCAACTGATAATTCCCTAATTGATACTTTTTTTTTCTCATCAGTTGTTGGCTTGATATGTATTGATATTGTAAGGAGAAATTCTGTCTTGGTCACTCATGAGAGTTAAAGGATTAAATCCCAGACTTATGATCAATTCAAAACATACTTAAATTTATGTCTTTGATCAAAATTTACAAAGTAGCTAGCGAATGTATGTTATAGGCCTTCATTATATTCATCAGTCTTCAAGAAAAAAATTTTAAAAAGTCCTAAGTGTAAATTTTCAAGAGCTTGTATTTTCTTTGGCAGTTTCTGCAAAAATTGTGTGAAATTGATTTTCAAAAACTTTTATGGATGAATGACTTTTTTCTTTTCTTATCGATTACAGTGTATGTCTATGCAACACTAATGGTAGAAAATAGTACTGGTATCAAAAGGAAATTATACGTGATCATGTGATCTCTAACTCTTGCGTGAATTATCCGAGGATCCCGAACGAAAACGTTTGATTGAGCTCAAGTGAAATATAAAGCCATGGAAATAACTGAGATTTAAGTGATAACAGGCACTTTATAGACTTGAAAATGCCTGAAATGCATGATATCTCATCGGGACGACAGTTATGCATACTGGTGTGAACTTGCTTCTGTATCTTGCGTCTATACACAATGTACTGTCCTACATAGAATATTAATTATTTCCGCTTTCGTCATTACGCTTATTGCGAACTAACCCTAACCCTAAGCAACATACCTTTAACAAAAAAAAAACAAAAAAAAAAGCAGATTACTTACATGCGCGTACAAAATCCAAATAAACAAGATGGCCAAGAAATCGAAGAGTGCAAGAAGACAAAAAAGCCGTCGAGCTGGGGAAAATCCGCGATGCGTTGCTGAAGAAGCCAAACCTGATGAGGGATAACTAGTAACGGGGGCGGAATGATGGCTTCCTGATTCTGCATCATAATCTTGACTAACCAAAGAGCTCATCATCATAAAAGACTATCGACATGAACCACATGGTTCGATCACAAAATCTTCATGAAGGAAAAGGGAAAAGGGAAAGAGAAAGTAAATGTTTGTAGTTGAAAAAGATTGGTTACGAAATCTAGGCCGCTGACAACCAGAAGTGCAGTCTCGTTTGTTTTGGTTGGCGGTCAGTTTGAAAAATGGCGGCCGAAGGAAATTCTGAACTGGACGGAATAGAAAGGTTTCAATACTTTTTTCGTTATGTGGCATGCCAAACGCATGATTACGCATTTTTTCTTTTAAATTGACGGTGTTGCTTACTATACGACTCGTTTTTGATTATGACATAACAGGATCTTTCAAGATATCAGAAATCACAGCCAAAATGTAGACAAAAATCTTGAGATCTTAAACATCGGAGATGTTAATCATGAACTGCAGCTACAAAAGCACAAGGTAAAATGTTCGATTTAATCAAAGTTATGCTCTTAGAAGAATCGCTGGATACCTAAAGGCCCTTGCTGCAAAAACTCTGAGTTGCCCAACTCTCAAAAGCTTCATAAAAGGAAAGTTTTTCTAAGAAGACTCGACAAAAGTGATCAGTCGTCTGTGGCAGCTGAGTTTAAGAGAGCTGCAGTTCTGAGTATTGGCTTTTATCGACTGTCAACCTTTCTGAAAATATTATCAGCAGAAAAAATTGACTTGAAATTGAAATTCAACCATAAACGTTTTTTTCTGTAATTGCCTTATCTTGATATGCTGGACATTTTTCTTTTTTCGTTACAGAATCATCTGGCAAGTCTGAAAACTATTTTGATAAGGTTACAAACTCAATCTCGTTTTTTGGAAATGGCGAGAGAAAATTGGTCTTCAGCTAGTGATCTTGAAATGACTGGTGAGAAATCATACAATATTTAATATCCATTCATCAGAAGGCAAGTGATGAAAGTAACTTATTTGTCTTATCACCTGCACTTTTGTCTCACAGCTCTTATTTGAAACCTTTTCACCCTAACATTGATCTTAATTTTTTCCACACTTGTCTCTTGACATTTCCTATATAAAGAGAATTTTCTTGACGATCATTAGCTTCTTAATTTGGTGAGTTGATTTTCCTAATTCATATGAACCCTATATTTGATTCAAGGGTGATGCTGTTAGCATAAATTAGAGACCATTCACTCTAAGGGGTTAATGGGTTACTCTTGAATCAGCAATACTCAATAATGGGCTACTCATGAATCAGCAATACTCAATTACGTACTCACTTATGGTTAGAAAATTATGCTAAATTCAGATTTCAATTTTGTGATTCTATTGTATACCCCTCTGCCAATTTTCACTGAACTGACGATATTTTTCCTCTCCAAAAGGTGGGAGGGAGCCTAGGGGTAGATCAAGGATTTTTCTTTGGAGGGGGTGTGCCATAAGGAATGACATAACTGACATCTGCTATAACAAATAGAAGGGGTAATGCCTGAAACTTCAGTATGAAACTACTACTTTTATGGCATTACACATAAATTCTTCAGCCTCATCTCATGCATTAGTTCAACACCAATAAACCACTTAGTTTTTTTCTTTATTTTTTCTCAAAATACCAGTCATATTCATTTAGAAAACCCTAACTCGTTTCAGGGGGGGATGGTTGCACCCTTAATCTCTTAAATCCCTTATCCCACCCTCTCTTCCACAGCCAGTAGACGAGACAAATTGAATTTTAGAGGTGGTTTTTCTTTCAGTTTAAGAAAAAGAGAAATTTGCATGATATTATTACTGAAGCAGTTCATTCATTGTTATCATTCAGTCATGCTCTTGTAATGTATTTGTGGTGATTTCTATTTAGAGCACCAATCAAATGTTAGGAGTGAAAACAAGCAAGATAAAGTAATGATTGAGGAGCTGGAGACACAGATTGATGACATGGCTGAAACTCTCTCTACAAGTGAGTTGAACATAAACTTTTAGTTTCTTAGAATTACTATGGTAATCAATTGAGGTCTTTTAAATACTTAAAAATATTGTCACCAGATTCACTGAACCTAGTTGTATGATAGCTGGAAAAGCTGCAAAAATTTTAATCTTGAAAACTTTAATTACCCTCTTTCATACATAATTTTACTCTTGTTCAGATTTTCCATTACTTGATACAGTGGCTGTTTAGATAACATTAAATTTTTCTCAAGTTGTGGTTGATCAGATCACCATGAACATTTTTTGAAGGAATTACCATAAGAATGTTCTTCATTATCATCTTTCTCAGTGTCTCCATGCTTTCAATTTTTTTGATTCTATCAGAATGCAGGACATGAGTCATATAACTGATAATTGCCCTAAAACCAAAACCAAAATAATCAACAGACAAAAGGAAAACCATGTAAAGTGCCTGAGGGGTGGGAAAATGCAGGTGACTAAGATGTAACTGGTGTTAGTTTTTAATCTGATTGGTTGAGAAAATGGTGCAAGTTTTCTGGACCAATCACAAGGCAGAGTGAAGCTAAAAAAAAGCAATCCTACATTGCTATCAACACTCAATTGAAAACTGCTCTTCACTAATATGGTATTGACTTGGCAGAACATAAAATTTTGAAAGAGAAGCTTGACCTTTTGGAAAACAGACTGGTCAGCACAAAGGACAAGGTAAAATAAATATAACAAATGCAGTCTGTAAAATTCAGTGTTACTTTTATTTTTAGAACTATTACACGTTTTAATTGTGATCACCAAATGAATATGTTTGCACAGACACTGTTAGCATGACTTACTTATTTCAGCCATCTTTCATGGTGAAGGATTCAGGTGGTAGCAACCTTTTGATATTTTTTTAATTAAATGAAACCATTTCATAGCCCTAGACATAAAAATTTTAAATTTATTCAGGCAAATTGAGTTAAAAAAGGTGAGGCCTGCATTCAAGCCTAGTAGCCTGTAATAGGCAGTAGTTTAACCTGGTTTTTGTAACATGAAACAACCAGCACTATTGCTACTTACCCTCGAGGGATGGGGATGCTAGTAGTTCATTGCAGGTTAAACCCTCCCCCCCTCCCTCAGAATTTTTTCCAGGCTTCCCTGTCAGTTCACTGTTACCCAGTTCTACTCCTGGGTGTAGACTGGGCACTGTGAGAGTTAAGTGTCTTGCCACAGAACTCAACATAATGATCCAGCAAGGAATGAAACGGGAACCTCTCAACTTTGAGTCTAGCATGCTAACCATTAGGTTATTGTATCTCTAGGGAGGGTGGCCATTAATGGAAAGATAAAGCTGTTATCTGATCTAGCAAATAATAAACACCAGCTCTAGGCATAACTCCCAAATTATAACAAACACAATTAAACCTAATAAAATCACTGTTAGTTATTAACAGTTTTATAACTTTTTTGTTCTTAGAGAAAGAACTTTGAAATGCTGAAAGAGAAGTTAGAGGAAATGGGCAACAAAGTGCAGGAAAAGGTAGATACAACCCATTTTCCCTCAGTATTTCAGACTGGGCTTAAGCACTAACAAGTCATGCTTTTCCTCCTTAATTCTTAACTGCATTACGGAATTGAATAATGTTTTCCTAAGAGAAAATCAAGGCTCAAGGGTGCTCTCTGAACAGTTTTGATATCAATTCTAGTCATGGCTAAATTACTTTGCATTCATCAGTTTGACCCATTAAACCATGGTCTGCCTTCCCCATCAACATCTTTTAAAACAAAACCACAATCCTATCTGTTAACAGCTTTTAATGGAAGTAGGGAAAAGCCTATACAACTGCAGAAAAGGGTGCATTCAAGCTTGCACATGTGACTTTTCTGTCTTTCTTCATTTTGAAGCCAGTGTGGGTACCTTCAAGAAAATTTTTTCAACCCTTTATCAGAATCTATATTCTCCATACTCTTCTCTATGCATTTACTTAAGTACCGACAAGGAGAATTTGTTTAACAATCAAAGCTTGGCAATCATTTCCTTTGTTCTCATGATCTTAATATATGGTTCAGCCATATTAATGTAAGGAGAAATTAGATGCTGGTCACTTTCAGGGTTTAAAGGGTTAATTTTATGCACCGTTAATCAATGACAAAATTGTCTGATTACATCTTACAGTGACCTCATTTTTCTGATTTGCATGAAAGTTTTTTTAAGAGTTTCTTCTAGCAGCCTGGCTCAAAATGAAAAACTTTCCAAAACAGCCACTAAAGTAATTTCAAATCATTCTGGAGCTCATTATTAGTCACTTAGAAGTGAGCAATCTATAAAGGATTTAAAATTAAATGGCTCTTCTATCACCCAAAGGACCGCTGGCCAAACAAAGTTTTACTTGTATGAAAATGAAAATCTATAAAAATTGATTGTGCGCTGGAATTAGCAAATTTTCTTTCACAAAAGTACTCTCGAATTATTATGTCTTGCTTAAGCTTATCAGCTCACTATAAATTTTTTTTCTCTTTTGCTCACAAAACACATCAAAGTTTAATCATTCTTTCCACTAAATACAAAAGTTAGCAACAACTGATTTTCATTGAAACTGCAGTTAATTATTTTGAAATCACTCCATCACATCTTTCACTTTAACCCTTTAAGTCCCAGATCAAATTTGTAATTCTCCTTACTGTCAACCATACAATTCTTATAATGTTAGTTCAGAGAATTCAGCATTGGATCAACTAATTATCCCCAAATTGATATTTTTCTTTACTCTCTACGCTTATCTGGTTGATATTGTATTGCTATTGTAAGGAGAAATTCTATCTTGGTCACTCATGGGAGTTAAAGGGTTAAGCAGGATTTGAGCTTTCATTAAGAAATGGGAATCGAAAAATCTGTATGCGATGACTGTTGCAGTCAGACACAACTACTTCCCCCCGTTTTCCAACTGCCACAGAGTATGGCAAACAAAAATTTCCCTCTTCCTCACCAAAGCCTCCAAAGCTCTTTACGAAGTTTCCATAAGAGTCAAGGACTTGGATGCGACAGTTGCCAGAATCGCACACAAGTATGTTACCTCCTGAATCCACAGCCAGTCCTCGCGGTTTGATAAATTGTCCTGGCTCCCTTCCTGATCTTCCAATCTGCTGAAGGTAGACACCATGTCGGTTGTACACCTTGAGGCAGTGGTTAAATGTGTCAGAGACAATAAATCGCCCTTGATGGAAAACTGCAGATGATGGCCAGCCCAGCTTGTTTTTCCCATCAGCTCCGAATTCAAGACATAAATGTCCACTATGGTGAAACACTAGTACCCGTTCATTTGACGAGTCCGTGACAATTATGTGTCCTTCATTATCAACTGATATTCCCTCCACTTTGGTGCCAAGTTTAGTCTCAGTGTTCATGCACCTGATCAGCCGACCTTCAGAGTCCAATACTTTGATTTTGTGAGTTTCATCATCGAAGGTTACAAGGTGATGATCAAGGTCAAACGCAATGCCGGTGGGAAGGTGAACACTCTCTACTTCATCATCTGTTAAAAAATGAAGGAAACTGCCTCGATGATCAAATACTTGAATCCTGCTGTTAGCATGATCAGCAACAGCAATACAGCCATCGTCCCGTATGGCCACGCCCCACGGGAGGGTAAATTCACCCTTGTCAGCCCCAGGTGTTCCAAAAGCAGTAATTTGTATTTCACCTGTTGAGTAATCGAGACTAATTGAATTAATGTCAGAGCTCTCTGGGTCTTCTTGAGTAGAATGAACGTCCAGTTTTCCAAGCTTAGTTAGTTGTTCACTTTCGTTAAAACTTGTGTTTGGAGTAAATACAATGGGATTAATTTCCGGTATGTCCGACTCTATACCATCAATGTCTCGGAGCTGAGATAGGATCGAATCTTTAGCTTCAACAAGCCTCTTTGTGGAGAGTGCATTGATTTGTTGCTGGGCATCATTGAGTATCCTACTTGCATCTGCTATCAAATTCTGTATCACAACTTTTTGCTGTCTTAAATCACTCTGCTGTCGAGCCACAGCCGAATTAAGCTCTTCTATAAGTTCTTCCTCTCTAGTTCTCACCATCAGCACAATTCTTTCTGCAGCTTGCCGAATTTCACCTTCAACTTGCTGCCTTCGGTTTCCAAGACTCTGCGATGTGTCCATGATCTTGGACAACAATCCCTTTTTGTCTTGCAACGTCTCCTTGCATTTATTTATACGGTCCTCCACCTCCTTGATGTCTTTGGTTCTACTTTTCCCGGATATTAGAGCAATCGCGATGTAATTTGTAGGCAGACCGTCGATGCCCTCCGGAAGATGTATCTCAGTTTCTCGCCTGCAGGTGGGGCAACGCAAGAAGGATCGAAGCAAATTGTGTTCCACCATCGGACTCAGACACCGTTTGCAGAATGTGTGAGAACAACACAGATTCTTTGGATCTTCGAATTCGTCTAGGCACACCGGACATTTCAGCTCTTCCTCTAAAACACGAGACAAATGACCTTGATCTCGAATCCAACTCATCTCTTTCCTTGAAGTCGAGCCGAGCCGAACGCAGAAGTTAAAGGAAAACTGGCTTGATACCTTATCAGATCGAAAACTGACCGACTCAGTGATTGTTATCCTCTAACAAGGTTCCAGATAAATTGGTTTTAGGATTGCTATAAATTCACACAATTGTTTTGTCGAATCACGCCTCCAGTTCACAGATTGTAGACCAATGAAACGTTTTGATAGCTATATAGGATGAAATCACAGTTACAATCCTATAAAAGCCGTTAGCATTCGTCCGCGCTTCAGAGTTCCTTTCGATTTTCCTCGTCAACCACCACTCCGCCAGACAGACCCAAAATTCTTTTCAAGCCCAACATAATCACCTATTGATTTCTTTTCAGAAATTGAAATTTTAAACCCTGGGGCCTAAAGATTTATGTCAACATGACACTCTATTCTCTTTATCGTCCAATCACGATCGTTATTTTAGGTTTACCCTTTGACAAAACTATCATGAGTCATGGTTTGGGGTTTGATCCCGAGCAAAGACTAGCTGTCGCCTTTTAGATTTCAACGTGACTTTTCCTTGGAGACTTAATGAGATATTTCATGTTTGAAGAATGCCTCTAAGGAAGTATTTACTGTGAAAATTGTTTAGCATCAGTAGCACACTCTAGATTTCCATGTGGTTCTTTCCGCCTGCCCACGCAATCTGAAGCTTGCAGCTGCCTTATGCAATAGGTCACGCAATCTCTTAAGCAGAGACAAACTGGTCACAGTGTACCGAAATATCTCAGGCAAAGATTGGTGCATCTTGGAGAATTTTGCCGAACTTTATCTGGTTCGTCGACCGCATTCCGTCTCAATATTCTCCATTCTTCCTCTTCATGGGTTTTAGAATGTTTCTTTTCTGTCTTAAGCATTAACAACGAAGTTGATGATGCAACTTAGCTACTGTAAAGAGATTTTAAAGCTGACCTTCCGAACGTCAGCCGAGCGTAGTTCGCCCTGACGAAGGGTTCACGTTCAGAATGTCAGCTTAAGAAACTCTACGGTGGCCGAGTTACATTTATCAACTTAGTTGATAAAAGAAAATTATCTTATCTTACACCGCACCCTCCCCTCCCCTCCCCTCCCCTCAACCCACCGACGTAGCACCACAGTTTCTTGAGAAACTTAAACTTACTTCTTTTATAATATTTTGTGGTCTCTGTCTCGTTGAAGGTAGTTTTGCATAGCTCAAGAATTGTCGCAAAATTTTGCGTGGAGGCTATTTTTAACACAGTAGTAGAGATGAAAGAAACTCGGAAAAGCCAATGTGAAGTGTAAATGCCACCCTGTTATCACAAACACTTTTCTCTGTTCTGTCTCAAAGTTCTTTTTCATCAGATGAAGAATCTTTAGTCAGAGGCACGGGTTTTTACTCTATTGGATTGTAGCCTTTCCCCAAAATACTTTTCCTAGAATTAAAAATGAGTATCGAGAAAATCTGTCCAGGTTGCTGCAGCGCTCTGGAAATTTAAAGAGTTGGCAATAATCCCTCATTTCGTTTTTTTTTTTTTTTTTTTTTTTTTTGACATCTCGTTAGGAAAATAGCCATGGCTCGTTGGAAGATGTGAAAGCGAAACAGGTCAGTGAAACAAAGTCTAATTACTAAAACATCCAGCAGAGAAAAAAGTGAAATGGAAAAAGATTTAATATGAAAGTAATTGAAATTGGATTTGGAATTGAACAATGAACTGGTAAGTACTCTTTGTATCCGAGGCATAACGCATCGAGCCTGCTCCCTGAAGTAAGTGATGAGGTTTAAGAACGATTTTTAAGCCATCTTCCCTCACTTTCCCCCACCTTAACGCCAGCTGCAGCATTTGTCATTGTTGCCTGCGAGCAGGCTTTCGAAAGCACTGTGGAACGAGCGGCAGATTCGAACTGGTCAGCGCGCAAGAGGTCTTCGAGGGTTTTGGAACTCATTTTTCTTCCAATAATCCCCATGAACCTTCGCGCGCCCACATCGCTCACCGACTCAAATCGCGCGGCTTTTCACGCTTTTGTCGTAGCATCAGTGGGAGCCTGCAGGTAGGTTGTCATTAGGGTCGCAAAGTTTTGCTGCTCTTGCATCTTACTCTTCCCAACCCCTGCGTAAAGTTTACAATTTACTGTTAATGAACAAGTCCAAGACTTTCACGGAAGAATCACGGTGCAGAGAGTTATTCTCATGTATCTTGACACATTTTTTAGCCAATTTTCTTGAAAAGTGTATTCCTGGTCAAGTTTTCCACTGATTTAAAGGCAAGAACATATACAGGCGATGTGCTATATTTTTTATAGGCAGAGACAGAATTAGCCATCCAACAGTGTACAGCAGCAATTTCTGGACTTGAACACTGCAAAGGATTGTTAAAGGGTGAGGTGAGTCGTCTGGAGGAGTTTGTCAAGGAACGGGAGGAAGAACTAAAGAGGCAAACAGAGATGACGAAAGATCACGACGAACAAGAGCGGAAAAGGCGACAATGGTAAATGACATGTCTCTATTGTCAGTTCTTCACATAACGTAACAATTATGCGATACATTGTGTTTTCATTAGATTGTATGCCCCGAGAAAAATGTTTCAAGCCCCACGCAGGAGACGCGGCGTCCTTGAGGTTATAGCCTTCCTCTCCGCCTTCCTCCCCACCCCTACCCCCTCGCTCCTTTTCTTCCGCTTTCCTCGTCGTCCCATCCTCAACTGGAGAGCCTGTTCACAGGCTATATGGTTAGCGCTGGTCTTGGGATCTTTTTTTGTTGTTGTTGTTTTATGCTTCGTTTTGTTTGTTTTGTTTTGTCTTGTTTTTTGGGGGGGAAGGGAGTTAATTGTTGTACTGCCTCTCTCCACCCTGGAGTACAACCGGATACCAGAGAACTGTCAGGGAGTGCTTGAAAAAATTGCAGGGGTGGAGGGAGGTTACCAGCGATGGACTATCTTGCTGTCGAGGGGGTGGGGGAGTTGGCAATATTCCTCTTTTGAATGCTCCCAATGGTGTCTCTAGAGTTCTTTTCCTTCGTGCATTAGGCTCTTAGATCACAAGCAGTTTTCAAGTAATCTGGAATGACCTAGACCCTGGTTCGTATTAGGCACTTTAAAAGTTATCTAAAACCAACCAAACACGTAGATACAAAATAAAACCATGTGCGGAATGGTCCCTCGCGTTGCGCGCAACTGGCTCTTTGTGATAGTTACCACCCCTCCTCACCATCATCATCATCATCATCATCATCATTTCTTTGCCTTTTTAACGATCCAAAACTGAATAAAATCTCTAAAGCATTAGATTTATAGAAGGCGAGGAGACCCAAGAAGCCACCAGGCTTATGGGAGAGGCCTTACTCTGGTTAGCGTTGCGTTTTTTTTTCTTCATTCGTTTTACAAAATTCAACCGAATTAAATCTCAATAAACCATGTTCCCGTTATTTGTTTTATCAAGGTTGACAGATGTGGTTGAACTACACAGTCGCCTTGGAGGTGTCTCTGTGCAAAGCCTACATGGAGACTGCGTGGTCTTGGAGATACGGAGTGACGAACATATTGAAGATCAGGGGGTGAGGTTATTGGTCGAACTGCCTCCCCCTTGATTTTGACCATTAAGTATCGTCTGGACGGAGGGACACGTCCTGTGTTCGGAGGAGCAACGGTAAAATACCTTACAATATGTCAGTAAACATGCCTTCCTTTTAGCAACTGAATTAAGGGAGCACGTTTCCAAAGAAATAGTGGTGCTGCGTCGGTGAGGGCACTACAAGATAATTTGGTTTTATAGCGGAGCTCGCAGAGCGTAGCCCCATAATTATACAGAATGGTAGTAACCCATCAAGCCGAAAAAATTTGGACTTATGACCGTGCGGGCGTCTGTACAAGGTGCTACTTTTAACATACGTGGTCAACTGTACCGCGGGCACGCCAACGCCACGGCTTGCTCCAGTGGTCCGGTGGTCCGGTGGTCAGTGCACTGGGCTCCGAGTCGGAAGACCCGGGTTCTAGTCCTGGCCGGAGCAAGGCGTTGTGCCCTTGAGACGTGCGGGAAAAAAATACGAGCTCCGCTTTTAGGCTTGGCTAAATCTATATATTTAACTGAGTTGATAACGTAAATTGGCCATCGTAAAGAGTTTCTAAAGCTGACGTTTCGAGCGTTAGCACTCCGTCAAAGCAACACGGTTTTGTTATTACATTATATACTAATGGTTGTACCGAATCTCGAAAGCCTTTGGTAAGTTACCATTTTATTTAGACACGAAGTTTTCCAGTGCGTAGCTCAGTTGTGGTACAAAAAGAGCCTTCATTCAGGTGGCACTTGTCTCTCGTGTATCGAGTCATGCGAAGATTCAGGGCTCTTTGGTCAGAGACTGATCATGGGTTCCATCCACAGCGAAATTAAAGAGACGTGTTATTTTTTTCACGATTTTCTCTCGTTTACACAGGTCAATCTGGACTCACTCAGTATAGATGATCTTGTTGATGAAGCCGTTCTTAGTAATGACGTTGCCGGATTTGTTTTTCAAGTGAAACGACGCTTCAAGAATCAACAAGGTCTGATCCGAGAAGTGGAGGAACTCCAAACGAAGTGAGTGAAGGGGAATGTGAGGCACGAGCAAATCGGCGCTTTGGAATAAGCACCGTATTTCACGATTGCTGCTCTTTCACTTAGGCTCGACAGAGGTGCAAGACATTTCTAATCCATTGGAGTGTTCCCATTTTCTAATTGCTAACAACTTCCATTTCCATTTTGGTTTAATACTTCCTTAAGATTCCAGACTCCTCATTTAAGCTTTTTTTCGAGCTAAAGTTAATGTTCCAAAAAGTTGATAAGTGGCTTAAGCATTCCAATTCAGATAGTCAAATAAAAGTTATAAAAAGTTGTTGTTAAAGAAGTTTTGTATTGGATGATATGAATCGAAGATGAGTCACAACAGTCTTCGAATAACGAATGCATTTTTTTTTTACTAATTTCATGAAGTTACAAAAACTCGATTTAGTCCGAGAGGAGAGTTCTTTGAACTGGATAGTGTTTTTCCCTAACCTTACGGTTATCAATGGAAGACTACGGGAGATAAAGTTGTGTCGGGGCTTCTCGGAAGGAACGGCCTGGAAAATTTTTACGAACGTCCTAGGGAATCTCCGGATATGATCGGATTCTCTTTAAAAAAATTTTCACGCCTGAATCAACCCAAGTTGAATCGTACACTATAAGCGTCGTTTCACACTGTGTACTTTGTTCTTTTCAAAGTCATCAGTAATGATTATCAGCACTGTAATGGCCGACGTGTGAGGTACCGTGTTTTCAGGGGCTTCTCCCTGTGACGTGAGACTAACAACAGTGTACTTTTTTGATTCAGTTATGCGATTGACTGGGAACCAAGCCACCGCCGTATCCGAGTGATGCTGGGGAAGAGCGGTAAAATTGTGTGCATCCTGAAAGTTGATCCTTTATACTCCAGTGGGCAGGGTCATGTGCACCTCCTCGGTGTGGAGGGGGGCTCCTATCACAAGGAGATACAACATTTACAGGTACAGTGATACTTAAATTCAATTGAACACCTTCTTGATAGCCTCCACCAGTAAGCATTTGTGAACGCACCCAGAAACAAGCGCGAAGCACGATTAACCGGTGGCAAGTGTAGGGCGTGAGGGGTGCCGAAGACGAAGAAAGCAAGGGAGGTGTCTGTCGCAATACCCCTCTACCTTACGCGCTTACTTTAGAACTTTAAATGGATATACCGATATAAATATTAGTAAGCATTGTTTTCTGTGGGGATCAGCGTTCTTTTCTAATGGCAGGTTTTCTCTGAATAGGAGGTTGTATCTCAAGCTTTTCAAAAGCGTCCAGTGCGCTTGATGAAATGAGGCGAAAATTTTATCAATTGTAATATGTACCCCTTTTTTGACTGCTTTTTTTAATCGTTCTGTTATCTTACTTCTTTTTTCCAGAGTACTGGATCTGGTCGGAATCTTACTCAGGTGATCAAAGACCTTCAAGAGCTTTTTATCAACCAGTGAGATACACCCTTGGAGCTGATTTCTACATGCTTCCAAAGTGATTTTTTTTGCCAGACGAAAGTACCCAAGAAAGAACTTAAATTATGCTACCAACAAGAAAACTTAAAGCTGTATAAAACGTGTTTTTTTAATACCTGTACCGTGTTTTTTAAGAAACTTAATCTTAATTTCTATATTTACAGAACTTGTCAGATATATTTGGGTGACAATATTATATACAAGATGTATTTATTTAACCAAGGTACTTGTAATATTAATGGTATTTTCCTTACGAATAAAATAAATATTAAGTCTTTTTTATATTATTTAGACATTTGGAGTGAACAAGCTTGAAAAGAGAAAAACTGAACTGCAACAAAACGTTTGACTAGATTTTAAGAACGTGGCTGTGAGGACAGATTAACCATTAAACCCCGAGAGTGACTAGCATCTAATTTCTCCTTACAATATCAACCCCAAATCACACAGAAAGGTCACAAGAAAAAAGGAAATGATCACCAACGATAGAAGCTCTAGATTGTTAAACAAATTCTCCTTATCAGCACCTTAGGAAATGTATTGAGAACAGTATGGAGAATATGCATACTGATGTTAGGGTGTAAAGGGTTAACAAATAGATTCCATGCCGTGCGCCTGTACAGTTGTGGATCACAGATGACCTCAAGATTTTGTGAGAACAAAAAAGTGGCCCACGAGGCGCAGACGAGTGTTACCACATTTTGACGTCTGTAATCTATTTCTGGAAAGACGCACGGCAACATGGAGCTCATTTGTTTCACACAATCAAGAAGAAAAATTTTGTTACTGGTGACGTCATCTATGCGTCTTTCCTCCAATAGATCACGAGTAAAGACCAATCAAAACGCGTGTGTAATTCAGCCTGTTATACATTTCATCGTAGCTGGTGACTTTTAGCGAAAATGTCAAGTCTGCAATCGAGCCACGTGACTCATCCAGCCGGAACTTATCGCGATTTCTGTGGCATGAAGTGACTCGGAGTATTACTACTTCCTCTACTTGGAGAAGATGCCAGTTCATCCTAAGATTACCCCACAGAATTTCGTCGTGCTTCTCTGATAATTTTCCTGATTTTAGCGCACGCGCTAACCGTATGGCTACAGTGTCACCCACTGCACAATAATAAATACGTTTTATATCATCATTAGCCAAATAAAAGAGCACTCAAAGTAAAACAGGCAAACTACCAAAAACGCGGGAAAACGCGGGCTACCAAGTCACCTTTGGTTTTCTTTAGCGTCTGATTGGTTAAGAGGAAGGTGCAGACTTTCTAGACCAATCACAGACCGAATTGATGCAAAACCAAAAAATTTCGGATTCCTTTCGACATTCAAGAGAATATTTTCTTAATAAATAGTCATTTGTGTAACATACCTTAAAATCAAAAACCCAAACTTCTACCCACGATAAAATAAGCGACGACAAGACTGGGACATAGTACAAATATGCGCTGGTTCCATCTTTTGGACACTGCACAGGGAACAAACCAAAAAAAAACGTAATTAGATGATAGGACTGTGTCAATTCCCCTTCAATTTTTCAGTTAAATTTAGATTGGATGTTCATGAATCAATCTTTAATCAGGTTTGCAAGACATTATAGAAGAGGATTTAGGAAGGAACATTTTGAGAAGGGCAATTTTCATAAGTTTGCTCCAAGTGTCAAGTTCATATAAACCGTGACCTGAAGTTGAACATATCAATACATGGGATAATGGCCATATCTCTCAAATTCCCATAGTGACCAACACAGAACTTCTCCTTACAAAAATGAAAACAATATCAAGTAGACAAGTGATGAGAATAAAGAAAAATATCAATTAAGGGATTACATGTATTGGTTGATCCAATACTAAATTCTCTGAAGTAACATTGTAAGAATTCCATGGCAGAAAGTAAGAAGAGTTACTGATGAGATCTTTGGAGTGAAAAAGTTGACATAACTTAAACAAGGGTCAATCGTAACATTAGTTGAACAAATTATTACTTAAACTTGAGCAATACAAGGCTTGATTCTTAGCTGTGAATTGTGAGCATAAGGATTTTTTATTTCTTTATAGCAACTTAGTTTTTATGACAGGAATAAGTACATATTGCAAATTGTAAGCATGATCCCAACAAGGAAGAAAAAAAGTTGTTGTGTAACTAGTAATGATCCATTATGTTTTTGGTAGCCAACAAAAAGAAGGGATTGGTAAGTATCAAAATAAGGGAAGCAGTTGAGTAACAACTGATGCAACACTTAATTCTCCCTCTGTTTCAAAAGGGAAGAAGAGTCAATTTGAAATGAGACAATGGTAGCTGATAATAAGTCACTTGGGCCTTTTTTCCATGCACCCCTTCAACCCTGGTTTACCTTGCACCAAAAAAGAGCTCTCAAATATGACTGTCCCCTTTGATAAAAGAGTCAGTCAAAGAAAACACTTTTCAAAAGTACCACAAAAACACGCAAGTCATAAATCCTTGTACAAAATTGGAAATGTTAACTGCACCACTTGTAGCAATTTTCAATTGTTTTCCAAAAGTTTTGCTACCTAACTAGTACAAGTACTTTTTACCTTGTGCAAATAGAAGTCTGTTCTTATGTTTTTCATTACTTTGCTGCTATTGAGCCTCATAAACACATTTCTAAGATACACCTTAAGTGTTTGACATTATCCAGTTCATAAAGTTAATTTACCGTGAATTCCATTAATATGACTTTGACTAGAAGAAAAACAGTTGAGCTGCCAGTTGTCAACTATAAATTAAAGAAAATCATACAGAGAAAAAAAAATTTATCTCAATGTTCCTACAGGATCTGGAAATGAATCACAATTTAAAACAATAAATTATTTGGGCACTGTTAAAGCAACAATTGATTGATTTTTTTACTCCTACAGGGCAAGCATACACCTAAAAAGGACTCCTAGCACTGGCAGTTACTAAAATTTTGACAACCTGAACACAAGTCATCACCAGAGTTAAGCAAGGAGTTGTTTATCAGTCTGACACGATGAGTCTAACTTGTGGAAACTTATTGGTCAGTTTCTCTTGACGGTGGGCTGACTAATTCATAAGCATTTTGTCGTGCACACTGCATATATGAGCTAACATTTAAATTTTTTTTTAATCAAAGTGTTGCTGTCAAATATTTTCTGCAAAGAATTCATTCAATTCAACTCAACTATTTACTAAATATTATTTTCAGTGGAGTTTCTGTGCTGTATTATAATCACTATGTTACGTTAACAATGCACCTGTAGATAATGCTATCAAGATATGTGTTAGCTTGCAGTGCAAGGGTGTTATTAGAGCAAGTTAAAGTAAAAGTTCGCAAAAATTTATCTGATGGCCAAGAGGCCAGGTTGATTAAGAGTTAGAGTGGAAAAAGGGAGAAGAAGGCAGAGAAAACCCCACCTCTGCTCCCCTCTCATTTCTTACGACCATCATGCACACCCTTGGCACAAATTTCTTTCTCTGCCTAGCCTTCCCATGCTTTAAAAATCAAAGATGGCAGCTATGTTTTACAACAAGAATATACCACTTGCTAGTGACAATTATGCCTGCTCTACAGGCTAGGTGTGTGTACAAATCTTTTATACTCACCCCTACAGCATACCACTTTCGGCTAACATATAGGGCATAAGCAAGAAGAAGAACAGTCATCCGCCACAATGCCAACATCTAAACATGCAAGTCACATCATGAGTTAGCAAACTAAAACATTTTTATTCTTGAAACTTAATGCCCAAATTGAATTTCTGATAAATTTGAAAATTCATATTTAAAAACCCAAAACTACATGTAAAAGACTAGAGCTACATTGGGGATGTTAATGGTAATGACCCGAGAAAACCAAGGAGAGGTTTCGCACTAATTTTTCAGTTACAGGAGTAAAATTGTTGAGCACTAGCTTAATTTTGGCTGTATAAAAAAATCTTTAGTCACCACTTCTTGCTCAGTAAATATGGCTGGACAATAGCACTGTTTGGTTATCATTGTGTCAGATTATCTGTGATGAGGATTACATCTAACAAGAAAAAAATCCCATCAGAGTTAAACACTTACCACTAAATCACACAAAGATTTTTTATTGTACTTCTGAACATCAGATTTGATAACTTCCTTAAACTCACCACTTAAACCCTGAAAATTGATTCATACAAAGTTTTAAAACATTGCACTCATTTCTAAGCCTTGAAGAAGGAAGCATTGTCACAAATCTCACTGAGCTAATAAGCACACCAAATCTTTACAGTTGAAATCTGCTATCTTTAAAGTACCAAGACACACTTTTAAATTGTTTCTTTTCTATCAATGGTCTAGTAATCAATACTAGTTATCTAACTTTCCAGTAATCTAACCCTTTCAGTTGTTGGCTTGATATGTATTGACTGTATTGTAAGGAGAAATTCTGTCTTGGTCACTCATGAGAGTTAAAGGATTAAATCCCAGACTTATGATCAATTCAAAACATACTTAAATTTATGTCTTTGATCAAAATTTACAAAGTAGCTAGCAAATGTATGTTATAGGCCTTCATTATATTCATCAGTCTTCAAGAACAAAAATTTAAAAAAGTCCTAAGTGTAAATTTTCAAGAGCTTGTATTTTCTTTGGCAGTTTCTGCAAAAATTGTGTGGATTTGATTTTCAAAAACTTTTATGGATGAATAACTTTTTTCTTTTCTTATCGATTACAGTGTATGTCTATGCAACACTAATGGTAGAAAATAGTACTGGTATCAAAAGGAAATTATACGTGATCATGTGATCTCTAACTCTTGCGTGAATTATCCGAGGATCCCGAACGAAAACGTTTGATTGAGCTCAAGTGAAATATAAAGCCATGGAAATAACTGAGATTTAAGTGATAACAGGCACTGTCCTTCATAGAATATTAATTATTTCCGCTTTAGACATTACGCTTATTGCGACCTATTAGCTAACATACCTTTAACAAAAAAAACAAAACAAAAAAAAAGGGATTACTTACATGCGCGTACAAAATCCAAATAAACAAAGTGGCCAAGAAATCGAAGAGTGCAAGAAGACAAAAAAGCCGGCGAGCTGGGGAAAATCTGCGATGCGTTGCTGAAGTAGCCAAACCTGATGAGGGATAACTAGTACCGGGGGCGGAATGATGGCTTCCTGATTCTGCATCATAATCTTGACTAACCAAAGAGCTCATCATCATAAAAGACTATCGACATGAACCACATGGTTCGATCACAAAATCTTCATGAAGGAAAAGGGAAAAGGGAAAGAGAAAGTAAATGTTTGTAGTTGAAAAAGATTGGTTACAAAATCTAGGCCGCTGACAACCAGAAGTGCAGTCTCGTTTGTTTTGGTTGGCGGTCAGTTTGAAAAATGGCGACCGAAGGAAATTCTGAACTGTACGGAATAGAAAGGTTTCAATACTTTTTTCGTTATGCGGCATGCCAAACGCATGATTACGCATTTTTTCTTTTAAATTGACGGTGTTGCTTACTATACGACTCGTTTTTGATTATGACATAACAGGATCTTTCAAGATATCAGAAATCACAGCCAAAATGTAGACAAAAATCTTGAGATCTTAAACATCGGAGATGTTAATCATGAACTGCAGCTACAAAAGCACAAGGTAAAATGTTCGATTTAATCAAAGTTATGCTCTTAGAAGAATCGCTGGATACCTAAAGGCCCTTGCTGCAAAAACTCTGAGTTGCCCAGCTCTCAAAAGCTTCATAAAAGGAAAGTTTTTCTAAGAAGACTCGACAAAAGTGATCAGTCGTCTGTGGCAGCTGAGTTAGAGAGCTGCAGTTCTGAGTATTGGCTTTTATCGACTGTCAACCTTTCTGAAAATATTATCAGCAGAAAAAATTGACTTGAAATTGAAATTCAACCATAAACGTTTTTTTCTCTAATTGCCTTGTCTTGATATGCTGGACATTTTTCTTTTTTCGTTACAGAATCATCTGGCAAGTCTGAAAACTATTTTGATAAGGTTACAAACTCAATCTCGTTTTTTGGAAATGGCGAGAGAAAATTGGTCTTCAGCTAGTGATCTTGAAATGACTGGTGAGAAATCATACAATATTTAATATCCATTCATCAGAAGGAAAGTGATGAAAGTAACTTATTTGTCTTATCACCTGCACTTTTGTCTCACAGCTCTTATTTGAAACCTTTTCACCCTAACATTGATCTTAATTTTTTCCACACTTGTCTCTTAACATTTCCTATATAAAGAGAATTTTCTTGACGATCATTAGCTTCTTAATTTGGTGACTTGATTTTCCTAATTGATATGAACCCTATATTTGATTCAAGGGTGATGCTGTTAGCATAAATTAGAGACCATTCACTCTAAGGGGCTAATGGGTTACTCTTGAATCAGCAATACTCAATTACGTGCTCACTTATGGTTAGAAAATTATGCTAAATTCAGATTTCAATCTTGTGATTCTATTGTATACCCCTCTGCCAATTTTCACTGAACTGACAATATTTTTCCTCTCCAAAAGGTGGGAGAGAGCCTAGGGGTAGATCAAGGATTTTTCTTTGGAGGGGGTGTGCCATAAGGAATGACAAAACTGACATCTGCTATAACAAATAGAAGGGGTAATGCCTGAAACTTCAGTATCAAACCGCTGCTTTTATGGCATTACACATAAATTCTTCAGCCTCGTCTCATGTGTTAGTTCAACACCAATAAACCACTTAGTTTTTTTCTTTATTTTTTCTCAGAATACTAGTCATATTCATTTAGAAAACCCTAACTCGTTTCAGGGGGGGATGGTTGCACCCTTAATCTCCTAAATCCCTTATCCCACCCTCTCTTCCACAGCTAGTAAACGAGACGAATTGAATTTTAGAGGTGGTTTTTCTTTCAGTTTAAGAAAAAGAGAAATTTGCATGATATTATTACTGAAGCAGTTCATTCATTGTTATCATTCAGTCATGCTCTTGTAATGTATTTGTGGTGATTTCTATTTAGAGCACCAATCAAATGTTAGGAGTGAAAACAAGCAAGATAAAGTAGTGATTGAGGAGCTGGAGACACAGATTGATGACATGGCTGAAACTCTCTCTACAAGTGAGTTGAACATAAACTTTTAGTTTCTTAGAATTATTATGGTAATCAATTGAGGTCTTTTAAATACTTAAAAATATTGTCACCAGATTCACTGAACCTAGTTGTATGATAGCTGGAAAAGCTGCAAAAATTTTAATCTTGAAAGCTTTAATTACCCTCTTTCATACATAATTTTACTCTTGTTCAGATTTTCCATTACTTGATACAGTGGTTGTTTAGATAACATTAAATTTTTCTCAAGTTGTGGTTGATCAGATCACCGTGAATCTTTTTTTGAAGGAATTACCATAAGAATGTTCTTCATTATCATCTTTCTCAGTGTCTCCATGCTTTCAATTTTTTCGATTCTATCAGAATGCAGGACATGAGTCTCATGTGAGAACCTTTCATATAACTGATAATTGCCCTAAAACCAAAACCAAAATAATCAACAGACAAAAGGAAAACCATGTAAAGTGCCTGAGGGGTGGGAAAATGCAGGTGACTAAGATGTAACTGGTGTTAGTTTTTAATCTGATTGGTAGAGAAAATGGTGCAAGTTTTCTGGACCAATCACAAGGCAGAGTGAAGCTAAAAAAAAGCAATCCTACATTGCTATCAACACTCAATTGAAAACTGCTCTTCACTAATATGGTATTGACTTGGCAGAACATAAAATTTTGAAAGAGAAGCTTGACCTTTTGGAAAACAGACTGGTCAGCACAAAGGACAAGGTAAAATAAATATAACAAATGCAGTCTGTAAAATTCGGTGTCACTTTTATTTTTAGAACTATTACACGTTTTAATTGTGATCACCAAATGAATATGTTTGCCTAGACACTGTTAGCATGACTTACTTATTTCAGCCATCTTTCATGGTGAAGGATTCAGGTGGTAGCAACCTTTTGATATTTTTTTAATTAAATGAAACCATTTCATAGCCCTAGACATAAAAATTTTAAATTTATTCAGGCAAATTGAGTTAAAAAAGGTGAGGCCTGCATTCAAGCCTAGTAGCCTGTAATAGGCAGTAGTTTAACCTGGTTTTTGTAACACGAAACAACCAGCACTATTGCTAATTACCCTTGAGGGATGGGGATGCTAGTAGTTCATTGCAGGTTAAACCCTCCCCCCCTCCCTCAGAATTTTTTCCAGGCTTCCCTGTCAGTTCACTGTTACCCAGTTCTACTCCTGGGTGTAGACTGGGCACTGTGAGAGTTAGGTGTCTTGCCACAGAACTCAACATAATGATCCAGCAAGGAATTAAATGGGAACCTCTCAACTTTGAGTCTAGCATGCTAACCATTAGGTTATTGTATCTCTAGGGAGGGTGGCCATAAATGGAAAGATAAAGCTGTTATCTGATCTAGCAAATAATAAACACCAGCTCTAGGCATAACTCCCAAATTATAACAAACACAATTAAACCTAATAAAATCACTGTAAGTTATTAACAGTTTTATAACTTTTTTGTTCTTAGAGAAAGAACTTTGAAATGCTGAAAGAGAAGTTAGAGGAAATGGGCAACAAAGTGCAGGAAAAGGTAGATACAACCCATTTTCCCTCAGTATTTCAGACTGGGCTTAAGCACTAACAAGTTGTGCTTTTCCTCCTTAATTCTTAACTGCATTACGGAATTGAATAATGTTTTCCTAAGAGAAAATCAAGGCTCAAGGGTGCTTTCTGAACAGTTTTGATATCAATTCCAGTCATGGCTAAATTACTTTGCATTCATTAGTTTGACCCATTAAACCATGGTCTGCCTTCCCCATCAACATCTTTTAAAACAAAACCACAATCCTATCTGTTAACAGCTTTTAATGGAAGTAGGGTAAAGCCTATACAACAGCAGAAAAGGGTGCATTCAAGCTTGCACATGTGACTTTTCTGTCTTTCTTCATTTTGTAGCCAGTGTGGGTACCTTCAAGAAAATTTTTTCAACCCTTTATCAGAATCTATATTCTCCATACTCTTCTCTATGCATTTACTTAAGTACCGACCAGGAGAATTTGTTTAACAATCAAAGCTTGGCAATCATTTCCTTTATTCTCATGATCTTAATATATGGTTCAGCCATATTAATGTAAGGAGAAATTAGATGCTGGTCACTTTCAGGTTTTAAAGGGTTAATTTTATGCACCGTTAATCAATGACAAAATTGTCTGATTACATCTTACAGTGACCTCATTTTTCTGATTTGCATGAAAGTTTTTTTTACGAGTTTCTTCTAGCAGCCTGGCTCAAAATGAAAAACTTGCCAAAACAGCCTCTAAAGTAATTTCGAATCATTCTGGAGCTCATTATTAGTCACTTAGAAGTGAGCAATCTATAAAGGATTTAAAATTAAATGGCTCTTCTATCACCCAAACGACTGCTGGCCAAACAAAGTTTTACTTGTATGAAAATGAAAATCTATAAAAATTGATTGTGCGCTGGAATTAGCAAATTTTCTTTTACAAAAGTACTCTTGAATTATTATGTCTTGCTTAAGCTTATCAGCTCACTATAAATTTTTTTTCTATTTTGCTCACAAAACACATCAAAGTTTAATCATTCTTTCCACTAAATACAAAAGTTAGCAACAACTGATTTTCATTGAAACTGCAGTTAATTATTTTGAAATCACTCCATCACATCTTTCACTTTAAGCAGGATTTGAGCTTTCATTAAGAAATGGGAATCGAAAAATCTGTATGCGATGACTGTTGCAGTCAGACACAACTACTTCCCCCCGTTTTCCAACTGCCACAGAGTATGGCAAACAAAACTTTCCCACAACTACTTCCTCACCAAAGCCCACAGAGTATGGCAAAGCTTTCTTTCCTCACCAAAGCCTCCAAAGTTTACGAAGTTTCCATAAGAGTCAAGGACTTGGATGCGACAGTTGCCAGAATCGCACACAAGTATGTTACCTCCTGAATCCACAGCCAGTCCTCGCGGTTTGATAAATTGTCCTGGCTCTCTTCCTGATCTTCCAATCTGCTGAAGGTAGACACCATGTCGGTTGTACACCTTGAGGCAGTGGTTAAATGTGTCAGAGACAATAAATCGCCCTTGATGGAAAACTGCAGATGATGGCCAGCCCAGCTTGTTTTTCCCATCAGCTCCGAATTCAAGACATAAATGTCCACTATGGTGAAACACTAGTACCCGTTCATTTGACGAGTCCGTGACAATTATGTGTCCTTCATTATCAACTGATATTCCCTCCACTTTGGTGCCAAGTTTAGTCTCAGTGTTCATGCACCTAATCAGCCGACCTTCAGAGTCCAATACTTTGATTTTGTGAGTTTCATCATCGAAGGTTACAAGGTGATGATCAAGGTCAAACGCAATGCCGGTGGGAAGGTGAACACTCTCTACTTCATCATCTGTTAAAAAACGAAGGAAACTGCCTTGATGATCAAATACTTGAATCCTGCTGTTAGCATGATCAGCAACAGCAATACAGCCATCGTCCCGTATGGCCACGCCCCACGGGAGGGTAAATTCACCCTCGTCAGCTCCAGGTGTTCCAAAAGCAGAAATTTGTATTTCACCTGTTGAGTAATCGAGACTAATTGAATGAATGTCAGAGCTCTCTGGGTCTTCTTGAGTAGAATGAACGTCCAGTTTTCCAAGCTTAGTTAGTTGTTCACTTTCGTTAAAACTTGTGTTTGGAGTAAATACAATGGGATTAATTTCCGGTATGTCCGACTCTATACCATCAATGTCTCGGAGCTGAGATAGGATCGAATCTTTAGCTTCAACAAGCCTCTTTGGGGAAAGTGCATTGATTTGTTGCTGGGCATCATTGAGTATCCTATTTGCATCTGCTATCAAATTCTGTATCACAACTTTTTGCTGTCTTAAATCACTCTGCTGTCGAGCCACAGCCGAATTAAGCTCTTCTATAAGTTCTTCCTCTCTAGTTCTCACCATCAGCACAATTCTTTCTGCAGCTTGCCGAATTTCACCTTCAACTTGCTGCCTTCGGTTTCCAAGACTCTGCGATGTGTCCATGATCTTGGACAACAATCCCTTTTTGTCTTGCAAAGTCTCCTTGCATTTATTTATACGGTCCTCCACCTCCTTGATGTCTTTGGTTCTACTTTTCCCAGATATTAGAGCAATCGCGATGTAATTTGTAGGCAGACCGTCGATGCCCTCCGGAAAATGTATCTCAGTTTCTCGCCTGCAGGTGGGGCAACGCAAGAAGGATCGAAGCAAATTGTGTTCCACCATCTGACTCAGACACCGTTTGCAGACTGTGTGAGAACAACACAGATTCTTTGGATCTTCGAATTCGTCTAGGCACACCGGACATTTCAGCTCTTCCTCTAAAACACGAGACAAATGACCTTGATCTCGAATCCAACTCATCTCTTTCCTTGAAGTCGAGCCGAGCCGAGCCGAACGCAGAAGTTAAAGGAAAACTGGCTTGATACCTTATCAGATCGAAAACTGACCGACTCAGTGATTGTTATCCTCTAACAAGGTTCCAGATAAATTGGTTTTAGGATTGCTATAAATTCACACAATTGTTTTGTCGAATCACGCCTCCAGTTCACAGATTGTAGACCAATGAAACGTTTTGATAGCTGTATAGGATGAAACCACAGTTACAATCCTATAAAAGCCGTTAGCATTCGTCCGCGCTTCAGAGTTCCTTTCGATTTTCCTCGTCAACCACCACTCCGCCAGACAGACCCAAAATTCTTTTCAGGCCCAACATAATCACCTATTGATTTCTTTTCAGAAATTGAAATTTTAAACCCTGGGGCCTAAAGATTTATGTCAACATGACACCCTATTCTCTTTATCTTCCAATCACGATTGTTATTTTAGGTTTACCCTCTGACAAAACTATCATGAGTCATGGTTTGGAGTTTGATCCCGAGCAAAGACTAGCTGTCGCCTTTTAGATTTCAACGTGAAATTTCCTTGGAGACTTAATGAGATATTTCATGTTTGAAGAATGCCTCTAAGGAAGTATTTACTGTGAAAATTGTTTAGAATCAGTAGCACACTCTAGATTTCCATGTGGTTCTTTCCGCCTGCCCACGCAATCTTAAGCTTGCGGCTGCCTTATGCAATAGGTCACGCAATCTCTCAAGCAGAGACAAACTGGTCACAGTGTAATGAAATATCTCAGGCAAAGATTGGTGCATCTTGGAGAATTTTGCCGAACTTTATCTGGTTCGTCGACCGCATTCCATCTCAATATTCTCCATTCTTCCTCTTCATGGGTTTTAGAATGTTTCTTTTCTGTCTTAAGCATTAACAACGAAGTTGATGATATATCTTAGCCACTGTAAAGAGATTTTAAAGCTGACCTTCCGAACGTCAGCCGAGCGTAGTTCGCCCTGACGAAGGGTTCACGTTCAGAATGTCAGCTTAAGAAACTCTACGGTGGCCGAGTTACATTTATCAACTTAGTTGATAAAAGAAAATTATCTTATCTTACACCGCACCCTCCCCTCCCCTCCCCTCCCCTCCCCTCAACCCACCGACGTAGCACCACAGTTTCTTGAGAAACTTAAACTTACTTCTTTTATAATATTTTGTGGTCTCTGTCTCGTTGAAGGTAGTTTTGCATAGCTCAAGAATTGTGGCAAAATTTTGCGTGGAGGCTATTTTTATCACAGTAGTAGAGATGAAAGAAACTCGGAAAAGCCAATGTGAAGTGTAAATGCCACCCTGTTATCACAAACACTTTTCTCTGTTCTGTCTCAAAGTTCTTTTTCATCCGATGAAGAATCTCTAGTCAGAGGCACGGGTTTTTACTCTATTGGATTGTAGCCTTTCCCCAAAATACTTTTCCTAGAATTAAAAATGAGTATCGAGAAAATCTGTCCAGGTTGCTGCAGCGCTCTGGAAATTTAAAGAGTTGGCAATAATCCCTCATTTCGTTTTTTTTTTTTTTTTTTTTTTTTATCTCGTTAGGAAAATAGCCATGGCTCGTTGGAAGATGTGAAAGCGAAACAGGTCAGTGAAACAAAGTCTAATTACTAAAACATCCAGCAGAGAAAAAAGTGAAATGGAAAAAGATTTAATATGAAAGTAATTGAAATTGGATTTGGAATTGAACAATGAACTGGTAAGTACTCTTTGTATCCGAGGCATAAAGCATCGAACCTGCTCCCTGAAGTAAGTGATGAGGTTTAAGAACGATTTTTAAGCCATCTTCCCTCACTTTCCCCCACCTTAACGCCAGCTGCAGCATTTGTCATTGTTGCCTGCGAGCAGGCTTTCAAAAGCACTGTGGAACGAGCGGCAGATTCGAACTGGTCAGCGTGCAAGAGGTCTTCGAGGGTTTTGGAACTCATTTTTCTTCCAATAATCCCCATGAACCTTCGCGCGCCCACATCGCTCACCGACTCAAATCGCGCGGCTTTTCACGCTTTTGTCGTAGCATCAGTGGGAGCCTGCAGGTAGGTTGTCATTAGGGTCGCAAAGTTTTGCTGCTCTTGCATCTTACTCTTCCCAACCCCTGCGTAATGTTGATTAATCATTAATGTGCGAAGGAAGTTTACAATTTACTGTTAGTCACGGAAGAATCACGGTGCAGAGAGTTATTCTCATGTATTTTGACACATTTTTTAGCCAATTTTCTTGAAAAGTGTATTCCTGGTCAAGTTTTCCACTGATTTAAAGGCAAGATCATATACAGGCGATGTGCTTTATTTTTTACAGGTAGAGGCAGAATTAGCCATCCAACAGTGTACAGCAGCAATTTCTGGACTTGAACACTGCAAAGGATTGTTAAAGGGTGAAGTGAGTCGTCTGGAGGAGTTTGTCAAGGAACGGGAGGAAGAACTAAAGAGGCAAACAGAGATGACGAAAGATCACGACGAACAAGAGCGGAAAAGGCGACAATGGTAAATGACATGTCCCTATTGTCAGTTCTTCACATAACGTAACAATTATGCGATACATTGTGTTTTCATTAGATTGTATGCCCCGAGAAAAATGTTTCAAGCCCTACGCAGGAGACGCGGCGTCCTTGAGGTTATAACCTTCCTCCCTGCCTTCCTCCCCACCCCTACCACCTCGCTCCTTTTCTTACGCTTTCCTCGTCGTCCCATCCTCAACTAGAGAGCCTGTTCACAGGCTATATGGTTAGCGCTGGTCTTGGGATCTTTTTTTTGTTGTTGTTGTTTTATGCTTCGTTTTGTTTGTTTTGTTTTGTTTTGTTTGTTTGGGGGGGAAGGGAGTTAATTGTTGCACTGCCTCTCTCCACCCTGGAGTACAACCGGATACCAGAGAACTGTCAAGGAGTGCTTGAAAAAATTGCAGGGGTGGAGGGAGGTTACCAGCGATGGACTATCTTGCTGTCGAGGGGGTGGGGGAGTTGGCAATATTCCTGTTTTGAATGCTCCTAATGGTGTCTCTAGAGTTCTTTTCCTTCGTGCATTAGGCTCTTAGATCACAAGCAGTTTTCAAGTAATTTGGAATGACCTAGACCCTGGTTCGTATTAGGCACTTTAAAAGTTATCTAAAACCAACCAAACACGTAGATACAAAATAAAACCATGTGCAGAATGGTCCCTCGCGTTGCGCGCAACTGGCTCTTTGTGATAGTTACCACCCCTCTTCACCATCATCATCATCATCATCATCATTTCTTTGCCTTTTTAACGATCCAAAACTGAATAAAATCTCTAAAGCAGTAGATTTATAGAAGGCGAGGAGACCCAAGAAGCCACCAGGCTTATGGGAGAGGCCTTACTCTGGTTAGCGTTGCATTTTTTTTTTTCTTCATTCGTTTTACAAAATTCAACCGCATTAAATCTCAATAAACCATGTTCCCGTTATTTGTTTTATCAAGGTTAACAGATGTGGTTGAACTACACAGTCGCCTTGGAGGTGTCTCTGTGCAAAGCCTACATGGAGACTGCGTGGTCTTGGAGATACGGAGTGACGAACATATTGAAGATCAGGGGGATGAGGTTATTGGTCGAACTGCCTCCCCCTTGATTTTGACCATTAAGTATCGTCTGGACGGAGGGACACGTCCTGTGTTCGGAGGAGCAACGGTAAAATACCTTACAATATGTCAGTAAACATGCCTTCCTTTTAGCAACTGAATTAAGGGGGCACGTTTCCAAAGAAACAGTGGTGCTGCGTCGGTGAGGGAACTACCAGATAATTTGGTTTTATAGCGGAGCTCGCAGAGCGTAGCCCCATAATTATACAGAATGGTAGTAACCCATCAAGCCGAAAAAATTTGGACTTATGACCGTGCGGGCGTCTGTACAAGGTGCTAATTTTAACATACGTGGTCACGCCAACGCCACGGCTTTGTCCAGTGGTCCAGTGGTCCAGTGGTCAGTGCACTGGGCTCCGAGTCGGAAGACCCGGGTTCTAGTCCTGGCCGGAGCAAGGCGTTGTGCCCTTGAGACGTGCGGGAAAAAAATACGAGCTCCGCTTTTAGGCTTGGCTAAATCTATATATTTAACTGAGTTGATAACGTAAATTGGCCATCGTAAAGAGTTTCTAAAGCTGACGTTTCGAGCGTTAGCACTCCGTCAAAGCAACACGGTTTTGTTATTACATTATATACTAATGGTTGTACCGAATCTTGAAAGCCTTTGATAAGTTACCATTTTATTTAGACACGAAGTTTTCCAGTGCGTAGCTCAGTTGTGGTACAAAAAGAGCCTTCATTCAGGTGGCACTTGTCTCTCGTGTATCGAGTCATGCGAAGATTCAGGGCTCTTTGGTCAGAGACTGATCATGGGTTCCATCCACAGCGAAATTAAAGAGACGTGTTATTTTTTTCACGATTTTCTCTCGTTTACACAGGTCAATCTGGACTCACTCAGTATAGATGATCTTGTTGATGAAGCCGTTCTTAGTAATGACGTTGCCGGATTTGTTTTTCAAGTGAAACGACGCTTCAAGAATCAACAAGGTCTGATCCGAGAAGTGGAGGAACTCCAAACGAAGTGAGTGAAGGGGAATGTGAGGCACGAGCAAATTGGCGCATTGGAATAAGCACTGTATTTCACGATTGCTGCTCTTTCGCTTAGGCTCGACAGAGGTGCAAGACATTTCTGATCCATTGGAATGTTCCCATTTTCTAATTGCTAACAACTTTGTTCCATTTTGGTTTAATACTTCCTTAAGATTCCAGACTCCTCATTTAAGCTTTTTTTCGAGCTAAAGTTAATGTTCCAAAAAGTTGATAAGTGGCTTAAGCATTCTAATCCAGATAGTCAAATAAAAATCATAAAAAAGTTGTTGTCAAAGAAGTTTTTTATTGGATGATATGAATCGAAGATGAGTCACAACATTCTTCGAATAACGAATGCATTTTTTTTTTACTAATTTAATGAAGTTACAAAAACTCGATCTAGTCCGAGAGGAGAGTTCTTTTAACTGGATTGTGTTTTTCCCTAACCTTACAGTTATCAAGGGAAGACTACGGGAGATAAAGTTGTGTCGGGGCTCCTCGGAAGGAACGGCCTGGAAAATTTTTACGAACGTCCTAGGGAATCTCCGGATATGATCGGATTCTCTTTAAAAAAAATTCTCACGCCTGAATCAACCCAAGTTGAATCGTACACTATAAGCGTCGTTTCACACTGTGTACTTTGTTCTTTTCAAAGTCATCAGTAATGATTATCAGCACTGTAATGGCCGTCGTGTGAGGTACCGTGTTTTCAGGGGCTTCTCCCTGTGACGTGAGACTAACAACAGTGTACTTTTTTGATTCAGTTATGCGATTGACTGGGAACCAAGCCACCGCCGTATCCGAGTGATGCTGGGAAAGAGCGGTAAAATTGTGTGCATCCTGAAAGTTGATCCTTTATACTCCAGCGGGCAGGGTCATGTGCACCTCCTCGGTGTGGAGGGGGGCTCCTATCACAAGGAGATACAACATTTACAGGTACAGTGATACTTAAATTTAATTGAACACCTTCTTGATAGTCTCCACCAGGAAGCATTTGTGAACGCACCCAGAAACAAGCGCGAAGCACGATTAACCGGTGGCAAGTGTGGGGGCGTGAGGGGTGCCGAAGACGAAGAAAGAAAGGGAGGTGTCTGTCGCAATACCCCTCTACCTTACGCGCTTACTGGTTTGGAGGACTTCTGGGAGCGAGGCAGCTTTCAAGAACTTTAAATGGAGATACCGATATAAATATTAGTAAAGCATTTTTTCTGTGGGGATCAGCGTTCTTTTCTAATGGCAGGTTTTCCCTGAATAGGAGGTTGTACCTTAAGCCTTGATGAAATGAGGGGAAAATTTTATCAATTGTAATATGTACCCCTTTTTTGACTGCTTTTTTTTTTTATCGTTCTTTTATCTTACTTCTTTTTTCCAGAGTACTGGATCTGGTCGGAATCTTACTCAGGTGATCAAAGACCTTCAAGAGCTTTTTATCAACCAGTGAGATACACCCTTGGAGCTGATTTCTACATGTTTCCAAAGTGATTTTTTTTGCCAGACGAAAGTACCCAAGAAAGAACTTAAATTATGCTACCAACAAGAAAACTTAAAGCTGTATAAAACGTGTTTTTTAATACCTGTACCCGTGTTTTTTAAGAAACTTTATCTTAATTTCTATATTTACAGAATTTGTCAGATATATTTGGGTGACAATATTATATACAAAATGTATTTTTTTAACCAAGGTACTTGTAATATTAATGGTATTTTCCTTACGAATAAAATAAATATTAAGTCCTTTTTATATTATTTAGACATTTGGAGTGAACAAGCTTGAAAAGAGAAAAACTGAACTGCAACGAAACGTTTGACTAGATTGTCACGCAATATACCAATATGGTTCGCGTGACAAGACATACATCAATGCTACATTTAAACATTTGTTTAACACATTAGTCTCTTTGAAGCATAAATGAGTTAAACGATTCATTTAATGATGAATAACTCAACAGCAAGGGTCAGAGCTTTTAAAGTTCAGTCTGAACAATTCTTGAAGACATTGTACAAACCTTAACGAGTTACATACACACATATATATATTACTTTACACGTAGTGATCCGAAGGGACTATTTAAAAACTCAAATAATACGATCGGCTTCGAAATTGGACTGAATATGCTTTTTTACTTCCTTCAAAACGTCAGATCAAACTCAACGCAAAATATTGTGACCTTAACACAGAGAAAAATAACGTGCTTCTCTGAGAAAAAGCGCTTCAAAAAGTACGAGTTTTTTTTCTCCTGTTAAAAAACATAGACACAACCTTTTGTGCTCTCTTTTTGCCTTGTTTAGAGAGACGAGAAATTCAAATACCTGTGCAGAAAATTTGCTCAGAAATTCAACGGTCTATACGATACTTTACAAGAGTTACGTTAAATTTCAATATTCTCCATCTTGTTTACTTGAGGTCCGAGTAAACAAAGCAAGGAAGTGTTAGCGGTATGGCAAATCCCACTACAAGGCGTGCACTAAGGTACTGCGAACCATTTTCATGTCTACAAAAACATTTTCATTCTTCAAAAATACAATAATTTATCTTTGTACTGACGAAATTTCATTGCATTCACATAAAAATACTCTGTAGGATATCTACTGTTAACTTCTACCCGTTCGTAGCATGACAGGTAACATTACGATTGGCAGTACAGTTGCAGTTAAAGCACTGTTTAACCGACTCACTTTATTTTTGTGTGAGTCGGAAACCGGTTTATCCGGCTTATTTGATAACGTGGGCACTCGAGATCGCGCTGCTTTGAGAGCGGAAAGCACCATGTCGGACGTGAATGACGGTGTTCCAGTATCAATAAGAGCTTCAATCTTCTGCGCCTCGCGATTACAGGCTTCCACCTAAGAAAAACGCAAAAAAAGAATCGTGTAAGTATTTTACCTTGCGCATGACCCTTGTTGCCCAGTTAATGTTACGCGTTTATAGGCAAAATCAAACTGGGTCTGTGCTGTCAGTTCATATATAGAGAATAATAAAGGGGCGCGTAGATATGGAATTTCTCTCCCAGTTAAACAGAAAGGTCCCTTTCCTTATAGTATTAAGTTAGTCTCGCGATGACGAGAATTGATATGTTAATCTTAAGAATGCCTTGTAACCGGCGAACTCAACAGAATGAAACTCTCCCAATCCTACCTGAAGTTTTGTCGGCTTTGCCGTAACAGCCATCACTAAAACCACTAAATCGCCTTCAACGCTGTGATATCCGAACAAATCACATTCAGTCTGAAGAGGAAATGAAACACGGCCATTAACGTCAATTTCCCCCTTACTGATATACGCAAGTCTTCTTCTTTCGATTAGTTTTTGATCGTGTACTCTGATCACCCAGCTTATGGTTATCCTTTGGAGGGTTTTTGTGACTACTGCCACTGCACGTAAACCCACATTCTGACCTTCCACGTTAAGCTTCCAAAAAGGTTCCAGTATTGCTTGTAAGTAGCAATTAGGACCTCGAAAAGTGTTCCAAAATGTCGGGAAAGGATGTTGCCCCCCACCCCCCCCCCCCCTATGACGTCTGGTCAAATATAATACACCACGAAATGTTTAACCTTTGGTCCCCTTCCCTTTATAATTTGTTCCAATGGGCCTGGTGGGTCGTGAATTTTATGCTCACCGTAGATATGTGCCGCCGAAGGATCTGAAATACTTGTTCCAGTGTAACGGACTCATATCTACTAAATCCTTCTCGGTTATATGCCAACTGTTTCAAACTATATAAAACTCGAACTTCAGCGGCTGCAAGACAAAACATCACAATTTCAGTGTAATAATGGCAAATTACAAAAAGGTTGCCAATCGAACCAAAAAACGAGACGAGACGAACTACATCCGTCATGATGAGAGCAAGAATTATGTGACATTCGTTTCCAAAATCATTACGCACAAAATTCGCTGAGACGTGACTGCCTTAACCGTTTGGTACAACTGTACTTACCACAGTGTGGGCAGCAGGCCCCTGGGGGTACGATCCCTTTGCAGTGAAGTGGTTTTATTTCAGGACACGTGACACTCTCACAACGTGGTTTGTCGTCATGATTAAGTCCAGTCCCTACAGCTTTACACCGTCCTTGATAATCAACTATCACTCTTGCTGATCGCGCTGCGCATGTACTGGAGTACGTCTCCCCGTTAACACCGCACACGGCAGGGGAGGGAGGTTTGCATTCATCCTGCACGAGCAAAAGAACACAATCGAATAAATATCATGTAAAATGCTATAATTCGACGTAATTCGTTTGAGGAAAAAGCCCATAATCTACCGCAGTAGTCAAAGTAAATCGGGATGGTGTTTTCTTTGCATTATTGGACTCAGCATGAAAAAAAAGGAGACCAGCCAAAAAATTGCCAATTAATGGGTTAATTGCAATGCTTAGTTCATATGAATTAAAAAGCCTCAGTACCGCACTGAGTATCATACCTTGCAGAACCCTCTGTACGCCAGCGTCTTGCGGTTGAACTGCAACGAGCAGAGGTTTGGGTGCTGATTGTTTTCCGAGTCGCAGACTGGGTCCAACTGGAGATCGCTACAGTATTTTCCCTCTGATACTATAGACAGAAATAAATTTTATTCTTACAAAACCCAAGTTAAATTAAGTTTTCACTTAAGTTGAGAGGGAAAAAAAAGTGTCATAATCTCGGAGCAAATGTCGATGAATCTCTTCCGTTTTTCTTGCAAAAAAAAAAAGGCAAGTGTGTTTATCCTCGCTACTCAATATACATGTGTACTAGCATTTCAGTGGAATGGAAAGGGAATGGAATCGATATGTTAAAGACGATGGTTCAGATTTGCCAGAATTTATGTTCAGAGTGTAACATGTGGGGCAAATATTCAAGCGTTATTTTACATTTTCTAGGACTAGAATAGATAGGAAAAAAGAGGTTCCCCTTCCAATAGTTAAAAAATTATCAGTGGACTCTCACCGCAGTAATATTGAACACACAGATCAGTGATGGACAAACAAGTCTTTCTTTCCACAATGCACCTGCAAAGTTGATAACAACAAGAAGGCATTAATCTTTGGATCACAAACAAATCAACCTTTACTTGCTATATCCCAAACGTCAAAGAAAAGCGATAACGAAAGAAATGAGGCGCGCAAAAGTAACGCAAGGAGAACAACATAATATATCCGCACACCCTTACTGTAAAGCGAAATCTTCCACATTTCATATTCATTTTAAACACCCTCACATGCATCACGAGTTCCCCGATAGGTGCTTTTTCGAGAAGGGGACTTGTTAGAGAGGGTTCTTTTAAGAAAGAGGGGAGCTTATCAGAAACGGGGATTTATTCGACATGGGGGGGGAGGGGTTATGGGAGAAGGGGACTTATCTGACAGGCAGGTTCATTAAATAAAGAAGCTTAATAAAGAGGGAGGTATTAGAGCCGGAGAGAAGCATTTAGAGGGCGTTTACGGTATGATCAACATGAAATGCAAACAGTATCTCATCAATGGTCAAAAGAAAACATAACGTCATCAGCTGATGATAAAAACCACTCACTTTTCATCAGCAGCGCAGGGGCTCGGTTCGCAAGGATCAATGGAAGCACAGTTGCCTTTCGTTAGCCGAGTGGGGGGCAACCCAAGACACCTGTTAACAAAACAAAAGATAAGCCCTTTATATAAAATACTCGGACCTGACATACATGATGGAAATCTATAGAAATACAATAATAATAACGCTTGTCACAACGTCTGAATTATTGAAACATATCTTTTCCTGCCCTTTTAATACTTCACATTCCTGTTGATTTTTTCGCGCGCTTTTTTTGCCACAGGCGACATCTTTTCCCGCGCTTGCCGCTGATTGCCACATTTTAGCGTCAGGCTGGTTTTCATCTTGTGATGACTCATTGTCGCAAACGTTGTTTTCTACGGCAGCGATAAAATACTAATAATCCAGGACTTTCGGAAAAATTATTTATCTTCTCACCGTGCCACACAAGGATTGGGGTAAGTCTTGGCATCACTACCGCACACTGGATTATAGACATTCTTACAGCCACAAGGCAAAGTACTGATGGTGTCTGTATCTGTAGAAACGTTATCTGGTGTTCGATTGCGTTTGGGCCGACCTGATGCGAGTAACAAAATGCTCTTCAGTTAGCCAAAAGAGGAGAGAGACAACATTGACAGAAACGGGCATAGCTAAGTTAGGAAGTATTAAATTAGCCACTCCGCATAACAAGAATGTCGTTGTCATTTACTTTTGCTGACATTTTGAATATTTTAGCCAAGAAACATAATCTATACGAATTGATAAGCAACGACATTTGTCATTCGCAAAAGTACAATTTCACCCTAATGGGGTAAGCGGTAAACAATTCTGTTTTCGCCTATTCCATCACTCTAGAGGATCTAAAAATCTTCACAAGCTACACTTACTAGCATTGTACTCTGGTGATAGAACAGACTCTGGACAATTCCTCTTAGTGCAAGTCAGCTCTCCCGAAAAACACGTACATAGGTTGCACTCATCTCTGAAAGTTTCGCCGTTATCTGCAAAAAAAGAAAATATGATCAGTACATAAATCATTTTGCAGATTCAGGGTAGATTTAGATTCTAAACGCATCGAAAAATATGATACTCCAGCCTTAGCAAGCATATAAGAAAATTTTTGTTCGTTTTTTTTATTACAGTTAAACAAAGATAATATTAGTCTCCAAGGGAAAACAGACCCCACATCTTTGGATTTAGCGATCCGATGTTCTACCAATGAGCGACAGGGAACTGTCTGGTGAGCAACAGGGATAGGCCATTACCAGGTTCATATATGACAAGCATCCGAAAGCAACGTGTAAGTAAATGGATCAAGAGAAATATTAAATTTTTGGCTGAGACAGCAGACAGGGGGAAAACACAACAACTAAAGTAGGCGCAGCAAGACTCAAATGATAGGTCTGGGTCAAAACATCCGTAAAAGAGAATTTCAACTTACTTTTAACCTTTCCCTTAAATCTGCACTCCTTAGGCTCAATGCATTCCAGGATTCTACAATTGCTGAGTTTGGAAGTCCCATCACAGTGGCACATCCTGAAGCAACCTTCTCTACCAGACACAACAGGTACCTGAAAATGTTCATGAGTAGATCTAGTTAGCATTAATGAAACAAAAAAAGGAGTATCAGTAATAGTATGTCTACACTGAGATAAAGTGAACTGCATGGTGACACTTACCCTTGCATATTCTCCGACTCGCACAAGGAAACTTGATGCATCACCCAGAGGACAACCTAGTGAGTACAAGGAAATGGTTATACAAAACTTCTTTCTAGTAACCTGCGGGTTTTTCAGGAGAGAGCATTATCATATAGCTTGGGTCTAATCTGTTTCTTGATAAAGACTGCCTTAGAATCTTGCAGTCTATTTATAAGTGATAATTGTCATTAAAACACGAGGACTATAACTGAGGTAAGCAAGGAATATCCACGCTGAAGTGATCTCACTGGCTGAATCTCAAAGAGAGTGAATAAAATGAACAATGAAAAGAAAGAAAAAGGGAAACCGATTCTTGTGCAATGCTGAGAGTTGGCGAAAAATAATTATCCTCGCCCTCGATGAATTCTTTGCAGATTTGGCCATGGTGGTCTAGGATTATTCCAACATGTACATACTAGAAAAAGCCCCTATTAGTTTCAAATTGTATAAACAATTACCTGGTACACATGTGTGTGATTGACACCTGTCAAGAAGCGCTCCATAGCAACTTCTGTTGATGTCACAATCTTGATTCTCTTTGCATGGGTTTGGATTGCATGGGTGAGTCACTACATCAAAAGAAAATTTGAAAATGATAACCCATGACTATTATTTTTGTCAAATGGGTGGTGTCTGTCGTAATATGACTCGTTACAATACTGGCAAGAAAAACACCAATACTGAAATTACAAACCTTACCTTCGTCTGTAATATCAGTGTACTTGCTGGGTACTGAAAGAGAAAGAATTGCATAAATGCCCGTCCATTTATAGGTCATAATTCACAATCAATATTATCTCTTACTTCCTTATCTTCTTTACTCCAATTGTGAACATTCAAGGAAAAAATCAGAGGCACTTCCGTATAAAGTTTTTCCTCACTCCTTCAAATTTTCAACCAATGTGCCGTATAGTGCACTGACCAACCCAGAGGCTCTCGTCATACTATTAATAAAACTTTGAACATACCCCTCACAGGCTTACAGTATTAACTAAACAGAACAGAAAACTTTGAAAGAATGAATCACATACCAAGGTATTCTTGAAGAGAGATACAGGGAGCCTTTTTCTCAGGAGGAGAAAGTTCTTTACAAACTTCTTCGGGCGATAGTGCTGCTAATGTTGCACTGGAATTGCTACACTGTTTTAGGATCTGCACACAGTCAGGCCTGAAAAATGGAAATTATAAATGTCTTTCAGTTGACATTAATTTAATATCAGATAAAACTAACTTCACACATAGATCAAAATTGTACTAACTAAATCTAAGTCATGATAGGGCTAAACTATGGAACAAAAACCTAGGAAAGCAGATGGAAAATGAAGTCGCATGAAAACTCTCATTTTTGAACTGTATCTTATAAAAAAAACATAGAGAAGTAAGAAGTCATGCTTACTTGCAGATGGTACTTCTGTGAGATTTGACACTGCATGGCTTGATCTGAAGCACACAAGCAATGGCCTGTAAAGGGAAAGTAAAATTTTTTTTTTTTTTTTTCTGAGCAGGAGAAAAGTCTGAGCCCCCTCCCCTGTCCCACCTCTCAGGCTATTTGAACCTCAGATCATCAGATTTTATGTTCTACTGCTCTGAAAAGCACTCAAAATCATGTTACCTATACAAAATAGGTTAGGCCATAGTTTAGTCTTTCTACTGGTTTAAACCTATTCCAAGGCTAGATTTCTAGTTGACATACCTTCCATGTTTCAGGAAGACATTTCTTGATGTCCCGTATTGGAATAACAATATTGGGCATGTGAATGACACCTTTTTTCCATTCCTGCATGTGACTTTTAGCTCCAAAGTCAGACTTGCTGTTACAGCTGCGGAACAACTCAGTATGCCTGCAAAAAAGAAAAAATGATGTGCATAATGTAACCAAAGATCTTCACTCAAGTTAACTTCAAGAGGGAGAGGGGTTAACTATACTTGCATGTCAGATGCCCATCTTGCCTATTGCATATCCTGGTTTTATTAACATGGAACGACCTGGAGTACGTGTATTTATTTTTTCCCTGAGTGGGGGGTGTGGTCAGTCTAGGGCAGGGGTATTTTTCATCCACGCCCCTTACCCCTAATTTCTTAGCTTTCTGTGAAAGCTTGGCCTAAGATAGAAAGGTCTGAGATATTTTTATTCAAGAGTTCACCAGGCTATAACCACTATGCCACTATGGGTTTTTAGCTTTAACTAAAGCTTAAAAGCCAACAAATAACAAAAGCTTTATAACATACCTGTTGTTGAAGTTTGTACAAAAACTGAGACCTGAGCAACCCAACTGACATGGCTCTGTCACTGGGAAAAAAATGAACAATTTTAATTATTTAAAAAAAACATAAACATAACATGGGTGGAGTTTCAGCTTGGTTAACTGGCCAACCATTCATGCCTACAGATCTAGAAAGGCACTACATCTCTTTCACAAGCCTGTAAATTGATAAAGCTAGCCTATAGTTCTCTGTTGTTGAACAAAGTTTTCATCATGACTGCCACAAATAAGCTAACTACAAAATCAATGGAATAGCTATTTTTTGAAAAGAAAAGAGAGAGAAAAATAAACCAGACTTAAAGTAATTTTTCAGGGATTTAGATAGTGAAAAAAGATGAAAATGAAAATCATGTAGTTAGAATTGTAGCTAAACCCTTTCCACTATAACATATGCATCAGTATGCATCTTCTCCTTGCTGTTCTCTGTATATTTCCTCAGATGCTCATGAGAAGAATTTGTTTAGCAATCAAGAGCATCTCTCATTGGTGATCATTTCCTTTCTTTATGTGACATTAATGTGTGATTCAGGGGTGATACTGTGAGAAGAGATTAGATACTAGTCACTATTAGAGGTTAAAGGGTCAAAGCACTCTTACCATCGGCTAAGCAGTTCATCATGCTGATCTGTTGAAATAAAAGGATATGTGTTCATGATTTTGAGAAGAAACACATATTTTCAAATATTTTGTAGGTCACACCAAACTACAAAATAAAGTTTGTACCTCTTTAGGATTATACGTACAGCTCTCATCAAATTTACGCCAGTTTTGTACCTTTCCCCTCTTCCTGGTATACCTCTATTTCAAACACCGAAAACCAATAAAAAATTAGTATGAGCCACATAACTACCAAATATCAAATAATTATCTCTCAGTTACAATAAAACTGTGATTGCTACACTTAAGAGGACATACTCTAAGGCACAACCTGCTAATGTTAATATTGAAAGCCTTTTCTGCTGCCTAGATTGCTCAAAAGTTTTTATTATAAAATAATTCAAATAATACGCACGCTCTGATTGGCCATAAAACCATTTTACATGAGCGTATGTAAACACGGTTTTCGTTCCTCTTTCATTAGTTATTTTATAAAAGAAATGTAAAATGGTTTCCGTGTTTACATAGCCTGATGTAAACACGCCGGAGGTTGGGAGAACACGAGATAAGCGTAGGAAACCACGACGCGAAGCGGAGTGGTTTCCAGCTTATCGAGTGTTCTCCCAACCTCCGGCGTGTTTACATCAGGCTATGTAAACACGGAAACCATTTTACATTTCTTCACTGTTAACTAACTTTAGAGCCGAACTGAAATTGTAAATACTTTCTTCATTTAAAACTGTGTCACAAACCACACTAGTGATTGAGAACAACTTTCAAATACAGTTATTTCAATTTCCATATAAAGAAAAAGTTCCTTAAAAACCTGCCAGGCATAAAATCCAGAAATATAATCTTGTAACCCTTGTTTTCTCAGTTAGTGCAAGTTTAATTACTCCTTTGTTCTTCCACAAAACATTTAACCTAAAACTTGAAAATGCTCAAATGAAAGGTCTTCCTTCCAAATCCCCACAAACCTGGACACATTGTTCCCAGCAAACACTAGTTTTTGCTTTTGAGCAACACTGAAGTCTTGCCCCATCAATTCCTGTAACCACAAAATCAAAGGAGTTAGTGCAGCAATACAATACCACCAAAACCATTTTCACAGTAAAGGGTTTATTTCTGCACAGTCAGTGGCTATTTTATTAATACAGTATATCACATGATCAAGGAGTATAAAGGAACGGGAACAAAGATTTGGCTTAGAAGAAAATTCAACCATGATATACAACATTCTCACATTTTTCTTTCTTTTGTTTTCATTCTTTTTTGATACAGGCAAAAACAGATTTAAAAAAATTACTTGGTTTTGGAGGTGGTGGTGTTCCATTGGGACAAACTGGAGCTGTAAAAAAAAAAAAATGAAGTCCTCTTAAAAAGTTGATTTCTCCACACTTGATCATATATTAATGAATTGAGACAAGATTTACAAGTTATGTATGTTAGCTTACAAGAAGAACATGTAGTAAATTAAACAACTCACCTGGCGTTTTCGCTGAGCTAGCAAGAAGGCAATTCCAAAACTCATCTCGCTGAAAGATAAAAACAATATTTACATCTCTGATGTCTTTATTAGGTATATGATTAATTAAAGTGACGAGAAAGTCAAATGTATTAGATAAAGCATGTCATCTTGGTTGTACACCAGCTTAAATAACTTGCAAAAAATGTAGGAGTTAGAAAGTAGAATTACATGTAGCAAACAGATGTTGGAAATGAGATGGCAAGCCCAGAGATTTAACAAGCTAACACTTTTTGCATCTCAGAACAGAAAAATCCACTCTGGTACTTAATTGAAGCCATACCAATAAAGATATTAATAAGACAGCAAGGTAATACACATTGCGCTGGCTCACAGTAAAGATACATGTTAAACTATATTACAGGGCGTGAAATTGTGCCCGATACAGGCGCCAATGTGACTAAATTTTTCACTTTGGCGACCAAATCCTGAAAATTAGTTGCCAAATTGGCAACTAGAGTGCTTCATAACCTTACTTAGAGATAAAGTGAATTAAATTGGACATCCTAGTGTCCAATTTGTAGCATGTTAAAGATCTTTTTCCTTACTTAATTTTGGAGGGTCTATCTAGAATGCTGACAGCGTTTAAAAAAGGTTTTATTTGTCTTTAAAAATGGCGACCAACTTTTTTTGAATTGACTGCCACTTTGAAAAATTTAGGAGCCAAGTGGCAAGAAAAAAAAGTTAATTTCATGACCTGCATTACAATTAATTACCTCCAAGTTGTTTTTGGCTAGGGGATTTCCACATGCTGCGACAAGACTAGAAATCAGCATGGATGCACTTTTCTGTGATTGGAGATCCTACAAAAGTTAATTAAAACTCATCAGTAATCCAAAACATACAATACAAAAAAGTAACAAGCAAAAAAAACAGTACAAATATAAAAATACCTTTTGGCATGTCCTCCTGCATATAGTATCATCAGAGTTCAGTTTTGTGCAACATTTTAAAGCTAAGGAGACAATTAAAGGCTCTCTTTAAAACTCTTACACAGAGTTTGAAACAATTATTTTCACAAATTCAATCCAAACCTTTGTTACATTGATCATAAATATTCTCACAATTTAAATGGCTATTTTACATTAACAGATTTGTATTATAACATGGCTAGTAAATTTGTCTCATCAAATTCAATTGCACAAGCATGCTTCATATTCCTATTGTGCACACTCATGACATCAGCAAACAAATCCCTCGAGAAAAAATTTTCTTTTGGGTTGAAAATGTTATAAAACAATTGATTCATACGTCAGCTGTGCATTCATCGAGATATGAAGCACTTGGGAAGTTTGGAGAGCACTCAAGAAGCTAGAGTTGCTCTTGGCTACGCCTCAAGCAACTCTTACACTCTTTCGTGCTCTCCAAACTTCCCATGTGCTTCATATCTTGATTAACACACATTGACATATGAACCATTTGTTAATTAAGGAAAACTCAAATACTCCTCTAAACTTCAAAATATCATTTTTTTAGTTATCTTTCAATTTAAAGAAAGTAAGTAGACATAAATCAATAGGTTGCAATTATGTATATCAGGACGTTCCTTAACCCCTTTACTCTCAAGATTTAAATAGCAGTTCTCCTTACTGTCTACCGTACAATTTTCATGATATTAGTTTGGAGAATTTTGTTTTTGAATTTTTTTTGTATAAAGGTTTTGTAATATTCTGAATTTTTTGTAAAATTGGCATTGAATCAACTAATGATCCTGTTATTGATATTTTCTTTATTCTCAGTATTGTTTGCTTGATATTGGGAAATTCTGTCTTGGTCACTTAGAGGAGTTGGAGGGTAAACCACTGAAGATGGGATAATTCTCTCACTATTATCCAAAACTTTTGCCTAAATTTTGATTTTTTTTCCAGCCACAACATTTCTCAACAAAAACCCTATAATTAAAAGCCTCAAAAATCAAGTTGATAAAAACAAATTTACCTTCTGGCTTAGAATCCAATCCTTGTTCTACAAAAAAAAAATATGACATTAATTGGAAAGGTGTAAGCAGATATGAAAAAGGTTTTCAAAGGATAGTCATATGTAGCTATCATATAACTGTAGTGAACCAGATCAGTGAACTCTGATGAATCTGAGAGGTACAAATGTATGCTGTGTCTAGGTGTAATGCCATAGAATAAGCTACAAGCCTTCCTTAAGTGACAAATGGAATCTCTTCTTGGTGTAATGTGGTACATATACATACAAGTAGGAGGGAAATCAATATGCAGCTCAGCCCAATTCTTACCAGCACAGGGTACCACATCAGAGGTCAGTCTTTTAACACAGGAAACCACTTGTTGATGTTTTGCACAAAACTTTTGCACATTTGTCCCCATTTGAATTGATGGCTGAAGCTCTGATGAAAACACCTAAAATATTGAATCAAAACATGGTGCCTTTGGTTACTAAAAACAATTACTCTTCCCATTACAATGACACCAAGCTAATGACAAATTTATACAGAAATACAATATATAGAAATCAATTTTATGACTCTTTAGTTTGATTCCTCTCAAATTAACAAAAAAAACCTAATTATACTTTAGCTCATGAGTCTTTGGAATGATTATTTTACTTGTGCAAAGTTTAATTAATAACATTAATTAATAATCTCCAGACTCACCACTTGGCATGACCGTCTGCACTTTTGACTGATCTGTGGAGAACTACTGCAACAATTTCTTGATGCTGTTTTGGAACAAAAAGATGGTTTTACTTCTCAAACAAAGGCAGGTATCAATTAATTACTTAAAATGTAGAAGAACTTATGATATGCAGTGCAAATATATGTCACAAAACTGGAAGTAACTCAAAGCATACGCCATTACTTTCATAAGGAAGTGTCTCACCTTGATGTCTGTCCAAACAACGGTACATGGAACCCTGAAAAATAGCAAAAGCTAAAATCAACTCTAAGTATACAACTTTATGTTAAAATTGAAAGTAGTACTGGAAGTTTGAAAATATATCACCTAAAATTCAGTTTTCTTAGATAATTCTACAGCTTTGGAATAAGATTTTAATTCATCAGGAGAACTTGGTTGATTAATTTAACTACAGTGATCATATTTAAACAATTATTTTTATATTTAATGTCATTACATACCTCTTCTGCCTCTGGACATGTTTTCTTCAGATCTGCTGGCCTTCTCTCACGACATGCTATACGACATTCTTCCGTTGAAGGAAGAAGGCAACAGGTTTTGGCATAGTTTGATGGGTGTGTTCCAATGTATTTACTGATTCCTGTAGAATAAAATTAATGTCTCTTAGGGCCACTGTAAAGAAGTAGGACACCATACTTGCCAAGCTACTGAAGAGTATAATGCAATCTCCTCGGTGCAACTCAAACTTGCCAAATTTTTTAATGGCATTGCACTGTTCAGACCCCCCCCCCATGTCCCCCTCTATTTAATGTAGCTGCTTGCAAATAAAAGCACATTTATAAAATTATCCCCCCTCACACAACAGATTGTAAAGAAACAGTGTCTGCAGTCACAAATCATTTCTAAGAAACCTAAATTTCAAGATCACTTGACTGGTCATCAGCAATTAAAGCAGTCCTTCACAACCTCTCTTAAGAAAGAGAACCACAAGAAAAGAGCCATAAAATTTATAACAGGTATTTCAGGATACATAAGACTGATATTGTCCACATCTCTGTGTAGTGGGCAGAGAAAATTTCAAGGAAGGCACCTCTGTGTATTCATGTACATGTTACCATTCACATGAAGCTAATAAATTCAAGGAAGACACATCTGTGTATTCGTGTACATGTTACCATTCACATGAAGCTAATAACTTCAAGGGCGGCACATCTGTGTATTCATGAACATGTTACCATTCACATGAGGTTAATAATCTGCACAGGCTATAGTTGACTATACAAAGTGAGTATAATATAATAGCTCCTCATGATCAATCAGCATGCCAATTTTATTGTTGACTTAAACTTAGACTAAATACAATGGCAGCTTCCTTGTGGAAATCACATGGTCTTTAAAGAATACATGTTAACTCAGCAGTCCATGCAAATGTTGATCTGAATATAAAATCATTCTGTTTTAAAGCATAACACTTCTATAACAGCTCATGTACAGTAACAGTTTAGGAATAGAGTTGAAAACATCTTTGTGAGGCAACTCTTAATTGATCCGAGCTAACTCAAGGATAATTAAAACTATGCCTTAGGATACCATTAGCTGATAATTGAAAAGGAGGGTTTATTTAGAAGCTTTAATGTGCTCTATAACAAAGCATTAAATTGTGTGTGAACTTCTTGATGCTCTGCATGGCTTTTCCATTGGCAATATTGTTTACAAGAGATATCTGATTTATGCAAAAAGACCAATATGAAAATTCTGTGGTTGAACTGCTACAAGTGGCCACAGAAACATACATTAAAAAAGGTTGAAATAAAACACTAATTCAAGCATAAATTTTGATTAAAAGGAGCAGCTTTGGACTACAACAGGTTCTTCATAATTTCTATTCTTAACTCTTCAATATTTTAAAGCTTTGAGATTCCAATATCTTTTATAAAAAAACTCTTTCAGAAATGAAGTATTGTCCATTAAGAAAATAAAGGCACTTACAATTTGTATTATTTCTGTTTTTAAACTGTGGTATAAAGGAAGTGATACAGTATACAATTCATATCACAAAAAGTATCAAGAACTTAAATTGAATTCTGTTCTTTAGAGTACGTTCTTGTATATTGATTTGATTGCAAATATGGCACACAGGAAGTTACTGTCATTATTTGTTAGGCCTAAATGGGGTAAGTCTGAAATCAAAATAAGCCCTCCTTCACATTAATATTGAAACACATTAACTCCCACAGAGTTGTCTTGCTGTTTTACAACACAAAGGCAAACCCATTTTAGTCCATTTACCAACAGCACGAGGCCATTTGGACTTTGAAACATTTAGACAAAGGATAACAAAGGATGCACAATGACAATAAGTGGAAAACATTTGTGATTAAAGATGTTTGATCAGTTTGCCAAATTTGTCACTAAACAAGATTTTTTAGCCAAACTGTTTAGACCCAGATGAAGACTAATGTTGAAAAGTTCTCTAACTACAAAAACTTTTGTGATTATCTTTGTTTCTATTCTTAATCAACTGAAACTCTAACAATATATTTTGCTATTTACATGTAAATTTCTGTTCCACTGACTAATTACACACACAAAGGCAGATGGCAAGATTTACATTTGTTGATTTAAGTCTGATTGATGATCAACTAAATCTCTTTGACATCCATACACAAAACTGTCACATGCCTGACTATCCTACTAAGTCAATTGCTTTTTTGCATCCTGGAACAATTGAAACAGCATGCTAATATTTCAAAAATGTTGCATTGTTCAAACATGACAGCCAAGGTGCGTAGATCTATTAAGACAAACAACTCTATACAACAAATGTTACACTCCATTGCCAGAAGCAATCCCACAAAGGCACATTTAGCACCCAACAAGACATCAACATTATCTTACATTCTCTACTATTTTGAAAAGTGTTTTACGCCTTTTATAGAGACATTAAAAAGCTTTGCACAGACACCTTTTGACACCTGAGAAGTTTTTCTTAAGACAAAGTAAACACCCCATTTCCTTTCAAAAACATCTCAGTACTCTCTAATATTTTACTTAATCAAATTATCCAGCAACAAGTTGCATGCAGCAGTATTGATAGCCCAGAAGTTGCCTATATAACTAGAAACTCCATGAAATATAACAATTCAACATTATAACTTTAAATTTTTTCTTTAATTCATCTGCTACATTTAAAATGATTGCATGATTCTGGCAGATTAATTATAATCATAGTTTTCACCACCTTCTGGTAACAATGGGGCACGTATACACCTATCTTTAGAATAAACAAAATTCCCCCAAAATTGAAATGAATGCCAGCTCTTCATTCTAAAGGAAAGCCTTGTGGGACCTTTGTAAAAATTATCCAGTCATACTCCATGATAGAAAAATGTTAACACTCAAAATATGGTATCATTTGTGACACCTTGATAGCTGCTATCATATATTGATGCCCTTCTGAAAGATAGAATTAACCAAATATATGATAAACTTATGAGGAAAAAAAGACCTCAACTCTAACAGCACAGGATTTATAAGTAAACAGAGTCCCTTTGATAAAAACGTTTAATCAAATTTTACCTAGTCTGACTTTGAATGTTTAATACTGTTTGATAAAATTCTCGCCATACACCACTGTCAAGTTCAAAGCTTATTGGGAATTTGCTCGAGTTCTCTGTCAAACTACAAAAGGCAGTTTGTGAAAAATCCATCAACACATAATTCTGACATAATTTGACAGACAAAAATGCCAACATTCTTAAGAATCTTTTTTTAAAATTAAAGTTATAATCCCAAACATTTTATTTCTCTTTAAGGCACTATCTATTCAGGAAAAGTTACCTTTGGCTACATGTGAATTCAAGGACCATGAAAAACAAATAGACTTTCAGCCAAGACTTGTTTGAGCATTTAGACAAGAAAAGGGTTTTTTATAATCTAAAATGAGAATTTCAAAATTTGCATTCAAGTAATTCAGACAAATTTATACACAGTCTTAATTACAAACAAATTATAAATTGGTATGACTTTCAATGTGTTATACACTTCATACCCCTGATCAAATTTTTCAGGTATGTGTTGGGGAGAGAAATCTTTAAAAACAACAAGAAATATATTTCACCTTCTGAAATGACCCAAGCCTCTGTATGTCAAAAGGAGGTTAATTACTTGAAATTTCCTTTAATTCCAAGCAGATTAGCCTCAAATATTAACACTGTTTCATCAAAATGTTCCAACAGGCATGAAACTGGGATTTTTTTGAAAGATTACAATAATTTTATTCCACTAAGAAGCTCACTGGCTAATACCTTAATGTTATTTAATTAATGGTTTTTTAAAAGCCGGCAAAGTAGAAAGACTTGCCGAAGAGATCAGATTTCTAATAGTCTATCCTTGTAAGGCGAAGTTGTTCAAAATGAAAGTTTCGTGTTTCACGGGAAAGCTACTACTTAAAAAATTACCAATAAATTATCTGGGAGTTTTTTAATCGTGTCTAAAATCTGTTAACAATTACTTGTTGAACATTACAAGAGAAAAATAACTTTGGAATGCATGTTCTGTTCTTTAGCAAGACATTGACAGGAGCACAATAACAAGAGCTTTATTGAGAACTTATATTGGATGGAGAAATGCCAAAACCTCATCTTAATCGAAAAAGTGAATCAGTGATATGAAACTGAAGAGATATTAAGCGTTCACTCTTACTTAACTATGATCTGTCGTAAGAGATAATCGAATTTCATGCCTTTGTAAAAATAAAAATATACTGCTTGATTTTTTTCACCCTTAAAAAAAGGGGTAGAGCGAAACATGATAATTGCAGCCGCAAAGCATTCCTCAAACCCTACACCAAATAAGCGTTCCCTTTGGGTTACCGCTTGTTCAAAAATGCAACACGCCACTGAATTATCTCTTAAGTACTTAGACTAACTTTGGCTTTCAAGAAGGCGACGAAATCTCCTATCTTGCTGATGCAACTAGCCTTTAATACGTCAATTGGTACGAAAGATTTGCCTGCACGCGCACAGGACATGAAAGATCACGAGAATTTGCTCAACTCCACAATGCGTTTTACTCAAGTTGGACCACATTTCAGGACCGAGTGAAAGAACATCAACACCCCATTAAAACACATAATTCCTTTTCTTCTCTGGAACAAAAGATCAGTGCCAAACAGATCTGTGAGGGAAATCTAACTTACAAGAACAGATTGAGTTTGCCCTTAGCAGAATTCATGATACGGGTGTGACACGAAACAGACGCACAGAAGAGATGTTAAAAACATAACTTAAAAAAACGTATTTCTATGCGCAAAAATTTCAATTTCTTGTCGATTATGACAAATGAATCATTTTAATCTCCTATGGCAGACACAAAAAACACTCTGTGTGTTATCAGAGAAATACACATTTGCTTCGAATCGACTGGAACAAAAACTTTGCGCATGGTGTTCCTCTGTCTACAAGAATAAAATTACTTTACCCTTTACAATGCGAACTTTTCATCAACCGAAATGCTTCAAATAAAATCATGCGATCCCTCTTTAACGGTTGATGGTCTCAGAGGAAACGAAAAAATAACTATCTGAGAAAAAGACAATACAACAGCCCAATTAATTTTCCATTAGGCCCGCTTTGCATCGTAGATGATGCCATGTTAAAAGGTTGCTATTAACAGCGAGTAAGTGATAAGAGAAAACGCACATTTCCACGTGGACTTCACCTTCAACCATTTCAAAATAATCCCTTTCATCCGAATAAACAAAACTCTGCCTGACTGACAATAGTAAAGTTCAAAATTTGAAGTTGTTAAACCTAGGACAACGGTGATAAATTCTGAACGCATGGATAAACACTCACTCGCGCTCCGAAGCTAATGGCGCGACCTTTCCAGACACAGTTCCCATGAAATGTAATTCTCACCTCGTTTAAGTTTAATCACGAACGACAGTTAAGTCTATGAAACTTGTAAAGTACACAAAGATCCTAAATTATGCGTAACTTCGGCGTTTAGACGAAGGCGACGAAACTTAGACCGAAGCTAATTGGCCTATTATACGAAGCAAGGCTTTTATTTGCAGAAGTTATTAGTAGAAATTAGATTGACAATACAACCAGATACGACTACTTACTCCTACACATTTCTCACCTGGATTTGAAACATTAAGGCACCGCCAGAAAGAGATCTGAAAAAAGAGGATTAAAATAAACGATTTTAGTGTTTTGGGCGGCGAATTCGCTTGCTATCTCTTCCATTTCTTCGGGTCACTTGCACATAATTATTATGCTGCGACATTTGCACTAGCAACAAAGTGTTCGCACAAACACACCGAATTAAGGTGACATTTTCCTTACCAAATGTCCGGGACAGTAAGCCGGGAGATCACGGAGCTTCTCATAGCGTAAACTTACGTCTGTTTCGGACTCCAACTGACATAAGAGAATCACAACAACATACACAGATGTTAGTGGAGAGGCATTTGAATCCAATTTGCCTACGGTCTAAAATAAACTTGTATACGTGTGAATAAGTTCGCACTCAAAGTAGAGCGAAATTTCGCACTCGCCTCTTTGAAGGCGATGGGTAAATGAAGTGAGCGACTTTTAAGTTCATAGAGTAACGTTCTCTTTCAAAATCGTAGAACTTCAATGTCCCGCCGGGCAAGATAAAAGAGATCGTATGTAGCTTGAACATTACCTCATTACAGTGATGTTTGCAAGCACCAAAATCAGTAGCACTTCGGCAGCAACTGATGGCTGCAAGATAAAACAACGGAAATATTAGAGTTAGAGAGCATCACGAGGATTTCTGGTAACGATCAGTGACGGCCAACACATTGTATTTGACGTAAATCCTAGCCAACCCGCAAACGAAGTTCAAGGCACCGGAAATTTACATTCAATTCAATACGCGAAGATTCATTCGAATTCGCGTGGTTGTCCTAATTATTTCTTCAGTTAAATCCACAAACCGTGATTAATTCTAACGACCTAAAACCAACAGAACGACCAGTCTACAAAAGCGCCGACTCCGGCGCGAGATTAGTTCGAAGCTAAGAGCGAACGAGCTGCCAAGATTCCTTACTAAGCGCTCTCTCGCCGATGAAACGATGAATGAACGAACACACGGAGAGAAACTGAAATATCACGTATGAAAATAATCACGGAATCTTTTCGTGTACCTTGGCTTCGGAAAACCGCACAGGCGAGCCACAGTGTGCTAAGCAGCACGAGCATGTTGCCGGAACGAGATCAACCACTGCATGGACCCTCTCAAGCACTTTCCAGTCTAAAGAACATCAAACGGTGCATGGTTAGTGTTAAAGAAATGATCGCAAGAGATGCGCCTCTCAAACTCAGCCATTCAACAACCAATCACATCAAACGGCCAATTAGCGGGAAATTGTTGCCAACGGAATAGGCCAATCAGCGTTGCGTATTCGTCTCGACGTGTGACGCTTTATGTTGTAAAGAAACCCACTCAGTTTGTTTTGGGTTTGCGAGCTGTAATCGGGATAATGGATAAAATCAGGATGTTGTGACAGCTTTGAAGGGTGAAAAAAATGACCTAGTCTCTTGTTTGTTTTACATTGTCTACTTTATTTAGAATCTTAACTTGAGTTTCTTAAATGTGGATTAACTAAGTTTAACGTGTTAGTCCTCACCGAATTTGACAAACGAGCGGTTGTCAATTTTTGGCGAACATTTCGTTCGCACGCGAATGTTTATCGTCGTGATATTACACCTTAATATCGGACAAGGAGTAACATAAAACCGCAATTCCAGATCACTGCAACCATTGCATTCAAAACACTTCAAAAATGCCCACACCAGCCTGTGCTGGAGATTTTTAGGGGTCGAAGATGTCTCACGCTTTTCGTGTCACTTTTCTTGGCTTACAAAAGATAAGCTGTCAATATCGTTTGGATTCTTCTCAAAATCCTATTTAAGCGTTAAAAATGGAGCGAACATGATGCCAGCAACATTATTCTTTTTGTAAATATTAAATCAACGGGAAATTGACTACACTGGCTCATTTCGTGACAGTTCGCTACATCTGACACGATTTGCTGTCGCGACAAATGGATCTTTGCATTTGCGATTAAAATTTGACAGCCTGTCAAAAGCGCGAGCGCAAATGCATCTAAAATTGCTTTTCGATTTGGGGAAGGATTAACGATCTCGCCGCAGAGATGTAAGATGGCGTATGATTGAAGATATAATGAGGCTGCAAGATAGAACAGGAATGCAAACAAGCCGATAACAGCCCATACATATTTTTGTCTGCTATTATCGAAAAGATTACGACAAAGATGGCTTTGGCGCATTTGCCCAAAAAGCAATCATTTGCATAAAGATATCCACTTGGCAACAAAGTACAAAGATTCGAGCTAAATATCCTAAAAATCAAAAGTTATGCACTAATAGGCTTTTATCTTCATCAAGCACGACTCAAATTTGTGTTTATTTGTTTTTCCAAAGGTGTTTATTCTTCACACAAGTTGTCTGAAAGTCACTCCTTCCCTTTGAAAGATCTTTAGCCCGAGGCGTTTCCATAAAAAGGGAATTTTTTGATTCTTGATAGGGGCTATTGTTGGTTTACATTTAGATGTTGAAATTTCTCTTAAGTTTTTTACACATTTGTATTCAAATTGCTGCGCGATACTTTGTTCCCAGATTAAAAGCACATTTAAAGAATCCTTCGAGATAGGAGTATTTGATAATGTGTGCTGGTTTTTTCTTCCAGTTTGTAAATGGATACACTCTGTATTTCAGTTGAAAGACTACCGATGACTAATGGACGCATTTTGACTGCGGTTGACTGCACTTTACTCGACTGCGAATAAATTTCCCTTAAAACACCCGGCTAAGTCCCAGTCATTTTTCACATAACTTTTCGTTTCAAGAAGATGGCATACAATATAAAGAATACACTAAGAAACCAGACACAAAAAACGGAAAGAGTCTGGATAGTGGCTTTTCAACACTTTAGATTAATGTCTCCGTTTAGAAAAGGACTTGAAAAATACAAAAGAGTTAAGCTGCGGTTTCCTCCTGGGGTCATGGGAGACACTTAGGACTTGGCTAGGGGCTCAATTGGACCAAAAATCCTTTTAATCTCCACATCCTGCCTTTTAAATGTAATCATTTCTCCTTTCTTCGACGGCTATTTCAGAACACAATAGCTGTCAGTCGAAGTCATTTGTTGGACGCAGCTAGTGGTCACCGTAGTCTAGATAATTCGTCGTTCAATATCAACTTCAGTATCTTTCATTTTGTCAGTTCAGTAAAATTCATTTAACGATTTGACTTCATAAACTTTCGTTGTGTATGGCAGGTGTTTATCATTTTATAACTCATTTTCCACCGAGCAATTCCATTTACTTGTTATTATCGATTTTTTATTTACATTTACAATTGGTTGCATCCTAATCGAACTGAGGGTGTAGTTATCGCTGGTATGATCATAAAACTTTCCGGTAATTACGCCATTCTTACTTCCATTGTCCTAAGAGGGCCTGTGTTTTTTTTCCCCCCTAATGTTTTCATGAATTTGGCTGAGAGCGTTCGGCCATTCGGTTCTCTTCTCGTTTTATTGTAAATTGTATCTTAAGCGTTCTTTTTTTGCATCGTTTATTACAGAACAAAGGGTTTGAGTTGACTCTGACAAATTTTGATATAGCCACTTATGTGTGATTACAAGAAGCTATACTGCATTTGTTTCGAAAAACTTTGGCCTGAATTTTCCCAAAATTCGACGACTAAGAGTAGGCACAGAAAGTTTCCTAATATCAATTTCAAGTTTTGCAAAGGAGCATGTTTACCTATCGATTATGTCCAAAAATTGTCAATCTCACGGGGATTTAATGCCCGGTTACCTTACAAAGTGTTCTTTACAAAGAATGATCACAGCGATACTAATTTTCACGATAATATTTTCAAATAAATTCGCTTTATGCCCTCAAGAAAACTTTATTCAACTCTTTTTCACAGATCCGATGGATTGATCAATTTCCAAGTTTGCCTGAAGAGGCTGTTAAACAGCCTCTTTAGTTCTATCGGTCTGCTCTAAGGTAATCAAAGTAAGGTAATAAAATCGGAGACAGGCGTGGCTTTCTAGTGTATATATCAAAACTTTTAGAAGAAAACGCTTTTTTTATTTTGTTCCTATGCTCAGACACATCAACAATATAGGACTTTCATTTTCCCTACGTAATCCACACAATGATTTTCAAAGATTTTTACTACCATCGTAGCTGTTGTTTCATTCCAACTCAAGTTTTTCAAGGCAAAAATGAAATTCAAAACAATGAACAGTGCAATGAAGAAGAGCCTAGAACGTTTTGCACATGACTTGAGTCTGTCAGCCTCTGTGACAGTTAAGCAGTATGTCGGTAAACAGCAAAGCTCTTCACTTATGCACATGTCTTTTATCATAGTAAAAATAGAAAAACAAGACGGTAAAGGTCAAGATAAGGGAAATTCAACTCCGGGTCAATCAACCTGATAAAACGCAGGGACGCTTGGGATCTTACGACACCAAATTGTTTACATTTGTACAAGGCTCGGTCCATCTTTATTTCAGCTTGAAGTTCAAGGTTTTATTTTCTTGCTCTTTAGTTGAAATTACCGCACTCGGATATAGAATTAAACAAGATTTCAACACGTAGCAGTAAAGATAAAAAGTGGAATGCCGAAGGAATTTGAAATTTATTAAATCAGCTCAAGACATAACGGCACTCTTTGTGAAACCAAAATAGTGAAAATAAACTCCGGTATGTCTTTCTTCTCTACGAGATACCAACAGACATGAAGAATTGAAAGATATGCAGCATAGAAATTATTACGGTACGCATAGCAGATTTTCGCAAACCTCGAAAACTAAGTGCTGCCATACTCAAATTTTTTATCTTTAGATTGGGTTCTGGAGGAAGTTTGAGAATTTCTGGCTCTTCCAATTATTTTCTTTTCTTAGAGAGTTCTAATGTTTCTTACCACGACAAATTTACGTCAACAAGAAAGCCACAAAATTAATCTCTTTAATCTTTGAAGTGTGTGCACATATCTCCGACGAGTCCTCCCACCTACGAGTTAAAATCTTCTTACCTGGAAATCTCTTTCGAAAAAATTACAAACAAACCTAGGGAATTTTATGCTATAATTTTTTTTCCATTTTTTCCCGCACTCAGTAAAGTATGGTTTTCGAAAATTTTTGGTCATTTCCCACTCTTCAGTTTCAAAACAGTCGAGTGCAACGAAAACTGAATAAGAAGAGGAAGTTTAAGAACTGAGAGTTTAATCAACAATTCAGTGATCTGGAGAGGGAATTTATAACAGAGCAAAACATTCCTGAGGTTTCTCTTGCATAAAATAGAGCTTAGCTTGGACCTGTCCCCTTACAGTTTATGCTTAAATTTAAATTATCGAGAGCACTTATACAAAACTGCCTCAACTATAACCATCGAAAAAAATTGTACTATCTAATACTGAATTTTCGTGATGTTTTTAGGTTGTAAGATAATTCAAGTTTAACTTATGAAGTCCACTTAAATATTGCAAGTCATTCTAGCTACAGATTACAATTTTAACAACACCAAGCACCAACTTCAAGGGTGTTGTCGTTTTTAAAAAGTAAGGAAAATTTTGAAATTGCAATCAAATCCGCACACCCTTCAACTGTAGTGTCCCTGACAATAATTTTATACTGACTACCTTTTGGCGTTAAACGTCCACATTTCATGTCAAATTAAAGTTTCCGTCCCTTTTTTTAAGCCTTTCCAATATTCTTCATAATACCGCATTTTACGTTGCGGAAAATAACTTGTCAACTTAACAGATATTTTCGAAAGATCTATTTTTAGAGTTTTATCATAACAAAAAATTAATTGAAAAGTTACAGTCAAGGAGCTTTCCGAAGTCCTTCATTCAGCCATGCTACTTCTTTACAGTCAATCAAAAGTTGTTTATCTGTTTAACTTAATGAGTGTCCTAAATAAACTATTTACGCTTTATTTCTGGAGTTTTCGATCCTTCATTTTAAGCCAATTTACATGTTGATCGAGACAGTAATTAATGGGAAGGCTTACCCGCTCTTATTCATTTTACTCAAGGCAATTTGTAAGATACGAAGTTCATGAAATTTTTTTGTAATTATACTAAAGAACGCGCGTACTCTTAAATTTGTCCGTAGTTTCACAAGATGATTTGTATGATCAACTTTCAACAAGTTCTTTAAATGTCTGGTCCTCGTCAGCAACTTCGGATCCTAATCAGTTTTGTTAAAACAAAAACTAAGATTTGCGTGGCAAATGGAGACACTACTTTGCCCCTAAGCGTGAAGCGTCTCTGATTTATTTATAGTTGTGTCCATTAGGAGCAATTATACTGTGGGCGTGCTTATATTTAATCGGGTTATAGCCGACGAGCAAACCTTCAGAAAGGCGACGGTCCGGCTACCGAGTAAAAGTACACTGTCATTGTCCGCATTCGAGAAGGTATGAAAATTGTCACCGTAAAGGGAGGGTTAAACTTGTTGACTTTTGCTTTGATCAAATTATGAAGCTAGCCTTGTTGTGACTAAAAGTTGGGCGGTTTTCCGGCTTAAAGTCAATCAAATATTCTCTTCCAATATTGATGTATAACATCCAGGAGGTTGTTTTTGACTATTTATAAAGTAATTAAAGAAAGAAAGAAGGTAACCGAAAACCGCAGAAAAACAAACGAACAATATCAAACAAGCTGAAGAATTTTGATTTAGTCAGTTTCACCTCGTGTTTCCGCTTTCAAGTGTCCAACAACTTGTTGTACCATAGGCTCAAACCAGGAGCCGAAATTTCTGCTTCATAAAGGTAAACAAAAATTCAGAAGATGAGCATTATGCAATCCAAAAGGTCGCATGATATTAGCCACGGAAGTGCCTTGAATAAATGTATCGGTTAGATATTTTCCTGAAACAGAATTCTGGATGAGGTCTGACGTGTTTCGTGTTCTTTTTCAAGTTTTCCAAGTTTTCCAAGTTTTTCAAGCTTTTCAAAATTCCCTCCAGTCCCTTGCCCCATGGATACCCTCTGTTTGAGCAGACTAGGAAGCCAAACCCCCAGGTAGAGCCACGTTTTAAAACGAAATTATGGACCAAAATACCTTAATCTACTTACTTGGAGAGCTTCATTACAGTTCCTTATTTCTAAGTCAAATAAAATATATATATACTTATGTTAGGTTTTTAAAAAAGTGAAGTTGAGCACGTTGATTCTATGATGCACAGGACGATTTCTAAACTGAAAATTTTCTCTGGTGGGACTTCGAATAAATAAATGGAGGAAAGAGGAAACTGTGTTCAGCTTGAAACAGGACATCACAGAAAACCGGCCCAACACGAGAAAATTTTTGTCGATTTTGCTTCACCACGTGAAGTGATCTACACATTTTGAGCTGTCAAGTTTCAGCCAGCTGCACGATGAAGCGAAAAATATGTGCATGTAATGAGATATCTAACCATAAAAGCTCTTTTCACTCTTTGAAAAAATTGTTTTATGGACAAAATTGAGGGGAATTTCGCAAGGACAATGAAGTTTCTTTAACTTGAAGCCTACTCTCTTCGAAGTGTCCCGCGGAGCACAAATTATTTCATTAATTATGGGGGATGTGTAATGTGTCACATCAAACAATTCGCTTCCTGTACTGAAGGTGGATCGTATACCAATAATGAATTATCATGGGGTTATTTCAACCACAGGAGCGTGAAAGACTCTCACTCAATTCAGCATGAAAAAAAAAAGGACATAAGACAAATCATAGTGGTCTTAATGGGTGATTCCTTGTTCATCCGAGCAAGCTGTTGGATAAGATGTACGTGTGTCTGACGATACCACAAGACTTAACTTGTCTCTAGAGACACTGTTATTGTTGCGAAACGAGCAAACAGAATGTGAATGTCGATGGCAAACCCCTCAAAGGGTATTTTATGAAAGGAAGGGCTTTAAAAATACATAACAATACATAAAAATACATACACCTTACATTCCACATTCCACGTCACAGTATGATACACCGAAAATATCCGCAAATAACACAGCGAAAGATGTTTCTGGTTGGTTTTTAATTAGTACTCAAGCTGGTAAGGTGGCTATTTCATTTAACCATTTATTTGAGGTATTGAGCATAGCCTAGACGCAAATCCACTCTCCATATCGTTGATGGATTTTAGGAAGACCAATTCCCTTAATCCTTTAACTCCCATAAGTGACCAAGACAGAATTTCTCCCTACAATATCAATACAATATCATGCAGACAAGTGATGAGAATGAAGAAAAACATGATCAGTTAGAGGATTATAAGTTGATCCAAACCAACATCACAAGAACAATATGGCTGACAGTAAAGAGAATTACTAATGAGATCTTGGGAGTTAACGGGTAAAAAAAAAGGAGGAAAATTTGCAAAGAGTTAAATTCATTGACGTTCTACGGGACCCCCCTGAAATTGCACTTGACCCTTTAATTCCCAGAACTGATTAACATGAAACTTCTCTATATAACGTCCTCCCATTATCCAGCAAACAGCTTATGAGAATACTCAAACCTATCAGGTAGAAGTTGTTATCTTGATCTAACACCAAATTCTTGTAACTAATTTACAAGGAAATGTGTGGTAACTAGAGGGGAGAATTAACGCCATTATCTTGGGAGCTAAAGGGTTAACATGAAATACTCAACATTTCTCCTAAAACCTCCGTGACTATCGCCTCCTACCAAGTAGGGAGTACAGCTGATCCGAGTAAAGAAAGTGAGGACTCATAACAGCCCTCGTTTTCGACATGAGGTTCGTTCACTGAGTCGAGGCTCTTTAGCAAACTCCTCAGAGAAGAAAAATCTCGTCGCTCTGCAAAGTTTTTGTTAAACGATAAAAATACAACTACATTTAATCTGAAATATCATAAGGGTTTCCTTATATTCGTGTCGGGGAAAGGAATGGAAATATTACATTACTTTAAACCATTCCTGCAAAAAAAACTATAAAAAAGGCAGGTTGATTACTTCTTATTCCTTTTGGAAGTCTTACCTTAAAGATAGAGTTTGGTCACGTTTTCCTCGTTATGATCATTAAGTTGACATGGAAACAGTTGTTCAGTTACAATCGAAAAGCCGGTTTTCTGTGATGTCCTGTTTCAGTTTCGAATCGAAACTATGACCTGCCAATTACCGGTCCACATACTACAATAATACTGTAAACGCCCTTTTAAGCTTCCCTTTATGTTACATTCTCTTCATTTTTTAAGCTCCCTTTCCCAACACGCTCGCCAAAAACTTCCAGTTCTTGGTAAGACCCCCTCTCCAACAAGCCCTTTCCTCTCCAATTGGCTCCTTCCTTTCCTTACTCCTGAACAAAAACTAAAAAGCAAGGCTAGTTCAGCTAGTTTGCGTTCATCATGGAAATATACACGTACTTGAAAGCCTTTATCAGATTCTGTGTTAATGTTGTAGGTTTTCGAGCAGAGGAATGCATGTTGTTGTGTGGTATTTATTTATCTGGGCGACGATTCAGAGGAAAGATCACGAATCTCATTATGTGATTCTTGGTGAATTTTCCATAATTCCCACACCCCTCGAAACTTTGACTTTTGTACAGTTGGAAGCACTCGAGGTTTTTTTTTAGTTCAGTCCGAGTATACATGTGTCATTAACTGAAAACCAGAATCTTTTACCCTGAAAAGTGGATCTCTTCAGTGAATCGAATTAATTGAGACCGAGTAGGAGCCCATTACTTATGTATTACATATAAGTAATGGGCTCCTGGACCGAGAGATTAAATCCCTCGCAGTCTTTTATATTGTAAAACGAACCTATATTCGATGGATAATTCTAAGTGGGAACGGCCATTTGAATCAATCTTTTTTGCTGGACTTCAACCTGTATCAGCGGATCCTTCAAATGGTATTACAATGGATTCTTTTTATTAAAGGGAAAATGGACAACGTCTCAAAATTGCTTACTAATCGACCAAAATCTGTACAGGTGGCTGCTAACCCCTGTAATTTTTGGCAATCTCTCATAGAACGCACATATAACGATTAGGGTCATAAACCTAAGAAAAAATGGTCAATGATCTATTTTGACAAAAGAAAGGCATTAAGAGTTGAGCTTGTGATCATTGTGCGATCTACAAATCTTATCAAGACAATGGTTTTAGTTACGCCACAAACACGGCGTTCAAACAAGCACATCTATTTACGACCAGAAGCCTGAGCATGCGTCACTGGGACTTTCAGCTCCGAGCTGACAATCTGTTCTTTTTCATGTGAATATTCCGGGAAAAAGAAAATAATACACAGATGTAGAACGAATAAATGTACTCTATCTGATAAACAAAAAACCAAAATATTTAGAATTACCATGATTACAATTAGGACATTCTTTTTCATACTACTCAAACATAAAAAATGAAAATGAAAACAAAACCAACACTTATAATGCAAAATATGCGAAAACCATTGTTGCGCATTTTGGTTCTAGTCTAGTTTTAATGATAACACCAGCTTGTTTAAATACATATGTCTAGCTATTATGCATATTATTTATACATTAATTAAACACTTTTTCATAGAATAAAATTGTTGTGTTTCTTTTGGATTGATGTCACTTAAACGGTCTTCTTGCCGGGAAAAAACCATACCATCCTCTTGGTGCGATAAGTCTCAAAAGCGACGTGACTTTCTATCATAATTCAGTTTTCAAAGCAGTAACAGTAAATTTGATTCGGGCTAGATCCGAATATTTGAAATTAGTTATATTGTTTCGTGGTCGCTTTGTCTACAGCGAAAAGTCAAAGCTAGCTTTACGAGAGGATTTCGCCACACTCCGAGAGCCATTTAAAATCGGTAGTCGAGGACTATTTTGAATAATTATGGTGCAAAATGTAAGACACCCTTATTTCACCTGAATCGACGCATTTTTGGAACAAATAGACAATGAATTGATAAAGACGTGGAAGTCTATTGGATTCTTTTATGCATAATTTTGAATCTCTCAGATGAAAAGCAAAACGGTAAAAGTGCGAGTGAGAAAGAAAACAATCATTTTAAAGACGAGTTTCCCACTTCGTCTTAATCCTTATTAATTAAGCTTAAAACTAAACGGATTACATAAGATATATATTCTATAAATTTCTCTAACATTTACCTGCCAAGCGGAGCAAAGGCACCTTTCTCGGGGCAATTCAAATCCACTTTCCTCGCCAAGTTAGGCAACCAGATCTTCTTTCTAGGCAGACGTTCAAAGAAACAGTTGAAGCTAAATTTTGACGGAAGCTTTATTACAAGTGCGTGTGACAACATGCCACTAAATCAAGGCTTGAATGACATTCTGCGACGATTTTTGTCCCTAAAATAATGGATAACCAAAAGAAAGTTGAATAAATGGATTGTTCTTCCGTTGGTAGACTTCAAACTGTCAACTTTCTTAAAAACGCAGACAAAGAGACGACAGAAAATGACGTTTCATGGTACACCTGCCTTAGTCGTCCTGTCGTGTTGTATTGTGTTCACAAGACACAAACTGGGGAACAGCAATTTAGGTTTTAAAAATTTAGATTTCATGCAAATTTTGTCAATTTATGAGGACTTTTCAATCGCAATTAACAAAAAGAGGAGTCAAGCGAGCCAAAGCAAGCCCTTGCCTTGACGCCACGATTGACAATAATGTACAATTTTTTCTTTCTTTCCTTCCGGATTTTTTAGTTTTCCACCCACGGCTAGTTTGTTTTGGAAAATAAGTGATAAATAGCTGTAGGGAGCTTCTAGCCGCACAAATTCTACATTCTTCGCATTTTGCAGCTGGGAATACTGATTATTCTTTGTGGTTACTCAGTTTGGATATGTGTTCTTTCTACAGAGATATCCCTCACTGGATTTGTACTCTCCTCTCGATTGACAAAACATCAATCACCGAGTAAAATGAAATCAATTTAAAATATCTTTGCCTTGAGCAGTTATCTCAGCACAAAAGATCGCTTTTCACCGATCATCCGATTCATCATCACATTTCCTGAAACATCCCTAATTTTAGTGTTGTCGTAAAGTAATTGATTTGCTAGGGAAAAGTGGGAGGAGGGGGGGAGGGGTAAAGTATAACTAGTGACCTGCAATGAGCTTAGTTACACTTAAAGCACGGCAGCTTTTGCGGATACAAATAATTCACAAGGAAAACGGCAGAAAGGAAAAAGTCGTGAAATGAATTGCGTTTTTAATGAGAAAGGCACACAAAGGGATCACAGTGACAAATTGTACCATCACAACCCAATGAGAGCTAACAATAAATATACGCGGACAGCTACAAACGTGGGAAACTTCAGTAACCCCCTCCCCACTACCCCGAAAACGTGACTGGTTTAGTATGGACGTGTTGGCTCCGGACTGGTTTGCATTTGTTGAACAACCCTCGAGCATAGTGAAGCAAAACCAGTACTTTCCCGGTTTAATTGTCTTCTCAACTGAAAATTGATCAAGACGTGCTTGTTTTGAAGGTTAGGGCCTAAGATTTTCATCTCCGGTTTATCGCGCACAGTATTTTCCTCCGTGCACTGCTCGTTCACCAGACGCAAAATCGTGGTATGTAACTTCTGAGAATCATCTGCGTTGAACTTCACCGTTCCAACTATCTTCGTTCTGTTACTTAAAATTTCGTCCACGCCAACAAAGGACTTTTTCAAGATTCCATTCTCTTGAAGGACCATTTTCAACTAGGCTGAAAATGACACTCAAAATTTAATTTCAATTTTTAGCCCTGATTGCCAAACATTTCTTGCACTATAAGCTGTGATAATTGGTGATGAATCAAACAATATCCGTTCATCTACAATTTTCTGTATCAATATTGTTAAGGAGAAATTCCTTTTTGGTCACTCACTCCTGGCAGTGAAAGGATCATCTTAGCGTAGCTCCTTTTTCTGCATAAATACACAAAAACAACCCAAAATTTCTCAAATCGCTCTGACGAAGGGCTAACGCTCGAAATGTCAGCTTTTAAACTCTTTACGGTGGCCATTATACGTTATCAACTCAGTTGATAATATTAAATTATCCTGTTACATTCTCCCACCGACGCAGCACCACAGTTTCTTTAGAAAATTACCCCCTTAAGATAAACACTGCTGTGACCAGTAGCACTTTTTCACTGAACCAAAAACGAGAAAAAAGGGGTTATTCTCCCCCAATAGGTAGTTGTTTTTTGATTAGGTACGTAAACCGCTTTTCTAGGGAGTGTCGTAATACCCAAACCATAGTAATCACAGTAACCAATCAGAACAAAGATAATATTGCAAAAAGCCCAAGGGAGCTCAAGGCGAAAAAGCTTGCAAAAACCTGAGTGACTGAGTCTCTCAGGTTTTAGTTTTACATTTGATTGGTCGAGGGGGAAGGGTGAGTTTCTTTTCCCTTTAAAAAAAATTACAAAGATTAGCAAAGCAAAACGAAAGCAGTCCTATAATATTTTCGACACTCATTTGAAGATTTCTCTATCTAATTACAGTAACTCTTTATTTCTAAAGTACTACTTCTGCGCAGGGCGTGTTGCTCAAGGATATATCTTGAAGGCAGAGGGGGCGGTGATACGGGTTAAACGATGGTGTCGGACACTGTCCAACAAGTTCGTGCCCACGCCCTTTTTGACCTATGCTTTACTTGTCGTTAGCTTCCCTGAAATATTTCTAAACTGTTGTTTCCCAAAGAAGTCTTTTAAACGTGAAATAAAGCCCCTAAAAGAGCTTGCATCTTCTCGCGCGTAAGGATCAACCAAGCTCTAAAGTTTTAGATCCTTGCAGTCCAGTTTTGAAAATATTGACTTGTGCGCGCCTGTCATAACTTAACTTTGCGTTTTTTCTTTTTCTTTCGTTCGGCTTCCTCGGCTAGTCTCTTTTGCAGTGCTTCACGTCTTTCTAGTTCCATATCCTGAAAAGAAATATAAAACTAGAAAAATTGGTACAATTTCTGACAACACTCAGCCTCATTGTTCCTCGCGCGGGGGGGAGGGGGTGGGGGCTCCTCAGCATACAATAGGAGAAGAAAATTTAAAAAGTGTTACACCATTTCTCAAGAAAAATTAAACGGAGTGTAATTTCATACAGGTTTGTTAATAACAGTAAGTCTAACACTTCCACTGACCCATGACTTGGAGCTTATCCAACAAGTAAGCTCCTTGTTAGGAACCCACAATCCCACTCAAGGGGAGCGGTTAAATGGTCAAACTGCTTCATGCTTTGACAACTAAAAGAAACTTTGTCCGTCAATTCGACCAGCTTAATTCACAAACAAACCTTATGATATTCTGTTCATATTTTTACCTTAGAAGGCGAATCTGAGGGCAATGACATCCCAGACGACTTTGCTGGTGATGTGACGGGTGTTTTCCTGGGAGATACCCTGGGGGATGTGGTTAAGGGTTCATCTTCCTTTCCAAAGAGGGAAGGAGGGGGTATATCAGTCCATGAGGGGGCACTAGGACCCCCTATAACCACTGATCCGTAGATATCATCTTCCTCTTCAACATCTTCATCTGGCTCTGTTACAGTAAATGGAGAAAGGCAACAAGTGGAAACATTTATTAGTACCACTGTATCCAGTTTAAAGCCCACTAGCACTACTTCAGAATTTTTTTTGTAATTTTTGCCAAGGTAAACCTGCAATCAGAAGCTGAGAAATGAGAGAGGACCTAAAAAGTGCTAAATTTATGTAAACTTTATCCCAAAATTTTAAAACCTGATAGACTCCATTTATTTGAATTTCACCACTGATCAAATAGTCCCAAGATTAGCCACAATTACCCAGAAAAGACCTAAAACTGAGGGGACGGGGCTGGGGGAAATTCAGTGCTGTGATGGAAAGGTAAAACATTTTCTGGTTAAACAACTTGCATCAGAGTTGATTTTGTAGGAATGTATTGTATCAAGTAGTGTATTCCTTGAAGACCAACTTTTAATTTGACCCATAAGGGTGACCAGCATCTAATTTCTCCTTACAATATCACCCCTGAATGGTATACTAACGTCATGAGACAAAAGGAAATGATGACAAGCAATAGCAGCTCTTGACTGTAAAAAAAGTTCTCATTGTTACCACCCTAGGAAATGTGTGGAGAATATGCATATTGATGTTAGGGTGTAAAGGGTAAAATGAACACTGTCATGATGATGTATCCAACAGCAGTAACTGTAATTAACAATTAGTTCATATGTCAACATGCGTTCATCAAGATATGAAGCACGCAAGAAGTTTGGAGAGCACGAATGATGTGTCAGAGTTGCTTGAGGCGTAGCTGAGAGCAACTCTAGCTTCTTGAGTGCTCTCCAAACTTCCTAAGTGCTTCATATCTTGATGAACGCACAGCTGACGTATGAACCAATTATTTTATAACATTTTCAACCTAATGGAAAATTTTTTCTCAAGGGATTTGTTTGCTGATGTCATGAGCATGCACAATAGGAATATGAAGCACACTCACACAATTGAATTTGATTAGACAAATTTACTAGCTATGTTATAAGATAATTTGTCACCTGGTAGATCTTTTTCTGCTAACCATGCTGTTTTTATCATAACCTGTTTATACAGTTCAGATGAGTCATCATCAAGTCCTTGTATAACTGCATCTTGTACAGCATCCTCAAAACCCTAATTATAAACCAGGCCATGAAAACAAAATGAAAAATACACATGAAGCTAACAGTTGACCCTTTAACTCCAAAAAGTAATTCACATGTAAATTCTCCCTAGAATATCTACATATTATCCCCCACACACTAGGTAGTAAGAATACTCAAATTCATCATGTAGAAGTTGTTTTCTTTCTCCAACACCAAATTCTTGTAACTAATTTACAAGGAAATGTGAAGCAGCTAGAGGGGAGAATGAACAATCAAATCTTGTGAGGTACAGGGTTAAGTTTGAAATCAGATGGCTGTTATGAAGACCATAAAAAGGTCTCCTTTTTTCCTAGGAAAAAATGTCTCTGAGTGAATTATGCATTTTCGTGGTGCCTTATAATAAAATAGCTCTAAAATCATGATGTCAGAGACTATGTTGATTTAGTCACAAAAGGATGGCTATCTTGGATTTCTGTCAAAAATAAAACAAGCGGAAAATAAGAGAAATAAGGAATGTTACGCGGCAGTGTGATTAAGGTAAACAAATCTTAACAACTAACAACAAAGGAAATGTGACCAAAAAATGCTTAACTATTAATAATTACTTTTTTTTTTTACACAACAACGCAGCCTTGAGGTAAATCCAAGCATTCTGATTATACTTACAAGGTCGGGATTAAGCAAGATTTTGACCATTCCCATGGAAACAGTCATTAGGTGTGTATTTTTGTTTTCAAATCCCAGAATATTCAAAATGAACAAGTTTGGTTCAAGTGCTGTATAATAAACTGCTTACTAACCTTGTTTGCTCAAGCCATACTGGGGGAATATTGGCCTTTGTTCCATACTTTCTTATTCTAAGGCCAATATTTCCCAGTATGGCCCATGTGCTCAGTTGATAAGAAGTTCATACACTTTCTTGGACTAAAATTGTTTCACATGACACATGCAACCCACATAGGAAAATAACAACCGTGTCTGCTTCAGTTAGCAAGTTATTAATTAAGGTCAAGAGCAATATCAATTTCAGTAATGCAAGCTATTCATACCTGTGAGAGAATCATTTTACTTTTGAATGTATCTTCATTAAACTCCGATGTTGCAAGGCTTTCTAAAGTTGTAAGAGAGAACAGCTAGTTGAAACTGGACTGAATATCACATATTAATTTAATGATGCAAACATTTTCATTTGTGAATATTGCATTTCTAGTTTTCTGATTGGTTCACTCAACTCCAGGGCTAGTTATCACCTCATATTCTGAGTCACCTTACATAGAAATACTTTGTACCAACTGCTGCAGGGCTGAAGAAATTTCCAAACATCCAAATGTCCAGTATTCAATGGAATTTGATAATAAAAACAATTATTCCAATTGCACTTGTCAGAGACAAAATTGATTAAGGCCAACTCGGGGCTATGCACTGTGTCGACTATTTACCATCTCATAACCAACATGCACTCATGAAATAATTGTTAAGTAACCTGTAGGATTTTAAATAGCCTTGTTCCAGACAATGTTTGTCAGCTGCATTAAACAATATGCATGCATTTGTCAAGGCTTGAGGTCCGACCCTTTCCCTCTCTAGGATCTAAACATCAATTCTCTGCACAGTCAAAAACTCCCTGTTAGTGACCCCTGGCAGGGAAAAGCTGTGACAAGGAGTGAATAACAGCGTTAATGCACACAGTTGCCTTCTAACTCCAAAAGAAAAATCAACAGTTCAGCAGAAAGTGTGTTATTTCACAACTGTACCCCTTACTTCTTGACAAGCATGCTCCTGAGTCCTTATAATCCATAATCTCCTGATCCTTTCTCCTCAGAAGCTTACAGAGCTCAGCCTGCCGTCTGTTTAACTCAGCAATCATGGCAAGCATTGGCTGCACTAGCTGTGATCCAACCTTAAAACAACATAAATAACACACTTTGGTGTATATTATTGCTGAATATTTTTATGAGTTGTGCCGCAGTTTGACAAGCTTGTAAGGTGAGTCAAAATACAAACAATGAGTAGACTGAAATACTCATCAATACTTCACACCAAAATGTCTAATAAGTTATTTATTATCCAACCACTTATTTTTATCTTAAGTCTTTCTGTTCATTTCTCATAAGGTGGGAAAAGCAAAGCAGATAGAGAAGCATAGCGCACACAGCCAACTGGTTAAACAGGTTTTTTTTTACAGTACAAAATAATAAATCTACATATTTTGATACAACCCTATCACTCTCGGGAGAAATAAGTACATGTGCACAAATTTTAATCACAGTTAAAAAGACAGGTTATATCCCAGAGTAGCCCATAACGGCAATTGTTTAACCTTCGTTTTCTAGTACCTGCATAGTATGTTTTTTCTCAGGGGATGCACAGTGAAAAAATAAGGGCAAGGAAGCCACCAAAGTGAGCAGTGAAGGTGCAGATGGTTTTTATAACTATTTTCTGTCCAAAACCTTTCACAACTGCCCTGCTTGTTTTCATGAAAGGGTTGCTTGATGCTACACTGTCATTGGATCTTGTGAGATTAGGGTTAACAGTGGGGCTTTAAATCCATTTGCAAAAGAAGCTAAATAGTATATTCCAACACAGACCTCAAACACAACAACACCAGGTATCAATAATTTCCTTTTCATTTCTCTATTTTCTTACCATGTGTTTTCCTCCTTCTGAACAGTGGAATTCCCAGACAAATGGCACACCCCCCTGTAACTTTGCCTTCATTTTTAAAACCAGTTCATCCTCAGACGAGGAATTCTCCTTTAAAAAAAAACATACAATTAATGATTCTTCTCCTGGCAGATAAAAAATGTTAAAAACTGACACTATAAATAATACTTATGAGAGAGAAAATACCATCTAGAAGAGGAACATTCCCCATATGGTTCTCTGTCAGCTTATGTTAGGTCTCACTGACATATCACACACTTGTTTCTTTCTGGAGGAAGGAAACCCCAGAAGCTAAAATTAGAACTTATAACAAACTCAACCCACTTGTAACAGCAGGACCGAAAATCAAATCTACCATGCATGGTGAACCTACAGGTAATAAAAAGTGTTTAGTGATTTCATCACTGGGATATCCCTGATCCCTTGTACATGTGTGGAAATGGACAGGACTTCAGATCAGGTTACATTTTGTAACAATGACTGTGTTGCAAGGCTTCTAGCTCCCTCAATCAAGTTCCAAATGGTTACTTAGCAATGAGCTCTAAGAACAATCCCACAAAATCCTGTCTACTACCTTGTCACATGTGGGGGTTTACAAGAAAAAATTTTGGAACTGTTTTAGGTGACCTCAAAATTGATTATCTTTCTTTTTCTATAACTGAGTGAAATATTTCAGGCAATCACAGTTTTTAGCATTTGATAGTACAGGGCACACATGTAATGGAGGGGGGAGCCTCTTTCATTGAGACATTATTGTGATAGCTTTATTTGCTCACCTGATTGATTATAAACAATGGTTCTTCCTTTTGATTAGGTTCCACAACACTTTTCTGCACAAATTTCAGCAAATATGTGAGTTTTGCTTCAACATTTGGGTTGAGTTTCTGCAAAAAATTTCCACATAAGTACTTGGGTGCATTTGGGACCTTATAATGCTTTCTGTGTTCAGGGGCCAGAGCCAAACTCTCAATGCAGATGAGACAGGTTAGACAGGTGCTGAAAGCATATTTCATCTTGCGAGGGCATAACAAATTTAAAATTTGTGCTAAAGTTAGCTGGATCACCCAACTGAGAGACATTAACATTGTTTATTGGCTTCCTCTTATATGCTACCTCTGCCTTTACAATGACTCTAATCAAAACTATAACAAAATTCTCGAACATGATCAGCTATCACCAGCCTGATTTGAGCACTAATAGGATATTGTACTGGTCATGCTTGTAATTGGACAGTGTAATAGGACAGTTAAAGGGACAGTTAACACCTCATGTCAACTTAAGTGGACAGAACACATTATATGCGTGCACTGTTGTCTCGCATTTCACTGAGTTAACTGTTTTTTTTTTTATGAAAACTTATGACCGATGTCTAGTTTCTTTCACAAATGTTGTCATAGTTTTGATTAATTGGTAGCAGGACTTCATGTTGTCCAATTCTGTTTGCAATCATATGTGTGATTAACAAATTGGACTCATGCTTGACTTTCATCTGATTTTGTTAATCACTCATATGATTACAGACTGAATTGGACTCCACTCAGTCCTATTACCATAAATTACAAATGTAGCCACTCTTGACTAGTCTGTTCAAAATTATACATGGCAAAGCCCACAGCTTTTCAACAATAAAATATTTGCTCTTATAGTTGACCTTCATGATGTTTCTGCATAATATTTGTCCAAACAGTCCAGAGAAGAAAGATGATCTGAAATACATCAAGGACCTTTGAACCCAAAGCACTAACACTGATTGGCAAGAAATATATGGAATAAATTTTACTTGAGAGATTATTCTTCTATTTGTTTGAGTGGTTAAAATTTAAGTGAGTGTCCAATACAAGTGAAAGACAATACAAACAGGCTGTTGGTCCTAAGTCAAGGAAGACCACAACTGCTTAATGGAGGTGACCACTTGGCCCTTTGGTGTTAGATCAAGATAACAACTTCAACCTGATAAGTTTGAGTATTGTCATGGAACTTGAATAATTAAACAAGCCCAGATGCAGATTTTTCTAACAACTTTAAGGAAACAAGAGAACCTATACAATCCAAAATAGCATCTGTCAATGAAGGAGTGCTAAGTGCTCCCCAGCAGATCTACAAATCCTGTGTCTAACACTTTGTTTAAGCTGGCTAAGAATACTTAGAAATTGCATGAGGTTGACTTCCAGTCACAATTCTCAATAACTAAACCAAAGGCAGTCATTAAGTTTTTCTAAAAATTTAAGGAATCGAGAGAACCTATACAATCTAGACTATTATACAGCGTTAAGAAACAACTAAGTGATAGAAGGTGATACATGGAAAGAAACAGAGAAGTGATGGGTTGATACCAGAACACCCACTACTATAATAGTACCACAGTCACATGGTTTTGAAATTCCTTGACTTTTGGGAATATTGTATGATTACAAAGATGTCGAGGTTAAGGAAATTTTGAGAGAGAGTTCTGCATTGCAGATCTCTGATGCCTCACAGTATCTCTTTCTAAAGGCTTAAACCTTTCACTCCCTCAAGTGACCAAGACAGAATTTCTCCTTACAATATCAATACAATATCAAGCAGGCAGGTGATGAGAATAGAGAATAATATAAATCATGGGATTATTATCATTTGAATGCCTTTGATGGTGACAATTTTTGTTCTTTTAAATTAATTTGTCCTAAGTGTCGCCGTGCAAATACTTCTTCTGTCTGTACTTGTTAAGTTAAGTTAAGTTAAGTTGTTAATTTGTATTGTATTTAGAATGTTCTGTGTGATTTAGATTATTTGAATTGTAGTTTAGTCGGATCAGGGAAGGGATCTTTTTTCAGGATACTTCTTTCCAGGATATTTTTTACGGGGCTGGGTGTGGGTGTATTAACCAAGTAGGGGACTTATGTTCTATTGTTATGCACCTGTACTTGTACTTGTACAAATCCATTAAATAAGTAAATAATAAATAAATAAATAAATTAGTTGATCCAATACCAAATTCTCTGAACTAACATCATAAGAATTGTATGGCAGATAGTAAGGAGAATTACTGATTAGATCTTGAGAGTGAAAGGCTTAACCCTTTAACCCTTGAGAGTGACTGGCATCTAATTCCTCCTTACAATATCAACCCCAAAATCACACAGAAAGGTCACAAGAAAAAAAGGAAATAATCACCAACGATAGAAGCTCTCGATTGTTCAACAAATTCTCCTTGTCAGCCCCTTAGGAAATGTATTGAGAACAGCTGGGATTACGCTATGCAACAGATGAATCACTGTCCAGCTGACAAGTGTCAACAAAATGTACTAGGCTATCAACCGGATAGCAATTTATCCAGTGGATAGCATTATCTGCCCTTCAATCGACCAGGGCCAGGATTGAGATGTTCAGGTTGGAGATGTAACCAGGTCAATGTGTTGTGTTCTTGAGCCTGATACTTTACCCTCCCAGTGCCTCTCTCCAGCCAGGAGTATAAATGGGCACCAGCATACTATTGGGGAAAAGTTGATGAAATACCTAGGGGTAGCTAGTGATGAGCTGGCATCATAGCCAGGGGAGTAGCTTTACTCCTTGTTGATACCTGCTTCAGAAACTGGAGTAGCCTCTCGCTGGATGGGCCACCTGGCTGAAGTATAGGCCTTATCTTTTACTGTCATGCTATGGAAACCGGAATAAGCTAAGGCATTCTGGACCACCAACTAACATCGGCTGGTGAACGAATGACGGTAGTGTCCTACAGTATCATTGCCTTAATAAGTCTATTTTTTTTTTAAACATTACCTTGAGGTACCCGAATATTTTCCCTTATATCAAAAACTTACGGTATCCAGTTTTCGAAATAATCTCTAGGAAGGCTACATTTAATATCAAAGGATAAATGCAAAGTCACATGCAAGTACTACACCTTTGCTCGAGCTTCAAACTCATCATGCTCAACTTTCTCGTACCAGAAAGTGCTGAAATCCCACAAGCAAAATTCATAAGAGCAGTCCGCGTCAACAAACATGGACTTCAATAAAAATGATTTTCCAGAAATGGAAAAATGTTTCCATGGTTGGGAGTTAAGATTCGGTTTCCAGCGTCGTCTCCACGAAGTTTCTCTTTTAATTGTGGCCGCCATGTTGTTTTGAGGGATAATTTTGTCATGTATGTCTACACATTTTGTCCCTAAGGTTTCTTGACTTCGTTCTCAGTCTCTCTGCGGTTCATTTGAGACTAAGGACGTGTGGAGTGTGTATCAACCGCACCTATCGTAATTGAGCTGAGACCGTGCGGAACGATACTGTGCAAAACGTTTCAAGGGGATCCCAAGATTCTGTTCAAGACAATTTCCTAAGTATCTGCTATGATCGGACGTTGGTGTCTCATTTCGTCCACTCTTCGAACAGTTTTAGGTGGTTAAATATTTTTTGCTTCTCAGTTAGCCGGCTCAGATTATGGCCAGCTTCTAGTTTCCTTTTATAATAATATTTCGAGACCAAGAAAGAAATTGAAAATATCTTTATGAAAGCATGAAGGTAAAAAGCTTTTTGGTGAAGAATTTTTACAGGTAACAGATTTGAGCTTTCTCTACACGTTTTACAAAGGGATTACGGTCAGCATTTTGGCGGAAACATTAATGGCAGTCGATAACCGGCTAAAGAAATAATGGAATCCAAAACAAAGGAAATGTTCTCTTTCTTTACGAACATCTGTTTTCAACCGATTAAACAACCTGATTATTTGGTCAGATGATAAAATCTGCTCACACGATGGGAATTTAAAATTCAGCTCCTACACATTTACAAAACACTGCATTTAACATGCCGCCTGAACAGCTTGTAACTCAGACGAACAGGAAATATTAAGTGAATTACCACGTGGCACCACGTGGCGATCACTTGCTCACGTGGTTACCCAGTCACGAGAGTGTTGTTTAAGTGATTTACTGTTTAAGAGGTCATCATAACGAGGGAACTAAAGAAGACAACTAATGAAACATGTTTACTGATCATGAAATAGAGAAGTGTACTCATTTCAAGCCAGACTGGTGCTTTGGGATGAAAGATGGCAGAAGTTTCTCTTCTGCGATCACTCATTCGTTTTCAACTTCTTTTCAGTTTGAAATGTCAAGTTAATTCTTTCAACCGGATAAACCATGTTCCAGGTTTTTTTTTTTTCATGTAAAACTTTTTGTAGTTGTGAAGGGTAATTGTTGCAAGAGACTGTTTATGGTTTAGTTAGCTCCCATAAAAAACATACACCGTGTAGCGTGAAAAAATCAGTACTTTTTTTATTATCACAGATTTAACACTGTAGCTAAGCTCTTAAAAGCAAGCAGTTCAGATTGAACAGGAATTTCGACGTGGTTTTTGAGATTCCCTTGGACTAACACGATACCTCTAAGAGGAATAGCTTTCACGTTGAAAATCCAGTTTAGACCATCGTAATAATGTAAGCTATTGTATATGAAGTATAAAGATTAAAACGCTGAACTCATATACCATTCTTGCTAAAATTCAATCGAACAGAACTGAACCTTCCATACCTTGATACCAGAGGTTCAGTTCTTGGCCCTAAAATTCTGTTTATCAGTATTATCACACCTTCTTAACAGCGAAATATAGTTCTAAATTAACATCACAGGTGCAAAGTTTCATGAATTCAATATTTCAGGGTGACCCGATTGAAATTTTTTAAAGTAGTCAAGGTAGATAGGCCAAACACCAAAGTATCGCATTAGAGTTTCTCTGGCCTGCGTAAACGTAACTTCTACGACCACAAAGGGCAGAAAATTAGTGACATTTTACTTCAGAGTAATAGATATTTCGTGTGTAAAGCGTCCCCGTACATGCTGTGGGCAGATCCACTAACACCACATGCATGCTATGCTAGCTACAGTTTATAGTCTGTCCACCCACCAAATAACTTTTCGTCACTGCACGAGACACTCTCTCTCACTTTATCGCATTCATTTAATTTGACCCTGCAGGTTGAACTAGACACATTGACGAAGATGGAGTGACGCCGTTTCACAGAATCACAATCAAATAAGGAACAAAATCAGCACTCTCTTTGTAATTAAGGGAAATGATGAATTCGTAGTTTAGTTCGAGTTTGACGCACAACATGTAAACGATAGAAAAAGTAGGAGTAGAGGAAAGGAAACTGACTTTAGATAAAAAAAAAAAAAAAGGATATCGAACGAGACAAGTTTTATATTCACCTTTATTGCAAATAAACCTTTGAGAACAGATTACATTCCTCTGTTTATCTAGTTTTTTTTCTTTTAATGCTGTGGGAGCAGATCTACTTTCTTTTAATGCTGTGGGAGCAGATCTACTTTCTTTTAAATCAGAGAGAAATTAAATTAATTACTGTTTTTAACCATGATTTTCTATGTCAAAAAGGGTAACATTGAACTTCCATTTGACTGCGTTGGCGGGTAACGGGAAATTATTCCATGAGGCGTTCAGCTTGCTCGAGAGTTCAACGATTTTTAAGCGTGAATTAACTTTGCTGGCCTCTAAGCTAAAGGTTATTTCTCGGAAGACTTTCATTTTAAAACTAAAAAATTATAAAAATGAAGTGAGTCAATTTTCAAGATGGACTAAAAATGCTAGAACTTTTCTGTGACATAATGGCATTTAAGGAGGGAAATAAAACTCTTATGAGGCTAAGATGGTGTAAAAAATATCAGTAAATTTGCTCTGAATTCTAAGCCAAATCTCTTAATCTCTATTTGTTTTGGTAGCTAATCGTTTTAAACGGCGCCGACATAAGCGGAGAACTGAGTGCGTCGACATTCGAGATACGAAATCAGTAAAAGAACAGCGATGTCACTAAATGTTATTTTAGTTTTATAGAGCGTTTTAGTATTAGAAAGGGTCGTCGTTGACTTTGGAAAACCCTGAAATACACCACTTCATATCTTTGTACACTCGACAAAGTGCACTACTGCACAAATTGTGCCCAGCTCTATCTAGTTTTTAAATCAATATTCGAAGTTAAACGACAGTGAAAAATACGATGAGCATAAGCCGTATTAAGTGTTATCAAGGAATATTTTCAGATGAGATCCGCTTGTAACTTAATTGTTATCAAGAACTGCCTCTTCTCTATCAAATTTCATGTTAGAGGCCTTAAAAGCAACAAAAACCTTAAGACTTCCTGCTTTAAGACAGAGGAGAGAGTGATGAATACCCCACACCAGTGATCTTTTAGCCAAACTCCCACGCTGAAGCGGCATCTTTCAGATCATTTCAGGAGTAAAGCGGATTTGTGAGATCCATTGTTTGACAAAAACAAATTGGCCTCGTGTTTCATGTCCTAAGCATATGCTCGCGGTGCCACGGACACAATGTTTTCTTCGTTCCAATCTCTCTCTAAAATCATGTGATTGAAGCTCCCTTACATGCATGTGGACTAACGGGCCATCATTTTTTCGCTTGAGGTGTCTCGTTTGACGGCATCTTTACAAGTTGATCTCTAATTGAAAGTTTAAGATAAATCAGCTATCTGAAAAGGTTCATTTGGTTTTTTTTACGATAAAAATCACCATAAGCTGCAAAACGGCATCATCTGCAAAACGGCATCATCAGTTAATTACATCGTCAGGAACAAACTGTTTTTAATCCTCTTATGCAATTCACATTTTTTTAACCGGCGGCGCTAAAAATTAAAAAAAAAACCGCTTAGCAACACAAACAGTCTCAAAAACAGACGGAGTAGGCGAGCCAAAACGAACGTTAAAAATGAGCAAGCTTTGACAGAAACACAACCAGTGTTATGTTCTTTTTTTTTTTTCTTTATCTATCAGGAATCAAAGGGCTTAAGAACGACTAATCTCTGAGATAAAATGCTCAGAGAAACATTATCTAACTTGTACACAAGAATAAATTTGCGCATTCAGTTTCAACTGTATCAATGTTTATCCTCTACAACACCGAGTGTTTAAGAAGAGAAACAACACTAATTCCCTCTATGTATCATTTTTATCCGATTTAGGGTTTCCTTAACAGCTATGAAACCTGAGGAAGAAATTCCCTGACCGCCAAATGTTTTGAACAAGAAACAGAAGTTGATAGTTTAATACACTTTGATGTTATTTTCCTTAAGAACAGACAGTCATAATCAACAGAACTTCTTGTCTCCAGACAAGGCGAAAAATCATGATTTGTGCGTCTTATATAAAGTGTTCAGTCAAAAGAAGGTCGATCGCCGTTAATAGGCACAGCAGACAATTTTCAATATTTTATAACTGAACCTATGCGAAAACTACGAAACTGGAACGACAGATTTGGAATAAAAAGATTTAACCATAGACCAAAGGAATTATTTAGTTAATTATAATTTTTAACTGTACTTTTTAGCAAACCATCAGCAACGAAATTATGAGGAAATCTCACGTTCTACTCTTCTCACCACAAATTAATGCAGTTTCATCACTGTAAAATAAACATTCACTCGTTTCTTGGAAGTTTAGAAGCAAGTGAAAAGCCATATGAACTAATTGAATTTATTCAGTTCAAAAGACTGCAAATCTGCACCGATTCAACGCGGAGAAATTAGATGTCGTGATATCGTATGCCGTTCTTGTTTTTGACTCGTTTAATTGTTTTGCTCGGAAAAAAACTAGGATAAGGTATAGTTTGAAATATCTTATGTTAAGTGAAACTCAATCCTGATTTGCCATCCCTTAACTCCTCTCTAATGCGCTTATATCGCCATCAGACGTGTCTGAAAAAGTGTGGTCTAGAGTAAAGATCGTGAATCCCGGGCGACTTCCACGAAACAGAAGAGTCGAGCTTCACAAATCGCTTTAATGACTAAACGTTCAAGTCTTAACTCTCAAGAAAGGACAATTTTAACAAACATTACCGCTGGCGATGCTCTCAAATGAAAGCAGTGGCTTAAAAGGCTTTGTGAATTTCGTAAGTTATTCAGATCTTTTAATTAACTGAATTGCCCGTAAGCTTGATATCAGATTCTCCAAGCGCTTCTCAATTTCCGTGGTTCGTGGGCTTTGATTGTGGGTTTATGCTTTGACAAAAGAGCAAGTCCGTAAGTTTTTCGGTGATTAGTAAGCCTTTCCGTGAGCTGAAACGATTTTCTCGCATGAGTTATGTTCCATAGAGTAAAGAGTGGGTGTGTGGGAGTGGTAAAAGATAATTTTTAAAAAAGTATGGCACACCATGTAAACATTATTTCAAAGGCCAATTTGCTTTATTAGTTACCACTTTGTTACTATTTTATGCTTTGAACAAGAATAGGTCTAAAATTAAAGCAACAGGAAATATATGGGTGTGACACTGTTACAAGACCGAGATCCAAAAAAGTTTTCATTTCGGATAATTGCTAGTTTATCAACTGATTGTGGCTGCCCACTGTCGCCTTCTCAAGTGACTGTACCCTGCAGACTACTTTGTAATTAAGTGAGTAGGTTTTTTACACGCAAATGAATTGAACAAAAACAACGGGTTAAGAATTCAGTTAATGCGTCAGACAGGGATTAAAAATAGTGTCGTTGTGAATTTACCGCAATTAACGCCTTTTCTCCCTGCTGTTTGCGTTCTGTTTCGTCGCGTGAAACCTGCTGAAGCGGCACTCACCGCAAAAATTGACACCCTCTTGAACGGGTGTCGTGTGTCTCACGAACGCAGACTTGTTTCTGTTTTATCACTTGCAGATCTCTAAGCGACCACAGAATCTGTTTACGTTCAAAACCACTTAACACCCTGAATACAACGTCAAAGGATTCTTCAGATACCAAGTCGCTTAACGCATCTCGAATACAACTTGTAAAGGAAATAATTCTCTAAGGAAGATAAAGGAACAGTTAACTTTTAATCATTGCAATTTGACTGTTATAGAAACATTTTTGTTTGACGGCATGTTTTGAGCTCTCGCCCTGCTTGAGGATAAAGCTGAAAGAGATGTCATGAAGCGCAGTGAAGTTTTTTTGTTGTATTTTGTGTTAGAGAAGTTCATAATCCAATTATCAGAGAGTGTGATCTTTCGTTAAACACAGCTGCTACTCAATTAAGGTTTGAGTGGGGAGCCATACAATTATAAACAAGATTTGCTCCATTTTTCAGCTCCTGTTGCAGTTTTGTGATAATCGAATACTAGATGCGCTAATTTTGTGTTCATTTTCTTTGTTTTTCTTCAAAAGGCCCATTTAAAATATGTCAAAATACGGAAAAACCTAGCACTTTTAAAGTACATTAATCAAACATTCACGCCCCTGAGTCCGCCCAGGGCGAGCCCTCGTTGACAGCGCGTGGCTAATTGCAAGGACGTGCTAACATTTCTTTTCAACAGCGCGGCTTAATTTATCCCCGTAATTAACATCTTCATGTTCTGCAGCACCGTTGAAAAGGCCCTCGTCAAATTTACTTGTTTCATTTGCTTCAGTTATGTTTATCTTTGTCATGATTACTTTTCGCGTACACAAGAAAAGTTCAGTACTGCACAGTTTACTAACAAAGGACCGCCTTTAATTTCGTTTCTTAATTTCCAAATTTACGACAGATCGGTTTCGAGCCAAAGAACATGCCAATTAGTGACAAAAAACGGAAGAGTTAGGAGAAACAGGGATACAAACCACAATAAATATTTACGTTGGAACATACTTTAATATTGCTCCGAAATCATGCTTAAAGTTTTGCACTTCAAGTTTTTTCTAAGTAACACTCTTTTCACAACTCAAAGCTGAAAATCTGTTTTGAAAGTCACCAATACATTTGTTTGTATCAAGAGAGACTTAAGAAGGCCTTTACCAGGCGACTGATAAAACAAACTTTCGTGAACTGAGCTTCAAAAGAATTTGACCTACAAAACGAGGTAAGATTCCTTCGTACACAAGGAAATGTCCCACAGATGCGTCAATCTGAGCTTAAGGGCAAGTAGGAAAACCTTGCCTTCAAATAAAATCTCTTTTAAAGTGGATTTTGCTATATGCGGGTCATTTTTCACAAAGTACACTAATGCCATTAAAAGGCTATAAATGATAAAGCTTAACACTTTAAGACATGTTAAGAGAATTACCAGAATCCTCTTGACACACTAAGATGTATTCAGACTATGATTACCTCGTCTAGATATATAACCCTCTTTAAATGTGTTTCTTGGTTAAACTTATAGGTTAACTTACTTACTTCTAGACTTTTTTTTACATCAGTTTTTATAGTTGACTTTATAGTCTTCCAACTGCAGTTTGTTACAACTATACAAAAGTGCATTACATTAGGTACAAAGAAATTTTCACTTCGCATTACATAGCTCGTTTCATCGTAAAACAAATCACATTTCTGCTCTAATACGCAATAATTTGTATGATAATTTTTTTAATATTTTTAGTTCATTCTTTAGCCAAAAGTTCTGAATGTACACGGATACCTGCCGTTTATACAATGTCATACAAAACTACAATGTACAATATAGAGACATAAATAGGTAATTTAATTTAATTTATCTCCGGAGTTGCCCTACGTTTTTGCGCTAAACTACACTATTAGCGCTGAAAAAGCTCATTGGTTATCATAAAAAAAAATATTGGAGAACAAAGTTTGCTATCTCGCTAAACGTGAACAAGCACTAGATTTATGATAGCAAACATTGTTTTTATCCTAAATATTGCAAAAAATATATATAATGCAAATCTGTGTCCTGTAAAGACAACCTATGAATAAATACTAACTGCACAACCTGGTCAGTCAATCACACAGTCATGCCTTTCATCAATATTAATTCCGATAGAAGTGGCAATCAAGTAAAATTCTTTAAACGCATACTTTTTTTGCAAAGAACAGTTATGCGAAAGTCAAAAAGGTTGTAGCAGGGCAGCCACGATTGAGGAAAGAGAAAAAATTCTCTCTCTCCTCTTTTGTAATTTTAATTCGACATCCAGCGTATTGCATTCACGAGAGCTCATAAATGCCCAATAAAGCATTTATTTTCATCAGCAGTCCTGGATACCAATGCATTCCTTGTTGAATTGACATGTCCATTCTCCAGAGATTCGACGCAAAACTATGTACAAGTCTCAGAGGACTGAAAACCATGTGCGCAATATCGTGATCGGCTATCATGGCATAGCATGAACACAGAACACCATCCACAATGACATTACCTTGCATGGTTACTGGTGCGACCATGCCAGTTCGTTTGACAACAGACACTCTTCTCACCAACGATGGGACAAGCTTGCCTTGTGATGAAACTTGCAGAAACTCGCCAGGTAACACTTTTCCGGCTTGTTTTGATTTTAGCCGACTCTCTGAGGAATTGCTCGTGGTGAAAATAAGGTGCGAGGGTGTAAGTGTAATTCGTTTGGCGGGATTTTCGGTCTCGATTAAAACGTGCGAAGCACGAGGTATGTCGGGTTTAAAATCTGCGAACATTACAATTTCACTGTAACCCAATTTTCCTTCCTCTGTCATAACCTGTACAATGTCACCTATTTGCAGATTTCGGACCCGCAAATCAGCGCCATTTTCCAGTTTAACGACTGAGTCAGAGCTGAAACATCCTCCCCAAGCTTCTTCTTTGTAGCCATCTGCAAAACAACGATGAGGATACCATTTTACTTCCTTCAAACCGTTGGGGCCGCTTATTAATCGACCAATAAATCACTTCCATAATTTTTGTAAAGCAACACGAGGATGCAAGTTCGTTTTGGTGAAAGGTGGGTTTTCGCAGGAAGGGGCCAAATATAAAAAAATCTGTCGTCGATGGCCGGAAAAAACTCAGGAAATTTCCTTTGTACTTCTAAAATTGGATTTGCGTGTTAACTCAGGGGCGGTGCAAAAACTATTACCCATGCTAACCAAAACATCAGCTGCATGGACTTGAGCAAAGCTCAATAACAGGTTTGGCGCGGTAAAATCTAAAATTCAGAAAGTCTCATCGGTGCGGATTTGTACAAATAATGCAGCGTTTTCGCGCGTTTTCGAAATGTTGGCATCCCAAAATCATTAACTTAAGCTCTTTTGAATTAGATTAACAGTATTTACCTTCGCGGACTGAAGCGTGAATGTGAGTCCTTTTCTGGTAGTAAACCCAGTCAAACCCAGCGTCAACAGCTAGTCGCCCTAGATAACCGATTTTAGTCCTGTCCTTGTCGGACAAACGTAGGTCGACTGCTCTTCCTTCGTAATGCAGCGAATTTTCCGAATGCTGTCCCTGTTCATCCCATGCTTCTGTAACGACGAGCTTTACTGTGGGCCATTGTCGTCTTACAAGATCCGCCAACGTGTTCAATTTGTCTTGGCATCTCTAATGGAAAAAAATTTACAAGGTCCGTTTATGTTCGCGCGATGGTTTCGACGATGTTTGTCGTAAATTTATGAATGAATGAAAATCGCGCACGAACTATCTAGACTACATAAACCTCACAAGAAGCGACATGCTGTGCATTCAAGAGATTTTACGCGAGATAGAAAATGTAAACAAACGAAAGATGTGCTACCTTCGACATCAAGCGATCTGCCCCGGTTCCTTCTTCGTCTTTGAATATTATGGCGTTGTTGTAGCAGGGTTTAAGTTTATCAAACTCAGGAGAGTTTCTTGTTATCTTTCCTTTTGATGGTCCACTTGCTTGCTGACTGTCTTCTGGAGTATCTGGCACGTTCTGTTCCAGCATTAAAGCTTTTCTCGGGCCTCTTTTGTCCAGCGCATTTGTGGAGCCGCTGCACGACAGTGAGAGCCTAAACTGCACTAAAAGCAGTAGAAATACAAGAAAAGTGAAACGAATGAAAAACGAGGCGGTCGCAATTTCCATGTCACTCAAAGCCCTCCAATCGTAAGTTTCTTCGAAATATGCCCTGGGGCAAACTGTTCTGTCTCGAGGAAAAAACTTTTAACGGCGAAGTCTCTTACGGCGAAGTATTCGTTTCCTCAGCGACATGTTACTGAAAGCAACGATTCGTGTTCAGGTTTTACATGTGACGATTAACACTGCTTGCCTATGATTGGTTGTTTTTGATGTGACTGGCATCATGCGTCGTTTATTCGATGGGTGTGTGAATTGAACGACTTCCTGGCTTATTCCTACACCTGCCAAAATTCGCTTTTCTTCTTGTCCGAAAAAATGCGTTAGTTTCGATCAAAAGGCATTTCAAAAATTTTATCACCCGAGCATTTCCTTTGCTAATGTGTCGGGACTTTCAAAATGCGAGAGGTTAACTACCACTTTGGCTTTGAATCTGCTAAAACTGCTAAAACTAATGAGTTGGTAATTTGCGGGTGCATTGAAGTTCTTTTTTTAACCAATCAACACAAAAAATTTAATTATTACTGTACAGACTTCAGATTCCTGTCAACACTGCTTTCTGAAATTAAATGAAGCAATCTTATGATGCAAGAAATACACTTCACTGTCCACTAGTGAGGAAGGATTGTCTAAACACCAGCTAAATTATATTTGTTTTGCTTTTTTTTTCTCTCGGTTTTAAATTAGAAATATCAGCCAATTTAGGATGACTCCCTTCACGTATGCAGTAAAAGCATGCCTGCAGAAAAATGTCCTTTTGATGTTTCTCACAAGCAAATCACATTACATCCAGAAGCTATGCAACTTAAGTTGGAATGCGATCCCTTTTGAATATAAAAATTAGTGCCAGAGTAATTATTGTTAGGCAAAACAACATGTCAGTTACATGTTTACTGAAAGGAAGGTTTGAAATCCCTATTTCATTTAAATGACTTTCTTTCATCTCATGTCACATGTATCGTTTTGGTATTCATAGAGTTCAGTGCAAACAAAGACAAACCTTGCTCATTTAATTAAACTTTATTAACTTTGCAAGTAGACAAGACACAAATAGAACACACTTCTCTTTAGCGGCATCTCTTTAGAGTTTTTCAAACATTCCGTGTGACCTCGATCACCGAATTTCCGTGATTTTTCACCACATGTTTAGTTCAATATTTGTAGCTTTCAATTTTAAACCAAGCAGGATTCTTCTCGTAATCCTTGCAAATTTGTCTTGAATTATCGATATTCCGATATCGACCTATCAATCACGGAATCATATCAATTCAGGGAGAAATTCAAAAAGCGTTCTTCCAATTGGACAGCTTTTTGAGAACGACGCCAAAGAAATGAAAACATATCTGAACTTAAATGAAATCGTCATTGGAAGATCTTGTGGTGTAAGGAGCCATATGTAGCGATTGAAAGACGATTCGACGAAATTTACTCGAGACGATTCCAATTACGTTTGTTCTAGCGAAAACAAAGTCGTACCGTATACACTTACAAGTAATATTTCATGACACACCAAATTTGAAGTCACTGTTGTCTTATGTAGACCAGTTCCTATCAGTTATTGTATTATTACATGGTCTCTGCGGTAATCTCTAGATCCATTGTCATCAAATAAATTCGCCACTAGGAGTCATTTTTTTCATCCACGCCTCGAGGGCTAAAAAGTGCACGCGAAAAACAGGCTTGTCACAACAATTTGCTTCTAGAGAGTTGTGTGGAATTCAAAAGATAGTGATCTTTTTATACTCTTTTTTTTGTTTATGGCACTTCAGCTATTCAAATGTAGATTGCTTCATTAAAATATTTTCCTCTCGTGTGGTGATCAAAGGAGTCGTCGGCTAGAGCATTCAGCCGCGCTTTGCATGCACGCTTTTTTTTTGATGCCAAGCCATTCATTAGCCTCCATGTTCCTCTCGCATAAGCCAAAGAACAAAACACAGAATCCTCAGAAGAAAACAGGGTCAGCTTGAATGAGTGATTTTCAACTGATCTTGCACCAGCTGAGGCTTTTGATGGAGTTTGCCTAAATTGACTAAATAGATGTTCTAATTTGTCACTGTCTTTTCATTATTCCACATAGCACGTGAGACCCCCAGATTGAATCGTGCTCCGACTTCCGGAATTAAAATTGGGGCTCTGCAGTCCTTTGAGAAGTTCATACCTTAATCCCGCATTTTAACATTCCCTGAGGCTCTTCCAATCTCTTTTTTTGGCCGTGAAAAAGCAAGCGCTCTAATTGCGTCGTGTTATTTAAATAGCCAATTCCGGCTGACAAAATTGTTTGTTCACTTTCGTCCACCTTAGAAGCGGAGGCGTGTCTAGCACTAATTGCTGGAACGAAAGCGAGTATGAAGATTAATTAGAGCGATTATCGAGACGAGCTTTTAGCGCGTCAATTTTACTTGTGAACTGCCCCGGCTTTAATTGCTTTGGGGTGACAGAGCTGAGCGATAAGTTTATTTACAGGAAATGCCAAAATCGCCTTATTTGGAGAGGCCTTTCGGAAGCCCTCTCTTTACTGCACCGGCCATGCTCTTCAAAGTTGTTGCCTTTGCTGGCAAGAAACTGATAAATAAATGATCTGATAAGTGGGTAAACGATAGTGAGCGAAGTCGAAGACAGCTTCCTATCGGCAATAGAAGATCTGTAACCGAGGAAAACCGGTCAACGTAGCCAATAACATACCAAGCCATATATCGAGACAAATGTTTTGGTTTCAGCACACGATGTCATCGATTCTTACTCATGCTACTCACAGCTTGGAGAAATGAGGCTCAGTCTTTTCTTCGCGTAAAACATGATCAAAGTAAATGGTAAAATATCATCGCCTTAGCTTAATCAAACTTAAGGTCTTTTCCGTCAGTTATCTCAAACAAAATCAACCGATTGCTTACTTTCGGGTTTACAAAAACAAAGAAAGAATTCAAATTGAAAAGAAAGTCATTTTAAGTTTAATCCTATGTGGCTAAAGTGCTGATAGAGGCCACTTTTAAGTACAGAGTCTCGGGGAACTTGAATACTATCCAAGTTTAAACTGAATTCTTTCCGAGTTTAAACTTTTTCAACTTCCAAACTATGCAAAGGCACGCTTCAGTTTCAAGTCAGCTTCGTCTCTTCGATTTTTTTTTTTCATTCATCAAGCTGGTTGAGGTTCTGTTCCAGAAAATATTACGTAACTTCAACTTCCACTTATTTTTTTCCGGAAAGAGGTACTCATTCTAACCTGTTTAAACCGAACACAGGAAAATAAAGAACAGCTTTCATCATTACATTCTTTCAGCGTCTCAGAAGGTATGTTTTCAACACCTGATGGTAACATTGTTTCGTTAGACTCTTTGTTATACATTTGAACTGTTTCTAAAACCAAAATTTTTTTTTCGGATAACAATGCTAACATGATAAGAAGTCTTGAAAATTCGATGAAAAATTAAAGTTTACGGCTTTGAAATATAAAAATTCTTCTTTCACAGGAGAAACGATCAATGACGCTGACTTCCTTTTTCGAATTCCACTCATAAAAATCTCATCACTTCCTCTCCAATCCACTTACTCGCTATCTATGCCACACATTTTCTTTTGGTAGCTCTGTAATCTTAGTCACAACAACTTTTGCTAATAGACATCCACACACCATTATTCGTTTTCATTACTAATTGTAAAATTCACATTTTCGACCAAAAACTCGTACCATCGCATTTTTTGCAAAAAATTTTGTGACTGAACCCCTATTTGTGGAAAAAAATCATTCGATTCCAAGACACCCACGCCATCTATACCCTGATTGTCATCAAACCTTCCACAAGATAAATCCAACCCAAGGAATAAAAGATAACTTTGTTTTGGAAATCTGGGATTTGCATAAGAAATCTCGGCCTGACTCCACTAATTAATTGAAGTTATTTTGGATCCAGAGACTCAACGGAGCCTTGTCGATAAAATAATGTTTGCTCTAAATTTAGAGGCCGTTTTTAAAATAAACATGGGCAAGTTCTTCCTTCCTTTCAGGAAAAAGAAAGAACGAAAGGATATCAACTTAGAGATGAAAAGTTTTTGACTTAAAGTATTTTAGTGGCAGTCGACCTTAAACAAACTCAGCTTCGTAAGAAGTAATTATAACTGTATAGACCCAAATCAAAAGCATTGTTTCAATTAAGGAAATACACAGCTCATTTATAAGTAATGCTCGCGCCTCTAAAAATAATTCTGTTATAAGAACTTTCGACCACGGTGATCGATAACGAGATATTCTGACTATTTTTGGAGTATTGAACGCTTCAACTTCAATAGCAAAGGCAGTTTACCTCTTAGTTGATGGGCAAGAAAAAAAATTTGAAAACAGATCTCATACTGGTTAAGTTAAATGAACACACAGCAGCATGTTCGTGCTTGTGCAGTTTTCTCAAAGACCAGAGACATTGTGACTCTCATAGCTTATCAATTAATGATTAAAAACATTCCCCCTATGCAGCGAAATTTCTTGAAAATTCGATCACTTTTTGAAGTAATAGCTGTGAAGTCGTAACGTCTAAGTTAAAATCTAAACCAACCTTTCCTTTTTGTATTCACACTTGATTAAACTTTAAAAACTTACCTTTGGTCAATATTTTAAATTGCTAAAAGTGACACACGTTTAAATTCTTTAAAAGCGATCAAAAGACATTTTTTTTTAAAAAAATCAAACTTGTGACTATATTTGCATTTTCTTTGCCACCGATCTAGAATTCTTCAGAAAAAAAAATTTGATTGCGTCTTCTATTAATAAGTAAAATGATGCTGAACTTTGGATATGCTTTATCCAAAAATCTGTTAAGGTTTGCAACGATCAGCTATCTTATCAACCCAAGTGGAATTCAAGCTGAGAAGGCGTTTCTTTTGGTTCAAGAAAAAATAAAACATTGTCGAACATCTTTTGTCTGAAAACGGAAGTTAGAACAGCTATAACCCTTGAATTTGGAAAATGCCTTTTCACTTTCCATTTTTCACCAGTTTATCAGTTCTAAACATCGTTTGACTGCATTCAAATTTAAGAAGTGCAATGAGGTGAAAATTATTCTGTAATCAGATGTCCTTAGCCGAAAATGTTACCCCTTTTTTTGTCACTTTTTCCGAATCCTATATAGTGGCGTCTCTACAGTGAGAAATGCTAAGATTTTTCGTGCAGTATGTGGAGTACCGTTTAAAAGTAGTAACACAGCAACACAAATCTCAAATGAGCGAAACTTATAGACGTCAATTTGTAACCGTCGATAAAGCTGATACAGCTAGCAAGTTAATTCCGCCAGAGTGAGTCTCTAGCTCTCTTCACTAATTACAACACGTTTGATATGACACTTGAAAGCATTGAACAATTCAAAAGGGAATGATTTTCTCTCCTCCTCACTTACAGAGTTATGATATATTTTTTTTCGCTTTTCCTCATTTTTCGGTTCTTAAAAACGATAAATTAAAAGCAATCCATAGTGATACAAATACGAAAGGTGACCCAACATCTATTTGTCCCAACCACCGTTTTTCTCTGACGAGGGTTTCGCAATGGATTGAATTAGACAAACAATTCTTTCAAAACAAAGCACACTTCTGGTACAGATAGCTAGCTTTACACCCACTGAGCATCACAGGGGAAAAGATACCAATTTTCACGTTTTGTTTATCTCTTACCTCGCTTTATTTAACTACTAAATTTACCGAACGGAAAAAGATTGATTCTGCCGCAAATTCAACTTTACCAATTCTTTTCGCATTTTTTACTAGCTTTCACTGAACACTTAAAGACTCTGCCTCGCTACTAAGCCGTCTTTCAACAGTTTTCCCTCATTCGTCACTCAATTACAGCAGCTAAACAATTTCATTTCAAGGCGTTAACTTTCTTCGGTCAGGCCTTATTAACCTTTCCATCATGATATCGTACACAAGGTTGCTAATACCCCTTGAAGAAGTTGTAATCACTCACTGAGACAGTTATCAGTCATAAGGACAGACGGTTCAATCTTTACGTGCAGCACTTGAAAGATACAAACCGTTAATTACTTCACAACACTGTTTATTATAAATAAGATAATTTGCTTTTAACTGTTCTTGTGTTTTTATTAATCAATCCCTTCTCCAAAAGTTTGCTTGTTTGAAAACAATAGCATCGTCTGCCTAGACTCGTTTACGCGTCGAAATTAAATGTTACAAAGCGTCTTGGTGTTATTGTGAAAAACAAGCAACGGACGTTTCTGTGTTTCAAGATGACTTCCTGTTGAAGTATTTTACCATAAGTTCGGCATCCAAAGAACGAAACGTTTGACGTCAAAATCAAAGGTGTTAAAAGGTTTTTAACACTGACAAATGTTTTACTCACACTTCCAAGATCCGCACGCGATAAAGCAAGGATTTCTGGTTTACCGTGGCACACGCAAGTTGAGAGGATGTGAAAATATTTCGGAAATAAAAATATTTTTACTTAATGAAAGAAAGGCAAGGTGTTGACAACTGCCAAGAAAGGTGTTAATTGCATTTTTGTCTCAAAAACAGTCTGACACACCTATGACGAACGCGCGTTCCTCTCATCTCGAAAAGCACCGGAAATCCGTTTACATTCGTGAGACAAAGAACCAATTTCACCTTAATTAAGAGATGTCGCTAAGAAATCCTATAAACATTCCTAAGCGGGCGATGTCGCTTATTGTTGCATTTACCCAAACACTTTCCAGATAAGAGGGAAATCAGATTATTTTCGCGGTATCTCTGGTCCGTATTAAAGTGCCAACTGAATGAAGCTTGCGTCTCTCTTTCAACCAGCTTTACCATACATTACAAAGTAAAGAGTACATGATAAGATTGTAAACTCTTGCGTCTCATCTGATATCTATGACTATAAACGGACAAAATGATGAGTTGTCGCAGTAAATCAGTGATATCTAACCTAAACACGGATCTCCAACTACCAGCCTTCATTTCTCTTCATTTCAGTGGCCCAATTTACGAAGGATTCCAAAATTTTGATATTTTGTGGCGAGGAACTGCATGCGTAGATGTCGTCGGTTTGCATAGGATCTGCAAAAACTCTGATCTTCCAAAATAGAAACAAAAGCAATTAAAAAAAAAGAACAATGGAATTCAATAACTAATTAGACTACGAAGCAAATGTGAGCACGACACGGACATGATAGGGTTTAAAGTGAAAGCCATGATACAACCATGATTAACATTTTTTGCCCGTTTGGGTCTCTTCAGCACGCCATAGCTGCACAGAAGAGAAAACAGAAGTGACGTCAATTTTCTACTAACTACACACAGCTATGACCACTCATTTAATATAAAATTGTTTACCGTGTTGCTTGGTTTTGTCTTTATGTTCTAACTTGCTGACAACTGAGACCCAGCAAGACGAAAACAGCCGTCCACGGTTAAAATATTTGCTATGAGATTCGAACCTATCATTTCGAAGTAGTGTTAAGCTCTATGCATAGAATCAAAGGTGCTAATTTTCTCGTTGACTGATGTAAAGTTAGCTTCATGAGACAGTGCAATGTGGCGTACAACTTGTACATGCGGACGGTGCGTTCATAACCGCGCAGCAGTTATCTTATCTCAGGTTTTTTAAACTCGTTGCGACAACATATGAAACTGATGAAATGGAAACGCGAGAGCGGGATCGAAAGACCTTATTGTGAAACCCTATGGGAGGTATGGTGGACAACTTAAATCCAAGCCGTGTCAGAGACATGTTACATGATTTGAGTGGCTAGATCCTGAGCGTCTACGACATTTAATGCAGATCTAGCGTTTAACACTAGTTCCGAAGCCGCACTACTCGGTACAGCTCGTGAAAGGTGAAAAAGGGGACAGAGAAGAAATCCAATGAGGAGGTTCCCACATTGGTGTTTTACCGGTATTTGAAGGCTTTCAAAATTGTTTCAGCCAACCATACAGTGTCCTATAAGTCAAGAGTACTGGGGAGGTTGCATTAACTGGAGATACACACCAGGACCCGCTTAAATGACGTCTTTGCAGATGTATCTTTTGAGAGGGCCATATATTATCGTAAAAGCATGTCTTTTAAGGATAGTAAACCTTATGCAAAATTCTGCCGAGTAGGGATGTTTACAATTATAAAGCAAAGCAGCCGGTTGAAGAAAAAGCGGGCATATCAGTGCGTTCACAATGTCAAGACCAGTCCGAGGATTAATGTACACTGAGACGCACCAATGAAAGCGCAATGAGGAAACGGCTTGTCAAAAACGAACCAATAACAGCGTGCTAAACTGAGAAAAACCAAAAACATTTTTTCACAAACGCACCAATAACAGCGCACCAATAAGGGCATTATGCTTCAGATAGCAACGCTTCATCAATAGACCTGATCGCATGAATAAGACTGTTAGAAAAGCTGTAGAAACGTTGCGACTAGCTATTAACAATGACTTTGCGTGACAAGAGAGACGCGGTTTTTTTTTCATTCAAATGAGCCCAAAGGTTGCAAAATTCACAGATCAGCTTATGGCGACCCTTACCCGCAGGAATCCAAATTCTGTATTTCTTCTGATTGCTTGAATGTCTTACGAAATGAATTCCACTGAGAGAAGTAAAAGAGTCCAAACAACAACGTCTCAATCAGGCTTTTTCTTGTTTTAACCTGCAGTATCAAACTTATCAACGATGAGATAATTTGGCTATATCAAATCAGTTGATAAGGTAAGTTGGCCACCATAAAGAGTTTCCAAAGATGACGTTACGAGCGTCAGCCCTTTGTCAGTAACCCGCTCTGAATAAGGGCTAATGCTGGAAACTTCAGCTTTAAAAACTCTGCACGATGGCAGGAGCCCATTGCTTAAGTAATGGCTCCTAACGGTGGTCATTTTGCACTATCAACTCGGTCGATAAAGCCAAATATCTTGCAATACTCCCGCCGATGCAGCACCAAAGTTTCTTTACAAACATACCCTATTTATTCATTTATCAACGATGATATCAATAAAGCAACTTGTGCCTCGAAAAGTTGGCGATACTTATAGCATGGTAATCTTCTTCTTTCACCAGGGGAGGCAAGCTCTCCCCTCTAAAAAGCTATATTGTTATGCGCAGTCGTGAAGGGGAAGTTTTTGAGCTGTTCTGGCCTGGAAACAAGTTTACACTATAATCATTATGGCGTTAAATCGGGGAACTACGAGAACGAATAAACATATCTGTCTTTTTAAATCTAGCTGTATAATATAGAAAAAGAGCTTACCAAAATCAAGAGACCATGAGCTCATCCTTTCTGGCCAAACCAAATCGTTCCGACTGAATTTTAAGGGAGTTTTAATACTTTTTAATTTCAACACTGAAGCGAAGCGTCAATCAGCTACAACACGCAAACTAGGTACAACTTTGAAAGCCTAGTCTGCAACCGTGTATAGATTGTAGAGGCCTGGTCCAAAAAACGAGGATAAAAATGGCTTTTTTTGGACTGAAATCCTGGGTCAGGATTTTAAAAAGTAGGCTATACACACCCATAAAGAATTCCGAGTAGTGCCTCACCCCCCCCTTTTTTTTTTTTTTTTTTTTTGCAGGCTTTTTCTACAATCAGGAACGCTAGATAAGTTTACTTAAAGTGATGAGATTCCTTCAACGAAGGATTTTCAATAACAAAAACAAACAAAAAAAAGGAAGCGAATGACGGTTAAAAAGGCAAAGTGAGTTGTTTTAATACATGGTGAAAGTCCAAAGGAATCAAAGGAGTCTGGACGAGACTTAAAACACAATCATTCGGTTTCTAATTTGCTATGATAAGCTATTCTTCCAAAATAAATAATTTGAAAATCTTACGAGGTTGAAAGAAATCTATTATGTTATGCATTCTTTGACTTGTAAAATATAAAAAAGTAAACCTTTTCTACACACACAAACGATTACAAAACTTTCTTCAGCTAACTCCACAATAGAAGTACAACTCATTCTGTGATTCACTAGCCATTCTTGAGTGCAAGCTGTCGTTCTCGACTCTAATTGGTTTAGCCATTTTTAATCAACTAGTTTCCAGTCAGCGCGCCGTAGCCTCTGAATGTTGAGCCGAATTGTGGGAGTATTACTTGGGTGGAGCCTGTTAAACTGGTTGATGACATCATGTTTTGAAAACCAATTGTTTGCCACCTTGAAATACGAAGAGAGAAAACGTTTTTGTTATTTTTGATGTTTTATAGAAAGTAATCTGAGCGTGCAATTTTTAGCTTCGCTTTCCTCAGTGGTTGGTCTTGATAACTTGCGCCAGCCTCTGAACCAGTCAGAGGAAAAATTAAACATAGCCCCATTGTATCGCTCACTTTTCCGACGCCTGGGCCGTGTATTACCAGTTGCTTTGATTTCTCTTGGGCTCCTTATGATATTTTCCTTTTCCTGACAGGACGTTCCCTTTGGTTATTTAATTACTTTTTAAAATTCAACCGAGATCATTGTCCTTTCGCGGCAATGCATCTCAAAGGGTAATTTTAGGTCCACAAAACTGGTACTATCTACCAGCTTTACACTTTACACGGATCAAGCTTTACATAATTTCTATCTAATTACGTGTTTGATAAAACAAAAATGTTTCCTTCACCCTTCTTAGATGGTTGTAATAATTTTGTCAAACTCTTCCTTCTTAAAAGCGGAAAATGTCCAGTGCAAGGCCGTGTGAGGGTGTCTAACGGTTAAAAGTTTTGCCATTTTACGGTTAACGGTTAACGGTTAATTTACTTCCGTTATGGTTAACAGAAAAGTTGTTACGTTTAACTGTGTTAACGGTTAACCCACCCTCCTGAGTGCGAAATAGCGTTACAGGGCTGTATGGCAGAGGCAGGTTGATTTTGACCGTCAGAACTAAATATGCGTTTTGCGGTTGCCTGAAATTACTTATTTTAATCGATGCCCCTTTTTCTGATGGGGTTTCTGTTATTTCAAACAAATTAGTCTTACGCAGATCACGAGTTTGTACTTACTGCTACAGGTCGCACTGGATGCTGCAGTGGAGGAGAAGTCCTGGAGTTGAACACTGGTGTTACCACTTCCCGCCGAGCAAAGCTACCCATGGCTTTGTTCACGATTATCGGGGGAGGGGTGGGTGATGTGATCTTGCCTTGATATTTAGGTTCTGCTGGCGTTGGACTGGGGAACATGGCCTGACGGGACATATGTGAACTGAGAGGAGACTCCTTTGGAAAAGGAAGATAAATTTGACCTTCTCTGTAGGAAAAAGGAAAAATATTGTCAACATCTCCAGCAAGAATACAACAAAGAAAGAACAAATGATGACAGATTGTCACATTGAAAGCCCTGGTAAAAATAAATTACATTATTTGTTCTTTTGTCAATGCAGTTTAAACAACAATAAGTTTTAATTTAGATTGAAAATGAAGCGGTTATTTAGGTCTTGGGATTATAACTTCCATTCTCTCCCTTATAATGAAAAAAATCTCTATAACGTGTTCGCAACCCATAAGGTTTGTCCAATGATAACTAATCGAATCAGAGTTAACGTCCTTTATTTTCTTACTTCAGGCAAGCGGAGGTGGGCGCAGAAGTCGAGTCTCGCGCATGAATCGATCTTCCCGCTCGCCTTGCGTCAGTAGAAAACGCACGAACTAATGGCGCCTTTCGGGTGATACAACTTTCCCCCCTCCTGACACAAACTAACTGTAAATAGCTAACTGAAAACTTGTTGAGGATTTCTCTTGTGACAGTCTCCAATTCTCTTTTGACTTGCTCTTTAGCTTACCACGCTTATCAGAACGCAGCTGGAGGAAACTTATCATATGACGGAAATACCTTACCAAAGCACACATGTACAATAAACTGAAACGGTATCAACACTGAGTCAAACCTGTAACAAACTCGAAGAACAAAACACAAACTGCACACATCACATTGGCAACATTTATCAACATCACACTAGTCGAAAACTATAGTAACCGTAGACATGGTTGAAAAGAAAAAAAACGCAATTAAAGTAAATATATTCCCAAAATGACAACCAGGATATTACAATATCACAAATTAAACTCTCCTGAATATTTCAAGCTGGCTAAACCTACGTCTAGTCCCTTCTCTAAGTGGTTTTTTAAGTTAGTTACCCTGTGAACATAGCTCCCTTAATTCTTTCGTGAGACAGGGTAGTAGCTGGGTCATGCACGTTACTTACTTCAAACATACTTATTTGACGCTGGTAACGGGGCTGCTACCGGTCCCTTCACATACCTTTTTTTTCATTTAAACATCGCCTAAAGTGCAAACAGACAGGAACCGCGCGGATTCGAAACTGATCCACATGAAAGGGATTGTGGTGTGCTGGCTTCGCACTTCTTAGCTTAATCGAATAAAAATTAAACTGAAACTTCCTTTCCATTTTTAAACGGTAAAGTTGTTATATCTTCAAATTCGATTCAATTTTGAGCAAGTCTCTTCTTTTGCTTTCATAAAAGTTACTGAAATTGAATACTCACTGCACAGCAGCCGTTGTGGGCCTTGGCAACCTACAGAGGAGACAAGATTTATCAATAAAAATATAGGTCGATATTTATGAGAAATTTTTGCTCGCGCGCGTTTGGTTTAAATGCATCACGTGACCGAATATACAGGAGGGTGAGCTAGCCTTAGTTAAGGCCTTATCGAGTCCAATCCCAGAATTCTCCCATCCGTTCCCCATAAAGGGGTTGAACCTCGGCCACCTGGGTTCAACCCTTTTGTAGGATATCTGGAGTTTTCGCTTTATTGCAAGTTTGCCCTCTAAAGTAAAGCACGTTCGCCCCATAAAGCAAAACAAGTTCGCCCCCACCTTTGCCAGTTCGTCCCCAAGCCTTCGACTCGTTTCCTTGTATTACTTACAACTCATCGTTCCACCTCACTTTACTCCGCTTGAGCTGCGTCAGGTCGTAAAACTGTTGCAATGGAAGACCTCTGTAATAAAAACAGACAGGATGGTAAGAAAGTTTTTCAGTTCGGTACCAAAATGCGCCTCTTTGTCATCTTATTAGATGTTACCAAAACCAAATCCCCACTGGCCACAAGCGCTATCCTGTGATAAGCGAAAATCAACAACACAGTGTTTTTTTTTTCGTTCTTTGACTGCAATGTTCGTTTCTCGTTGTTTTTGTTTTTGGTGCTACTTTTGTTGTTTGTCGCAGCATATCTTCGCTGTGTGTGAAAAAATGGTCAATATCGGTTACAGTTTATGGGGGGTGGGAAGGCAAAAGACCCTTGTGAATATTTACGAGCGAGTCAACACTGCGTCTCATTTTGCGAGCATCAGCTTTGGTACGCTTCTTAGGGATAAGTGTCGCGAAGAGATAGATTGATTCATTATTCAGAGATACCAAAAGCAAAATTGTTGAGCCGAAGCGTTAGATTAAATTTGTCGAAAATCTGAGCATGAGGGAAATTATGCAATTTTTCCAGCCTTACTGCCCCTTCAAGTACCTAACGAAGACCCAATTAAGGGCTTTTTGAATAGTTCAAAGAGAAATTCAGATCAATGAAACCGAACAATAAAACGCTTATTTTATTACAAAGAACCTTAAAAAAAATACCAATTTCCCTAGTTAGCAAAATTTGTATCAGTCAGTAATACCGCATGGCAGAACGTCCAGGATATTTCTTTCTGTTCTAATTTCTTCTCTGTCAATTAACTATCTCATATTGCTAATGAGAAAAGTAATTGACAAGAATATAAACGAAAGTTCTCTGATTTGTAAGTTGGGGACCTTTCCGTCAGGTCCCTTAGGCGTCGGTAACTCTCGGGTGATAGTCGGTGACCCTCGCTCGTTCTCAAGAAACGCGAGCGGATCATCGCAGCGTGATTTATCGAATAGGCACCAACCTTGCCTTTGCTAAATATTGACAGTCTATTTACATAAGAGGACAACTGGAAGAATTATCAACCACAGAGAAGCAGTTTTGTGACGGTAAGAAACAACAAATAGAACCCTTCATTCACAAAGACAAGGTCGCACTTCCTTTTTTCAGCAATGACGACAACTACAGTGTTCATTCTTAACTGATTCACAAGCACTCCCCTTAGAATGTAACTTTAAGTCCAGAACGTCAAATTTCCAGTAAAAACCTGCACTGTTGCACGAAGAATTACATGTAGAACTTAGGAAAACAGGAATAAAAAGGCTTAAAGCTCTCGGCATTCAAGAAATTAAAGCACATCAAGTAAGCGTTTATTTCACTTATTCCGGAGACAGGACAAGTGTTGAAACCTGAGCTGAAACTGTTTAAAACGCATTTGAAACTTAAAATTCATTAAGAAAAACTCTTCAACTGTTGTCCAATACTTGTCAACTCTTTTGAGTCACAAGCGTTAGAATTTTATCCTAAGAGTGCTAGCAACAAAACCCGATCATATCCAATGACGTCTGGAAATTCCGAAGATGGTCTTAATATTTCCCTACAGGTTCTCAATGCAATCTGCCGTTGGGCGTCCTGTTTTTTCAGCATTTCCCTTACCTGGACCGTTTGACTGACACACCATCACATTCCCACTTCCCCCTAAAAAGAATGTCTTTCCACAGGTTATTCTAAATTTTTTTCTTATGGTGTCTTAAACAGCACACTATAACATGTCTCCTGTGCTCTCACATTATTTTCTTATTTCTTTGTTTAAAGTGTAAGATTGATGAGCCTAAAACTTGTCTTTGGTCCTTTGCAATAAATACTCAAAATATGCTCTTGGAACTCCCTCAAATTTGGTTCAATTTTAAACCAAGAGAAAGACATTTAGGAAGCTTGCTGAGGTATTTTCAGAAAGAAAATCTTTGTCACAATGAGATATTTTTTGAGAATTCTTGAGAGATACCAATGTGATATTCATGGAAAGATTTGGCAACATTCACTTGTACAATTTAATGCCAGCACCATGTTATATAACACTAACTACTGCTTGCATCAGGGTTGTGATGAGTGGAGATGCTTTAAAAAGAACAATGATGAAAGGAGACAAGGTTGTGGAAGAGGAAAAGAGAGAAACTTTTTTGTCAGATACAAACCTTTTCCTCAACCACCTTTTCACTCCTCCCATAACCCTTTAACTCCCAAGATCTCATCATCATCATTACAGTTGTGTGCTTGGCTGCCAAGCCTTTGAAAAGGAATGAGGTTAAGGGTGACCTTGTTATGATACAAACCTTGCAGCTTTTCAGATGCAAATTACTTTGTTATCATGCTAACTAGATACTAGTCTCCATCACAACAAGGTCACCTTTAGCCTCACTCCAAATCAAAGGCTTGGCAACTAAGTACGCAACTGTAAAATGGCCTATTCTTCCCTCTAACTGTGACAGATTTCCTTGTAAACCAGTTATAAGAATTTGGTGTTAGATGAGGATAACAAAAATCTACCCCATAAGTTTGAGTATTCTCATTACCTGTTTGCTGAATAGCGTAGGGATATTATAGAGAGAAGTTTCATGTTTATTTCCTCTGGGAGTTAAAGGATTAACTGAGAACCCAGCATAGGGTCCAATGTAGAAAAACAAAGTTGGGCTCTGAAGAAACACTGGGTGTGAGATGGCTCTAGTCTTTCTAATAAAATCTTTCATAAGAGAAAAGTTGTAAATGTTCTTTAAAGACAATTGTTACATGCCTTAAAAGGAGCCTGCACACTGCTAGAGCAAAGACATGACCAAGGTCAATGACTCTAACCAGGTCTCCAAGCTTTGATATTTTTGGTCGCCCTGATGAATAGTTAACAATTTTGGTGACAAAATTAGCAACTTAAGGAGCCAATTTTGCAATCACTGCATGGCACTCAGCTAGCAAGCTGTAATACAGGTAACTTACTACCTGATGTGCATGGTCTTTAGTTAAACTGAGATATGTACATGTGTAAACTATTGTCAATGCCTTGTTGTTTTCTTTTTTTCTTAGATTCTGAAGGTTAAGTAATGCAACACCAAGTTTGTTCTGCAAAGGAATATGGTTATCATTGTTGTCACTTAATCCAGCTAGCACTACAAGGATCATGCAGACTACAGTAAGTCAGAAACTCACCTGGGATGTGGATCAACTCCACTGCCAAAGTGTCTGTGTCCTTTTTGTAGGAGGAAAGGTGGCTCCCATTTTGGCCGACAACTTTCAGGAAGACACACAGGAGCTTCACCAGCATAGCTTCGGGCACGACCCCAAGGACATTTAACATGAACTTCAGCTTGTTCAAGGTGACGTGAATATCTAGAGAGAGTTTAAAATAATCAATAGCACAATTTTTATCACCCAGACATAAGTTTCTTGGACAGTTTCAGTTCAATCAACACTCACCTTGTCAAAGATAATTTGAAATTCTGAGGAAAAGTTGGGGGAGGGGGGGAGCTCACAAACCAAAATCATATACACACTGGAAGCTTTGTAGCTAAGTGTTAAGGAACTAAACATGTTGTTCAGTGGCTCTGACTTCAGTGCTCTGGAACCTGGAATTGAATGCCAGGTTTGTTCTTTGCTCACCCAAGAAGAGTTCCTAAATGGTACCTCCTGGGAAACACCACACCCAGGTCAGTCTGCCCCTTTGGGGAGCCTAATTTAAGATCCCTGGGAACATCTTCACCCTTTTTCTATGGGTGCCCTCCCCCCTTCCCCCTGGCTAGGGATCTTGAGTCGTTTTGAATCTTATTAGTCTCTTGTATCCTATTAGTTATTTCCCCTCTGTTAGTTGAATGTTACATGTAAATCCTTGGACAATGTGACTACTGTGGGCAGTTTTGGTTGATTTACGTAGCAATTAACTGCTTTGTTAGCAGTGGGTAGATGAATTGTTTCTCATCAAGTAGATAGTTGTATTCCTTTACATTGTATCTATGGGTAAAATTTCCGCACAGCCCCATACTACATTGTGCATTCAGTTCTTGGGTAGAGAAAACAATGACAAAAACAATACATTGCCATTGGGAAAACAGATTTGTTTTACAATAGTATGGGGCTGTGGGGAATTTTACCTATCTATGAAATGTATCCACTAATTTTTTTCCCCTTTAGCATGTTTCCTCTCAGTACTTAATATTCATGTAGTTATTGAGATGTTCCATATACACTCTTCAAAAGCTTGGGGAAAATTTTTCTTATTTTCCTGAAACATTCTGCACGAATTACAGACCTACACTTCCCACCGACTGGTCATAGTTTAGATTAGAAAAACAACAACAACAACGAAACGCAATTTTACTTTTTTTTATCGCGGAGAGTATGGAACAATTTCAGTTGGCCTTAAAAACCCACGCAGATGCTGTCACGCTTTTCTCCTCGCGCGCTCCACTATTGGATCCTAGCGTTACTAAAATGTTACCGTGACGTGCTGACTTGAGGTTGCGTGAGATTCTTTGAAGCCTTTCGATCTCAGTTCGTGATTGGGAAATGAGTGTAATCAACACCAGGTGTAATTAAAAGCCACAATTTGTAGATTTCGACCTCAGAAAACAAAATTCTCGTACAGAATCTCCGAATTCAAGGCGAAAGTCTGCACATCGCAGACAATTACAAAATTCCACAAGCTTAGAAACTAACGGCAAAAATTTCAACAATTTTTTATAGCACTTACCGATCAGGGAAGGTTGTAATGCGGCGAATGTGCGTCGGATCATAGACCATAGACGATTGTACATTTCTAGACAACTTGTCGAAGCCATGCTTCTCACGGTAGAGTTCGTGTTGAAGCTTCGACAAATTAGTTATCGCGAGAGCCATTTCCAAGCGATTTACCGCACTGAACTTACTCACATTGCACCAAGTGAGACTCTATAAAGTAGTGTAAAGACTGATTTGCCAAAAAATTCGACAAAAATCGAGCGGAAATCTTCAAATTCCTTCTCAGGATTTGGTTCGAACGCTAAACAAAATTTGCCAAGGTTACCTGACTCGGTGTGCAGTCAGTCGTGACAACTGACGTCACCAATAAATCTTCTGACCAGCCAGGTCCGCTTCTTTTGATCTCTACGTGCAGGAATACAGTAACATTGTCAACTATCTATTTTCCGCCTTATTACAGAAAATGCTAAACAAAGCAGCGGGCTCTTTGTCTTCATTTGAAGTGAAGCGCGCTTCTTAGATAAACAGGAGAAAGAGTGGGGTGCTCTGGGACCTTCTTCCATACATTAGTAGCGCTACTGTTTTAAGAAGAGCGGCGCAACTGTTTGTAATTCAATCAGCCTAGAATTCCCGTCTCGTTGTTTTGCTTTGTTGTGTGTTTTCTTTTTTTTTCCTACCTGTGTCCAACGCAAAAGATTTTTAGTATCCTCGTTTGAATAATTTTGTCACAAAAGTGATACGTATGATGACAATTATAAATTTAGTCTCTCTTCCGAACCCAACCCTTCGTTTGCCGGTGATATTCTCTCCCACTGGGCTGCAGACTCGAGAGGCGGAGGTTGTGTTTCCCACATGCAGGTCCTGAAAGTAAAATAGATAGTGAATTTTGAACTCGTTGCTTGATTAGCCTGGAGAAGAATCTAAGGCCACTTTAGGGGAGACACTTCTAATCACTTCTACCGGTCTAACAGATCCAGACAATAATTTGGTGAGTTCCTTTCAGGACTGTATTTACTCGCTGAGCAAGCGTGCGGAAAATGTAGTAACAGAATGAAAAAGAAAAGGCCTAAAAACTAAGATTTCCACAGTTTTCCGTCAAATGCGTCTAAATACCCAGTTAATTTTTTTTCTTTCTTCGCGGAAAAACATCTCGATTATCGCAGTCATATCAACGCATTAGGCATGGAAGGTAGGAAATTCCCAGGCCTTTATACAGAATCCTCCCGCTGAATTTCGATGGCCTTAACTAGTTACCATTCGGAAATGGTAATCCAGCTGTTTCTCAGATACTTCATTTCTGAATGAAAATCTTGAGACCTAAAGGACAAATGGAATTCTTTTTGTACACAGCGTAACAGGAGGATAAATCCCTGAAACAGGCCGCGTTTTTGGAATATTATGCGTTTGAAATTTTATTGACGTTAGATAGAAAAAAATTAGGGATAAAATATGTGAGAAATTTCAACAAACGATAAGAGAGACAATTTCCAGTATCTGAAGTTATTGAACCGAAAGCTTTGGTGAGATGTTGTTCCCAGCTTGTCCAAAATTGCTTTCATTACTTTTTCCTTCAATAATCCAGCTCAAGAAGCGAATGAGAAAGTGGAATATATTCTTTTGATTTTCTACTTTGCTTTGTGTTTTATTTTCGTTTGTCTTTTTTGTTTGTTTTGTATCTTTTTCGCATTCAGCAGTTTCTGAGTTAAGCCATCAACACCGCGAGTTCGATCTCAGGTGGCTTTTCGCGCAATTATGACACATTTCAAGCCGTTGTGAACATGTGTTCCTTGAAAAAGCGAAAAAAAAATACTGTTTATGAATGAGTAAGTTCTAGTTAATAATTGTTAAAATAACGAAGAACTTTCGTCATTGTCAAACTAAAGTAGGAAATAACTGTAATTAAACCCAAGCAGCGGCTTCAAGTCCTATTGTGTAGTAAACCAATCGGAAACGTTAGCGTCTCCTTGGCGAATTTATGTTTATAGTGCGATGTTGTCGAGGTACCGGATATGCGCCAGAGATTTGCAAAAGTTCTATAACTTTAGGGAAACTATTTGTGAAATTCGCCATGTAATTTGACGGAAACCGTGTACACCTGCGACGAAAATATTGTTCAATATAATAATGATTACTGCGTTACAGCAAGGATTATACAAAGAACATCAAGGTGTCGATTTCTTGTCGAGGAATTTCGAGTCGCATTTTCTACATACTCCTCAATACCATGATAGGATTACTGTGTCACAGGATCAGTAAGTAGAAGTAGTAACATAACTTCTGTGCTTTTCTTGTATTGAAGGAAGTTTTAGAGTCAATGAGATCAGTAACCCTCGCTTTATTTCGTTGTGAAATTGCGGTAAAGAAGTTTGATGCTTCGGCGCGTTGTGTCTGTTTTAGCACTCATCTGACACAAACCATGCGGAACCGTTGCTAACACGTTGCTAAGGAGCTGAACTGGGTTCAGAGTTGTTTTAAGTGCTCGAAATTTACTTATCATCGAGAAACTGGTTTTTAAGCACGACTTGTGATGTTACATCTGACGAACATAATCGAACCACGACTTCCTTTTTCTGTTACCCTTAAATTACAAAATTAATGGCCATGCTGTAACTTTTTGTCTTGTATTTCTGTTTACAAATTTCTGTTACCCTTAAATTACAAAATTAATGGCCATGCTGTAACTTTTTGTCTTGTATTTCTGTTTACAAATTTCTGTTAACGATTAAAAAGCACTTACTGGAATAATTTGTGATAGGGAACGTGATGACAGTTATCAGTAGCCTTCAATTTTAAACGCACCTGCGAATTTTTACATAAATGCTTAAGATTACATTATCCTTGGCAGTATTTGAGAAAATTATCAGCCCAGCATTTGTTGTTTTACTACGCAAAATAAATGTCGCAACGATCATATATCTTTTTGTCAGAGTTTTTGACCTATGATGTCGCGTATGATTTCGCTATAAAGTTAGACATAGATGTATCTAGGATCGTGTTGTCATTCTGTATGCAGTTGATGCCTCCAAGCTAAACTATCATAGACAGCTTACACAGGTGGTTTCATTTGTGGGCAACACGATTGTTTGCAGATGTTCTCAATCTGTTGATGCTATTGTTTGAAACCGGGAAACAATGCTTTTCTTTGTGAAAAAGTTCCATTTCTCTGTAATATTTTCTCTTTGTTGTAAATGCTTGCGTGGTTCCAATTGATTTTTGCGCTCAGAGACGAGTTAGAATTCCAAAACTCATTAAACATTTTTATGCCCACTCACGCATCACCTGGGCAAAAATGCGCGATTTTTTCAACGCTGGCGACCCAGGGCTGTCTAGTTGGCTGGTAAAGCGGCAAAGAAAGTTATCGTATTTACATACACCGAACATGGAGAACAGTTGGACTCGTGAAAGTCGCACAGCTTTAGTGATCACATGTCGTTAGACTAAGGTATCAGACATTTTTAAATACTTGCCCTGATGAAACTTAGCTTGATAGATCTCTATTTTCTGTGATTCTTAGAGTCAAATATCTTGAAAACGTATGGAAATGAGCGCACTAAATTTTCGCATAACGACAAGAATGGAAACAAAAATTTATTTAAATTCTGAGTTGGTTTCAAGCGGCGACAAGCTGTTACTGTGGCTGAATTGCTCCTAAATAGCGTCTAGGGTACTCGATGTGAATTTTTCATTTTGCGCTTCCAACGTGATCGTTTTTTTCCGAACCCTGAGACATGACTCGGAACCTTGAGTTTTGAAAGTGAAATGAATGGTTTCGAAAGTCTGAAAACTGCTTGAATTTTGTACCGAAAAATTAAATGTGTACAAACCTTGTCAGTCGTCTGGCATGGCGTGACATGTAGTGGTACGCGAAGACGATGCTTGGTCAATATTTTTCATGCCACCTTCCAATGCTATCAGGACCATCTCCAATCCCGATATGTCTTACCCAGTTTCAATCCTCATCCCTTCATCCTTTCGTTAACGCTTAGTGAGAACTGAATTTTCTTTTCAATATCAGCTTTGACCGTTACCTGTCACGGACCAGCAGGTCACCAAAGGTACCATGGGGTCGCAGTCTAAGCTATGGAGGGTTCGGCCCCATTCAGCTCCCCGAGGAGTATCGACCCAAGCAGGAGCCCCCCACGCGAGTACAGAAAGGACACAGGCACTTTGGGGGAGGGGTGCTGCCATTTCCACGGTAAGGGTGTTTATTCCTTCTGATTTGCTTAAAGCCAAACATGTTTCATTTAAGAGTAGCAGGCAATCATGCGGTCATAAGCCACTCCGGAAAACACCAGAATGTTCTGTGAAGCGCTTTTCGATTGAGTGTCTTAAAGCCAAAACCAAAGTAACAACAACGGCCAATCAGAAGAAGGGCTCTCGTTATAGTCTATTGCCTGAATAGCCAATGAAAAACCAAAGTAAAAACAAGCAAACCCTCCTAAAGCGCGGGAAAAACGCTGGCGACCAAGTCGTGATTGGTTTAGTTTTGCATCTGATTGGTTGAGAGAGTGGGGCGCGAATTTTCTAGACCAATCACAGAGCAAAGTAAAGAAAAACTAATGCAATCCCGGATTACTTTCAATTGAAAATTGCTCAAACATGCAGATTGTAGTGGACCTTTTTTTTTTAAGCCTTATTTTCCATAATTACGTTTTTTTGCTTAGCACCAACATCAGCAACATTGGTTTGCCTATATTGTATTTCCCAGGAAATTATCCAATGTTAATCGCGGATTATCTAATATTATCCATTACTGGATTCTCGTTGTAGTCTATTGCCCGATATGAACAACGGTTGTTTATTGAAACGACTTCTCGTACTAAAGTGAGGTAGACTGATATTTTTATGAATTGTTTCTAACTGTAATAACACCATATCCCACGTATTTGACTGTTTGCTCTGAATAAATAAAGAGTCTTGTTAAGTTGAACTTTATGTTTTGTCTAACTTTTACGGTTTTGTTCTCGGGAAATATACGTAAACGATAACGAAACACAAAGTTTAACCCAAATATGTCTGGGAATTCGCACGGCGCTCCGTTTCTGTGCAACTCTCAAAATTTCGTTTGAGCCGTTTGTTACTTGATTAGTTTCTTAACAGGCGTGTAATTATTTGTGAGGCATTTAAAACTCCACAAAGATAAAGAGATTCTACGAACTTAATATCGGGAGTCACTACTTCAAAACCATAGCTTTCGATAAGGTTTGATAACCGACAATAGATAACGGGAGTGCCTGTAGACAATTTTTTTTTTTTTTTCAGTTGATTTTGTCATTGCTTTTTGAAATTCCAGGACCTAAAGTATCTCATTTAGGTTACAGGTGTCAGGTTCAACTTCCATCCAGTTCCAGTTCCTCTTTTTTCCGACGGTGACAAAGTCATTTCGTCACCGAAATACAGTATGGTCATCTCTGCATGGGTCTTTTTATATTTTAATTGTTTCAGTGGTTATAAATATTCGTTTTATTGCAGATTATATTGAAATGCAATCCTATAAAAGTGAAACGATTCTTCTGTCTGTTTTTTGGCTTCGTCACAAAAATATATGTATCAATATTGTCTCTTGCTTAAGTGTGATTTTCAATATGCTGCACAAGTCAAACAATCGGGCGCTTAGGGACAGATGACATGCACGGAAGATGTCACTTTTTCATTTAGAAAAAAAAACAAAAAAACTTATCAACACTCTTCTGACAAATGCCAAGAATAATTCCCTTGACATGTACTTAAAAATTTTTTATAATTTTTCTTTGACGATTTAAAACTCATTCGATTTTTTTAGCTGTTGAGTAGGTGTTACACAGTGGTCCATACCGCAAGAACCGTGGCTTCCTTTAGCTTCCGTAAAATAAAGTTCAACACAGTTTTGGTACACCTTCCGTCAGGTTTCAATTAAGTCCACTGGAAGAAACCCTTCAATATTTAATTACATTTCCCCGATAATTCGAGAGTAAAGTCTATAGTCCAATAACTCACACGAGTAGCCACAGCTAGTGGTGAAAAAACCCGCACCTTCAATGTTAAGGAGCAGTCCCACCTAGGCACTTGCTATATAGCCCACCTTGTCTCCCCTTTCCCCCTCCCTGCCACCCCTCCCTGCTACTGGATAGTCGGGGAAAAACATAAACCCAAGTTTTTCCAATTAAAATTCCCGGCCTTGTGTGAGAATGATCACTAGGGCGTTGAAACGTAACCTTCTCCGGGCTCTCACGAAGTCGAGACAAGCGAAAAAGCGGGCGCGCGAAATATGGTGTTGGTTCTGTTGGCAGAAACACGAAGAAAAGGCAGAACGAGAGATGTTTCCGTGACAACTGCAACCTCCACGTCTGCCCCCAGCCCTTTATTACGCGCCTGCTTCTTCGCTTGTCTATATTAACTGAGAGTCTGGTACAAGCCAGTTGAAATGACGAAGACAAAAGTTCCCTGGTGCCTAGTGATGCATTTAATAAAACAATTCGTTGTTCTTTGATGCATGAGCATGCGCTATTGTGTAGGGAGCACTTAATCGCCCTCGGAAATTTAGCCCAAATTAACGACAAAAGCAAAAAGAACAAGGGAAAAGAAAGTATTTCCTGTTTATTCTTATGGCCATCTTGCCCGACTTCATTTGCATGCGTAGAATAAAAATTGGTCCATGGTCAGTAATCCGTGTGATCTTTTTTCGCACACATTTCGTAACAAAATCATGCAAAAGTTCCATATTTTCCAACGTCATTGTCTTGCGAGGAAAACTGTTTTTCATCTGTGTGTGTGCATGTCTTTACGTGTTTGACTCCTATACTTCCTGTTTTTGTTTCAATCCTTCGGCTGAGGTTTTTTTTGTTTTTTTTTTTTTTTTTTTTTTTTTTTCAAGTAACAAGAGCAATTTGATTGCATTGCAGTGGTGTACCTATTGAGCAGTATTACGATCTTACCCCATTGAAGAAAAGCAACCTCAGAAGAAATGATGAATTGTGAGTATTGAGTCAATTGCATTTATCGCATTAGTAGCTATTGTGTTAAAAACCACAACTTGTCGAATCATTTATATTATTTTCTCGAATTTTCTTCATGAATAAATTATCAAAAAATTAATTTGCTTCGCGTCCCACAATCATTTGAATGGACGAGAACAAAATCGAGTATACGTTCTAAATAAATAAACCGTTAATTTGTTTACTTTAGGATTTTCCCAGTTGTTTGTTCGGACGAAATCTCCGCTTTAGTTTACCAAGGGTTCACTCAACCTTCGTTGTACTCGATGTTAGAGACATTTAGTGAATCATAGAACAGTTATCTGATGTTAGTCGCATAGCAGATTTACTCGATAGAATCACAACACTGACCAGGATTAAAAAGACCTAAAATTTCAAATGCAGCTTCAACAATGGGGGCGTGTGTTTTGTTTACAATTCGCGGCTGTAAATTTGCATTTTCATCACGGCATCGCCTCTGTGGTTCACTTGAAAACTTATCGAGTAATAGAGCCCTTAAATGGGGTGTTAAAAAGATTAGCGCATTATTCAAGCGTTACCATTTATTACAGTAATCTGATTTATCAATACCAATGCCACCTCGCTTGTTTTATAATAATAAAAAGGTTAAAGATATTGCAACCGAACATTTAGTCACGAGGATATGCAATTAGGAACTGTTGAATCAATGCGAAACCTTTTAGCTTTGATGTTATCCTTAATTGCAGCAGTGAGTACAAAACACTCTTTCATTTGCATCTTCACATCCTTCGTTGTAAAGAGTCATTCTTTATTTTTCTTTCCTTAAGATTTAACTTAAAAAAAAAAAAACACACAACAACCAGTCGTTAGATGTCGAAACGAATTGTTTCCCCTAATTTACATGAATAACAACGAGTGATGGCAGATAGCGTTTCTTGAAACACACTCGAATACTAAGCGATTAAAGTGGAGACAGATACAATTTCGTTTGTCACGCACTGGATAGAATATCCTCACCAAAACTAAATCTTTGCACATCTCGATATTATTTACTTCGATAGTTTTATTAATTTAAATGTGCAGATACTAGCGGAGCTTGTATTGATTATGTCGCGGTGAAAGTTTATTCCAGAAAATGCTGTCTCCTTTACCGAAGGCCGAAACGTTTGTAAACATCATAGGAACACTTAAATTGTAGAAAAAATTGTAGCGCCTTCACCAAGATCTAGAGCTTTCGTGAGTAGTATTTTACTTCTTCCACTCTGCGGTTTGAAATGTCTTCACCGCAGTCGTTTAATTCATTCTCAATCAACTGCTTTTTGAAACATACAGTCACTTAGCACCAGTGATGTCTTTTGGGTTCTTGCGGAAAGTTTAGTCTTGAAGAAACGCACGGAATGAATCGAATGCTCCAGATGTGTGAGTGATAACGCCTTCTTGAATACCAAGAGTTTGTGTTATCTCATGAATGCTACATACATATATCACCTCGCATCTGGGAAAAAATAGTAACAGATTCATGACAAATCTAGATCAGATCTCATCCCTGATTCAAACTGACAAAATTTCGTCTTGATGCTAACATTTTGTCTCGAAGCCTGTACTTTACGTAGTATTTACGGCCTTTCCATATTGTCCTAAAGCAGTGATAACAAAAAATCCTGGTGCATTATTTAATTTAACTTCCTACTACTACTGGAAATCACATGTTCAAAAGCTGCAATATCAGCCATTTAGTCCAATGGGGCCCTTGGCGGCAAAGTATTGTGCGTAACTCTGGGCGAGCTTTTCTGTTGTGTCCTCCGCGTCGATCGAGTTCTTGAATTTTTCGGCAAGTTTCTCCGTGTAGCCAAAGTCCAAAGTGAGCACCACAACTTTTGGCTCATAGTCAAGCTGCGGTACGTGGATGTCATCGCTTTTCTTTGTGCCTTTCTTGGGGGATTTCGGCAGCGATTCTTTAAATTTTCGTTTTAGGTGTTGATCTTCTCTCGGCCAGAGCGCCTTGTCTTGCAGTGACAGTTCCAATAGCGGCTTGTTACCCGACGTGTTATGTTCCTTGATCTTCTTAGTGAATTCTCCCTCTGCTTTGCCAATGTAGAACTGGTATTTTTTATCCGCCGTTTGTGACTCATCTATCACGAGGTAGCAGTAGACAATGCCCTTGCACTCGAGCGGATTACGAAGGTACTCTTCCAAATCTTCTTGTCGCTCGATCTCGAGCGCTGATTTCTCAGTTTTGCCTTCAATTTCCTCGTAGACACGGCTCCAGTGAAGGTAGTTGGCGAAAGCGATTTTCATGGCGACTTCCAACCTCCTTTGTTGATCCTTTTGCCTCAGATTGTCTGAAGCATTCTTGGTCAGTGAAAATTCCATGTAGCGTTTCTCGCCTTCTTCTTTGTAAGTTTTTAGAGCGAATACGGGTATCTCTCCGGTGATTAAGTCACTGAGCGCGCTGGTTCTCTCCAAGTCGACGAGCAGTAAATTTTCCTTGCGGAAAGTCCCTCGCTTTTCCCTGCTTTTGCCTCCTTGTAGGCGTTTCTCGAGGTGTTCCAGGCGTTTGGGCACTGAATATTCTTTGTTGTCGGCTAACATGTTTGGATCGACGCGGATTGTAAACGTGTTCTTCTCTGGCAGATGTAAGCCATGCACCTCCGTCGTGCGAGGCCTTAAGTACTCTTGGTCGTAAAGTTGAACCGCGTACAGATCGTGGCTGGCATCTTCGGAGTTTACCGCCATGTTTAATTGCAGCACTGCACTTGCGTACCAAGAATACAATTCCCGTGGAGTGTCGACTGATCAAGGCACTCCCAGAATATTAGCGACACGTAGATTAGCACTGTTGGACGTCTTCTGGTTGGTCTTTTGGAAGTACGTTTCCATGGCAACATTTTTAAGAGCCGAATATGTCTATTGACCTGTTGCAAGGCGAATTTAGCGAAAGTGGAACGATTTTAAAAGCTTACTTGGAGAGTTTTCAGTTGGTTTATAGTCCACGTTGAATGTTTTATGCTTGTTCTGTAGCTCGATCATTAATTACGCTTGTATTTGATGCCACATCATGTCGAAAAGATCCATAAAGCAGACTCATCATAAACGTAACGCGTTACTTTTTGTGCTTCTCTGTCACACAAGCTAGGACTTCGCTGCCGGCTTACAACATGGCTTTTATAATTGTGAATGGGGCAGAAGATGAATATGTAAATTGCATTTACGCTTAGTCACCTGTAAAATAATCACAAGACTCTTTCGCTGTAAACAATATCACCTTTGTCTCGCAGTATCTTTTGTGAACGGCTCTCAAAACTAATTTATGCTAATTCCCCTCAACTTTTGCCTTAAGCGTCTATTTATGCCATGTGCTCTATAGTTTGGGAGATTGGTCATTCTTTTTTTTTAATCTTTCCATGAGGAAAGGTTGAACTTTCCTCGAAAAACAGTGTCGAACATTTCTTTCCAACTGTTTTCAAATATGCACTTCGCGGTTAGCCGCGAATATGCTTTGTCTGCCTGCCACAGTTACGATTATTTACATCTTTCTTGTAAAGTGAAAATATGTACTGATCGTCTTAAACGATTTAATTAATGCTTCTTCCTCGTGTAGATTTCAATTAATATGGAATTTGTGACGTCTTTTATTAATTCAGAAGGTGACTGAAACTGGTTCCAGTGATTTCTTGTCACGTCATTCCGGTTTGGTGGAAATTAAGTGGTTTTCAGTTTTAAAAAAATTATGTCTTTGAGAGAAAAATCTCATCGAGGGTCTCTATGAAGTTTTAAAAGAGTCTCCGCTTCGCCAGATGCTTTATTAACGGTTTACTTATAAAAAAAGACAACTTAACGTCAATGTGACCGAAGAAAAATGAGACAAAAATGGCACAGGAAGTGATATCATTACCGGCCACATGGCCTAGACTTCCCGTCTCCTTCCCAATCCTCTCTTCTCCTGTTGAGTTCACAGCTAAAACGCGCGCGCGGCGCGCGGGGACAGTCGTGTTCTAGTCATTCTCGTTCTTAGAGTCCGCTTTTCCTCTGCCGTTCTTGTGGTAGGAAAAACTAGGGGACCGAAAGCAGACTGAAGTAATCATGATAAATCAACAACAGCTCCCCGAAACAAACATCGCCCGCGCGCCCGAAGGCCGAACTATTACTGTACATGTACTCCTGAAGATAGCATTTTGTATAGTCCCTAGCAAGGGCGTAGTCGGGGGGTGCCCGTGAGTGGGTGGTCCCCCTTTGTGAGCCTTTTTTTAGTCACATTAAGTAAAACATGGGGTTGAGATCGACATAATAATCTAGTGAGTACCCTCTGTTTGACACAGTATGACCCTCTCCCTTTTGAAAAATCCTGGTTACGCCCTTGCCCTGTGGCGTTGCTCAAGTGGTGTCCTCCCTCAAGTTCCTGTTTTCTTCTCTTTAAAACTGTTTTATAACGAATGCAGGTTTTCTCCGTAAATAGTCTTGCTCAACCATAATACCTATCCTTGATATGGAAATGATTCCTATAAAACTATAATTGTAAATCCTCCCATAGCCGTAGTTACGTGGCGTATGAAGTGTTCTAAACGTGAAATGATTAAATGATTTTCGTTAAAACACGATGGTGACGAAGCATCATATGTTTTGTGCTAGAGTAACAAAACCGACCCCTCTAACTGTGTTTATATCTGTTGTGCTTTTTTCGCAGGGTTCCAAATCCGGAAAAGTCAGAAATGGGGTAAGTAACATAACGTGACTCTACTCCGCGTTCCACTAAAGTTAAAAGTTTTTTTTCCCAAAATCTGTCGATATTTATCGCTATTAGTTCTTATTTGAATGAATGAAAGTTCGAGTAATATTGAATTGGCTTATTTTGCTTCTGACGTGCGTCAGTATTTGAATCCGTTTTGCATGTTTTGCAAATCACGGGTTCTCAACAAACAAATTTAAGGGTTTCTTGGCATCCTGTCTTGAAGGAATAGTAGCGCTCCTGGTCGGTTGAGGTGTGTGGTTAGGGCCTCTTGACTTCACCATGATATGTTATTGATGTTTGTCTTGTTCCCACCAGGAAAATCCAGATCCCGTTAGGATTTCCATCAGAGCATCCTTACACATCTCACATACCAAAGTTCCAGGTATTCCCGTCGCTTGAGTCCCCAGAAGACATCAAAAAGGGAAAACTAGCTGTTACTCTTCACCCTACCCTACCTCCCACAGCTCCAGCTTCGGCACCAGACCCCAGCATACTTGAGAAAACCAAGGGTCATTTTGACCGGAGGGAGTTGGTGTCGGTTCAGAAAGAGTCCGAAAGGAAACCTTTAACCTGGCCGGAACACAACCTTCTTCAGGTAAATTAGATAATAATAAATAGACTCCCTTAGATCTAGTGGTACAGGGTACAGCCCTACCTGACTGAACTTTCTTTTCTCGAGGACAAGAGTATAAAGATGATTATGTTACATGACCCGACTTCCAACACACATGCGTCAGAAACAACCTGTATAAAGTGTTGTAAGGCGTGCAAAACGATTCTTATCCAAACCCTTTGTTGCGGTAACGTATTGCGGGTTTTTAAAGAGATTCAGAAAGGGGCGTTGATGCAAGAACCTTAATGTCGTTGATGCGTGAAAAATTGCTGCATGTGGACTCCGTTGCTTTGCCTGTGAACGCAAATGCATTTCCGGTTTTAAATTAAAGAGACAAGTCTACTACCCCGTCCCTCCTACTTCAGATCATCGGAAAAACGTCTTTAGTTTGCTTTGTAACCAAGACTGTGTGATTTGTCGTTTATTGGGCGAGAGTGAGTAGGATTTTGAATTTGGTCTTAGAAATGCAGGCGGCATAGTCACAGCCTTGGTGTTTTTGAACGATTCAAACAGTATTTACGTGGTTTCTTATTAGTCATCTTTTGTTCGTTCTTTCGTTCTCTTCCTCCTATTTAAAAGTTTGTCAAGGGCCCGGAATTAAGGAGACAAGTCTACTACCCCGTACCTCCTACTTCAGTAGTGCCAAACACCCCCGATAGAGATTCATCCCTGGCAGTAACCCCCCGGACTGCGAACGCCTTGTACAATGTTCAGCGGAGCTTCTGGCAAACACATTACCAACAGCAGTTTACAGGCAACGGACCACAGAATATCCTTAAACTGGATAATTTCGACGAAGTTTTCAAAGGGGAGAGCGACACCTTGGTAAGTTCTAAGCGTGGTTTTTTCTTTTCGCTCTTATGTTTTTTTGTATATCTAGGATAGGAAATCTCACACCCTCCCCCCCCCCCTTCCACTGAGAATGTGGATGTGGGAAATAAGATTTATTTACCAATTTCGTAAATCGCATCTTCTGTTTTGTCCAAGATCCTTCTACCAATTCTCTATTCTTCCTACACGTTTTCTCGCAAATTGGTCGAGAGAATTTGAGGGTTAAATCAGCATAGTCCAAGTTGGTAAGGTGATCTATGCTCACCATTATTTTGCTCAGTAATGAATTGATAATGCAAGTATAAGTTTAGTTAATCGCCTTTTGGAGGTATGGTTGCTAAAAAATTGTTTTTTAATTGCTGTTCTAATCTGACTGTCATAACCTTTACCTCTTTTTAAACAGAGAGAGCATTTCAGGAATGAATTCGCCCCACCGCGGGTTCTGGAGGGACGCCACACTGACGTTAGAAAGAAAACCAAGAGGAAGAAAAAAGTCGTTGTAGGCCATGGCACCGAACTGTGGATGTCAGACAGTGAAGACGAGGGAGAAGAAGAAGCTCGGGAAAAGTCTATCAAAAAGACTCACGGAAATTGCTTTGTAAAGGGAGAAATCTTAGATTTGACCACTGGTCCCAAATTCAGCGATGGATATCTACAGAATAGCTTGATTAATCCTAGCGGGGAATATTCCGACGTGCATGCTTTCGCTCGTGCTCATCCCCATTTATATTACTCTTCCATTACAAATAACGAGAATTCGAAGTATTTCAGTGAGCTTGCACGACCTGTCACCGCCCCTGAGAGTGTCAAGCGATCAGCTCCCCCCATACTGAATAACATGCCAAGTCAAATTCCCGAGCAAACGAAGACAGGTTCGACCAGTAGCGACTTGTACCCAAAGTGGTTCCGATCAGCCAAGCTTGGAGAGAATCATAGGCCTAGTACAGCACTTTTGGATTTGCAAGACCGCTGGAGTAAAACTGAAGCTCGTCGAAGATTTCACGAGCAGTTTCCTGAAAACGCACCAGACATTCGTCGAAAGCCAGACATGCGCATTACGACCAATGAAAGAAGACATGTTGACCCGGAAACCGGTATTCATGTTTACTATTTCCACCGTTGAAAATGTGACTAGAGTGATTTTGAAAGACAAGCGTTGTGTTCAGAGAAGCTTTTATGCAGCTTATATTTCACGTGTGAGAAACATAGCTTCATTTTTGCGTTCTGTGACCTCCGTGGATGAAAAGTTCAGCTTCTTTTCGGTCGTGGTCATTTAGAATTAATGCGATGTTTCGTGAATATTTATGTTGCTTTAACTCAGAAGAAAAAAAAAAGGTCATGAAAATTGAAATGAAATAGTATCATGATACAAGACTTGGGAAATGAAAAGTAATATATTGTAACTTCTAAGCTGGTCTCTCTATTTATCATTCTTATAAACTCGAAAAAAAATTAATTTGAACATGAAGGTGATGAGCTACTACTTTTCCGTGTTTGGCAGAGGGGTGGGGTCGAAGGTAAGGTCAAGGAAGGCCCCTGAGGTAAATGTTACGCTTCCCACCCTCTCTCTGTCTCTGTCTCAGTCTCAAGAAAAGGTTATGGTAGAACAATTTAGCTTACCCCTGGGGGGAGAGAGAGGGGAATTAGTTTGGGGCCCCCCACAACTCCGATGTTAAGTCATATGTTGAGGAACTACATTCTCTTAAATTATAACCTGCCTTCCACTCCTTGTAAGAGCCCGGATATGACTGTCAAATAGGATCACTGGACACAAATAGTTTGAATTCACAGTGCAAAGAATAAAATTGTGTAAACTTGAACGCTTCCGTTTAAATATTGTTTATAGATTAAATTACCTTGATTGGATTTCTTCTCAGTTGTGTTCTGAGCCGGGCGAGTTTGATAGCTGAAAAGCCCCTCAGAAACACTAAATATCCTTTCGTTTACCCGAAATGGGATGGAGACATGTTAAAAGGTCACAATTGAGGTTTTAAAGCTTTTTATTCTTCATAGCCTCTGATATTGAAGACAAATTTTTCTTCTTTATCAATCGAATTTCGAATGCATCCAAGATCTCGATCACCACATACCCTGGATTAGAAAGATCTGGAACTGAATTCAGTAGTTTCTAGATCACTGGGGCAGGCGATTCTTTAAAAAGTCTCAGCCTTCCGTTTTGTTTTGTGGCTTCCTGTTGTTGGTTAAGGAAGTTTGCTCCTAAAGAGCGCAGGAAGAGGAAGTAAACGGCAAACACCTACGGTGCGCAGACCCCACTCGAAGTAACACATTCGCGAAGTGCGTAATCGCGCGTGGCATTGTCTAATTTACCTAACGATCCCTGCAATGGCGCTTCTGCCATTTCAGTGAGCTGTGGATGGACTGAGTTTGTCTCCACTGATTGGAATCATGAGCGGTGAAAAGTTGGTGAAAGATTTGAGCTACGAAGCTCATTTTCTAATATATAAACTTCTGTTACCACCGGCTCCTGGAAGAGATTGGAAGACTTTGGCTGACAAGATGGGTTATACACAGGAAACAATCTTGTATTACGAATGTTTGAATAACCCTGTGAAAGAGTTGATTTCTGATTATGAGAGCAAGGGAAAGCCCATCTCAGAGTTGTTAACGTTTCTAGAAGAAATGGAGAGGATCGATTTGGTTACAGACCTCGAAAGATTCGTAGGTAAGGCTAAAGAGGAGAACTCCTTTATGAATCAACTTAAACACTTCGAGTTTAGTGATTTGATTCGATACACTATATGTTTAAACGAGATATATTTGGTGAAGCAACTACGGAGCGCCGCACGAAACTACAGATTTTATTTCAGTTTTTATATCGTAACCCAATTCCACCCTACAATACACTCTGAACTTTCGTACGCCGATGCCATGGGTTACCTTCACTATTATGGTTCGTTTTGTCATTGCTCGGAGATAGTTCAGATTTCACCGAATTCTGTCTCTTAAGGTTAAGTTAGTTATGAAAATAAGCAACAGTTGACCGGGTTTTTCTCTTTCTAAGTATTAGTAAGGACACCAGAGATGTGTCTTGGAGTTTGCACGTAAAAATATCGAAATGTCGACATCTGCTAAATTTGAACAAGTTTAGAGGAAGTGAATTGATCAGGACACAGATTTATCGCTTCCTCAGTACACTGTAAACTGGATAATCTTGTGCTTTTGATCAAGATCTTTACAACCCAGGAAAAGAATGCAACTTTTTATCACGTTTTTAGCCTTTCAAATGCATCGTGGTTATTGGTACATGCAAGCTTCTAAATTATTTCTGGAACAATACAGGCTATTAAACCGATTGGACTGTACAATGCTAGAATGAGGCTTTATTACAGACTTACTAGAAGGGTATCCTGCTTAGGGGCTAATCAAGACCTTTAAAACAACACCCTGTTCACTGTGTTTACCTTTTTAAGGTTAAGTAAAGGACTACCTCAAGTTCTTTGTTGGAGGTAGATCATGCCTGGGACTGCTGAACCTTGTTTTGTAGTATGTTTGAACCTTAAAAACCTCAGGCTTCTCCACCCTAAGGTTATTGAGAAACTCCATCATCCCTCTAACCCCCAGAAATGATTAACATGTAACTTCTCCTTATTACATCCCTTCATTATCTAGCAAACAAGTGAGAGAATACTCAAACTTATCAGGTAGAAATTGTTGTCTTGTTTTAACACCCAATTCTCATAACTGATTCACAAGGAAATGTGAAGGAGCAAGAGGGAGAATCAACAATCAGATCTTAGGACTAAGAGCTTTCACATGTGACTCATATAACATGCCTCACACAATCCTATAGAGAACCATAAAGAAAGATGCTGTGATTAGGGCTGTGTGGTATATGATAAGAAGTGTAGAAAAAGCCATCTGGTCCCTGCACTCATACAGTTCTGTTTAATTTCTGAGAATGTAAATTATGATTGTGGATATCAGCATGAAATAAAAGGGAAATGAGAAAAAAGGCACATTTTTTAACGAAGGGAAAGTTTCAGTGTGGAGTCCATTATGTACCCTTCATAAGAATGTGATGGCATAATATTTAGGTTCAAGCATAATTTCAAAATTTATACCACTTAAATATATACAAAATAAAAAGATGATTGTTGACTGAGTTCTTCCATTTGGCTCTTAAAGCAGAATAGTGATATCCCAATCAGATTTTTAGCATGTTCAAAGACATTTTGCAAAAGGTTTTATTTCTCCTTGAAATCTCAAAATCCATCTCAGCTGTAATCTGTAACTGCGAAGAAATGAATATCTTCTTTTCCACAGGATACTTCTACTCAAGTTTACTTGCAAGAGACTAATAAAGTTGTTGTTGTTGGTGTTTTTTTGGGCTAGAGGAGACACCCACTCAAGAAGAGGTAGAGCAAAGGAAAAGGCTGGAATTCGAGAAGATGCAAGGACAAGCTGGTAAACTCTTTTTATATTCATTTATTTATCAAAAAGTTTCAGTTATTGATTTCTTGTCTGTTGGAACATAGCCCCCAATACCAGATATCAAATAAAAAAAATACATCTTTAAAAAAAAAAAAAAAAAAAAAAAAAGAGCAATAAGGATTGTAATTCATATTTACTTTAACCCTTTAACTCCCAGGATCTTATTGTTAATTCTTCCATCTAGCTGCTACACATTTCCTTGTAAATTAGTTGCAAGAATTTGGCGTTAGATCAAGATAACAACTCCTACCTGATACATTTGAGTATTCTCATTACCTGTTTGCTGGATAGTGGTTGGATATTGTAGGGAGAAGTTACAAGTGAATCACTTCTGGGAGTTAAAGGGTTAACCCTTGACACTTTATATTCTCCATACTATTCTCTCTGCATTTCCTGAAGTGTTGACAAGGAGAATTTGTTTACTAATCAAGAGTTTCTTTGTTTGGTGATCATTGCCTTTTTCTGTGTGAACTTAATGTGTGATTCAGGGGTGATTTTGTCAGGATAAATTTGATTCTAAATGAATAAAGGGGTAAGTTTCTAAAGAAACTGTGGTGCTGTGTCAGTGGGAGAGTATAGCAGGCAATTAAGTGTCAACAACTGAGTTAAAAAACATAAATTAGCCACCGTAAAGGGCAAAAAAGCTGACTTTTCAAGCATTAGCCCTTTGTCTATTGCTCTGATGAAAGGCTAATGCTCGAAATGGTGGCTAATTTATGTTTTTAACTCAGTTGTTAACACTTAATTACCTGCTGAATTTGATGCTAGTCACTCCTACAGGGTCAAAGGGCTAAAATGTGTTCTCAGATTGAAAAGAAAATTCTTGAATACAAAATCTTACCGCGTTTAGGCTAAACTCTCAAAGATCAATGAATAAAACAAATAGAGTGAAAGAAATCAATTAAAAAACATATTAACATGCAAAACCAAGCTCACAAGCCATTGACTTCAAATCCACATCATAGAAAGTTACATCAAATCTTAGCTCACTATCAGATATTAATAATTACAAATGTCCCTCAGGCACTGAGCCTCTTTTTAATTAAAAATCATTTGTACACAAAGTGGTCATTGTCAATTAATGTGAAATTTCTTATTTATTTCAGCGGAAAAGCCTAAAACCAGTAAGTTCAAGAAATTTGATACTTCTTGTCTTTTTTGGTATAAACTTTTTGTTGGGGCATATAATTGGATTAAACTTCTTAACCCGAAAAAAATGTTAGAGACAGCAGATTGTTGAAATGAACATAATCTAGAGGAGGGAAGTCATCTCCCTTAAAGCTTTCATCAGCTCACCTCAAATTATCATGATAGTTTAAGGGTTTAATTTTTTTTTGATTGAAATTATGATTGGTCCAGGGAATAATGAATCCCCTTGTTATCACTATTAATGGATTTATTTTTGTCAGTGTCTGACAGATATGATGTGTTTATCGCATATGCCCAACCTGACAGACCATTTGCTGATGAACTTGTCAAGAAACTGGAGGGACCACCCTATAACTTAAAAGTTTGTATTGATTACCGGGATTTTTTGCGTGGCAATGATCCTTCAGCAGCTGCGGCCCAGGCCATTGAGAAATACTGCAGAAAAGTCTTGCTTATCTTGTCAGAGAACTTTAACAGATGTGAAAGAGCTGATTTCCAAGCCAACGTTGCGCTAAGCTTGTCAGCAGGTTTGTGTCTCTTGTGTGACTTCTTAACCCTTTCACTGGACCAAGATATCATTTAGTAATTCTTCTTACCATCTTCGATTGACAATTGACAATAGATAATACTTTATTCAAGAGAAGGAAAATGAAAAAAAAAAAAAAAAAATTGTAAAAGTATCTCTCGAAAGGGGATATTCTAGAGGTTAACCCTATACAAAAGATTCCCCGAATAAAAAGACCAAAACATTATATACAGATAATTAAAAACTGTTTACCATCATCTCAATCAATATTCATGTAAATCTTTAGTCTGTTACGAAATAAAGTCAATGATCCTGCGTGTACAATATCTTTAGGCAAATTATTCCACATATTAACGATCCGTACAAAAAAAGAAAAATTTGTAGCAATTTACGATAGCTATTTTTATGTAGAGCTTATAATCATGATTGGCTCTAGTTCGATTACATTTAGTAAGTTCAAAAAAGTCCGAAAAAGGAAGACTATCTATTCCCAGAACTATCTTGTAGCACGATACAATTCTTATGATGATAGTTCAGAGAATTTGGTATTGGATCAATTACTGATTACCTAACATATATTTTTCTTAATTCTCATCACTTGTCTGCTTGATTTTGTATCGACACTCTGAGTAGAAATTCTGTCTTGGTCGCTCATGGGAGTTAAAAGGTTTAATTTTTTCTTGACCTAAAAAGTGTATTTGAAAGATCAAGATCAGATGAGTAACTTTCTCTTGCACATGCCGTTTATTTTTTGTCAATTAGTCAAGAGGATTTGGTTTTAACTCCCAAGATATGACTGTTAATTTCTCCCTCTACCTGCTACACATTTCCTTGTAACTTAGTAACAAGAATTTGTTGTTAGATCAAGATCACAACTTCTAGATGATAAGTTTAAATATTCTCATTACCTTTTTATGGATTAATGTATGGATATTATAGGGAGAAGTTATATGTTAATTACTTCTGGGAGTTAAAAAGAATTCCCCTACATATTTGCAAGACATCACATTTAAGTTTTGATAATTTAGGGATGGTTAAATCACCTGAAGAGTTTAACAGTTAAAGAAAATAATGTTGTGATGACAAAGTTGCAGTGCTTTGATGGTCCAAGGTGCAAAATGTTTCAGGGGAAAGAAGATAGCATGTTTCTTTTGACAAAGAAATAATTTATTTTATACATACTGAGATTTACACATTAAAAGAAACCCTGCTAAAATTGGTGCAAATTCACAGCCAATCAGGAAAGCAAATGACTGTGATATAGACAGTGGTACTTCACAGTGGAGGGCAACAAAGCATGTGGCTTTCTGTTAAACAAAACTAAAAGCAAGCTGTTTTATTAAAACTATTTTATAAGAACAACACCTTTTGATTTATAACACATTTTTAAAATGAGATTTGTGCATTGGTTATTTTTAGAAACAAGTTTGTCTTATTTGCATTGTGCTGATAAAATTCCCTTTTCTCAGATGTCAGGCACACCAATCTGATACCAATTTTGTACAAACCTTGTGAAATACCAACAATTTTAAAGTTCATCACACACTTGGACTACACAAGCAAAGAGGCAAGACAGCATTTTTGGAATTTGTTGACTAAGGCACTTGGTTGTAGCAATGGATGTGCATACAATGGAAAAAAGTGATGGGCTAATATGCTTTTGAAACTGTAATTACTGACTTTGCTCTCGACCTCATTTGACTCTGGTTTCAGGATGCCAAGTCTTCAAGAGAAAATCTATATGGTGATAACATATGGAGTTAATGATAAATATTTTTGACAAAGTATTTTATCTGATCTCAGTTAAAAATGTGCAGGTAGTTTCATAGTTTGATAAGAATTTGTTACATGGCTAATGTTTATAAAGTACCTGATATCTGTTCATCATGCTGTAATTGTGAAAGAAATGTCCTGTGCTCATGACCAGATGAAAAAATATCTTTCACTATCTCTTTACTGCATCCAAAATTAACCACCTCTCTTATTCTCATATGGTTATTTAATGACCTTTAACAGGTATCTGTAGATGTTATAATGATTCTTGATGATGTTACCATTTCTTATATGTATATGAAGAATTGTAAATAGGATTCAAACCCTCTATGGAGAATGAAGCCAGAAACATTTTCAGTAAAATGTGTTTAGAGTTTGAAATAATCCTTTAACTGGAAAAAGTTTCAGTCTGTGTGGAAATTTTAGGAATCATTTTATCAGTCATTTAGCTGTAGAAGACCTAGGCCCTTGTTGAAGAGGCTTTGTTCAACTTAAAAATATAACAAATATGTAGAATATAAAAAAGTTTTCTGTCAATGCTGTTAGTCTCATTTTTGGTTTTGGAAATGTAGACAATGAGCCTAGGATATTGTAAATAAGTATTATAGAAGTAAATTTTTAATTATATTTTTAACTTCTGTGTGACATGTTTTGTGTAGAATGTGTTAAAATTTGATAACATGACATGAAAAATAACCCTAGCAAGTGAAGTCCTAGTTTTCTTAAAATGTAACATCTGACATTAACTTATAGTTTTTATAGTGTACAACCATGAATTTTTTTTAATATTTGAAAGCAATTTTGTTTCATTTTATCTTTGTTTGGTGTAATAGCTGAAAGTATTAAAGTTAGAAAGAATTCTTGTTTCCAGCCTTTCGAAGCTTTTTTCAAGTCTATTCTGAGGCCAGGATGGGGTTTTTGCCCAGAGTAGGGGCAGGTACTTCCTAGTAATGGGTTGATGGGATTTTGCTGCTGAATGTGATAGCATTTTCACAACTGACTATAGTAAGGTTGAACTCCAAATAGAGTTCCTGGAGAGGTATTGAACATTTTCAAGAATTAGGGGATAAGGAGATCAAGGTAAGTAATGATTAAAAAATTAGAAGATTCACAGGTAAATATTTGTAACCAAATTTGTTAAGAATGATTGAGATAGGGTCTATAATACGCCAAAGAATAGACTTATACAGGGAACAGGTTCTGAGAGGCTACTGGCACATACTTGGCAAAAATCATCTTCCCAGTACTGAGAGGCAACATCAAATTTAAGCACAGTTAGCAAGACCAATGTATGTTGAGACAACGATATCACGACATTAATATCCTGCTACACTCACTGGATCCTCTCATAAAGTATCAATACACTTTGAAGGAACTTGAACGTTTTCCCAAAAATTTGCGAAAGCAGCCTCTGTTAAACGTGGACTGCTGGCAATTTGCTTCTCTCTCGAGGTGGTGCAAACTCAAAATGGGGAAAAAAATTTGGGTCGTGCTTGTCTTGGTTTGAAAAACCCAAAAGAGAAAAATGTGCCTAATTGATATAAATTTAGCAAGTGGATTCCATGTTGCCATTCGTCTGCTCAGAAATAAGTCATAGATAGCGTCAAAATGTGGTAAGAGTAAATAAGTGCTGCGCCTCGTATGCTACTTTTCTGTTGTTACAACATTTTGACAGACCTAAGACCACATGGAATCTATTTTTTAATTAATGATTAAAAAAAAAAGCAAAACGTTGTAGGTGGTGACGTCATCTATGCGTCTGTCCTGTAATAGATCATTAACAAGAACCAATCAAAATGCGTGAGAAAAAGAAGCTAATTCATCGAAAGATAGGTGTTTCTACAGCCAGAAATGGCATCTTATTCAAATAACAAGTGTCCAGGCTCTTTCCGAGAAGAAGCAGGAATTAGGCCTTGCTTTGGACCTTTGACGTAATGCGGTCACAACAACACGTGATTTTAACGGAAAAGGACGTGATGTTAGGAAATTCCTTTCGTTGAGTTTTGTTGAAGCTTGTCTGGTGTGGTCTCAAAGCTCTTTTGGTTCACCGCATCTACGTCCTTCAAGTAAGTTAGTGTATTCTAATACAGCCACAGTACTCTCTCTAAGTACTTAAACAATCTTACTAAATATGTAAAAGCGCATTCGACGGCCATGTTGTTTCCTTATCTTACATCCTTGCATTAACTCATTGCAATTTTGTTTGTGGTATTGATCACTTAAAGTAGATACACAATGAACGGAAGTCTAGGACGTTGTAGAGAGATCCTTTGTTAGAAAACTCAGTCGAAATTGAAGTGTCGTGCTGTGCATCAAAACTACAATTTATGATTCCGATTTAGTTTATACAGTGACAGATGAAACGTAGATTATTTATGTCTGGTCTTCGATCGGCCTGTCCTTTTCCTTGTCGCTGTAAAGCTTAGGACAAGAATTTAAAACTTCGAAACAGAAATTTAATGTTTATTTATAAGCAACGGAAAGTATTTCTTGGTATCAACGGTTGAATGTATTTCCCCCGAAATTGCAGCGGACAGTACAACAAATGTTTTGGCATTACTCGGCCAAGGATATTGCTAGTCGGAGATGTCGCCTGTTACGATTAACCTTCTCATGTAAATTTTAAGAACTGTGCAACACTCTGTGGAAAAAATTATCTTCTGAAAGGTTTGACTTTTAAACAGCTGATACTAAAGTGTGTGAAACTTTTAAACAGTGCTTTAGTTAATCTTGTGGAACTGAATTTCAACGTTGCAGTGAAGGTCATAAGCTTAAAATTCAACAGGAATTATGCATGTTTTGAATAGCGATTTGTATGTTAATATGGAGTCAACCATGATTATTAAACCAAATTCAAGGTTTGTTGTCGGGGTTATCCAGATTTTGATGGGGCATTCTTGTATTTCTTAAATGTGATTAGTAGGTAGATAGTGTGAAATGTCCTATACATTGTGAATTCAAACTGTTTAATAATTAGTGTACAGACAGCGTAAAGCAGATGGGAAGTACTTCAACTTTAACCCTTTCGTGTTGAGTACAATTTTGTTATCTTACTGTTACTAAGGTCTTTGTCTGTTTGTAAATTGTCAGTAAAGTTAGTTGTTTATTAACAAACATTAAGCAATATTGATTGAAATATAACTGTAAGGTTACTGTAGTTTCTCGGATATAAGGTGCACGGTTTTTTCAAGAAAATTCTGTCCTTATTTGGAAAGTTAATGCTGAAATTGAGGTGTGTCTTATAGCCAAGTAAGTCATCTGCAGCTCACCAGAAAACAGGACATGTTGCTGGTTGCATCATTTTCTCACCATGGATTCTGAAATGCTGTATTCATGGGCAATTTCATAATTTTTGTTGAATGCCTCGGCTTTGGCAATGATTTTCAACTTGAAGTTGAGGTCATGTGAGTGATGGCGAGTGCTTGGCATATTTGCGACCGAACAAGAAGTTGAAGTTTACCTCTGACTGTTTATGATGAGAATGTATCAATTAGTTTTGCAACTGAGTTTTAAATCAGTCAGTTGATGTTTAATAGAATGAAATCAGGTCATTGAATATTTATTATTTAATTTGGAAAAAGAAGCGTGTTTCCTAAGCAGGAAGACTGAAATAAACAAATATGTGTTTAATGTTTCTCATTACAGGTGAGAAATTTTCTTGGTTTTTATGTAGATCATTAAATGTGAGACTTTTTCACTTTTATTTACATTAACAAGAGAGTTTGCACACCAGTTGTGTAGGGATAATAATTTATTGTTCTCAGTTCCATTACATCCTTTTGTTAACTCACAACCTTTTGGTGCGTCTTATAACTGCGTATTTTCACATAATTTTCAATTTAAGAACTTGGCTTGACTAAGTTGCTAAGTTTGGGGTGCGTCTTATAACCAAGTACGCCTTAAAATGCCTTATAACTGAGAAACTACGGTAAACAAACCTCCAATGATGGAACAAATTGTTGTAAAACAATCACAAATGAAAGCTAAGTTTTTTTTTTTGTCTCACGATGTACTCACATGTGATATAGATCACGACATTTCAACTGCATACTGCTGGTCTTCCAGGGTGTGAAATTAACTTTTTTTTCTGATAGCCACTTGGCTCCTAAATTCTTCAAAGTGGTAGCCAATTCAAAAGAAGTTGGTCGCCATTTTCAAAGACAAACAAAATCTTTCTTTACGCTGTCAGCGTTCTAGGTAGAGCCTCCAAAATTAAGTTAGGGAAAAGATCTTTATGTGCTACAGAGTGGACACTAGGATGGATGATATACAACGTTCAGACTCATCTAAATCCAAGATGGCGTCTAGTTATTGATCGAGATGCATTTGCTACGTTTTGGAAACAAACTTAACGAGGAAGTTTGCCATGGATTTATCTTTGCAAATCTTTTTAATTCACTATATCTCTTGGTAAGGTTATGATGAAACGTTCTAGTCGCCAATTTGGCGACTGACTTTCAGGATTTGGTCGCCAAAATGAAAAATTTAGGCGCATTGGCACCTGTATTAGCTGCAATTTCACGCCCTGTCTTCTTTAGGCAATGAGGTTGACTGGTCCTGCGGGATCTTATAAGCATGATGCTCTGCTGTGATTAGTTGTTTTTCAACAGCTCTGATTGGTGCATTTCGATCCTTGCTGTTTCACTCAGTTCTAAGTCAGGAGAAACAAACAAAAAAAACTTAGCTTTTATTGTTATCCACCACAATGAATAACCACAACCTTTTTTATGAAATCGCAAATGATGTTTACAGTTAAAATTTATTGGCAGAAATGGGAATGAAATATTAGTGAAGTATAAAATCAAAACATATTTCTGCTATTTTAAGGAAGGAATTTTGTACTCTCTGCCATGTTGGGATAGTGGGACAGTTCACAGTTACCATGATTCTCATTGACTCCTGCAAACAAAGGGGCTATTGTGTGATGATAGTAGTGAAAACCAAGCTGTATGTCATTGGATCTAAAATGGCCTCTTTACCCCAACTGGCACTTTTTGAACAAACTCTTGGAACAGGTCTACAAAATAGCTGTATAGTTGGGTTTAAGTTCTTTTATCTTAATATGCTTTTTATTAGTCTTGCTGTATATCATTCAAAAGTAAAAGGAATCAAAGATAGTGACACAGGTGGAATAAGGCATCCCAGAACCCCTTCCTATTTACACCCCTTGCATTGCTCTACACCTTTAGTTTTTGACATTTTGAAATTGTAGAATGGAACAGACCAAGGCAAAGTGTAAGTGTAAAAGAATCAAAGACAAGGCTAAGAAACTTTTCACATGGGGACGACAGTCAGAGGGAAAGAGCAGTAAGAGTAACAAGTCAGATGACACAGGCCATACAGTTGGTTCAACTGTATTAGGTTAGTGAACTTCTAAATAGTTGTTGAAGTCATGTTGAAGTATCTTACTTAATAATCCATGTATTGGAGAACAATTAAGCTCTGTGTGCTTAACTTGTATGTTGTGTTATTTATGAGTACAAACAGTTTATCTCTCACATTTGAAAGTCTTCACCAGGCCCTGGTTGTTTGAACAGTGGATGATGCTGTCCATTGTATACATGTAGATCTCCATCTAGTGGAAAGTGCGGTATGTTTTGTTGCACTTATTCACTTAATAGGGACATACCCATTGGATAGCATTATCTGTCCTTTGAACACCAGGACCCAGATTTCGAATTAGATAATTGGTCCTTTAAGTTATTTGACATACATTTATGTCACATCAATTTACTTACTTAATTATCCAGACTTGTGGGGACTAGGTTTAATAATCTGGATAATCAAGAGTCTCAGTAAAAAAAAAATGATTATAAATGTTTAAAGCTAATGGGATCAGAAAAGCAAGTCTGGATAAAAGAAAAGTCTGTACAGTTGAGATTTGACTGTACAAATTTACAGGGAATTTGTATCTTCTAAGGTTATTTACCAGTTCCTGAAATTGATCTCTCAAACTCAAATGTCTCCAACAAGTTTAGGTAGACAATTACTTGTATTCCAAAAAGTTCTATGTGCTATTTTTACATGGCATCACTTTATTCAAAATTTAGTTGCTGTAGCTTCCAAGAAAGCATTTTAGGTGTGTTTGTCAATAGTTAAAAAAGCAATTTGCACTGCTCTCCTATGGAGTTTCACACTAAGATTGTTTTTTGTTGCCTGCAGATGATGTTGTTCCACCTGAAAGAAGTGATGTTGATCTTACACCTGATCCTGATATTCCACCTTGTGATACTGTTGCTCTTCCGTTAGATGGAGATACACCCCTAGCCACTGAGGAAAAGCTCCTTAAAGATATGTGTACGAAAGGTCATGAACGGTTGGTTGTTCTTTTGCAACCATCGTGTCCACTTGGAAATGATTACCGGTTATTGGCTGCAAAAATGGGATACACAAATGAAGATATTAAACTTCTTGAAAGTTCACATGAACCCGTGAAAGAATTATTGATAAAATATGATACAGGGAGGAGAACAATTGCGGAACTGGTATCACTTTTACAACAAATAGACAGACCAGACGTAGTACAGGACCTTCAGCCATATATAGGTAGGGCAACCTTTTTCTTTTGAAAGGGAATAAAATTGTTATGGAGGACATAACTTGCGTTAAATGCTAACATTGATTCTTATTTCATACCTGCTGAGATTTACACATATGTTTGTCAATCAGAGATGCAGACCAATTAACTCCAGTGCTTGGTGGCCAGTCGGGCCAGTTTTCTTGAATTCTTAGTGGCCCATCCCAAAATGAAGATGCCCTCGATTTCCTCTAGTTTAAAATGAAAAACTTGAATAAACGCCCCATGGTCTTAAGTGGTGCGTAAATTAAAAGGAAAGAACACAAAAGTCCAGAGTTGTGTGGCAATCACAAAATCAAAATGGTGTCTATGAGCTGTGAATGTGGATTGCTCGTGAAATCACTGTTAAAACAGCTCGGAATTTCCACTTCAGAACTAGAAATTCACTAAAATGTGAGAAGAGAAAGGTAGTCCAATTAAATTACATATTGAGTTCTATTTTTAACTTTGTACTTTGCATAATTTACATCGCAACTTTTCTAAATTCTGTAGCATAGTAGTACATCGGGCATTCAAACCTTAATTTTTGGTGGCCCTGGTCAGTTTTAACTCGCCATTGGCAACCTTGCTACTGCCAATTTTTAGCCCTGCTTCACAGTCCAATCTTTGAAATGTGTTGGTCATTAAGAAAAAATCTTTGTATGTATGGAATAAAAACATCATATTATGGAAAGTGCTTGAACAATTTTTATTGCCATGCATCAAAAACTCACTCATTTGCTGCACTTACTCATTGGATTTTTTTTATGCATTGCAACTCATGAATAAAAATTATACTTGTGTATTTTCCATGGAGTAATCTCCATTAACTACATGTTCAATTCTGAATTATTTGATTTCAAGTCATTAAATGTCAGATATTAAATACCATATGCTGTGTAAAGGAGTGGAGATGGTTCAATGGTGAGAGCACTTTCCTCCCATGGCTGTGACCTGGGGTTAATTCCTACACCCAACATTGTATGAGGATTGAGCTGACTCTTGGTTCTAGATAGGTTCAAAGGTCCAGAGTCTTTCATATCACCTTGTGTTGCTTTAAAATTGAAACTTATTACATCTCCAATTATTACAGAAATTTATCCCTATGGTAGTGTGTTTGTTGTCCATTTATTAAAAAAATGTAATTTAAGGTAAAATACCTTAACACAAAACTGTAGTGATGGTTCTGTATACTTTTAAATCTTGTTACACATTCATTTAATTGACATTTAATTTCAAATTGTATTTAAAAGTTTTTTTTGTTTAAAAAGTATGCTAGTCTATGCCACAGAGCATGTTTCTGCAGCAGCACATACTGAGTTTGTATTGTAATGTAGCAGAAAGAATGGAGACCATTTTTGGTACCACTAACTTTTCTAGGGAGAGCAAATTTGTGGCTCTCTTGCTCGAAGAAAAAAATTGAGATACTTAAAAAAAAATACATGATTGTTTTATTGCTTAGTTTCCTTTTTACTAAAGAATAATTCCCTGATCATCCACCTACTGTTTTTTATTCTGCTTACTCCTGTATTTTCAGATTCAACACTTACTCCAAGGGAGATACAAGAGCGAATGCATCTGACCAGTACGTATTTATGTCATTAGATAGAAGAAGGCCTTTTGCTTGTGTTTAGGTTGGTATTTCAGCCCTAAGCCTTGCTTTTAGGGTTGAGAATTATTGTGGATTGGAAAGAAAGTATTCCTAAAATAATGAAATCTCAAGAAATTTGTACGTGAAAACATCTTGTGTCATTGAGTTTTAGTGGTGAATTTTCATGAAATGATGTCATTGTGCATAAGGTGAAAACTATTGTTGCATGACTGACATTCACAATCTGTTGTCTCCCAAGGCTTGAATTTTTTTATACGCTACACTTGTATACATTGGCAAAGAGCTCTTTTGATTCATGTCCTCAATGCCATCCATGAAAATTTTGATCTGATCTTTGCAAACTGTACATTTTTGTCTGTTGTCTTTTTTTGTAGATACCAATGTTGTACAGAGGACAGGTAAGTCAAAAGATTATTTTTGTTAGAGACGAGGAAAGTTGTGTTTATGGTTTACATACAAAAATAAAAAATCGCCTTATTATACTCACTATGCTATACTAAACAATGATCCAGTGATCTTTGTGACGTAATTTTGTAGAATTTAGTGCAATTTCTCCATTTTTTGGTAGAGAATACATATAAATTTGTGGATAGAAAGAAGAGAGATGGCAAGTTTTGAGCTTAAAACTTACCATCTCTCCTATTCTATCTACAAACATCACACTATCGACATTGCTGATCCTAGCAGTATGCAGGACACATGTCATATGAACTTTGTAGTAGACCTCGCCCACCACGGAGTCTCTGTGACTCAGTGGTAGAGTATCGCAGCACGGAATCCAAAGGTCTGAGGTTCAATTCCTCATGAGGACTCAGACTTTTTTCTTTGGCCCACACTCATGACAAGATGAAAAAAACATCTTTCTCTAATACATATAAAGTTGTAAATTTTTATAATCATCTCAGCGTGTGAAATGTTACATTGTAGATGTTTTCAACGTCAAGGTGTGTAACTAGTATGGATCCTCACATCTGTTGATTTGACTCAAATATTGCTCTTCCAAAATCGTCCCTGTTTACACAACAAGCGAGATACATTTTAGAGGGATGTGTAGAAAAAAAGCTCAAAGTGACCTCTAAGGGACTGCTAGATTCTCATTTCAAATTTTATTGTATTTTTTTGGGATATGCAAGAAGAATTTGAAGTGGCATCAAAAGTCACCTAGCAGTGTAATTTCCTTTACCAGTTCAGTATAGTTATACCCAGTTAATGATATGGTGTTTTATTTTCATAGTCAAAACTTTTTATCATGCATTTGTCTGCTTTGCTGACGAAGACAAACCTTTTGTGGACAAACTTGTCAAGAAAATGGAAAATAAACGTAATCTACACCTCTGTTGGCCTGAGCGGGACTTTTTACCAGTTGGCTCTCATCTTGAAACAACTGCTTTGGCAATTGAGCGAAGATGTAACAAATTTATTGTGATCCTGTCCCAAAATTATGAAAATAGCCAAGGAGCCATATACCAGGCACAAATTGCCACGAGTCTTGCTCCAGGTTAGTAAAATATTGATTTGTTAATTAAATATTTTTGATAATGAAAGCAAACATCAACCAATAGGTGTAAACCCTTTCCCACCTAAGAATGAACCAAATAGAATTTTTCCTTTCAAGATAATTGCATTTTAAAACAAAAAGATTACAAGAAGGAAGAGCAATTATGATGTTAACTAGGATAAATTGTGTGATTTAGCACAAAATTCTCAGAGCTGAGAGTAACAAAAAAAAAAGGGAGTATGGTACTCAGTAAATATTTTTGTTATTGAGATCTGTGAGTTGTGAAACTCTGTGATCAATATGAAGATAGAACTCCCTCCATTTCTGAGCCAGTCAGATGAAAACTAGATATAATCCTGACTTTGCTTTCTCTGATGTTCATTATTGTGACTGTTTACTGTTTTAGGTCTTAACAAAGTGACTCTGAAATTTACTGTGAGTCATATCAATTGGCTGCTCTGATAACTTTAGTTTCTGGTTTTCCTTTCTGAATATGTTGTTAATAACCCACTTCAGGTGGCTGGTATTTTGGCCAATAATGTCTGCCACAGAGAAATTGTCTGAAAAATGAATATTTGGCTGAGAAGTGAAGCTTCAAGGGCAGATGTGAAATTTTTAGGACAATCTCTAAGCCAAGGACACTAACAGCCGACATACCAGCTCGCTAGAAGGATTATGTTAATTTTATAACCCTTCCTTCATTTTCATTGACAACTAATTTTTTTATACTTTCTGGAGTAGCATTTGAGTTCAGCTCTTTTAATGTCAGTATCAGTGGACTCTACAAAAGAAGTTAGTTTTTCTTCAATGTAAAGTTAAAAAAAGATGAAAAAGTGAGTTTCTGAGCCAGCTTTTTCCGCTGGCTTTGTTTCTTTTGGATGGAAATAATTGTTGGGCAAATATGGACCTAAACAGGGATTATTGCTAGATAACTGTTCTGTGATTTTGCACCACATGACTTAAAGTAGCCAGTAGAATTGTGATGTAAATATAAGAAAACCTGTGAAATGATGAACAGCTCCCTGTTGGGTTGTTATCTCTGTTGGTAGAGTGCTGCACCAGTATTGCAGAGGTCATGGGTTCAAATCCCATACAGGCCTGAATATTTTTCAGGCCTTATTTTCAGTACTGCTTAAGTAGTGTTCATAACTGTGAGATGACTTTCATATTCATTTCTTTATCCACAGTTCACATGTATGATTTTCATATATTTACAGTCAGTTTCATATATTTTGTTTCACAGGTGCCAAAGAGAAGCGAATTATACCAGTGCTCATTGATGAGGGTTATAGATGCAGTATTCCACGAACCCTTTCTCACATTACCTACCTTGATTACCTCAGGCAGGATGAGAGAAACTTCTGGAATCTGTTGTGCCAAACTCTCACGTGCAATATTTGAATTTAAGCATTGTGTACAGAATGTTAAATCTGCTGCGTGATTTTGGTCCTAGATGCTGAGTTTTCCTCAATTTATTTTCCCTTCTAGCTTCAACTTATTCCCTTGTAAATTAGTTCCAAGAATTTGGTGATAGATCAAGATATCAACTTCTACCTGTCTAAGTTTGAGTATTCTCATGACCTGTGTGCTGGATGATGTTTAGATATTATTGGAAGAAGTTGTATGTTAATCACTTCTGGGAGTTAAAGGGTAAATCTATGTGGGCTTAATCATGTATCATATGTTTAACAATTGGTTCATATGTCAGCATGCATTCATCAAGATATGAAGCATGCAGGAAGCTTGGAGAGCATGAAAGTTGTGTAAGAGTAGCTTGAGGCGTAGCACAGCTGACGTATGAACCAATTGTTTTATAACATTTTCCACCCGATGGAAAAAATTTTTTTCTCAAGGGATTTGTTTGCTGACGTCATGAGCATGCACAATAGGAATATGAAGCACGCTCGTGCAATTGAATTTGATTAGACAAATTTACTAACTATGTTATAAAAACCCTTTAGCATCCTCTGTTTGAAGGTGTGAGTCTGTTGATGTACTTAATATCCAAAACCACCCTCTACTCCCAAACTTTTCTTCCCATTTTAGCACTGTGCAAAGAACCTTTGTCAACAAACACAGTATCTTAGTAAATTGTCAGCATGTCTGTGGGCATCCATTGCAACTGGCCATAACACAGTAAGCTTTCACAAAATCTATTGGGTAGCAATGGTTTCTGAGTGTAATAGCAGAGGTGTAGAATAAGTGTAGAAAAAATAGTGTTGTGATCATTCAGGTTAGATTTTTTGAAATGTTAGTTCTGCCCTTTGGTCATTTTCAGTCATTTTTTTCAATCATTCTATGTATCAGTAGTGTTAAATTTTGATTTTATCAATTTATCTGTTTCAGACATAGTTATTGATAGTATTTGATGGTCTCAATTTATAGGCCCAAGATCCTTTACTGTTTTGCATTCATGAGAAGAATTTTCTCTTTACTTAATTACTCACTTTATATCTTGAAGAAACTGTTAAGAGTTTGTGATTCATAAGTTTATACATTGTAGATTAGGACCTGGTTGTTTGAAGGCTGTAGAACTTTAGCCAGTGGGTGAATTGCTATCCAGTGGACACCACATTATGTTTTGTAAATACTTATTCATTGGGTGGCGATTTATTGAGTGAATAGAGTTATATAGTCTCTGAACAACCAAGATTAGGATGATATAATCATGAAATGATTAAAAAAATGCAATTTCTAAAACATTTCTGTGAAACTTAGATATTTACTATTATAATAAATTTGTTTGTGTCAGACCATTGTGAGAATATCTTTATTACTACAATTACAAATTTATACTCTGATGTATAAATGCAATGAGATGATTCTTCAGCATTTGTATATACTGCATAGCAAAAAAATGGTGTAAATATTTTATTTCAAAACAATTTTTGATTATTGCCTTATGTTCAGAATTATTATTTTTATGCCTTGTTTAATTTAGGATATGTATTTTGCTCAATTGGTAACCACATAGTGTGATAAAAAGTGTGTATATTTAGAGACAAAAAGCTAATTTTTTTTTTCATTAAACTTTTGCAAAATCAAAATGGCTGTACTGCTATGTTACTGAAGTTTTAATAAAAGGTGAATTTTGACAAGCAGATTGCTATTTGAGAGCAACAGATGAGGGTCAACCAAACTTTTCCCATGGCAGGAGTTTTTGTCACATAAAGCCTTATTTTCAAGAGACTGCTGTTGGTATGCTAACATCAACAAATGAACCTAACTTTTTACACAAGAAAGGGAATTGAACCATTCAAGGGATTTTTACTCCAGCTGCTAGTGGGTTTTGAAAATTTGGAATCTTATTGAGCTATACTCTATCACATATTGAATTCCCCTTTATATGCTGAACACAAAAGCGTTGGTATCATATTAAGAAAACACCATTCAGGTAGTAAGGCTGTCTCCCCATCTCATTTGCCTAGTAACATACTAAATTGTTGTTGATCCTTTCTGGGAGTGAAAGGGATAAAAGGTGTTTTTCTCCTTTTGGTGGGGCATAAATTTCAGTATGCAAAATGAGATTGCATGTAGGTGAATGAGAATGGTGACGAAGGATGACCACGAAGTGGGAGTCCAATTTGTTAATCATGAGTATGATTACGGACAGAATTGGACAACACAAAGTCCTTTTACCAATTAATCAAAACTATTACGAAACTGGAGAAAAAAACTAGACATTTGTTATATGCTCTCCAAAAAAAAAAAAGACAATGGTTAACTCTGCAAAACAGAGACATCAACTTTTTAACTGTTCAAGTCAACAAGTGACACCCTCTGTCCAATTAGTGCCCAAATCAGGCTCTTGACAATCAATCATGTTAGAGAATTTTGTTACAGTTTTGATCAGGCATATAATCCTTTATCCAGAGGATTATTTAAGCAGACATCAAAAGGCTTTTTAACTGTTCAACAGATCTTAAACTGTCCTCCAAGCTTATGGAAAAACCTAGGGTGGGGCTCCCTAAACATCTGCTATCTAGACACATTGAGTTCTCTGCACCTGGCAGGCCACAGGATTTCCAACTGACAAGTGTGTGGATTAACACAAATTTTAAGAAATTTAGAAGGGATATGTGTGTCGAGCTATTGTGGCCAAAAAAAGACCAGAGGACCTCAACCCTGTCACTCCTAAGAACTGATTATTAATTCTCTCCTCTAGCTGCAATGCATTTCCTTGAAAATTAGTTATGAGAATTTGGTGTTAGGTAAAGATAATAACTTGTAACTGATAAGTTTGCGTATTCTCAATATCTGTTTGCTGGGTAATGTATCAAACTTCAATGAAATAATTTGGGTCAACAGGCAAACTTTTAAGTTGGAAGGCCTTTTGTATGAAATTTCTGTTGATAGTTCTTTCCATTGCTGAAAACTGAATTATTCCACCAACTTTTTTATTACCAGCATGGAGGACAGCAATTGGCTAGGTCAAGGGAGATTCATAATTAATTTTAGCCTACCAAAATCGAGACGTAACAACAACCGTTCAAAAATTAAAAACAAACAAACAAACAAAGCAGACATAGCCCTTTTGCCGGTTCGCACAGCCAAATCCTAGGTGTTTCCGATGGGTTTCCGAAGAATTTCCGATGGACCTCCGAAGAATTACCGAGAAATTTACTTCAGATAAAATTTATGGAAGGCGGAAGTGAAAGTAGGAAGTGGTCGAGAACGAAATTCCGGTCACGTGATATCCAAGTGGGAGTCTTTTACGTCCCCCGTTCGTCCTCCATTGCCTGGCTCGAAGAGCAACATCTAACAGCTTTTCTCGTGGTCTGCGGGCCTTGTGCCCCTCATGTAAGTAGAAATTACAGTGTACAAACTTGTAGAGTTTTTACTATTTTATCGAAGCGGTGCTTATCAAATTTGATAAGGTATTTTTGTTTGCTCATCTGCGGTGTTGAAAGGCCTACATTTTTAAGTGAAAGTTGAACTCCAACCTTGCTGTCCGTTGTGTATTTTGTTACTGTGGTGGTAGCGTGAAAAGGACCATATTCTGTTGTATTGCGATAGTAAAAGGATCTCTGTCGTATGAAAAAGATAGAATGATCTCGTAGTGTTCGGTTTTGTTACAATACTTTTAATTTTCTTGTTTTGACCTTCGGTTTGCACGTTACAGAGCAGAGATCTAAGAGTTTTTTCCAGTTTTTAATCCGATGATTGAAGAAATGCCTCGCGAATCAAGATTTTTTTATTTAACATCCCGCAGAATGACTAGCCATTATTCTTTCTAAAGACAATGCTTCGTGTTTGCTTGTCTTTGGTCACCGCCTGTATTCTCTAACGATTGATTTCGAACGTATGTAGTGTTTTTGAGTATACAGACTAAAGAGAGAGATTTGAAAGCAGAATCGTGCAAAATTTAGACTCTGATATTCTGTCTCGACTAAGTTTCTGGTCGTTAGCCTTCCCAGACAAATGTGCAGTCCTCTATTTCATCAGCATCACCGCGTTTTCTCAGAAAATAATTACTAAAATTGACAAGTTGCCGCTCGGTTTCCTCGAATATTCTCGATGCGGAGATCTGTATCACATTTTAATGATTCAAGAAACTCCAACGGGTTTGTTTGCTTATCTAGTACGGTGTATGTTTATGATTGATTGTGTGACCACAATGTTATCTTATAAAGATCGCTTTGCAAGTTAGATCAGTCTTCATCTGTCATAAACTTCCTTGTTTGTTAACAAGATATTGATTGGCTCTGGTGTTTTCGCTGGTTCGCGAGTTGCACAGTGACTGAAATGATTCTTTTGCTATAGGATGGAAGCATTCAGAAAGTGGAATTTCTTTGGAAAGGGATCTCGGCTCAAGGCTAAATTAAAGCGCAAAAAAACGCGACAACATGGTGGATGCAAACAGGAAAGTAGTGAAAACGAATTGAGCTCCAATCCACCACCGTCGAATTCAGAGAGTAGCCAAGAAGGAACTCTTAATGGCAAGGAAAAATCCAAAGCAAACAATTCTGGTGAAAGTGGGATTGTGGATTCATGTGAGCAAAAGGATGTGAGCACAAGTGACTCTGATGAAGTATCCCCCACAACTGTAGGTTAGTGAGTTCAAAAAAATTTTTATTAGTTTGTTTGTAAAGTTCGAGTAGTTGTATACAGTCCCCCAATCCCTAAATGTATTGACCATAAGAAGGTATTACTTAGCCCACAAACCATGTGAGATCTGGGAGGTAAGGCGATAAAATTGCAAAATTAGTAACCCCTCACAGTCTTGAAACTGAACGTATTTGGCACCCCAGATGATACATTTCTTTGTTGGCTGTTGAAGTTCCTTCAACAAGGTTTCTTCCATATGATAATTTTTGTAACCTTCCTTATCATTGTCCTTGATGGAGAATCAATGTTAAATGAGGCAGGTAGCAAATAATCACTTCTAAAAGGTAGAAGATTCAGCAAGAAAATTATTGCGTTCTCAAGGCTGACATCAACCTTCTCCAGACAATAGAATGAATTTCTTGTAATCCCTGATTAGTTATTACTGTGAAGGATAAAGTTTACCCTCTAACTCCAAAGATCTTATTGTTAATTCTGCCTTCCAGCCGCTACACATTTCCTTGTAAATTAATTAACAGATTTTGCTTATCAATCAAGATAACAACTTCCACCTGATAAGTTTGAATATTCTTGTTACGCGTTTACTGGACAATGTATGGATATTATAGGGAGAAATTACCTGTTTACCATTTTAAGAGTTAAAGGTTAATGAAGGTCATCATCACCTTTTATTATTTTAAAACTCACTTTTGTGGGCTAAACATGATTCAAAACCCACAGATCTTTCTTCAACTGATGATGAGAAATTGCTCAAAGATATGCCTTCAGAGGTTTATGAAAAGCTGGCTATTCTACTGCAACCCACGCATATGCTTGGAAAAGACTACCGCTTATTGGCTGATAAAATGGGATACAAATACGAGTACATTAAGTATCTTGAAAGTTTACCTCAACCAGTGAAAGAACTGTTTATAAAATTTGCAAGAGAAGAGAGAAGAACAATTAAAGAGCTGTTGTCACTTCTAAAACAAATAGACAGACCAGATGTGGTGGAGGACCTTCAGCCATATATAGGTAGGATAAACTTTTTTCTTTTAGTGGTTGATGGGTATAAAATTTTTTTGGTGGATATTGATCAGCTGATCTTAAATGCTTAGATGAATAGGGCACATCTACACATTTGCAGAAGAGGTTCAGTTGTAAAGATCTTTGATTATCATAGAAACTCATAAAATGAGACTGTTAATCAGTGTATGCCAGGCAAGTTTAGAGTGCCTGTGCACAATAAAATAATTGTGAGTTTTTACTGGATTATCATTATTAAACATAAAACCCAGATTAACTTTTCGAATAACACATTTTTTTTAACATCAGATTGTACAAAATACAATCTTGGGTTTTATGGGTTTGGACTTTCAACTCATGTAGAAGTGTACAACAATTGTAAAGACCACAAGAAACCAACGAGAACTGAAAGTTGAAACATGCAAACTGCCTTTGGTGCTGGAATATACCAGGAAACAAGTTACAGTTGATTTTAGTTTGACATTTGATTGATTGAGAGGGTAGAAGGAGTCTTTTTCTAAACAAATCAAAGGAAAAACCTATTATAATCATAGAAATTTGTGACACTATACTGAAAATCTCTTCCATAGTAGAGTTAACCATTATTTAATTTGGATCATTTTCAGAGAGAACACCTCCTCGAAGGGTGATTGAAGAGCGATTTCAAAAATGTATGTATCTGTGTTTGACTGTAACTGTACTTTGTTTGTATTTACTAAGCCTGCTTTAACTGAACATTATATCAAGGCAGAAGCAGAAAACCTAAGTTATGTGCTTCTGGTCAAAACCATTATCTAAATCACTGTGCGATATCATTGAATGAAAATCAAACAGACAGAATTACAGCAAAAAGCCAATTTCATCTTTACTTTCATTGTCTTTGTGCTCCAAGCAATTAGAAGCTTCAACAACCTCTCCCCTGGCAACCCACAAGGATTTGATCGTCCTCTGTGCCAGGGGTTGGGGAATTTGAACTAGAATTGAAAAGTCTTTCTAGCAGAATACAAATGCTGTATTAAATATGGAGGTGTTAACGTATATCCAGTTCAACCTATTTAAAGCTGCACCATATTAAATGGTCAGTTGTCAAGGTCCCAAATTTTTTCCCTTAATCACTGTAATTTTCACCACTATGTAGCAGTCACCTTAGTCTATAAAACAGTGAGTCCCAACAGCCTGTTTGTATTGTTTTCCACCTGAATGAATGGTCACCTAAAGAGGAACCACTTACATAAAACTAACAAAAATCTCTCAAGTAAAAGTTAATTCATGTTTCTCTCTGAAAATCAATGTTAGTAGTATTTTTGAGCAAGTTTTTGTACATAAAGTGGTCAACTATGGTATAGAATAAGGTTTTTGTTGTTTTTATATCCACCTTGTTCTGTAGAACCTATTTTAATGAGTCAAACTGTACAAAGTGGTCACTCTGCCATACCCCATGAGTGACCACTTAATACCAGTTTAATTGTAGTTAGGGGGGGGGGGGGAAGGGGGGACAGGGTGGGGAAATTTGAACAAACAAATCTTCATCAGTTAAAATGTGTGGGGGGTTGGATGTTGAAGTTTTGAATTGTTGAATTGATCAACACATTACTCCTTAGCTTAACTTCTCATGTTTACATTTTGCCTTTTTCTTCAATCTGACCAAAAAATGATCACAACTGAAAGTGTCGTGCTTTACGACACCTTTCTGTCTGCATGGTGCATAGGAACTCTAACAGCTGTTTTGGGAACAGACTGGTTTTCATTTCCATTCTTAAACCAGTCATTGAAGATGACTGACTGTAAAAAATGATATTTAAACAAGGGCCTTATTCTTAGCCAGTGGCTGAATTAGGGTGGCTGTTGTCAGTAATTTTAAATAACATCAGTGTCTTTTATCTCCATCGTATGTTCTTGTTTACAGCAAAGATTGATGAACAGAAAACAAGTGAGTGGACTATTGTATTTTTCTAATTTGGTTTTTTTGCCATCAAATTTACCCAATTTTTTGTAAAGAGCTCTTTTCAATTGAGTGTTGTAAAACCAAACCAAGGTGATAACGATGGTCAATCATAAGAATGGAAAACACATGTGCCTTATTAGAAAAAAAAAATTAAACCCTTTACACCTTGGCATCATTATGTATACTCTCTATACTTTTCTGTATACATTTCTTGAGGTGCTGATGAGGAGAATTTATTTAACAATCAAAGAGTTTCTTTAGTTGGTGATCATTTCTCTTATTCCCATGACCTTAGTGTGTGATTCTGAGATGTCATTGTAAGGAGAAATTAGATGCTAGTCACTCTCGGGGGTCAAAGGGAACTCAAAGTATTAACAAAGAATGCGCGGGAAAACGTGGGCGACCAAGTCGTGATTGGTTTAAGTTTTGCATCTGAGGAGTACGATTTTTCAAGGCCCATCACAGAGGCTAGTAAAGCAAAACCAAGGCAACCCTGGATTGCTAACGACATAACTGAAATTGCTCTAACACCTCAATTTCATTATTGTAAAGGAATTTGTTTGTGTTTCTAGTTCGTGATTCTTATGACGCATTCATATGCTACGATGAGGGAGACCGTGCTTTTGTGGATAAACTTGTCAAGAGGATGGAAAGTGAACCATATAACCGTCATGTATGTGATACAAGACGAGATCTCCTGCCTGGTGGTTCACGTTTTGAGGGAATTGCCACGGCCATCGAGAAAAATTGTAGAAACGTGGTTCTTGTTTGGTCTAGGAACTACCATGATAGTGAAAAGGCCCGCTTTGAATCAGATGTAGCCATGAGTATGTCAACAGGTCAGTTGGACGGTCTTTAGAAATGTTATGTTTTTTAGAATCAAACCATTCAGAGATTTGCTAACGTGATTGATTGACAGCTGTCTGATTTGGGGTCCAATAGGAGAGTGAATCTTTCATGCTCAATCAAGTTATGAAACGAGTTTTTGCTCGGCGCGAAAAGCGCGGGCCATAAATCTAAGCGTAAAAATCGAGTTTCAGAAACTTCAAGTACGGACCAAGAAAACAACGCTGCATGTAGTTAGATATTTATCATATATCTGGGTAGAAAACTTTAATTTTATACTCAAACAAACTTTTTGATTCAGCGAGCCTTACAGCGAAATCGCAGCCCACGTACAAACTGAGAGATATGATAAAAGGAAAGATTAACCATTTTGCTCGTGAAATGGGATCATACGCTGCATTTGCGCATGTTCTGGAGATGAATACATTGAACCGATGGGAATTTGTTTGGTTCGATTTGCCGATTCGGCACAATTTCGTTCAAATCTCGGTGTGGTTTTTCTTTACTTTAATTTTCTCTGGTATGAATTGATACTTAACAACAACTTTATCTCAGAAAAGATGCTGATGGTGACCTGTGTTTCATTTTGCCTTCACAGGAACCAAAAAAAAACTTGATATCATACCAGTTCTTATTGATGATGGTTACAGAGACAATATTCCTCGTTCCATGTCTCATTTTTATTACCTCGATTACAAACGACTAGAAAAGGAATTATTCTGGAATAAGCTGGCGATATCACTGGGCTGGAAACCACCTAATCACTATTGAGAGCGTCGAGTAACAAACTCAGCGATGGACGTTCGCCCCAACTGCACACCTACCCCTCCCCTAACCCAACAACTGTCAACTGAGTACAACTTAGGGTTAATGTTGGATTAGGGGAGGGGTAGGTGAGCATTTGCTAAGAAACTGACATTGATCCAGATATCCTGTCGCACAAAACAATAGGAAACCGCACCAAACAGTCAATCTGTTTTGAAGACCACCTTCTTGTTTCCTTAGTTAGAGGTAGATAATTTTCTTAATTGACAAACGTTTATTGCGATGAGTGCCATGAGGATAGAGCTTTTTCTGATGGGATGTCGTAAAACCGAAAACTTAGTAGCAAGAGCCAATGAAACTCAAGGTAATTGGACTAACGTCCACATTAAAATATGAGTGACTTCTCAACCAATCACAATTGAAGTTAGAACAATTTTTATAATGACGCGAGAGTAATGCAGAATTGGCTCGGTTTTGCTTCACGCGACATGTGATTGGTTCAGAAAACTCACGCCATATTTTAAACAATCAGATTCAGAGGAAAAAAATCGTGACTTGGTCACCTGCGTTCTCCCACGCATTGAACAGTTTGCTTTTTTTTTTCTCTGCGTTTTCTGACTCTGTGTGATTTTTTTCCTTTGCTTTGGTTGGCTGTTATGATTGTTTTGCTTTTGGTTTTACAATCCGCAATCGAAACGCGTACAAGGTCAAACGCGCTCAAGGTCAAACGCGCTCAAGGTCAAACGTGCTCAAGGTCAAACGCGCTCAAGGTCAAACGCGCCCAAGGTCAAACGTCCTCAAGGTCAAACGCGGCTACTGCTGGTTTCATCTGACCATTTGTCGGCATGAACAGTATATTATTGCCACATATGAAATCACCTCTAGTGTCCTTTTAATTAGAAATTTGGTAGCTATTGTAAATAAGTCGGTAGAGGTGTTTTGGTTTGTTGTATATACTATATATAGATCGTCATGTATTATATATACTCAATCTTTGTGACGTACATTAATATTTTTATTTCAGCATTTTTTCGTTTTATAAATCTCGTGTGTTATCACATGTGTATGATATGTATGAATTATTTTAACCCTTTCGCTCCCAAGATCTTATTAGTAATTCTCCTTACTGACTGTCAAACAGTTTTGGTGATACTAGTTTGGATAATTTGATTTTGGATCAACTTAATGATCCCCTAGTTGGTAGTTTTTCTTTGTTTTCATCACTTGTTTACTTGTTATTGTATTGCAATTGTAGGGAGAAATTCTGTCTTGGTCACTCACGTGAGTTAAAGGGTAATCGTTTTAAGTTTGGTCGGCATATAAGAGTTTGTAGTATACAGAAAGAAAGTAGAAACTTTCATTAGGAGGAATTATTTTTTTTGGCTGGATGAGGAGGTAGTTGTCGGGTTGTTAATAGCCATAGGCTGCATTCCTCGTGCTAATCAGAAAACTATTCTCCCCTCCCCCCCCAGTAAAAGCGTCCTTCTGGGAGGAGGGGATCGTTGTATGATATCTGAAGGAACGCCTGTGAAGTAAACCACCGGTACCTTGGATCGAACACATCAAGTCGAGGGTTCGTGGTAAAGTTCCTGAGGAAAAAAGGGAAAATTAAAGCACAAACAATTTTCTCTCGTAGTTTCACTGAGTAAGATTAGCTTTCTTTTTCTGTTTTGACACATCACATTGAAAAACGAGGGAAACAAAACAAAACATCGATTGAAAATACATTTATTATAGGTTCACGCCTCGCGGTCATGTCTTCGATCCAAGGCCAGGTCACTTTATTTGGGCTCTTCTGTTCAATTGTTTTAAGTTAGGTTAAAACTACAAATTGTAAAGCTGGAACCCTTTTGGCTTAGTTATTAGATGTTCCGAACATAGGAATCACGCAAAGAAATATACGGGACGTGTTTAAGTTACAAGAATGTAATGCGTGGTAATCGTCCATTTTTTACGACACGGGTTTATACCAGTGCTACAATAGAGACAACAGAAATATATATCAGAAAAAGTTTCTTTTTTTTTCTTTTTTTTTTCCAGAATCTGTAGATATTCCAACCGATCTAGTTAGTACCTGGTTGAGTATATTCCTCAACCTGCTGACTGTTGAAAAAAATCGATTGTAAAGAATTGAATAAACTGTACTGTCAAAAAATACATTAAGAGGCGAATACCGTGTTATGAAAGAGGATTGTGAACAATACTTTTTTGAAATCTTGGAACGTCTTTTTGAAAATTGGGGAGGCCTGAAGATATTGCGTTTATATGTGTGTACATAGATATTAAAATTATATACGTGAGTTCATCCAGTCGGAAAATGGCCGAATAAAACAACTTCGTCCGTAACGTGTTTTTTTGACACTGATGCAGGCTGACAAACAACAGACCCTCGAGACCTCGTAATACTCCTACGAAAGGAAAAAATATCTATATGCCGGGGAGTTCTGGTTTACCGATAATTAAGGACTAAAAATGCTTTTTACACAAAATGTTTTAGGTTCAAGTTAATATAAGTTTTAACTGGTATTTCTTGTATTAAAGCACTATTTGCAGAACTCTATGAAACTTCATTAAGTTGAAAATCAGACTTATGCGAGGCATCCTACTTTAATGGTTGAACGAAACAGACCGAGGAACTCGGGGTCGACTATTTTGAATCCTTTTTTTTCACGTCGGAAAACTCATTTGAATTACAAATAATTTTTATTAATCAATATTCATATTTGTGCTCACTCTTGCACGTGGAAAGAGCTTACGAACTACGCTTAGGAACTACAAGAAATTTGAGCGTTCTTTTTAGCTTCTATGGAGTCAAGAAACACGTCCTTACGACCCTATTGGACCTATTACCTTAGATATTGTCTGTTCTGTCCTGGTCAGCGACTGTTTCTTCTGCAGGATCAAGTGAGGTGCCATGTCGAAGATTTGTGCTTTTTACTTTGTATCGACTTTTTCCTCAGGTAAATAATCTAAAGTAAGATACATTGAAGATACGTCTTTCTCGTCGTTGCCTTGTAAATGAATTCACAATGCCAAATGTAAGAGGAAAGAGCGTAATTAATTAATCCTTAGTGGCAGCCGCCATGACAGTTCTTCTTGACCGCGAGAAATTCGTACTTTATTGTAAGTGTATTTATCGCTTATTTAATTATTTCTCTTTTCATTCCTGTTCATATATTTCAACTTGCTTTTATGGTGATAGTGTGCTGACCTACGGTGCGTTTCAAACCTACTTTCCCTTTCCACCCAGTCCAACCTCACCAAAAAGGGTGACCATGAAAACGTTATGACATAGAGGATTGGTTCCCTTTTTCCATACAGACGCCGTGGATAGCAGTACTCACTTTTATTCATTTTGTCCAAAAACTTGACAAAATACTCAATGGTAAACTGCTATGTACGTGTTTCCCAACCACAGACGCTAGTGTCTGTACACTCACTATCGCTTAATTCACACTACAGAAAACCAAGATAGACTCTGACAACCGTCCAGGGCAATCTCTTATACAGAGACGGGCTTTATCTTAGAATCTTTTTCTTGTTCTCTTCCTTAACTTGTTGAAAGTAAAGTCACATCACCTTAGTAGACTTTATGATGTTTTATTTTAGTAACGACATTCTACTTTTATTCAACTTAAAAAATATGGGGGCTCCACTCAAAGTTTTATTTGTCTGTATAATTTATCGATTTGTAATGGTAATAGAACTGAGTGGAGTCCAATTTGATCTGTAATCATACAAGTGATACCGCGCAGTGGGAGTCCGAGTCATTTATCGCAAGTACAATAAAAGAACGAGTAGGACGACACGAAGTCTTATTATTAATTAATTATGAAAATTACAATTTCCGAGAAAAGAAAAATAGCCAAGTTATGGAAAAAATTGTGATTAGTTGATTTTAACTACAACTTTGAATGTGATTGGCTCATTGAACTATCCGATAACAACTTGGCAGGTGAATTAGTGGAAAATTGGAGTTTTTTTAGACCAATTACAATCGAGAAAATTGGAATTTTTATGATTATTATTTATATAGAGTACTACTGAGAAGGTATTCATGGATTCCCGTTGTATTTCCTCTTCTTGACTCCAGAAAAGCATCAGACATAGGATGAGAGAGTCTGGAGCGAAGAAAGAACTGAGGAGAACGTGCCATAAGGTCAGTGTTCTAGCTTTGGAAAAAATTAACTTTTCAAATTAAAGCTTGTAAATCTGGTCAGTGGCTGAAATTTAAACAGAGATAAAAATGAAGAAACTATAAATAAAATCAAAGCCGTTTTCTTCAATTTTTTTACCTCTTTGATCACTGTCTGATTAAGGTGACTTGCACTTGAAGTCGTTTACAGCTCTTTTACTTTGATGAAGCATTATTTTCTTAAGTTTAAGCTTAATCAATGCCACTGCTCCAACTCTTTTGTTGCAAACATTGTTATCAAATTACCGTGACAACAGTAAGCTTGTCAAACACAATTGTAGTTCTAAGGTAGAAGACCATTTGTCAAAGTTAGCTCAGTTGTTCCCAGTTGATTATGATTTTCGTTTTCGAATGCTCAGCAAGGTCTAACAATAAAATTTCCTAATTCTTTGGTTCAATAACACTAAAAGGCATTAAATTTGTCACCAGACAATGTGGCGGCTCTAAAAAAGTTCATGATTTATCTTCTTTAGTATAAAAAGCACTCAGGCATGCGCGTATTCACAATTTATATATCTTTTTCTATAGAACTGTGCCAAGAAAAAAAGAAGATCAACTTGAAATCAAGATATACAAGAAAGGAAAGAAATACAGGACACTTTCTAACAAATGGTACACCTATGCTCCAAAGCACAGAAATTGTTAAGAATTTACTGCCACCTTAATCCAAATCTCGGTTACCCAATATCAAATGGCGTTGCTTAAAATGGTAGGACACTGAAAAAGGAGCAACTTCAGAATACCCCGCAACTCATTTACATGTCACTGAATAAGAATAGCGTCTATTGTGTTATGCCTCGATCTTCAAAGCCTCCCGACACATGTAAGTGAGGCGGACCAAAGTGGCGGGGTATTCTGAAGTTTAGCCCTGAAAAACTCTAGTTTTAAATTGACTAATGCAAAGGTGTTCACTGGGAACGAATTTATGAAAGAAATAGTTAGCTCGATTCCATAACTCCTTCAAAGCTATTTAGCCACATAGAAGTTGTCACATGAGTAATTTGCAGCTTTTTATGGTTAAAAATCCAGCTCAGTCACATATAATTGTTGTTCTTATTCAAATATTCACGGACTCGCACGAATTTTCAAGCGCCAAGATTTGTTTTCATATGCTCTTCTTCCTATGCATGGCATTAGTATGGTGTGTTGCAGACCGAAACTAGCAAAAATATTTCGATTAGTTAATTTTTCTGGCTTCTCGTCGAAAAATTGGAACAAATCAGGAACTCGTATTTACAAGGGCATTTCAAATGGTTTAAGGTATAATTCAAGCAAGCAGGAACTAAATTTATGCAATTATTGCTTGTGTGTTCCTACGTGATCTCAGAGCAATCACGACGAGCGTTCAGAGAAGTTGCTAGACTAAAACTATGAACCTCCGGCTTGAAATGGAATGGTTTAAAACATGAAAACAAACAGGCGGAAAGCTCAACTGATCTAAAATAAATCTAACTTGAAGTAATTTCGACGACAACTGCCACAACAAAATTTCTCGAATTTATTAGAATATTCAGTGTCGTCTTGAATTCATCGTTAACTACAGGTTGCGTTTATGTTCATTTGTACACTTACGCATACTTTAAGATTTCAAAACTAGATTTTATTCCATTTAACATTACCAAATACGTGTTTCTGCGACAAACCAACATAATCATCGCTTGAGACAACAATATTTAAACTCTAGGGCACTTGTTAGTTTACACAATTTTTATTTCTTTTTTTTTTTTTTCCAGACTGCCTGTTGAATATCCCTGATACCTCAAGCTCGAATTAAACAAGAAAGTCTATGATGCAAGTGACAGAAAATATCTATGCACAGGTTCAAACAAGATGTAGCTCATTTTGAATCAAAGCAAAGATTCAAGCGCCAAAAACTAGGACTACAAAGTTGTTATTTCGTGTTTTTTTTTGTCAGTTCAATCCACCGTAAGGGTTGTTTAAGATGGAAAACTTTCCCGCCGAAAAACTTGGAAAAATATAAAATACGGGCGCTTAAACTAGGCATGCGCCAATTTTCTTATTTTACTCTGTAAGTAACATCTGTTCAAATGTGGCGAATTTTCCCGCCAAAAGACCTAGAAAAAATACGGTGCCTAAAATACGCATGCGCCGTTTTTTTTTTTTTTCACTAAAGCGAATGTTGACAATTTTGCTAATAAACCTCAATATTTATTCACTTGTTGTCTTCTTATGTTACATGTACTATGGGTAAGCAAGTCAATAAAGTAAAGAGTTCAGTTGTTGTCTTTTTTATTGTTTTCTATTATATACTTAATAAACAAAGTTTCATATTCAAAGTATTTTTTTTTATAATTCTCTTTAGTCACAAGTAAACAGACTGAGTAATTTTCAATTAAATCAAGAAAAATATTTCGTATAAGACTTTTGGCGGGAAAATTTGGAGCAATTTGCACAGAGTTTTCTCTAACAACTTTTTGGATAAAAATTTTAACAGCGTCTAATGCAAAAATCATTGCACCGTAATCGCCAATTTCCCTCACTCTTAAAAAGAATCAAAACAGTTTGGAAGATTTTCCCCTGGCCTATATCTTTAGACTTCATTTCTTTGTGGAAGTTCCTCAAGAAAAAGTATCATGGCAAGCTAAAGAGCGTCCGATCAGAAATATTTATCTCAAAAATTGTGATAAATTGCTAACGTCAAAGTATTTTTTTTTCGAAAACCTGTATCTTGCCATGAGGTTTTTTCAGAATAAAGATCTTAAAAATCCGCCGGTTTTCGAATGTAACACAGGAAACAGATTGGTGAAGCATTATGAAGAATATATCATTCCCTCACTCAAAAAGTTCCTATTTTTAAATTAAAAAAAGCGTGAATTGTGGGAACATACTCTCTGAATTTGACTTCAGCCTCAAGAGAAAAGACATTTGTCAATTAGACTCCAAGTTTCTCAGAGTGAAATTCGCGAACAAGGTTGAAAAAGCGGTAACAAGCTATAACATTGGAGCGTACTCATTGAATTTAATTTTAGGCTTACGGCCGTGGAAATATAAAAATTGGGCTCCAAGTTTCGTAAGCTAGATTCGAGAAGCAATTTGAGAAATCAAACAGTTTCAATTTTTAAGGAAGAATCTTGGTTCAATTTTGAAAAAAATAGGCAAAGACTTTTTACAATTAGGCTCCAATTTATTTATGATGAATTCTTGAGGCGAATTTTTTAAAAGAGATTTAGTCGTTTAACACGTTCTAATTTCTGTTTTTGTGAAGTTACAAACTGAGTTTGAAGGTAAAAATTGCGTCTCATTGTTGATCATTTTTTTCTGTATTTCTGTGTTACATCGTATGACTGCACAAAAGATCTTTCTTCCACTTACAATAAGTAACTTAACTACGATATACTTCAAAACTAAATGCTTGGTCCAAAGGGTAACAAGAGGCCCTTTTTTTAGAGTACAACTTAATTAAGAAGCGTTGTAGACTTCCTAGAAAGTTTGTTTTAATAAAAAATCTTTATATAAACCAGCAAATGACAACCAACGCGGTAAGCACTGAAATAAAAGAGTATTATGTTTTCAAAAAGAAAACACAATGAACTCCTCTTAATTCCCGGAACTTCAATTTGAATATAACTAATTTGCATTATTGGTTCACGTTTCGGTTTCGTAAAATCCACGTGCTTTCTGCACCAATGTCAATTCTAAAATAAACAAATACGTGAATAATTCCCTAAATTTCCTTGAAATCAATGTGTGAAAGCATTTAACAAGAAAACATGACATAACAGTGAGTGATTTGATTATGTTAAACTTTCATTTCTGATTCGCACATTTGTCTGAAAAAATAATTTTCATCCAAAATTTCGAATCGTTATTTGTAAATTCGAAAGTAATTTCTTTAATTTTCTTGTTGATAAGAGACTATCACAACACAATGATTTTCCATAACGAAGAATCTTCGCCAGTTGACGTATATTTATTGTTTGCTGGCTAAATAAATTGGTTCCTATTTTCACGTTGATTTTTGTTCAATCTATGAACTATTTTTTAACGATTTTTAAAATAACTGCCATCATTATCCGCATCGAAATATGAAAATCAAAATTTCTTCGTTGAATGAGAAGTCGATTAAACTGATTTACATAACGGTAAATTCCAAAATGATTAGCTTCTGGAAAGAACTTGTCACCAGGCATTAGTGTTTTAAAACATATCTTACTTCCAAACGGAAACTGCCAACCTCACGGTTAATGCATGGCCTAAAGTAATATTTCTAATTAAGATGGCACTCCAATAAATTCTTGCCTCTTGCATGAAAAACGAACACTTCAGTTTTTTAACAAAATTTGTCAATTTTCAATTTGATACAGTTCATGCCGAGAATTAATTTTCAATTGAATCAATATATTTTTGACCAACTTAATCTCTTGGTAGCGTGTTGAAGTCAATCGTGTAGTGCGATCGCCCGGGTAATAGTAATTCTGAAAAAGGGCTATTGTCGTTACTAGTGACTGGCCTAAGCAGAACTCAGCAGAGTCAAGTGAAGAGTTGTCTCTAAGTCAAACGTTTCAACGTTGGTCTGACTGATTGGTCAGTTTTGCAGTAAAGTGAGTGGTGGCTCTCAGACTCGAATAGCGTTCGTTGGCAAGTTTAGTTTGCTCTGTTTGGTCTGTTGGTGACCCAGTTGGTCAAAGGTGGTATTTGATGTCGTTTGTTGTAAGGAGTCTTTTTCTAATTTAGTGAGCCAGCCCAGTTTTCAAAGTCAGTTGTTGAACACTGTTCTAAGATTGACATCGAGTAACGTACCAGTCAATATTGGCATTTGTAGGCCGATCGTGTGGAGTAATGTGATTTTGACATAAATAATATACGAAAGATTTAACTCATCAAATGATTTCAGGTTTTAGTTTCATTTGGTCTTTGTCCGGTCGAAGTATTTTGTTAGAGTGCCACCTTAAAAAATATCACCTTTGCACAACAACAACCATGATACACCAGTGATACTAACTGTTAATCAAACAAAGAAAATGAGCGATCAGTGATTCGAAACGATTAATTTCAGTTTCAGCACTCAATGGCCTGGAGTAAATCAGTTTCCAGTGATTTCCTCGTTCGGTTCGATGTAGCGAAATCCTCCGAGATAAATTAAAGCAAATCATGGCTATTTTGTCAAATAAATCAAATGATCGCTATGGGTGTGCCCAACAATCTGTACCACGACAAACTATTTAAAAAATGGTGGCTAATTGAGAACAATATACTTACTACGTAATCAGTTTTATCCATTCCAGCACAAGAAAATTGGCAAAAGAATTAACATTTCGCAAAATAATTAGGCAAAGAAACAGCCACCATTTTTGCTACTATTACTAAATAAATTAAAAGTTCTTATCTTTGCAGTATCCACCAAAAAATCAGTAATTCCAATGTCTTTAATTCTATTTGCCAGAATCTTTGTTCTTTCATCCTTCAGACAACATTGCTCCTCCTGAAAGTAAAGAATGTGAATGTGATCAGGCAATGCTTACGTTCCACGAGGACAGAAACTAAGACTTAAATTCCTTAATAATTGTGTTGCACTTAAATATCAGTAAAGAAAAAGTTAAAATGCTAAAACTTTTCGAAATGTTATCAACAGTGAAGCAAAGGTGACGGAGTGGAAGAGTCGTCACACCTCCACGTGGTTACTTTCAAACACAAAATGAAGTCCTCAGTAGATTTAAAAAGGAAAACATTTTTATTGGAGCGTTTCACCAGAAATGGTTTTCATTACAGGTTCTGCTTTTCTCGAAGCCAACACCCTAATTCAACGGAATTTCGAGTTGAAGAGCGGTTCAGACCTGGCCAAGCCACTGACTCGTGTTATGTCGTTGAACCGCGATGAAACGACTCTTTTAGCTCCTCGAGGGAGATTTGAGCGATGTTTTCCAAAGGGAATACTCACCTGCTGTTTTAATAACGTAGGAGTGCTCTTCCTTAAAGGTCCAGTGTCTTCTTCCTTCCAGAGTGCAACTCTATATTTAGCACAAAGGACTGCACGTCTTCACTCTACGACGGACAGCGTGGTTTGCAGAAAATTTCACAAGTCCTGATGAATATGGATGAACAACTGCAGCTAATAATCGGTCGCTACGTCACAGATTTTGCGTGAAGTTTTGTTTTCACGCTTAGCCAGCTTATCAAGAATCAAGGTATATGAAAGGCATTGTGAGTGAGGACTGAATTCGCATGTTACAAGAGGAAAAATTTCTCTGCAACTATCAGGAGACCAAGAAATTACTCTGACACTGGAAAAGGACTGGATAAAAAAAAACTGTAAACGTCCAAAACACTGAGCTCACTGATAAAAGTTTGGTTGTAAGCAATTAATTCAGCTTTGATTACTTGGTATTACATTCAACTAGGCTTACTGAGTTACAGGGATGAAACATTTGGAGAATACACAGAAAGTGTCGGCACACTTGACATACTCATAACTTTACTTAACAGGAATGGAAACTAAAATTATACGAATATCTAGATGGAAAGAATAGAAGTAAAACCAATTCATAGGAAAGTGGAAACCAGTGTGACAGAGGAAGAAGTCTGATAAAAAATTTGCTTCTAGGAAACAGAATATCACGCAATAAACATGTATGTACGTTTATTTCAATGTCGCGAATTGATGGAATCGAATGTGAAGGGTTAGCCAAATTTGCCAAAGTCTATCACTTTATATTTTTATTTTTTGAACGATTTGTAAGTTAGTTGCGTATTATATTTTCTTTATTCTTGGTGTTTTACTTGGCAAATAAATCGAGATTTATCCTTGTCCAATTGTAAACAAAGCGGTTAATAACTTGCAATAGTGGCAAGGTTGCGCCAGCTGTTATCGCAAAAGCCTTCTTTAGTAGCGTTTACAAAGCTAAAAAGGAAAAGCTTCAGTTTCCTCTCAAGACTAAGACAAGGAAAGCTACCCTGTTACCTCTTTATACCCTAACATCAGTGTGCATATTTTCTATACTATTTTATATAATAAGCTCAGTTATGCACGCGTTTTGATTGGTTCTCACTTATGATCTATTGGAGGACAGACGTATAGATGACGTCATTAAAACTTTTTTAAATTCTTTATTATATAAAACAAATAGATTCCAAGTTGCCGTCCTCTGTGATCTATTACTGAACAGACGCACGGCAACTTGGAATCTATTGGTTAATTCTTAAAGTGCTGACGAGGACAATTTGTTTAACAAGCCATAGCTGCTTTAGTTGATAATCATTTTCTTTTTTCTCATTACCTTAATGTACGATTCAGAGATGATATTGTAGAGAGAAGTTAGACGCTGGTCACTCTTAGGGGTTAAAAAGGTTAAAGCAAAAGAAGGCTGATTTCTTTCTTATCATAGCTAAGTATATCCTGTATGAAACGAAAACTTATCCCTAGAAAGAAAACAAGGAAAGCCAGCGGAAAAAAGCCATCTCAAGAGTTTCGTCTTCGCTTCCAGTAGAGGCCAGAGATAATACTGATATTGAAAAAACTGGTCACAAATACGCATCCGTCATCAGATCAACGCTGGCTTTCTTACGGGCGACTTAAGCGTCTTATTAAAATTGATGGTTATGAAATGAATAAACCCCTCTCTGGCTTACTGCTATGTCGTTTGATAATTTCCTTGGCTGAGAGATTGTGTGCAATATTTCCCTCTCCCTCGAGGCCTCGCTTCTCGGCCGAATGTTCATTTGCGGACAATCTCTCGGCCGCGCTCCTTATCAGGCGACATTCCAGCCGCCCGAAGGGGTTTATTCGACAATTATTTCACGAGTGCGCGATGGATATGAGATGGTAAAAAGCCAGTGAGGCGTTTAGCGCTGAGTTAGCTTTAACCAATCTCGTATCAATCCAGCGCGAATAAAATAATTGTTTTGATAAATGTCATTAAATCCATTTGGAGCCTTTTTTCAGCTCAGTATCAGTTGGCGCAGTGCATTTCCATGTAAGGTGACTTGGAATATGAGCTCATAACTGGAGTTGAGTGAACCAATCAGAACACCAGATATGCAATATTCGGAGTTGAAAATTTAATAACTACTTGATATCGAAAGGTTCCTACTTGGGATGATGGAGTACAAACCTGGGACATAATCCCTTGATTTATATGACGTGGTCATTCCTACGCTGACTTGAAAACATCACCCGCGAACGAACGATAAAAAATCTAAGTGAGTTAGATTAAGATTATAGACTGTCTCGAAAAGTACTGATGTACCCAACACGCTGGATAAATAGGTAACTCTGATTATCAATCATAGTAATGCTGGCGGTCGGGATCGACCAATAGCTGATGAGTTTACAAGTGTGATTTTTCCAGTATATTGAAGCTTACGACAGAAAAAAAAACTATTAGAGAGACCTGTTCCACCCTCTCTGTGTTGGAGGTGGACGAGATCTGAAAAATTTAAAGGTTATTGATGCAAACTAGACTAGTAATATAATGATTTTGTCTATTTCACTCCTTAGGTCTTCATCCATTGGTTGCCAACGTCTGAGAATCTTCTGTAAACATGTTGTAAGTGTCACTCTAGGCTTAACAACAGTATCATCATTAGATGAAGGCACTGAAGGGATAATTGATGTTATAACTCAAACACTTTTTAGCCAGGGCCGCTAGTAGTAAGAAATAAAAATAATTGGATAATGTCTATTCTCTAATTAGCCCCCCCCCCCTTGAATGATCCCCACCTCTCTCTGATGAGCCTCCCCCTTCTGATGAGACCCTTCTCTTTGGAAAGCCTTTCTCTGGTCAAATAAAGGCTCCCTATCTGATAAACCCCTCTCTCTCTTTAAAGCTCCCATTTTTGAACAGGTCTAGAAAGTCAAGTTTTTAATGAGGCCCCTCTTTAACAAATCCCACCCTCTCTAAGAAGCCCCCCTCTCTCTGTTCAGCCCTCCTCTCTAGTAAGCCCCTGGTCCACTGCTACAAGTCTCCACAAGCTCCCTCATAGTTTACCAGAGTGTTAATGGGTATTGTTCAGAGCCATCTGATACTCTGCTGATAGCCAGCTGATTATTGAACAACACTCACCAGGCCATCAACCAATGTCTTGAAGCCACTGAAAATGGTTGACATCTCAAAGGAGTAATTGACTGACTTTCATATATTGGTTAAGTGTGGGTTAACCATCAGCTAATTTTTCCTAAAAAAAATACCCTAGACTGTTTTCTGAGGGACTTACTCCCACTTCCCAATCCTATTACCTTGTATGCTGACATGGATAGGATAATGAGATATAGATTGTGATCATTGTCTGTGTTTGAACTATTTATAGACATTGAAATGACCAACCTGATTCCAAATAATTTTTTCCTTTCAGAGGATGAAATCTACCAGTGCAGAAATGGTAATAACTGATTAAGTAACTGATATTTCTCTATTTATCTTTTATTTATTGAATCCTGTTTTCAAGTAACAAACCTTGAGGCCCTTTGAAGTGTCCTCTGGCATCAGTGTAACAATAAACTTCTACACCATACCTTAATTTAACTGCCTCCTTTAAATATCATTTTTTTGATTTTGGTCTTTTTGTAGACGAGAAGTAATTCTCTACAATCTACTACACATTTCTTATGATCAGAGCCTTAAAAATTTTCCATTAAATCAAACAAAATCCCTTACTTGATACAATAACTTTTCTTTCTTCTCCTCACTTCTCTGCTTGAAAAAAAATTATTTCCTTTTGGTCACTCCCTGGAGTGAAAAGTTTGATGTTTCATTCTTACTAAAAAAAAATAATCTGCAATATCCCTATTATCATGTAATATATTTTCTTAGGGCATATCAATTAATAGGGTATATGAACTAAAAGGTAAGTTTCCTTTTTTGTATTGAACTTTTCATGGAATGTTAGCATACTCTTTCTCAGTTAAACATTAATATTCTCCAAGCCAAATGTAATGTGTGATTTCCCGTCTGCTGAAATCTTCCAGGAAGCAGAGGTATTACTTGAAGTAAAAAATAAAGTTGGTGTCATCACTCTAAATCGTCCAAAGGCACTGAATGCTTTGAATCTGAATATGATCAGGGACATCTACCCAGTGTTAAAGGTAAAAGTTCACTTAACCCTCTAACTCCCAAGATCTGATTGTTAATTCTCCCCTCTAGTTACTACAAGATGACAACTTCTACCTGATAAGACTAAAATTATGATAATTGAAAATGAAATTTATAATTTTGTTTTCCCAGAGGAGTCTGTAAAATGCATATACGCAGATGCATCTCTAACTCAATAATTTGGGTGTACATTTAACACCCTCTCAGGGAAGTGGAGGTGGCTGGTAATGAGTATTTACTGAGTTGCAATGTGTCTGAGTAAACATCCACTGCTCAGAGCCTCAGACACTGAGATAAATAATTGTTTTAATATGCACTAAAACAATGAGATAATATAGCAAAAAAAAGATATTTAAACTTCATACATTCCTGCAAGGATTACAATATTTGAGTGCAAATCTTTAGCGAGTTGCATGGAGGTAAATAGCAAAAGATATTTGGAGTTTGAGTTGCCAATCAGAGCACATCTCAACACAATTCACTGTTTAGTATATGTAAAGAAAGTTTATGAAATATGTTCTTTCAAATATGAAAATGTATTTTTTAAAGAAAGGGGAAATAAATAATTTTTTTCAGGAATGGGAGGCTGACCCAGCAGTAAGTTTAGTCTTGATTAAAGGAGCAGGAGATCGTGCCTTTTGTGCAGGTGGTGATGTCAGGGGTGAGTTTGAATTGAGTGTGCCAACAATGTGGGATCATATCAACATCTCTGGTTATGATTATTCTGGAAACATTTCAACCTTTCACTGGTGTGAATGTTGGTGGTGAGAACACCACTAAAAGCACAAACATAGTTGGTATTTTTTGTAAATAACTTGTTTTGTAAAATTCATTAAACTTAAAGCTATCAAAATCATGCTCCAACATGATAATTTATATTTAGAAATCTTACATTGCAAATAAAAACCTTACTATTAAATAAATCTGAAAGTACCTGCAACTACTTCCCATGTCAATTCAAATTATGGAACTAAAAGAAGAGCCATTCAATTTATTTCCTTGGTGAGAAAATCTAACATTTATCGTTGTCACCAATTTGTGAATAGCTTGTGATGTCCTTCATTCTGCCTCTAGAAGTCAAAGTCCATCATTTGATCTTTGAATGTGTACTGCTATTGACTTATTATAAATGTTTATACTTGACCCTTTACAAACTAACATCAGTACACATATTCTTCATACTGTTTTCTGTTCATTTCTAAGATGCTGGAAAGGAGAATTAGTTAACCAATTAAGAGCATCTTTAGTTGGTGATCATTTCCTTTATTCTTGTGACCTAAATGTGTGATTCAGGGGTCATACTGTAAGGAGAATTTAGATGCTAGTCACCTGTAGGTTAGAATTAATTAATGATTATGGTAACTGTAAATGAAATTAGATATTAACTTAACACTTTTTAAATTCACAGCTGTAGCTGAAGCTGGGAAAAAGGGGGATGATCTTACCAAGCTGTTCTTTAAAGAGGAATACATGTTAAATAATGCAATTGGTGAGTTAATTTGTATTTCTCCCCCAAAAAATGATTTGCCAGTTTGAAATTTTTTTCAGAAAGTTTTCTCTTTCAAGTACAATACATGTATGATACAAGATGCAGGAAACAGATTTGATGCACACTTAGGGTCTCTATGCATTGTATTTACTTTTGATTAGTGTTAGGGGTTGCTGCATTTAATTCTATGTTAAATCAACTTTCAGGAACACTTAAAACTCCTTATGTGGCATTCATCAATGGAATAACAATGGGAGGGGTGAGTATATATTAATACTTGTCAACTGAAATGCATGGCTTCAGTTTTGTTGTCCAGTTCTTCTTCAGTGGATGATTTGATGTTTGTGTTAATGTTTGTTGTTAGGGTGTTGGTTTATCTGTCCATGGCCACTTCCGAGTTGCTACAGAACGCACAGTGTTTGCTATGCCAGAAACTGCAATAGGTATGGCCAAAATAGACATTTTGCTTCAAAGTTATTGTATGGATTATAGAGCTCTCAAGTTGATTTACTGCCAAAGGGTGAGATTTTTGACTGCATAGCTGTCACCTGTGATGCTGCAGGCATCACTCTCCTGCAGGTGGTAGGGGGAATGGGATGCTACCTTGTAAAATTGTGAAAAATGGGCATGTGTTTAGAGGTGCATGTTACTGTTGGAATAAGAACTTTCACTGATAAAAAATATTCAAAGAAGTATTTTTTCTGTCAAATAATTCTAACTGACAGAGGGGTGGTTGATTATAAGTTCTATTTTTGTATTCAACAAATCATTATTTTTTAAGGTCTTTTTCCTGATGTTGGAGGTGGTTACATGTTACCTAGAATGAAAGGAAAGTTAGGACTTTACCTTGCGTTAACAGGTGAGAAGAACTGAATATTTGTTGGAGTATTTCTTTTAATATTCAATATTTAATCTCTCATTCAGTTTTTCTTTCTCATTTTCATTTTCATTGTATCATTATTTGGTAGTTATACAATCCCTTCCATAACCCTACCCACCCTGCCCTGCCAATAATAGCTTTGTATGTGTGTTCCCAGAGACTTCTAACTTAACATGTCACTCTTAAGGTCATAGATTAAAAGGTTATGACATCAAACATGCTGGAGTAGCTACACACTTTGTTACAAGTGAGAAGGTAAGAACTGAAAGTTCACCATTGCAAGCTACCTCCTCTTATATTTCATTTTTTTTTCATATTTCTTAAGGATAAAAGGTAGACGGCTTATGGTAGATTATTACCACAAGCTTTCTTGCCTAACATCCTCTACTCTATGGCAACCAGTTCAGTTGGTCCTTAATACGGTTTTAAAATTACTGATGTGCATTTTAGGTAAAGCAATGTGATTATGGGAATTGGGTTTTTATCATAATAATCATTTTGTAATTTGATATTTGAATAAGATTCAATCTAATGTTATTTTTATTTACAGTTAACAGACCTTGAGTCAGCATTACTCAACCTTCCTGATCCACAGATGAATACAGTGCAAAATGTTTTGGATAATTATGATGAGATGGTAAAAAAATTGTTTTTGTTGTTTTAGTTGTTTTTAAATATTTATCTCTAGGAGTTACAGTCGTTAAGTTTGTCAAACACAAAGATAAAATATTAAAAGGCAAAATTAACTTTTTAACAACAGTGCTCTGATGAAGAACAGAAGGAGTTTGTGCTTGAGAAATACATACATCAAATTGACAGGTGAGTTAAATATTTGTTTCATTGTTATACCATTTTCAGCTGTGAACATTTAAGATTTGTTCTTGTTTTTGTTGTTGTTGTAAATGCCCCAGGCCAAAAAATTGCTTTTCATTTTGAAATTTTTTTCAAAACACATTTAAGAATTATCATTTTTGTTGTTCTTCTTCTTATGAACTTTCTATTATTAAATGTACTATGGAACATTTTAAGAGAGATTTAACTTTGATTAAACCTGTTAATTTTTCATGTAAATTATGAATAATTTACTTGTTTCATTGTAATACCATTTTCAGCTGTGAGCATTTAAGATTTGTTCTTGTTTTTGTTGTTGTTGTAAATGCCCCAGGCCAGCTCTTACTTTTAAACACATTTAAGAGTGTCATATCTTTGCTATGGAACATTTTAAGAGAGATTAGCTTTGCGTGTGTGGTATATGTGTGTGTGTACATTCACATACACCTATTTCATTATATACGCTCAGAGGCTCTTTGAGAACCATTGAGAACATTACTAAGCATTTTTCCTAATAAAAAAATCTGTTGAACAGCTGCTTTGACAAACCAACTATAGAGGAAATTTTAAAGGCATTAAGGGATGATGGATCAGATTGGGCCATGAAACAAGTTGAGGTATGGCCGCTATCTTTAGCCTTAAACCCTTTGACCCCTGAGAGTGACTAGCATCTAATTTCTCCTTACAATATCAACCCTGAGTTACACTCTAAGGTCATACTTGAATAAAGGAAATGATCACCAACTATAGAAGCTCTTGATTTTTAAACAAATTCTCCTTGTCAGCACCTTAAAAAATGTATAGAAAACAGTATGGGGAATATAGATACTGATGTTAGGGTGTCAAGGGTTAATTGAGTTTATATTGATGATCAGAAATACTGACCAACATTGGGTTACTAATTATTCAGTCATGTTGTCTTGACAAGTTTCATGTTCATTTGTGGCTAATATCTGGCCCATAAAACCATCTGCTATGAAATAATTTCATCATATTTCATATGTCATCATATTTATCATACTGGCCCCAGTTGTTTGAAGGTTGGATAACATTATTCACAGGATAAAACTCTATATGGTGGTTAACACTATACATTTTGCTAACACTCATCTGCCGGAAAGCAATTTATGCATTGGGTTATCTGAACTTTACACAACTGGGCCCTGATGGATAGATTTAAGTTTTTTTTTTTTTAATTCATAGATTTGATTGAATTTTTTAAAATTCATGTTCTGTATCAAATTATTTGTGGAACTGAGTATAATTCTTAAGCTAAAGGGAGGAATATTTATGGGACATAAATTTATTCAACAAGCTATGTATTTCTGTCTATGAATATCAATTCTAATCAAAATTTATGTTATTTTTGTCCTACAGACTCTACATAAAATGGTGAGTGTAGATTAAAGACATGGTTTGATCAAACACAGCTAGTAAATTTTTTGCATGTAAGGAATGTGGCTTTGAAGTAATTTCTTGTTGATGTGTCTGTTTTCATCTCTGTCTGCAAGGTTTGATCACAAATCAATTGTTAGCCTCTCTAAGCCAATCTCAAAGGGCAAAACTAACAGAATAGGATACCATATTTCCATGTTTAAGCACCTACACATATTTGCACCCCTCTTCCAAATAAGCACACAACCTTTTGGGTCATAATGTCAAACAAGCAGTCCTCTTGAATAAGTGCCCCCCTCCTCCCTCCCCTGAGCTGAGGGCCACGAGGAAGACCTGTTTCTATTTCCATTTTATATGCAACTTTTGAATAATAACTGGAGAATAGTTTCTTTTCTATTCCAGTTACTTCTATTTCCATGTCCTTGCAGAGTTCCTTTATGAGCATTGTCTGTTCTTTCACATAGTATTTTTGTCTCATTGGTACACTTAATAAGCGCTTGCCTAATTTAAGCCTGAATTGTTATATATGCACCTTGCACTTATTCAAGAAAATATAGTATGTTGAAATATGGAGGGAGCACTCTGCATTTCGCAATGAACACCTAGTGAATGCAAATAATTATCGCAATTCCATGATTGTTTCTTAGTCCCCAACCTCCTTGAAGATAACCCTTAGACAGTTACAAGAAGGACAACATTTAAGTCTTAGTGACTGTTTGAAAATGGAATACAGGTTAACCCAGAGGTGTATGGTGAGTGGATCATCCTTTAATCAGCATCATAATTGGGTGAACTCATACTAACACTATACTAAGATGCCATAAATCTGAAAATTTGGTGGAGTTTTGGTGGACAAGTGCTAGAACATCAAAGGAAATTCAGTATTGGTTGAGTTTATAACTCTTGTTTGACCCTTTTTTAATATCAGTTGTGATTTTTTCCCTTTGTTGAGGAACATTGTCCATTACTGGGTGATGTGCTTCTAAATTACAAAAATAGCAAATTGGTATAACAGAGACAGTCTTGCATCATGATTGTGATCAAGCTAGCCTACTTAGTACAAGTAATTTAACATCAGCAGACTTTTCCTGCTGGTTCAGTTTCTTATGGCTAGTAGAAGTACAGTGATGTCATAATTAGTTTTTAGGTATTTCAGTTACTACTTAGTAATTTAGATCAGGTGCTTTATTGCTCAGCTTGCTAGTACATACACATAAACTGCATTTGAATTTGAAGAAGCTATTTTTTCCCCTCCCATCCCTCCCAGCAACTTGTTTTGCTGGTCTTAGTAACTGTCCAGGTTTTCTTCCATATGGCCTTTTGATTTTTTTGTTTAATATTTTGTTTGAGTATTATTGTATTATTAGCTTATATATATATATATACACACACGCACACACATATATATATATATATATATATATATATATATATATATATATATATATACCTATATATATATAACTATATATACATAACTATATATATATAAGTAAAGAAGAATCAAAGAGGACGATCATTCTGTTACTCTGAATTTTGTGCTTTCTTTCTTCATATATATATATATATATATATATATAAAAGAATCTAATTCCTTTCTTTCTTCATTATATTTTACAATTTCCCTGATTAGGGACAGTGTTCATGCATGCATGTATTCCACCCTTGTAGCAGATTGTGAACTTGTTCAGTTTGCAATTTTTCCACATCATGAAATTGCCTTTGCATGTCTAGTACGTTAACCAATGATTTCTTACAACTCTCCACTCTGCAAATTATCCACAGCAGAAATGTAGCTGTATCACTCATCAGCCATGCTTTTTCAGAATTAATTTAAACATTTTCATTTGCAGGAGGACAATGATTTTTATGAAGGAATAAGAGCTGGTAAGAAGTGTTTTACATTTTGTTGATCTTAGTAACTGAAGTGAATTTACTTTTCCACATTCTGGTGAACCATACTAAATGACCTACTTAGTTCATCGTATTGCCCATTTTGTGAAAAAAAAAAATTAAATATAAGTTATGTTCTAAGAATTTGATTGCACTTCCATTGAATCTTGCCTTTTTCTTTTAGTTTTAGTGGACAAAGATAATAACCCCAAGTGGAAGCCTGGAAGTTTGGCTGATGTGTCAAACGACAAGGTGAACAGCTACTTTAAAACACTGGGAGACAGAGAACTTGTTCTTTGATGTTTCATGGTAACCATCAGTTCTATAGGGGAAAAAGACTCCAGGACAGAATGATGACTACATGAATTACTCTGGTGGATGAAAGAATGTGAACAGCCTCTACTTCTGCAATAAATTCCATACTGTGTCATATTATGGATTGCTGTGTCCTCTTGAATTTGTCTAACAAACCGATCCTGTTAACTGAATGATTTAGGCATAAAACACATGCAGATGGTTAATCTAGGTCAAAGAACTTGTGTAAAATTCATTTTGATCAACTTGTGAAAAAAAAGTTGGTTGATGGTTGTGGATGGATTGTTTTGCAAATTTTAATTGGTGCTTGGGCTTGAGGAGAGGGTGATGTGAATGAGAAGACTGCATGTAACTATTATTTTTATGACCAAAAACATTAAATAACACTGCTTATGATTCTGTATTTTATGGTTTGATATATCAGGTCTGCACTATGAAGAAAATTTGCTTACATAGCCTAAAACTGGAATTAAAACAGTTACATCAAAGGTTACTCCAGCCAGAAGTGCATGAATTGACACAAAATTTCAATTTATTTTCTCTTGTCCTTAATCCTTTAGCTAGGAGGATCTGAACATGAATTCTCCTGACTGGTGACCATAGTCTTTCTTACTGTCTGTTTGTGAGAATTTTCTATCGTATCAAGATAACAGGGTTTAACTATAAACTTAAGGCAGAGGAAAAGGAGATGATGGAGCTCTGGAACTGCACACATATATTTATTTATAAATGCACTTTGGATTTATCAGTAACCTACAAAGACCTCCATTTCTGCATTCTATCACATAGTGCAGTTCACTCATGGTCTGCTGTTTGGTAAAACTGACTACATGTAAATAGGCAAAACAGACCCTCAAGACTGTCACATCATGTTAACCCTTAACTCCCATGAGTGACCAAGACAGAATTTCTCCTTACAATACCAATACAATATCAACCAGATAAGTGACGAAAATAAAGAAAAATATCAATTTGGGGATAATTAGTTGATCCAATACTAAATACTCTGAATTAACATTATAAGAACTGTATGGATGACAGTAAGGAGAATTACAAATTTGATCTGGGAGTTGAAGGGTTAACAACACAAAACCAGTTACCCTTAACATATCACATGCTTAACGACAAAATTCAACTTTGATGTTTACATGCAAGAGAAATAACAAGAGTCCTACTCAAACAACTTAATATGCTATAATTTAGCTGCTTCATATCTCTCAGCAACATTAGCCCAGTTGATAACACTGTAAATGGCTTTTACATAGTCAGGGCGGACATTTTTGTACTGCAGATAATATGCGTGCTCCCACACATCAATTCCAAGAAGTGGCACCAATCCTAACAAAGAAAGAAATAAGGACTTTTAAATGAATGAGAGAAGGTTTTTTCTCACTCCCAGGTTCATCCTTCTCCCAGTTTCATCCAGCATATCAAAAACTAGAAACACACTTCTAAACTGTCTTGAAATTTTACTTTCCTTACTTAGTTGGTGTCTTTCACAATTATCTTTTTTGTCACATTGAACAATAATGCTGGGGTCTAACCATTATAATTTTACTAGCTATTACCTGTAGTTGCCTGAAGAGGGTCTTGATTAGCACATGTGGTGATCACCAGGCCCTTGTCAGCTTTGCTATAACCCTGAAAAACAAATGGAATGTGAGATAACCTGCTCCCTTTGACACAAATGTGTGAGACCCTTGCCTTCAGTAAAACTAATTTTTCCTTCACCCTGAACTACGACATTGTATTTGTAGCTGGAACCCTTTTAAAATTCCCTTGATTGCCACTGATGGAATGTGAGACTCGGATCTAAAAAAGATGTTAGATACCCATATATGCCTCTTACAATAATCTTTGTTCTCTCTACCTGTTCATTTAAGGGTTTTTGCTGTGGTTGTTTCAAATGACCCGTGCTGCACTAATGAATTCACTAATCCAACAATTTTAAATTCAATCTACGGTTTTAAAATCAGTCTTGCATTCTAAATTCAGATGGGAGTTTATCAACTTACCAGCCAACCCCATCCTGAGCCCTGCACGGCCACAGTTGCTGCACTGAACCTCTCTTTAAAGTTTTCAAATGAACCAAAGTCTTCCTTGATTGCTTCCATTAAGGCTCCTAAATAACAAGATTTTAAATTTAATTCAGCTATTTTCCCAGAAGAGATCAGAAAGGGAAGTAAGTCTGCTTAAACAATGAAACAAACTGAAAAAGTGGATCTGGCCTTCTTGGCTGTAAGAAAAATGAACCATCTACACCCTTTCATCAGTATGCATATTCTTCATACTAACCTCTATACATTTCCTAAGGTGCTGATAAGGAGAATTTGTTTAATAATCAAGAGCTTCTTTTGTTAGTGATTGTTTCCTTAATACTCATGGCCTTAATGTGTGATTTGGGGTTGATATTGTAAGGAGAAAATAGATGCTGGCCGTTCTCGGGCATCAAATGGTTAAAACTTCTCTAACATTACCCAAATCCTATCCCAAAACCCACAATCACAATAGAGCAGCTGGGAGAGCACTGGTGAAATTGGGGCACAAAGTACCTGTTGGTTCACCTCCACCATTAGGTGAGAGATTTGTCCAAAATATTGAGTGATTAATATGTCCTCCTCCATTGAATTTCAAGGCTGGCTGGAGTGATATCATAGCACTGGTATCACCTGCCGAACAAAAACCTCATCAAGATGGATTCTATACTAAACTGCTTAAAAGTTGTTGACTTATTTCATATGTGAAGGATTTTCCACCCAAAGCTGAGATCACAGACTGTGGTCCTGAAGAAGGAGGGTCATATCGTTAATTCAAAATACAGCCTTCTTTTGTTGTGATGTACCATGACCTGACCTACCCCACCCTTCCAGGTACCTTACTACCCCATTGGATTGTCATATTAACCTCCTTAAGTATGGTAACCAATTTGAAAAGGAGCATTGATTTCACATTTTTCTCATTTTTTTTTTTTTTTATCTAACAGCATTTGAAAGTTGTTGGAATAATGTCACTGGAGGTGTTTTTCAACAGAGATTAAATTTGGGGCGGGGTATAGATACCACCCTCTCCAGTGGCTGTATCCATTCCACCATGCATACTTGCCATTCAAATATTGTGAGGTTCTTGCCACCTCATTAAATCGTTCTTATCTAATGAGAAATCTGAGACAAAAAATAGGAGGAGGTATTTACAGTAAAAGGTGGTCACTCTTCAGGTTTAAAGAGTTAATATCACAAAAATGAAAACAAAATCTCCTTCAAGTTGTTTTGACTTCAAGAAATATCTGGTCGACATAAAACAAACAAAGAAAACCTGCAGTAATGTAAGGTAAGAGGTCTTTTCCACCAGTGAGACTATGAAAATATTTGGCAAGATTTCCATACAGTCCCATGCCTCGTTTATTACGCATGCAGCTTTTTGAGTAAAGGAATCAAAGGCAAAAGCAATCGATCGCCTTGGGGACTAAAGCTTTGTTTTTGGAAGAGTATGAGGTTATACGGAAATATTGTCCAAATATTGTCTTCTCTAACCTTTGGCTTGAGCCTCAGCAAACTTTTCTTCAGCTACATTCAAGTTGTTCACATAAGTTGCATGATGCTTTTGGTGATGAAGTTGCATAATTTCTGCGCTGATTGTAGGCTGTAAAGCATCGTAATCGTAGGGCAAATCGGGAAGAGTGTGTTTGGCTCTAGATGACCCTCCAATCACGACAGGAAATAACTTCTTTAAGGAACAAAAGCCCCTGGAACTTCGTGAAATCATCTTCAGAACATGAACGCATTTGATGGAGGTGCTCTGAGACGTGGAGTAGGAAGGAAAACTAGGTTCGAGGGTTACCTGCTGAAGAAGTGTTGGGGTCCGGTGGGGAGGGCACAAGTGCATCTCTCTCGCTCTCTGAACCCTATCGGGCATATCAGCAGCAAAACAATGGAGATATTGATACATTATAAATTATTTTGAACTTATGCTTACGAAAAAAGTGAAACGCTGAAGAAGGCTATTGTTTCAGAACCATAAAGGAATTGTGTTGCCACATACTCGACCCCACCCTAGTAAATTAACCCCTTTTTAATCCAGTTTCCAGTTTTCTCTCTGATTGCGAAATTCCAACATGGAGGGTTCTGGAGGGCTATCCCCAGCACAAGTGGAGGAGGTACAAATATTTGTCCATTAGTTTGGTTAGCCTTAGATCACAGAGATTGATAAGCATCTTGATTTCTTTTAGTACAAGAAAAATGGCTTTCTGGTCATTGAAAACTTTTTCTCACTCGAAGAAGTGGAGGAAATGAGAAATGCCATGTACGATATCGTGGAAAAAATGAATTTGGAAGATCATCCGAAAAGCATCTTTACCACTGGAGAGAACCAAACGAAGGTAAGAACTTGAGGAAAAGCCAATTTGTTGCCTCGATTTTCTTGGCTTTGCTGTAAGCCCTGTAAATCGACGATCGGCGATGATGACATCCGTTTCTCCTAGGATGATTTAATAATACCACTATAAGTTGCCGTGGATAGCCTGGCTTGTTCTTAACTTTTGGTCATTGTTGTGCATGTGTTACCTCTGTCAGATTTTGATTTAGTACGATCAAGCAGTGGCTCACGCTTTAGTCCCTTACTCTGTGGCCACCCGTGTGCTCCAAATTTTCTTCCAGGAGTTCTAAATGTTTAGAAAGAACTCATCGATAACACGTATATCATTACTTTTGCGTTGCCCATTACTTACCAGGTATATCCCAGTTTATTTTGGAGAATCTTGGTGGTAAAGAACATCATATGACATTTTGTTTGTCCACTGACATAGATTTGCTGTATCCTTACAACCCCTGCACTTCCAAGAGTGACCAACAAGTAATTTCTCCCTACTATACCAATACATTATCAAGCAGTTAAGCAATGAGAAGAAAGAAAAAGTAACATCATGTAAGAAACATCATATGATATGATTCCAAATTCTCAGAGTGTAAACCAAGGGAAATTCATGGCAGACATGAGAGAGAATTGATATCTGGATCTTTAACATGACATGTACCTTCTCCATACAATTTCAATCCATTATTTAAAAAACTGGTAACAAGAATGGATGTAAGACCAAATTCTCTCAACTAATTTATAAGGAAATGTTTAGCAGCCAGAAGAGAGAATTGCTGATTTCATCTTAGGGGATTGAGTGAATAGTTTTCCAACAATTTTGACTCCATTATCTGAGGCTTTAGGTGTGGTTAGCTGCATTGGCAAACCAGCATTTGTGAAATTCCATCAGTGAATCGGTATCTACCAATTCACAGCCTTTTAAACTTATTTTCCAAGGCTTTAATAGGCTCTACTGATAATTGCAACTGAAATTATGAATTAAAAATTTTGTACCCTTTGTCATTTTTTTATTAGTTTAGAGATGACTACTTTATGACAAGTGGAGACAAAATCAGATTTTTCTTTGAAGAAGGAGCTTTCAATGACAAAGGTGAGATTCAATATCCTGTAATGACAAAACGTAACGGATTTCTCTCATAACTTAAGCAAATTTGCACCACAGTATTGTTACTTGCACAACTGTATTTCATTTTTGTCTCTTATTTAGGTGAACTCATCAAGGACAAGCAAAAAGCCATAAACAAAGTTGGTCATGGTAAGATTTTTATGGAGGACTTCTCTTGGAAGTTAGCAATCTAGGTATAAATCCCAAACAGAAAAAGGTTTATGAAACAAGTTTATAGCTTGAATTACACACTGGTGAGCCTAGTAAATGGTCTAGCTTGTGAACAAGTTATCTGTAGCTCAGTTGATGTGGCATAAATATCAAAATTAATAATGAAAATTAATAGATAAGATTTAAATGGTGGTACTTCCACAGGATGGCTCTGTGTCCAATGATCCCAGTTAGAATTGGAAGTTGAATTGTTTACCTCTACAGTGGGAGGGGAAGTAAAGAACACAGAGAAAAATCTGTTGGAGAAAGGATTTTTTCATGGGGAAAGAATAAGAAACAGCAGCAGGTTTATGATTTGAAAAAATGAAGGATATAGCAGTGGGAGGCAACTTCTTTCACTAGCTGCACCATCTTTGCTTTTCATGTGATTGTGAAAGTGTTAATGGGTTAAACTGAAATTTCGTGGGTTAGCCTTTCCTCATAGTGAAAGGCTAACAAAATGTAAGCTTTAGAAACTCTTTACAGTGGCTAATTAACATTACCAATACAGTTGATAAAATCAAATTATCCTTAGAATAGTTTGTCTCCTTATTCATCATTTTGTACTTTTAGAGATCTGTTCATCATCCTAGAAATATCATTTACTTGTTATTTAATAAATATGTATTTGATACTTTGTGTTTATTTATCTTCTCAGCCCTTCATGTGTGGAATCCTGTCTTTAAAAAAATGACATTCAACAAGCGAATTGAGGTACATGTAATTTAAAGATTGAAATGTTAAGTATAATACATGTATATTGAATTTCTTCCTCTAGTAACAAATTTGAAATCAATATTGTTGTCAACCAAATTTTTTTTTTAATGTAGGCTGTTGCCAAATCAGCAGGATTCAAACACCCTGTTGTCCCACAGAGCATGTACATTTTTAAAGTGAGTTGGTTTTGAGAAACAATTCTATCAATAAATTAAGATTGTCATGGTTCTTTAGACTAAATTCAACTTTAATAATGTAGGCAGAGTGCGAAAAATTCTTATTGTAGTTTACCCACACTCTGGGTCGTCTCCTGATAAATAGTGTTGATATACGGGTATGTAACATCTCCAACATAATGCTGTTAGAGATGATGTAATCATAAGCGCATAAGTACACATGCATTTTTGATTGGTTGTTACCTATGATCTCAATCTGTAAACGGAGGACAGACACATGGATGACATGTTGCCATGGGTCTGTACAGTAATGGATCATAGAGTACTCCAAAATGTGGTTAAAACATAATTCAGTGTACACTCGGTTGACCTCTTGTGCCCCATCTTTGTTCTTACCACATTTTGATGTCATCTGTGATCTATTAAAGAGCAGACACGTGGAATGTATTTGTTAAATAGTAAATAATTTGAATCCAGGTCGGTAACATTTGATCTTGTAGTTTAGTGATCCTGTTAAGTATTAACCCTTTACACACTAACACCAGTATGCATATTCTCCATACTGCTCTTTATACATTTCCAAAGAGGCTGTCAAAGAGAATTTGTTTCACAATCAAGAGCTGCTTTAGTTGGTGATCATCTCCTCTATTCTCATGACTTTCATGTTTGACTCAGGGGTGATATTGTAAGGAGAAATTAGATGCTAGTCACTCTCATGCACGAAAGGGTTAAGAGAAGGTTCCAGAAGGTTAGCATTCCATAGGTGTCTTTCTCATGGAATGTTCATTTTCTTTTTTTATTATTTTTTTAACTCATTAGCAACCAGGAATTGGTGGTGAAGGTAAGAGATTAAATTTAGTAAATAACTTGTAGTTTTTAGGATATAAATCTAAGAAATGAGAGTGGAAAAGAAATTGTATTTTGTAGAGAAGATCCCCAAAGGAGCTCCAAAGGGTAGGGTAGGGAATTTGAACTGGAACTGTCAAGTCTTTCCTGTGGAATAGAACTGTTTTGTCTTTTAAATTGGAGGTGCATGGTCAAAGGTAAAAAGTTTCCTTTCTGCAAGTGGTCCACAAGAAAATCACAGTTGCTAATCTTTTCTTTTACAGATCAATTGAAAATCAAATTAGGCACTCAGGTGGGACATCTGAACACAGTTTTGGTCCTAGTGGTTGTAAAGAGTTTGAACAAACTGTATTTACAGATGCCAGTGGGGCTGTTGGGAGGGGGTGCTGAATGTTGAAGCTTCAAATTGATCAAAATAAAAGAACAAGAACCAACGAAAACTTTATGCTTACCATTGCACCATTCCAGCTCTGTATGAAAGCCAAGTTATATGTTCACAGAATAAGAGGTTTTATTTACCTTTGCACCTGTAGTCAACCCACATCGAGACTCCACCTTCCTGTATACAGAGCCACCCAGTGCTATGGGAATCTGGATTCCACTTGAAGATTGCACCATGGAGAATGGCTGTCTGCAGTTTGTTCCTCAGACACAAAATGGTCAGATATATAGTAAACCTCAATTTTGTCTCCTTAGAGGACACATATTATGAAACTTGTATCAAATAGACCTCTTAATGAGCAGACACCCTCTACCTATCAGACCAACCCAAGTCATAAATTAACCTTCCTTAGTTACTCTAAATTAATATAATACCTGCAATTAGAACACAACTCTGTTAATCCTTTACACTCTAACATCAGTATGCGTATATTTTCTTTACTGTTCTCCATCCATTTCTCAAGGTGCTGACAAGTTTAACAATCAAGAGTTTCTTTAGTTGGTGATCATTTCTTTCATTCCTGTGATCTTAACCCTTTAACTCCCAGAAGTGATTAACATGTAATTTCTCCCTGTAATATTCACACATTATTCAGCAAACTGGTTGTGAGAATCCTCAAACTTATCAAGTTGAAGTTGTTGTCTTGATCTAACATCAAATTATCATAACCAGTTTACACGGAAATGTGAAGCAGCTAGAGGGAAGAATTAACATCAAAATCTAATGTTTGATTCAGTGGTTGTATTGTAAGGAGAAATTAGTCATGTCTAGTTAATCTTAGAGGTTAAAGGGGTTAACCCTTTACTCCCCAATATTAGGATGCATTTTCTAGAGCTATTCTATGTACTGTTCTGCGCAGTCTTGTGAGGGTCTTCTTAATTTGCAAGTTTTGCTATTGTAAATGATTTTTATTTGTCAAGGAAGTCAAAATTTGTAGCTTTAGGGTCTGGATAGAATATAGTATTCTTACAAGTAATTTTTTTTTTATCCTTTGGGGGTTAAAGAGCTTGGCTAGTAAATCTTTTGATACCAAATTTGAGTTTAGGTGCCTCAGTGCTTCCAATACTTGAGTGTTTCAAGGTCTTGAAATAAGTTTTTAGTATCATCCAGATTCTTGACAGCCTGAAATGGACTGTTCAACTCTTCCCAATAAGTATAACATGGATTGTAATGTTTCTGAGTGCTTCCCTGATTTACTTTATAGAAGGAATAAAGCTCCGTTTTATACGCAACCCTGAGGCAGGGACCCCAACCATCTTCAAGGGACCTAAAGAAGAACCTAGAGATGACAATGACTACATTCCTCAGTTGACCAAAAAAGGTGATTTGATCACTTACTTTTAATTGGATTTATGTTTTTTAGTGGGTGTTCAATGGTGGCCTGAAAGTACTCAGCTGCTTCAAAAACTCCCTTCATCCCTCATACTAACAAGATCTTAGGGGCCGGTTCTGGTAATGGAGGACTACAAATTTCTTTTTTAGATATCCCTGAGAATTTGGTATTTCATCTGAAGGATTTAGCCTAGTAGGTGATCGAATCATTTAATCTGTAATTCTATTTACTTGTCTACTTCATGGTGCATTCAAACTATCAATTTAATTAATTTACCCTTTTTAAACGGACATCAGTATGTATATTCTCCAAACTGTTCTCCATAAATTTCCCAAGGTGCTTATAAGGAGAACTTGTGTTAAAAATCAAGAGCTTCTTTGGCTGGTGATAATTTCCTTTATCCCTGTGGTGTTAATGTGTGATTCATGATCAGGGGTGGTATTTAAGGAGAAATTAGATGTTAGTTACTCTTAGGGCATACACTGGCCAGTTCAAAGGGTAAAAGAGTCTCCATTTAATCCTAGATTTTAAAATAGATTTGCAATTTTTATAGGCCTCACATACAAAATAGGATTCTGAGGTGCCTCATATTTGGGAACAGAGCACAGTAGATGAAAGAATGTTGTTAATAAGAACAGCACTAACATACTATGCCTGTGTCATTTTCCCCTTCATTTTCCTTTGACCTTTTACATCATGACATCAATATGTATTTTCTCCATACTGCCCCCATATATTTCCTACCATTCTGACAAGGAGAATTTGTTTGACAATCACAAGTTTCTTCTGTTGGCATTCATTTTGCCACATGACCTTAATGTCTGATTCAGCAATAATGCTGCATGGAGCAATTAAATCCCTGTCGCTCTCAGGGTTAAAGGGTTAACGCATTTTGAAATTATTCTGGGAACAAGCATATGGGTCTATTTTCTTTTTCACTAATAACTTAATTCCTTAACAAGAAGCTTTTACTTCTAATAGTATTTTACATGGAAATGCTGAATATTGACATTCCCATCCAGGTTGTTTGGTGCTAATTCATGGAGCTGTTCTGCACAGAAGTTTTGCTAATAAGTCTGAGAAGTCACGGCATGCTTACACCTTTCATATTGTGGAACAAGAAAACACAGAATACAGCAAAGAGAATTGGTAAGGTGTAATGCAGATTGAAGTTAGATTCAATGTGCTAATATCAAAGGCCTGAGCTGCGACAAGCCAAAATATCACAAAGAACCAATAAGGACTTGATGTAAACACTAGCTGTGCCTGAAGAATTTGCTGGTGATTTTATGGATATATTTGTTTTGATTGCTTTCACTTGGATTAAGAATGGTTGAGTGATGTGGTTCACTGTGAATGTGGTTTTTAAAGGAGTGGGGAGGGGTGGCTGTGGGTTGTCAAGTGAACCCAAGTCTGTAGACAAAAGGAAAACTATCTGGAAATATAGCTTGAAGACTCTCTGAAAACTCGGTTGCATTATTCAAAGTTAAAGGCAACTTTCTATCTCACCCACATTCTTCACTATATCGTAAATTTGCCAGTTAGGTTTTGCCACCCATAATATCCTGGCTTATATTTACCACCCCCCTTGCCCTGTTCAAAGGAAAACTACTTGCCATGGCTAATTCATACTACAAATTACTATCTCTATCCTTTCCCACACAGTTAAAAAATTTATTTCTTGAAGAACAAAAGTAGGCTTGTGAAAGTTATTTTCTCTTGTCTTTAGGTTGCAGCCCACACAAGAGGTACCATTTCCCTCTCTATATACTGAGTAGATGGTGATTACGAACATTTTGAACCAGAAGAGTCAAGCTGATTCAATCCTCCAGTCACATTTTAATCTTACCTTAACTTATGAAGAAACATCCATTAAATTAAATGTATAAACATCCATTATCACAACAGAAATGAAAAAGTCTGAGTGTGTTCTCTAAGGAATTGTGTTCTGTTTCTTTTCCCTATGTCTGAAGTTCATTTCATTACAAAATTATGGCACACAAGGGAAGTTTGTTTTGAGTGTGCTTTGAAATATTCCTTTCAGGACATGCTAAAAAAAAAAACATTTGCAAAGTGCAAGAAACTTTGATTTTGTAACAGTTTATTGCAACAGGGGATCATGTTTTAGGAAAAATTCTGATATTAGATTTAGAAAACACAGTCTGGTCTTTTTATCAAGGATATCATTACGGTTAGCAGTTATTTGGTTTTAGTACAAAAGATCACATTAAGACACAAGCAGTTTAAGCACAGCTCTTTAATTTGTCATTTTACAAAATTTTAAATCATTTAGCTAAATACAATTACCGTGTATTAATTATTTTTAGCCAATGTATCATGTCAAATGATATTTTTCACAGCGTAAAGCAAAATTATTTATAATCATATTGAATTCAATGCTTACATAGCAAGATTAGAAATAATCAATTGTGATCAAAATATATATGAAGACCTCTCAGTCCTCTCAGCAGTATATATTCCTATATAATAAAAGTTTCAATGAAGTCTAAAAACACTGGCTAGATATAGAAGCTCTTACTAACTCAAGACTTCAAACACTCCAATTTTTTTCTAACTTCTACAAATTTTAAACTGTTGACAATTATGGTTTGTGGGTCGACACATCAAACTGACTTTAAATGAGCATTTTCCTCTTTTTATCTATCACCTGAACAGGCCATACTGATTAACTTGCCCAATTTAATCCTTAATACAATGACCTATGATGAAAAAGCTGTTTTTGTTCAGAAATGCTCCACATTAGCAAGTTACATGTTAAATATAAGTTTACTCTAACAATGTTCTATAAAAGAAAATATCCCAATGGTGTGCGTGGCATGTTCAGTTACATGCCTGTCAGTTATGGAAATTAAACCTTAACCCTTTGAGTCACAAGATCTGCTTGTTAACTCCTCCCTCTTACTGCTACACTTTTCCTCATAAATCAGTACAGAGAATTTGATGTTAGATAACTAGAAGATAACTTTGATATTATGAGTTGAGTATTCTCATTACTAGTTTATTGGATAATGTATGGATATTATAGGGAGAAGTTACATGTTAATCAGCTCTAGGAGGTAGAGTTAACAGTGACTTACTGAAATTACAGTGACTTACAGTGAAATTACTTTGTTTACTCCTTGTTTTTGTAACTGAACTTAATATGTAGTGGTGCAAAACAATACCAAAATTAAAATCATGTAAACTGTCAAAAGTTTTTAGCAAGTATTTATAAATATTTTTAAAACTGATAAAAACAATGTATCCACAAAATGAATAAAATGCTGTTTATCTGGCTAATCAAGATCATATCTCTAAAATTTAACATATTATTTTAAGAGTTTCAAAGTTGCTTTCTACTGCTAGAATACTGCAGTTTAACTGAAGTAATGTGTGGAGAAAAATGATTGATGCGAAACACTAAAGAACAGTTTATTTTACCCAGAGATAAAAGTTTTGCTCAAACCAGCACCACAAGTTGCAAATGGTCTCTAGATGTGGTGTGAAAACTGTTACAAAAAGATCAATGTAAATCAAAGTCACAGGTGTTTATTTCACCATTATGACTAATGAAACATTATAAATCTCAATAAATCTCAATACACAAAACACAAAGATAACCAAAGGCTCCTTGTATAGCAGGACACCTCCCGTGCTAAGTAGATACGAACTTGTAGGTATTTACATACAGTCACTCCCCATGTCCCAAGGAGCTGGAATGGTCTTGTTGATCAGGATAGCCTAAGCCTAATGGCAGATCCATAAACCAATAACAGACAGGGGAGGTCAGAGCAGTTTGTTGTAAGCTGTTGGTAGCTAGATTAACCTTCTACAATATATAACTTTAGAGTCAGCACATATTTTTTGATTAATAAATATTTAATGTACAGGTTGTTTTCAGCAAATGTAATTTGAAATGTTTAAAATAAGTATAAAGATCATGCAATAATTTTCATAAAAATAATTATTTTCTGTTAAGTCAATAAGCTTTGTTATACAGTAAGTTTGCACATTTCAGATATAAATACACCAGGGTAAATTCTCTATTACGTATATCAAGATAGATTTAAAGTGAAGATTCAAAATTCATCAACACAACTTCTATCTATGGAACTGGCAACCCAAAATACAAGCTACAGAGGAGCTTCCTGTCCTACTTAAACAAGCTAACCTTTTCATCCTCATGTCTTAAAAAATTTCTTTCTCTGCCCTTTCTTTCTTTTACTTCCCTTTAATTTTAGCACAGAGAATTCACTACCATATCAACCACCACTCTAGTAGATATTCTTTCTTTTCAAAACCTTACTGTGCAAAAATGGATTGAAGTGGTGAACAAAAGTGTTTTCAGTGACTGAAAGAGTGAAACACGTAAGCTTGGTTTTCAGGGTCTCACCACAAGAGTACGAGTTTTGTTCTGCGTAATAATGAACACAATTGTGTACAAACTACTATTTGTCAAGCTTAAAATATAATTTTGTGTTAAGGAAGATTTTAAGTTTAAGCTGTTCTCACTTCCACTGACCAGTGAAAACTGGCTTGTTTGTTTCTTAAGCAGCAAGTGCAAAGTTGGCATGCCCCTGGCCCTTCTGTTATAAACCTTACTCATAGAAATGACTTGCACTTTGAAACATTTAAACTGTTCTATTCAAGTTTAATCAACAGAAAATTCTCTGTGTGAAATTGAATCTAATAGGGAATATTAAGAAATCACTCTTATTGTGTTTAAAGTACAAAACTGAAAATAACATCATTTTTTGTGCAGGAAAAGAGGTTGTTAGCCAAGTTATAATAATTGACAGAGAGAGCATTTTTAAAGCCAGGACACACTACACAACAAGGCACTACAGTTTGTCATGGGAACAAGTCAATCTTTACTCAAGGAAGTGAATTTCAATGCTTCATTAAGAAAATATAAATTCAGTCTGAACATGTGGGATGATCAAGATTTTGAGTTACATCAAACAGCCTCATCAGTTCTTCAGAGAGACCTGTCACTGAATCATTCCCTGATCATATGTTAGCATAAGTTTTGTGATATTTTCTGGAGTTGGTCTTTGTCTACAGTATAAAATATAATGTTTAAAACAAATTTGTAGAAGAGACAAAGTTGTTGCAATAGTGTTCCACTTCCTGTGAGAAAATTCAAAACATCTATTGTTCATCCCTTTACTGTGTGTCAGGGGAAGATCTGACTCAACAGATCCACAGTGGATTGGTGGGCACAGGAAAAAAAATGCCCAAATTGTTGTCAGTGTAAAATAAGACTTAAAAATCAATATATTCAATAGCCCAGATTCAAAATATAATTCTCTCTCTTTGTAAATTTCAGTAGTAAATTTAAATTTTTAGTCATCCTCTTCAGACTGAATGAGTTCAGTTATTCACAATTGAATTTTAAAAGAACAGACTTGTAAAATGACATCCAGATTCCACTCTTATACCTCTCTAGAAGACAATGTTTGAGTTTCACAAATTAAAGTACATGCCTTAAATTATTTACACAAAAATTAATTATCATCATCAAAATAGTTTAAATCACAGTAACCATCCAACCAACAAACAAACAAACAAACAAAAAAGGCATTATGAATGGGTTCCAGCCCAGGTCAAAGGTCATTACTTAACCCTTAAACTCCCAGAAGTGATTAACATGAAACTTCTCCCTATAATATTCATACATTATTCCGCAAGTAATGAGAATATTCTAACTTATCAGGTAGAAGATGCCACCTTGATCTAGCACCAAGTTCTCATACCTAATTTACAAAGAAATGTGTAGCTAGAGGGGAGAATTAACAATCAGATCTTAATCAGAATTAACATTATATGGAGAATTACATGTTAATCATCCCTAGGAGTTTAAAGGTTAGAAGAAAATCTACTACTATAGGCAAGTAAGTGTCAGTGATTTTGTGCTCAGCAAGCATAAATTAAATGTTCAGCAGTTGTTGCCAAAAAAGGGACAGTTGATATCAACATCATTACCCTTCTCTTCAGTTTAAGGAAGCATCAAAGAGTGATCAACATTAAATATATAGAACAACAAACATTTTTAAGAAGCATCCTGGGCCATGTTACCTGAACAACCTAAATTCTGATCAGTCTAAAAGAATGTGTTTGATTAAGTTGTTTGACCATTTCACTTCATTTCCAAGGTATTAATAAGTTTGCCAAGTCAACTTTATCCAGTTCAATAATTACAATGTTTGATAACCAAAGCTACAAAAACTTGACTAAATATATGTACCTGCATATATAAGTATGTACATCAAATTTTAAATTTTTGCAACCTTAAACATATACTGGTTGCCACTCAATGGTAAATCTGTCATGACCACAAATCATTAACATTGTTGGTGCAACAAAAGAACACCAACACCTTGAGGGAAATTTGAGTAATACCTTATGATAATTATATCAAGGACAGACAATCACTTTGTTATAGCTTTTTAACTAAAATACTTTTACTCACCAAATTTGAAAATCACCAGGATTGTTTTGTTATATTTTTCAATGACAAAAAAAAACTTATAAACATCAAAAACATAAAATTCCTTCTTTAAAAAGTTCTTTTAGCAGGCTGTTCATGATCGTTCATCAATTTATAGCAATAAATAGTGTTTTTCAGCGGTAATTGTGTATTAAAAGATTTCACTCTGAGACTTGAAAATATTTGGACATATAAATTATAGATTTCTTTTCAGTTTTCCATGAGGGAAGTCTTCTTCCCTTCTGATGCAACATTCATTGTATTGCAGTAGTAAATTTATTAATTTGCGTTAATTCAGTGACTGCATGTTTGTGATATATAAATATTTATACCTGGATAATTTAATAATTTACGAGTTGGAACTTTCTGAATAATTATGAGGAGTTTTGAAACCATGGCAAATATACGATATGTGATTTCCACACAACACCAACTTTATCACCATTTTACATAATTGAAAGGCACAAAGCATTTTACCAATAACCAAAATTTGCCACCAAAATTTTCACTTTGAAACCAAATGTAAGCTTCTCAATAAAAGCAATATAATGAAAGTATTCAACACAGTGTTTCAAAAGGGTTTGACACATAAACCTCTGCAATACCCTAAGTTTTAATTATGAGATGGCGCAGTAGAAGAATGGCTTAAAGTGAGCATATCATTTTCTTTGCATCCGAACAAAAACTAATACAGGGTAAGAAAATTCAAATGGAGAATTCTGCATGGTGACAAAAATATTCCTCAATCTCCCATGTAGTATGAATCTCTTAACTAAAAGTGGGACAACAGTATTGGAAATTGTGACATTTTCTTTTTGTCATGAACCGCACATCATAAGTGAAGTTCCCTTTAACTACCGTCTGTTATGAATACTTTCAATATACTTTTTTCTAAAGTAACACTTTACCATATTGCTTCATAATAAAATACTCAAAAGAATACGTCATCCTCAATCTAGACCACTGGACAGGCTCTGATGTCATCCATGACATGGCCAAGGGTGTGGAAGCCATGCTTGTGGTGACAACAGAGCTTGGTTGTGTGCTCTGTCCCCTGTACATTTCTTGTGATAAAACCATAGATGTGACTGGAGAAACGTCCTCTAATTCAACAGGGTCTGTCTTTATCTGAAAAGAAAAGAAAAAAAGTGAACTAATGTCTATACTATCAATCCCTAGGACTCAACATTCATTTCCCTTAGCAACATACTCTACCACTATTTAATTCTTTTACATTCCTGTAGAGAATTTTGTATTTACAATACTACTAGCAGGAAGTTTTAGTTACATTTTTTTTCAAGATTTGAAGCCAAAATAATAGCTAATTTGCCAAGTCTGACTAACATTTACCAAATTATGAATTGAGAAAGATTAAGTTCCCCCAATGTTTTTCATTTCATATAGATATCCAAGAATGTATTTAAGAGTAAATTTGAAACACCCCTAGAGAAGCCCCATATGAAATAAATTTAAGAGACATGGTTCGTACCTCTCGTCTGCACTCATTCTTAATACACTCAACTTCATCTCGACAAATTTTGCAGACGTAGATGATACTAGTGTCGCTTTCAAGCTTCCTGTAGATGTCATCAGTGATGTTGTCACAAACTGTATGAATCCACCTGATGGCACAATACATCAAAAGTGGAATGTTATCAGTAGCTTATAATCTTACTCCTTAAAATATTACTTTTGTTTTGAACTTGTTGCCTTACTACATAGTTAACCTCATTTGATAAGATTGTTGCCTGTAACAGCATTTAAAGTTTCAACAGCTTAATTGGGAAGTCAACATCAGAGATATTTCTGCCTTAGCATTGGATGCTTTCACCAATCATAGCCTTTTCCAGCCCTACACAAAGCTGGACAATAGCACTGCATGATCATGTATTATTCCTTGGTTCAAAGCATTCACCATGTGTACAATTAACATTTCATGACATCAACAGCCTTGCTGTTATCTATAAATGTCATTACTGTACTTGTAAAATTGACCCAATAACTCCGACCTGACACTCAATTTTTGCATTGACTTCTGTTTGCTGATCACCATGCATTTCTTGGCTACTTCTGATAATTTGGTTATAATACAAAGAAACATTTCTAAATAGTATGTTTCTTTTTTAATTCTCATCGCCTAAGTGCTTAGCAGTGAACTAAAATTGAAATTGAGAATTTAAGTTCAGATCACAGCTTGCACCCACCTGCTGCATGAATCACATTGGATCACTTTCTGATTTCCTGGTTCTTCATTGCAGAGAGGACACTGATTTGTCTTGTGTTTGTACTGGTAACACTTGTCACATAATGAGTAATCTATGTGCCACTGTGATGTTTGCTTTGTTTTACACTGTCGGCACTGTCTACATTTCTGATTGGAGGGAAAAAAAATATTACAAAATCTGAGCAGTCTAAATAAGGATGAACAGGTCTGCAAGTAGTCACAGGTTGTGGAAAAATTTGAACAATTTGACCAGAATGGGGTACATTGTTAGAAATCAATACACTAAAAAATATATCTTAAGGAAAAAACTGCTGCACTGCATATTGCATGACAACACTTTGTCAAGTACATTTTAAAACAAAACTCTCCATCAGGGTATCATCTTGAGTGCAAAATATTTGTAAAGCTGGGTTCAAGTTTAGAAGCTGGGTGGCACAATGCCACCCTGATCAGACATGTACCAAGTGCCCACCCAAAGCTCAGGAATCTATTATTGTCATTTGCTTTTTGAAATAATCCTCTGTTATGGCTAGACGAACTTCATTGGAAAAGCCAAACATACCTCACACTTCCAGCCTAATTTCTCTTTGAAGTTTGCAACAGGCACAGTGCACAGGGGATGGTATCCTTTGTCGCAACTACTGCAAATCAATAGTTTGTCTTTACTTGAAGTGTTCCTGTGAAATACAAATAATTGTAAAATCAATATAATTGAAAATTAAATGGTTACATTTTCCCCATGCCAATAAATTCTTGCCAGTAGATACGAATAGTCTAAAATAAGACCACTTTGAATTCGAAAAAGTGGGAAAGATTTGATTCTTGTTTGCGGATGAAACACAAACTACTAAGAAATTTACCAAGGAATTTATACCAAGTTCTCTCCAGAACTTAAACCTTTACAACCTAACATCAGTATGCATAATCCCCCTTTCTGTTTTCTATACATTTCCTATGGTGCCAACAGGGATAATTTGTTTAACAATCAAGAGCTTCATAAGTTGGCGATCATTTCCTTTATTCTTGAAACTTTAATATCTGATTCAGGGATGATATTGCAAAAAGAAATTGGATACTAGTTACTTGTAAATGAAATAAAAGCCAATTTCTTCTTAAGACACAGCTTAATAAGTTCCTAACTTAAAGTAAAGATGAACTAGTATTGTACTGTGGACTATTCCTCTGGGGGAAAACCTTAGAACTGGAAAAAGAAAGTTTTCCTCTGAAAAGTCAGGTTTACCTTGAATGATGGTGACAGACAAAAAAAGTTACAGGAGTATTCTAGGTCAAGAACAAAATTGTGTCCCCTCTGAGAAGGAATCCCAAAGAGAGGCAGCTCCACTGAACAGATATTGGGAAACTTACCTACAAGACTGACATGTCTTACACTGAGAACATTCCCAACCAGCACTGACAGACTCTGTAACACGGACAGAAGGCGAGCAGCAGTAACTGTGATAATGACTGCTACATCTTGTGCAAAGTAACAGCTGAGACAACTCGCCAACTTGTTGGCATCTGTTGCAGAAAGCTAAAAAAAAAAACAGGTTGTTGCAACTATTCAATACAAACTAAGGAATCACAAGCAGGTCATTTTTTTCCCCAAAACTTGCCAAATAAATGAGACTCACAGCTGATGAATTAAAATGTCAGCATCAAATACTAAAAGATGATTGCCATTATGGTTGCAACATGCATGCACAGACAATTAGATCTTAGAGTCAGAATTCAGAACATCAGTTTTGCTACCCTTACAGGTTTTAATACACCTGTTTCCCTCACACAACAATTGACGAACTAACCTATTCTTCTTATAACATCCTCGTGATTCAAACAGTACAGCTTCATCATTTTCATGTCCTGCAATTAAAAAGTATCAAAGTACAGTTAGGTCAGCTTAAAGCCAGAAGGCTTATCCAGCCTGAGGACATCCCAGTTCCAATAGTGAGTGGTGACAAGGAGGTTTGCCACTTCACTGCACAGGATGCTGGTCCATTTCAGGGTTAACACCCTTAACTGTTTGGTCAAGACTTTCTCCCTGTTTAGTGGTACCCATTCTTCAGGATGCTACTCTATTTAAGTTTTATCACCCTCTAGCATTTGATCAAGATTCAAGATGTGTAGATGGTTTGGTAATACCCATTCATACTCCCTGGTAGAGAGAGACACAATGAGAATTAAGTGTCTTGCCCATAATTACAACCATCGGTGTGACCTCCAACTCTTATTAAATAAATACAATGCACTTGACCCAAAGTCCTATGCATTAATTACTACCTAATGCCACCCTCCCATGATACAATCCAAGTATAGCCATCTTTTGAACTTTTTTCATTCTACTTAATAAACAGTGTAAGCCCATTTTCATATTCCTGTCTGCCTTAACCAATACTCTGTGAGAAAATAGAGATGGCCTGTATGTGTTCAATGCAAAAAGCTGTACCCCTCTGTACTCCATTCACAGTACTAACCTGAAAAGCCCTTGCAGCCATTGCACAGGGGTAATGGTATATTCTTCCACAGTCAGACATTTCACATATAATACTTGCACCAAATCGGCCACAATAGCTACATTTCTGCAGAGATATTAATAACTTACATGACTACAGGAATATCAAATTTGAATTTGAGAAGTAAAACAGTTCTAAAATTGAAAAAAAAAAAACTTCACTAAAAAGATATCTTATTTACACTAGCAATACTTGGGTTCCTGGTAGATAACTAAATAACAACTACGTAAGCATGCAAGTGCCGTGCTTAAATTTCTTATCATGTGTATTGCATGGTTTGCTGGCATATTCAAACTTTTTTGCATTCTTTACAATCTCCAGTGTTTGTGATTGAGTTGTCATATTGCAAAAGGAGGCAGATGTGCAGAGGAAGAGCTATTAATAACATTACTTTGCCAAGTGTGATCCTGATGGTGCCATCTTTACAAAAATCATGAGAATGAATATTTTGCCAAACCAATTTTAACCCCTGCTGGTCACATCTACACCAAAACATGGGAGCTGTGGCCCCTCCCCTCCCCTCCCCCCAGAGTTTTGTTTGAGGGGCTGCAGCTGCCCTTGCTTTCCCTGCCATCGATGAAGTTCCATGGAAAAGCTGATTCTGTGTTTGAGTTCCTAGCAATCAGTTTAAAACACAAAGTAACACACCTTTGATAAAATCTGATTTGTCAAGTCTACAGTAAATTCCACAGAAGACTTTGCTGCTATTGAGGCCAGGGTCCAAGCTGCACATCTTTCATGTACCCAGATCTGCCCAGACTTGTCACACAGGTCAACCAAATCTGGTTCTTCCTCAAACCCCACACAGGAAAGGTCTTCTCGGGGAGGGACAGTTTTTCTGTTACTCAGTGAGTCTCCCCTTGGGCTTTTTGGTCTGTGTTGTTGTTGGTTGTTGCTTTTTTTTTTTGCAAAAGCAGTTGGAAAACAATGTCAGTACAGATACTCTACCCAACTGCACAGAGCAATTTTGAATGAGTGTGACAAGTATACCAAATTGCTCTGGTTTTGCCCTACCAGTCGGGATTGATCCAAAAAACTCTCATTGCACTCAGGTGATTTCTGTGCTTCAACTTCAAGTCCTCATTACCACTTTTTGAAATTTTCCTTTATTCTGAATGGCTGCTTACATATGTTTAGTTTTGGTTTGACCAAACTCTTTGGAAAATTGCTCTTGACTATTAGTCGTTAACTATTAGTCATAACTCCTGGTGTGGGCAACTTCTTCACAATGACCATATGGAAGCTTTACCCAAGAACAGAATCTTCTCAGGCTTCAAGTATAAAATGGTGAGAATTTGACCAGAAATATATTATGTAGGCATTGATAGGGCCCTTATTATTCTCTCCCTGAAAGTCTTCATCAAGTTCATTGAAAAGGTTTACAAAAGGGATGCAGCCTACTCACAAGTGGACTTGAAAATATGACCACCTACAAAACTCAGTGTCAACCCCTTGGAGTGATAAGCATCTAATTTCTCTCAACAATGTCACCCCTAAATCAAATATTAAGGTAATAAGAATATGAGAAATTATCATAAAAGCCATGAGCTCTTGATGTTAAACCAATTCTCCCTGTAAGTACCTCAGGAAATGTACAGAGAACAGTGTGGAGAATATGCCTGCTTATGTTAGGATGTAAAGACTTAAGTGTCTTTACCTGACAAGTACTTCTCCATGGTGCACTGTTGTGTTACCATCTTCTGTTCTGTATGGCCGTGGATACTGTTTAACATCTTGATACTCTCCATCATGAGGACTTCTCCTACTGTGAGGAGGATGTGAACCACCAGCCATGGCATAGTGAGGATTTGAATAATCTGCTCGTAAATTTTTGTGTAGCAAAGGACTTGACGAGTGCCTTGGAAAGCCAGATATTCTTCCAAAACAAATCAGCTCACCCTGCCCCAGGACACTGTTGCTCACACAGTTACACAATGCACAGCAAACTCTACAGTGAAACCAGAAAACAAAAGTTTCATACATCTGGACTTCAAGCATTAACCAGCTCTACATTCATCTTTCATTTCGCCTATGAAAAGGTTACCTTTTTACTAGGGTTAACCAGGGCTGAAAATCCTGCCTATCCATCTCAATTTTTTTTATATTTTACATACAATAATACAAGCAGATCTTTTTCCCGTGAAGTTTTATACACACAAAAAAAATGAATATATCTGATGGACACCATACCTCCTAGGAAGATAATTTATTTTGCTGTGAAAATTGTTCAACCCTTCATCAACTTTAACTGGACTTCTTGTCTCAGATGTCTCCCTAGGAGAAAGCTGAAACCCAAAGAGAGTGAAAAAATAACTCAAAGAATTTTTCACTTGACAACTCCTTGATTAATCATCTGCCAACCACTCACGAAGACCCAAAACCCCTGATGTTGAAAGTAAGTTCAGTTAATATGCAATCTAACCTCTAGATCCACCTTCTGTAGACCATGAAGGGAAAAGTGACACAGGAAAATTGTGTTCCCACCCTTCCCCTCCGAGATTCTCATCCAACCCTCTATACCCCACACAGTAACAATACAAAGGCCCTTAACCTGGCATCTACACTACCACTTCCCTTCCACACGAAGTATAATGTAAACTTTAATAATTTTTTTAATTCAAGACACTTGGAAATCAAAACATTTTTAATTCCTAGCAGAGTTGCACAATCATATACTACTGAAAATTGTGTTATCACCTTAACTCTCTTAGGTGAATCTGCCTCAATGTCGATGTCTTGATCACTGTCACTGGAACAACTTACAGATGAACAATTTGACATGGTCCTGACAGGAGAGAGAAATGTTTCAGCAGTGAAAACTAATGATGATTGCCACTATTGAACTGCTTATGACAATCCACCACAGTGTACATTGCTCACTGTCATTAAACACAAAGGTGCACTATGGATAGGATGGCTCTGCTTTTAATTTCAGCTCAAATGCTAATTATGCAATGGAGCAGCAAATCATTTGAATTTCAAATTTACCACTACAAATGAAGACCTTTGCAATTGTGGGAAGGAGGTACAAACCTCTACAAATTCTTCCATTGTGATGAAAACATAGAAAGTTATTAATAAAAGCTTTTGAGAAATCCGCCTGCAGTTCACTTGCTTTGGATCAGCTGCAGCTCAAGCTGTTTTTAATATAAGGGTCTGTATGCCATGATGGTTAATTGACAAATGATCCAGAAGAACCTAAACCACCTTTCATTTTATAGTGTAGCTTAGTGTTTAAAAGGAACCAATGCCAAAGAATAATTTACCTTCCTTTGGATCAGATTATAAATAGAATGAAGAAAAAGCAAAGGGATTTATACATCAAATTCCTTTGAAAATTTGAACTCTCTGACACTCAAGATTTGATCACTAATTCTAACTTTTGCCCTCCAAATATGTCTACCCTTTAACAGTTTTACTGTTTTACTAATCAAACAAAATAATGAAATGAATAGGAAATCACATCACATGTTAAAAACCTTTGATTTCTGGAGAAAATCATAACACAAGCTATTTTTTTATATCATTATCCTAAATAGCAGAGAGCAATAAGGAGTGCTACTGAGGGCAAGCCTCCACCAGTCTTTTAAACAGTTAGTAACAAAAACTGAACCTGCGATCTTGAAAGTGAGAATTTAAAGACCCTTCTTGTACCTGTTTCCTTCATAATCAGGTTTTCTCTTTATTCTTGAGTTGGAAAAACTTGCTTCTTGAATATCTGGTCTCTTTCTAACTTGTGGTGTATTGCTGTGTGAACAGAAGCAATTATTTTTCTCCCCCAGATTGTGCTCATTTGATAATGCTGCTCCATTTGATACCTGCAGAGAGATGGCACACTATACATGAGCTTGTGTCTACATGCATTTTGCAATCCTTACAAGCTTATATATCTGCATGCATTCTGTAACCCTCATCAACTTAATGTCTGCATGCATTTTGCAATCCTTGCAAGCTTATATGTCTGTATACATTTTGCAATCTTAATAAGCTTACATCCACATGCAATTTGGGAATCCTTCCTACTAAACCTACTTTACTGCTCATCAATAAAACAATACAGAAAAGGAAAAAGGTTTAATAAATAAATAGAGAAAAAAATAAAATCAATTCTAATGGTCAACATTCCAGCTAATTATATTTATGGTGAAACACATTTGTCATGCAGGAAATCAGACAATGAAATACTATTGGCCCTTTTCAAGTTTACTGTAAGGACCCATGCACGTGCATGTAAAAAAAGAAAAAAAGAAGAAACACTTTATAATTCCATTTTATCTGCTTGATAAATAACATTTTCCTGAGAACTAGAAACATTCATCTCTTCATCTTTAATAATAAAAAAAATCTAATGAAGTTCACTAGCACTATGATTTATGAATCAGCTCATAACTTTACACCTAAGAACTCTGAAATTATAAAGTATGTAATTAAAGTATCATTGGAATACACTGTACACATGTTAAAATATTGATTTTGGTTCCAAGTCAGAATCACCACCTTGAAATATAAGATTACCTCATCAATTTTATGACTGTTGCCAACTTCTGTAGGAAAGAAATATTGACACACTCTTGTCAATAAACATGTTATGTTCTTTATTACATAATTGCAATTTTGCTTTAGCATCTCAATAAGCATAAATAAGCATAAAGAAGGGAAGACACTTTAAAGATCAAACAAGTCTTGTTAAATATGTTATGAAGTGTTATGTTCCACCAGCTGAGTGAAACTGCATGTAAATACCATGGTAGGTGCCAAATGCTTTCCTTACTGACCCTGCCTGGGCATGGATGTGGCTCATGTGACTCTTGTAACTTCAATTACTGATTTTATCTTCAAAGACCTTTCCTACCCATTCACCCATATGATAGATTTCAAATTGTGGTGTCAATTCACTGGTCTATCTCTAGCCCTTGTAAATTTTGTATTCTCAATTTTCACAATACAAGCAAGCAGTGTAAAGCTTTGTTGAGTTTGTAATCATGGTCTAGTTATGGTGATCCGCCTGCTATAACTGAGTTGAGGAGTGTCATTCTAAATATTTCCACTCCTCTAAAATTCAGTTACAGGTATGTGCAATGTGTCAATAAAAAAAAGTGACAAATAATCTCATAACTAGTAATAATCAAAGATTAGTAAAGTGCATTCAATCTCTTGTAAAAGTTTTTTTATTGTACTGATTGCGCAGAAAAAAAAGTAGGTGTCTTCAGCTCAAGGCAGCCAAGAAAACATTTGGACATGAGATCGAGGCTATTTGTGCCACATAGCCAGGCAGCCAGCTCGTCCAAAATGGCGCCCAATGCCTGAAATCGCATGGCATCACAATCAATGCCCTTGGGACTGGTCCATAAAACCCTTGAGAGTGATTTCCGCAAAAACGACACCATTAGTACGTGTTCTCCTTTGTTGAACGTGATTACCCATTTTTTTCTCTGTTCAATCAGCCCATTAATCTTTTAACCACTTGAGGGCGACAAGCAACACAGGAATAAAGGAAATGATCACCAACTAAAGAAGCTCTTGCCTGTCAAACAACTTCCCCCAGTCAGGACGTTAGGTAATGTATCAAGAATAGTAAGGAGAATATGTATACTGATGTTTAGGTGTAAAGGATTTAAAAAACAACGTTAAGTGATCTACAAACCTGCTGAACTATGTGCCTTATGTACATTTCCATAAAGAGACGCTCTGAACCAGTCTAGTAACAAACAAACAAGATCTGAATAGTCATTCCTCTTTATGACTGATATACATTTTCTTGTAAATAAGTTAGGAGAATCTAGAGTTCTATCAAAATAACTTATTTCAAAATGACAGGTTTGTTAGAGAGGTACAGCAAAGTAAGGCTAGAAATAATTTCCTAACTGGTGTTGGCTAAGTTGTCCAGTCAAACTTGTTGGGGAGTTTAAGAAAACCACCACAGCAACAGCAATGGGAAAGTTGCTAAACAAAAGATTTTGATGAGCAGAACAATGGCTGTGAATGTGCATTGTAAATTTCTTTGCATCTTTGGCAAAACAACAACGTGAAATGACAAAACTTTGTGTTGTCTGGAGAAAGTGCACAGCAATGGCTAATTTTTTAAATTTCTATTTTAATTTAATGCTGTGTTCCATATTCAGATAGCTTCGACAGAGAGAAACAAACTGATTGAATTTAGGGTATTGCAAGATTCGTAAGTAAAATATAACTTCATATTTTAACCCATGTAGTTCACGGCATCCCCATTGTCATTTCTTAAACTCCTTATTTTTGCTTGCAAATGACCCTTTTTTTCCCAGAACAATATCCTCCATGTAATATGTCAACAAATCTTCCTTTTATAAAACAAATGCATGTACACATCTACTATGATTTTATTGTAAGTGCGGCCCTGAACTTGGAATTTTCTGAGGACAAAATCTTTCTTTACATGTCTAAACAAACAGGTCAAAATAAATCCTCCCTTTATAGAACAAATGCATGTGTATATTAACTAAGTTTTTATTGTACATGCTGCCCTCATCTTGGAATTTTCTCAGAATAAATTCTTTCTTCACATGCCTAAACAAACCCAACAAAATGTCCAGTCATAAAAGGAGTTGACCCGACAAAAACTATAGTTTGAGAGCACATTGCTTGTTGACTATTGACATTATTTTGAGCCCTAGCAATGTCAGAAAACTTCTAGAATGCCACATGAAGTGATTCTCTACTAAACAGAGATGCAGAAATGTTTCCTAAAAAGGTCATTTAAAATACAATTTTGGAGTAAGATCCCAATTGGAAAAGAAAAATCATTTTAAACTCAGTCCATCATCCATTTTTCTTGAATATGTAGCTATTGTTTAATACACAGAGTTTTTGATGCATGGATTGATAAACCAGATCTTGTTTGTAAAAAAGCCTCCTTTAACTAACCAACACTGCAATGTGTTGGAATATTATGGCTTAAGAGCCTTCACCACAGTATAACGACAAGTTATGCAGTGACATGACAAACAAACACACAAACAAAAATACATCAAAATCTTTTCATACCTGGCGGTTGAACTCTTTCATAATGGTAAGGATTAACACAAACTTTCTCGTGTTTTGTATCATAACCATTCTGACAGAATTCTTTGTGTCTCATCTCCATCTTGTGCACATCGGGCCATCGCCAGAGTCGAGCATAAATAACATGTGGAAAGTCCTTCTTATCTCCAACTTGCAGCCGTCCATCCATGGTCCTTTGAACAGTAACGCACTTTGATGGCTGCCTTCCCTTTGAAGTAATTGCTACAATGAGTGAGTCCAGCTCATAAAATTTTTTCTTCAGTTTTTTCACAAGGGATTCAATGGCTCTTCGACTAAAGCTTTCAGCATCAGTGCTCTGATGTCGGTAAACAGCATGCCAAAGTAGATTACGCACAATGATGGGGCATGGATCTGCCGAACACGGTATATTACTTGGTCCGGGTAAAGAGTTACTTGGTCCTGCCTCTAGATATTTTGGTTGATCATATGTGGTTGCTGGTTGAGGTGAACTTTCTTTCAACACAGATAAGGCACATTTATCACAGTTTGACGAAGATGTTTTAACAGAAAGAGTTGCCGCTGTGTGAAAAGAATAAAGCTGTTATATAATATGTAGCATGTGATATTACACCTTCTTTCTGTTGATCTCTTTTGCAGTTCAACTAAAATATCATGATTAATATTTTGCTGTTCATTTGATAAGGTTGGAAAATTTGACACTAGACAGCACTGATGTGGGCAATTACAAAGAAAATATTGCAACTGCGAACTGAGAGCAATGGTTTGCAGCAAATCATATTTCTTAGCTACAAAAATCTTAATTTCACAGACATGTCTGCTCAAACACTGAATTAGAATATAGCCACTCAAGGTCAAACCACAGATATCAACTTCAGACAAAGAGCTCTAATCATAATAACAAGGCTAATTCCAAACTAGAAAAATAATCCAGATATTTTTCCCATCTTTAAGCAGTTGGCTTGTGTCTTCATCTTGAGGTTTACAAGAACTCTGAATGTGATTTACTCTTGCTTAGTACAACCTTGTGCTTATTAAAAAAAGAATCCATTGAATTGTTACCGTGATCTGCTGACATTTTCAAATGAATACAATAGCATCCTCTTTTAGTTTCATACCAGACAATCAGTGATAAAATCCTAGACATCAGATATCATTGTCTACCAGACAGTTTATCGCTTTTCAGCATATCTGTCATATGATACATTATGATTCCAGAATTCACTGCGAAACAAACAATTCTCCTTCATAAAATCTCTATCAAAATATTTGTGTGGCTCTGTTATTCTACAGAGCAAAAATCAAAATGAAAATATTATTGTCTACAGGATGCTTAAGAAAAAGACTTGTTCCACCACCAGTTTGTTACAAATTAAAACTTGGCAAAAAACTGTTTTTAACTGATTTTTCTTCCTCTTTTCTCTCACCTGTTCTTTCCTCTTTTAACTTTTCTTTGAATGGCAGAGAGCCTAAACAAGTCACTCGAGGATTGCAGAACATTCTATAATATGCCTTGATCCATATTAATATTGATTTTTCATCAGAGGCAGAGAGTTATTTTTAAAATGTAAATGAGCTGTATTGATGTTTTGTAATAATTCATATCACACAAATACAGATCAGGAAAGCTTGGATAAAAATGAACTACAAAGAAATGATCTGTGTATTTATGCATTAGAGCAAAAGTTGCAGACAAAGTTACCAGTCGAGCATGGAATTTTGAGCGTTACATGCTTGAATAAACACTATGTGCACAAGCAAACATGCCCATCTGCATGTAGCTTTGTAGGTAGACCGACAAAAAAAATAGAATTTCTGTACTTTAGATGAAAGATGTCTCTATCTGGCCACGACATAGTCAACAGATTTCCATATATCATGTTTTTAATATTGACCTATGAGCAAAAATACTGTTGCATTCTTAACATACAGTTCTGAGTGGCCATTTTCTGTTGAAGTCTTGAATATTTGTGTTATCTCTTGTGACTAAAAATAATCCCTCGTTGCGTGATATTATTATCTAGAAGCTCTAAAACATGATGTTTGTGTTTGAGACAGCCAGTATCTTAACATGAAACTCAGCACAAAACTAAATTTTTTGAATGCTTGCAATATCAATTTTCAGAAGCATCCAATAGTACACAACGCAGTACCACTGCGTGTAACAAAGAGTCTAGAGTACCACACACATAAAACATGTACATTTTAAGAAACTGCGGCAAATAAACCATCCATGCTGTCATTCAAAACCAGCTACAGCTCTAAAGCAACCAGTAATCCATGATGCTACAGAGTAATCCCTGAATTTTTAAGGGATGTTTATTTGGCATCAGACATTGCAGAATTCTCTGTCTAAATAATTATTGCTCTTGGGTTAGTGAAGCTGTTGAGTAGTCTACTCTTAGTAGTCTCATTCTTGTTACTTAGCAACACTCTCCAGCCACTATATTTCTTGAGGAAAACCTTGGATGTGTAAGATTCTGTTTAGTCTAACAAATGATTCTTCCCTGAAAATCTAAATCAATGTCAAATCCCTTTATATGCAATGTGAAATTTCTTACACATGAATTTTGCAAATTTTTGGCGTATATAAGGTCAAACAAACAATGAGTCTTGCCAAAAAAAAACATTACACCAAATAAAATGTCTTGAATGGCAGCAAACAAAGTCTTCTGCTGATAACAGATTGAAGTAACTCAAGAAACTTAAATGTACACTTCTAAAAGCCAACAATCTTTTGCTGGAATTGGTAAGAGGAGTGTTCACTGTGGCTTCACTTTGTGGTCAATTGACTCCAAATCAAGAATTCACATACAAGCATAAATACAGAGAAACAATACGACACTGTGTTATTTCTCACATATAGTTGCTGCTGTTATTTTCCTGATAATTTTGATGTAGTAACTCCTACAGAATTGTTTCAGGTGGTTGAAGGATGTTTGATATTAGACTGTGTAGGAAACAAATTGCATCTCAATTGAAAAATACAAAATTTAGGTGAATCAAAATACAAAATTACAGCAGAACAAAACAATTAAGCATTGTAATGTATATTTACACACCTTACGTGTAAGGCAAAGAGAATTATTGTGAAAATTGAATGAATAAAAAATATGTCCCTTGCGCATCATTGTACTGCCCAATTTACAACTTGCACATTTAAAAAAAAAACCACAATCTTAGAATTTAAATTTGTGTGGTTTATTCGCCAAAATTTTAAAGGTCCTCTGTAAATTACAACTCTATTTTGTATCCATGACGCATTAATCAGCCATGAAATTTCCATTTGGTTCTCTCGCACCATGGTTATCTGGTCGTTTCTGTAGAATGGTATTGATTTATCAGCTTAATTGCTTTCAATGAATGAGAGCCAAATGTGACTTTGGCTTTCAGCTGAGCTCATTGCAATGCGTGACACTTGCCACAATCTGTATCGCAGTGGGAACTCAAAATCAGTATACAATACTTGACATGCTTGAATGAAATTTGGTGTCAATGAGGTCACAGTCTGAAAGATTACATACATTTTAATGTGACCGCATCAGCTGTCCTTTTGAATAAATGCTTCTGCTTAAAGTGCAAAGAAATCATTAACATAAATTTGCTGTAACTTTATTTCGCAACCAAATGTACTTAATTTGCTGAGTTTGCCTTTTTTAATTTAATTAAAATTCAAGCAACATTAAAAACAAGTGGAGCAGAAGCTTGCTGAAATGCGTGGATATATTGCACCATTTAATTGGCTTGCGTTTAACTTACCAGCCACTTAGTGACCGCTTTTTTCCAAGTGCCTTGAAAGGATGATCTTCCGACAGATCTCTATTTCAACAAGTCGTGTCGCAAATGTAATATGTACACTTTTCATTTTGTGAAACAACTCCAACGATATATTTTAAGTTTCCTTTGGTCATTTACACTGTGCACTGGACCTTTAGGTTCATCTTTACTGTTGTTTAACAGGTAAACAAGGAAGGACTGTTACTGACTGCATTCTCTACTGGGTGTGCATGCATGAATTTACTGGAGGAGAAATACAAGAACACTTCTTTCCCTCCAACCATGTTCAAGACAAAAATTTTGTGTCTTTCACTCACAATCAACATCTAAGAAATAACCTTGAATATTATCAGCCATAGATCTGGTTGTCTAAAATTGATCAAGAAAAATAATGGAGGAAGGAGTAGTCTCTCGCACTCAAGTTTTATCTATTCCTGTAGTATGACTTTGGTTTTACGGTAGTTGAGTTCTGAAACAAACATCTAACCCCACCTTGACAAGGATCATTTAGAATACCAATCGAGATGGGTCTTAAAAAAAGAGGGAATGTTCAAACGCAAATATACCCTTCATGGATGGGCTATGGATAAATTTTGAAAAGACATCATATCACATTACACCACATAAAAAAGAATACCACGAAAGATACAGAGAAAAACAAGGTCTTAAGTCAAGAACTCAAAGCACAAAAGTTCCTCTCTGTGACAGCACCAAAACAGGAAAACATCTACAATAAAATTGTAGAATTAGACAGCTTAGCTATTCAAAGCCCAAGATTTCATTAGTAATTCTCCTAACCGTCTGCCATACGATTCATGTGATGTTAGTTTGGAGAATTTGGAATTAGATCAACCGATAGTCCCCTAATTGATATTTTTTTCTATTCTCATCACTTGTCTGTTTGATATCGTCTGATAGGGTAAAGAGAAATTCTGTCTTGGTCACTAGTGGGACTTAAAGGGTTAATGCCATGATTCATCAAAAATAGTTTAAACAAGGTTTTAATGGAAGCTGATCAACCTAAATTGCTTGGTAGAACTATATTTAGTAGAAAGAGCCACAATTAAGTTGCACAATTAAGGCACCTGTAGATGAAAGTGAATAATAAGGTGTTGATTTGTAAATGTTGTTGATGCTTCTCATGGTTTTTTTTTTCTCTTTTAGCCGACAAATATGAAAAATAAACCCAAAATTTTCAGATGATTTAATCATAATTTAGAAAAATTTATTCATCACTTAGTTATTGGTTGCTGGAGTTTCCTGGTCTCTTTGAAGATAGACAAAAATAAAAATCGTGAAAAATTAATTACAAGAATGTTCCTAAGTACAAATTAGTTACAAAGGAACCAAACTACTGGTCACTTTTTAACTCAACATGAAAAAATGCCAATAACGTCTACAGACATATATTACAAGTAAAAATGCTTCAACATAAAACGCTAAAAAAAATCTTCATGAAATACTAATCGCTGAAGACATCATACCATGATAAGATCGCACGAAACTTACACATGCCACAAAAAATTCAATAACACACAAGACCATCCATGCGTACATGATACAAGTAATGTTCTACCAGCTAAAACAAAGACATTTCAGGTTGCTAGTCAAAAAACCAATCACGACATGTTGGAGTCTTGAACGCTTCATCCTCTATGGTTGGGTGTCAAAAACAAGGGTCACTAGAGATGAAGTTAAGGACTTAAATATGCCAAACAAAACAACTAGATGCTGACATCTGCAAGCACAGAGCAATCTTTATATTAAACTCTTTTAGTCGCAAACACCATCTTGTAGGATTTGTTACAGGGTGTGCAAGTTTTCTGGGGCGCATGTTGCAGGAAATATCTTAAAAACGTGTGCTCAGCGTGAAGGGGCAACTTAAAGAAAATGTGTTTGAGGATGTCACTTGAACTTCTTATAGTCACATTTTCTAGGTGTTTGCACGCTAGATAACTCATTTATAAAACAGACCACACATCTTTTATCTTCAAAACCGACCAATTGTTACAATACACAATTTTGAAATAATGGGTAAAATAAACTACATTAGGTTAAGAATCAATGCTAATTGATTTGACCACAAAACCACTCATAAGGGAACTAATCTTGCAAAGGATTTCTTCCTCATATGGACAGTGATTATTCATTGTGTTGTGAAAGATCAGTTGTAACTGCCGTACTATTGTAGGTTCACAACAATGTAAGAGAAATAACCAAAAAGTGTCAAACAAAAAATTGAATGCTTGTACTACTGGTTGATCCCCCAGGGTTTAAACACGAAATGATGTCAACAAAAGAAGCCGACAGATCACACTTTTTGGAAGCAATCACAAGTCTGTCGGGAACAAAATACGTGAAAACTCTTTTTTTTTCATCCAACAGAATCAATTTAAAACACTGCATGCGAAAAAAGTTTTCGTGCCGTGCGCTCGAAAGCGAAATTTTAATTACGTGACAAAATCCCATAACATGGAATTTGAATACATCTACGTGGCCATTGTGGTTTTGTTTGTCAAGAGTGGAACTATTAATGGGAAAAGGTTTAAGAATGAAATCCTACAAGCAAATGTTTCAGAGAATCGATTGGAAGACCCTTTGGAAAGTTTAGGAAAAAGAGATATTTTCCCCAATCGAAACTCGGTAAAATATAGCACACTCGAATTGTCAAATTTACAATAACAAACAATAAGCGTTGTCAAAAACGCCATTCTAAATTTCAAAAGGCATTCCGCGCTCTAAAAATCTGTTCGGCGCTCAACACGCAATTCGTGTTTTTCGCTAAAAAACATGGCGACGATGTAATCTTTCTCAAAAGTGATCGCGAAATGACTATATGCGTTCACGCTATCGTCTAGACAGCGAAGCAGACTAGAAAAAAAAATTATTCAGATGAGGCATTCTTGAATACTAATTAGGGATTCTGTTTACTTCTTGACTGAAGCACATTCAGAGGTATAAAAGCGGTTTTTGGCCAGAAAAATGGTTCCAAGCAGCGCGCGCGCGTGCTTCAAGTCTAGACGAAAATAAATTCACTTCCCAAAATAAATTAGAGGCGATGCAGACGACATTTCAGACGTTTTCAGACAAGAAACGTTCCAGCCAGACAATGACCACTAACCAACAATAATACTTAAACAAAACCCAGACAAAATAATTCTGCTGCCCCACACGAAAGGATCGCGACTCATTTGGCGTGATACGGGGTTCAAGCCGTCTGGTATAGAGTCTGGCAGGCCGTCCTGACAAAATCGCGCGAAAAAACCCGGCAAAATCTAAGCGACCTACAACTGGAAATTAAAAATGCAAAATAGCCGCTGGCTCGTTATCCAAACAATGACCAAGCTTAGAGGAAAACACTGGCGTGCCCACTCCCATGAAAATTAGCATTTCGCTCTTTGACATGTTTAACGCTAATGAATTTGTGCGACGAATGTAGCGTGAAAGAGCGAGTGAGCTCCGGATTTGTCGAACGGGAAGCGCGTTCACCATAAGCATTTTCAAAAGCATAAAGATAATGTTACGACTAAACACTCCGATGATTCGATCATATGTCGGAAGGAACAATGACCGTGAGTGAATTACAAAAATATTACCCCCGATCGAGATGCAACAGTAAACTCTGTTTTAGTTTCTAACGTGGCACGAAAATAAAAAAAATTTCCTTGGGTTAGCTTATCACCAAAATCGATGACAAAAAAATAATCTATAATTTGAGCCATTCTCACATATCAAGGCAGCGGTGTAAAAATTTTACCATCACGTACGCTATGCGTGCGTTTCAATTTTGGTCTCTTTGCCCTACATGACATCACACGATTGACCCAACATACACTACACTGTACCTAAAGAAAAAATAAAAAGAACATAAATACATGACTCTTACCGGCTGGACTACGTATCCGCTCATAGTGATACGGATTGACGCAGACACTCTCGTACTTCAGATCATAGCCGTATCGACAGAATTCTAGATGTTTCATCTCCATCTTTTGAATGTCGGGCCATCGCCATAGTCGAGCGTAAATCACATGCGGAAAGCCTTTGCGCTCACAAACTTGAAGTCTGCCATCTAAAGTTCTCTGAATCGTGACGCATTTTGACGACTTGGATCCTTTGGTCGTAATAGCAGTGATTAGGGAGTCGAGCTCTTCTGATTTCTTTCTGAGCTTTTTCACCAGAGATTCGATGGCTCTCTTTGCGAATTTCTCAGTTTCGCCTCCTTGGCGATGGCAAGTTGTATGACACATTAAATTCAACACAATACTTAGATTCGCATCGGCAGAGCTCGGACCTCTTTTCGGGGAAGCCGATTGCACTAAGCTTTTCTCCATTCCCCTCTCCCTGGATAGTCCTCATTTCATCGTCGATAGTTCAAAATTCAAGAAGGTTCCGTCCCCCAAAGTCCCACTATCTTGAACGTTCCTTCCAAACAACACCATATGCGCAGAACACGTTCAGATTCAATCTACTATGGTCATGTCATGGCGAGTCTCTTGCCCAATCACATCGCTCAGAAAACGATAGCAATTAATCCTTACACGCGTTCCTGTCAATCAAAATGACTGACAGGAAATGGTAAACAATGTATTTTCATGTTTGGTTACTTTCAAAGCGAAGGACATGGAAGAAAGTAGGAAATCCGATGGCAATAATATTACCGGGTGACACGTTTCTTAATGACAATTGTCCAAATAGAATAAGCTGATGTTTGTTCAGACCAAACGAGTTTTCACGGATAGACTGCGTCACAGCACGTTTTCACAAACGCAAAATTCTCTGTTTTTTTTTGGTGATACGCAATTACAAAGCATAAGTTCATCACCTCCCACTCGTTTTGAAATAAGACCTTGCCTGAATTAAATAAGTCACGTTTAACCTTAAAATTTTAAAGCTGTTGCATAATGGCAAACTGTGGAATACATGTTCAGTTGCCAAGCGAGGAAAAAGGGATAATTTTTATGCGATAACAATGAACATTTAAATTTTTTAAGACAATGTTAGACACGTATTTCTATCTCTTTCCCTAAATTCGGCTGGCGCCAAGAAATGTGAGAAATAAGTTGTCATGGTAGTATTTAGGATAATTTGTTCAGTCGCCCACGCATTCTCTCTTTGTCCATTTAATCAACGTAAGCTGGAAGATTATTGGAATAACAATAACGGTGCTCTTAGTGAGAGCTGAAGCAATATAAATTAACTAGGAATTACAGGAAAAGAAATAATTCTTTTGAATTTCAGTGCAATATCGGCTCCTCTGTCTCTATACAGGAAAGTGAATTTTTCCCCATTCATCAGTTCACCAATGAGTCGCCTAAATCCTCAAGGTGACTCTTGAAGAAATATAAATTTATTTGTCCCAGAGCTAAATTCTTATCTACGAAACGAAAATCAAACTGGCCTATCTGTCTCTCTATATTTGTTTCACCTGCATGTGTTAAATTACGCGGTATTTTTACACGCAATAATTCTTCGGGGCCAAAAGAAAACATTTCGTGCTCATTGAAAGTTTTTTTTCAGGTATGAAGATAATAAATCTAAGCCTGTCACGCGAACTGTGGCGTAAGCACGTTCGCGACGTTTTCAATCGCCGAGTGAAAATTACTCTAAGTCAAATTTGTGTTCTTTAATCGCGTTTTTGGGTGGTTCAATGACTGTTCCGACTCCTAACGTCTAGCCGTCTTGTTTGTCTGTCTGGAATTTGAGTATGTCTACTTTTCGGCCATGTTTTCGTCTCGCTCGGTGGGGGACTTGGAAGAATATGTCTGCACAGCTCCGCGGCTTGCGCTTGCGAAGCTGCAACCAACAACACTTAAAAAAAAAGGAAAACACAGATTGAACCCCGTAAAATGCATTATTAGCTAGCACGCTGGGCCTTTGTTTGCGTAAGGGAGGCGCCCACTCGGCAAATCAGCAAGTATCTAAATCCACAAAGTTGTTTGGGACAAAATAATTTATTGGGGAAGTGAATATGGCGGAGCTTTACAGGCGTGCTTAATATCAGCGCCCATTCTTTTTCTGTATGCTTCTAGCCATAAACTCGACAAGTCGTCTACCTTGATGGTATTGTTTTGCTTGTACCACGTACACCGGAAGGGAACATTTCCGGTGTTGCGTAACTGGACCTTGGAAGATGAAAAGCCCTGGAATGCGGCCCAAATGTCGCTTTACAAGTAGTACAACAAATGCATTTGAAGACCCATGATGACTCAATATAAACACATCGTTGATTACTTATACTGGAAAAAGGGAAAAATTGATTTAAGTATGCTAACTTGAGTTTGAGTTTCAATTGTGTGGAACTCGACATGTTATTTCTACTCTTTCATCTCGGCAAGTTTTACTCAATTCCTTTTTTTGCCTTCATTATTCAAAGATGCAATAGTGAGAATAAACAATTGCACTAGAAAAAGCAAAATTTCAAATTTCTTTGAATTTGCAAATTGTAACAATTTGCTTTCGAATGAAAATTAGCGAAAACAAAGAGGAGGCAAATTTAACGATCCGATTTTCCGAATTCTCCAGTCCCTGCAACAACAACAAAATACAAAAAAACACCATTGCTTCATGACCACCAGCAGCATAGGAAACTATTTCACAAGAATAGCAGTTTGTTCTGCTCAGCGTGCAGCATCACCCACATCCCTGCATGATATGTAACTCAGAGATACTTCAATTACAAGACTGCTTTTCACTTTCCAGAATACCTCTTAAAACTGGTTAAAATCAATGCCATTTTCTAAAAAACGAGGGGCAAATGAACAAAAACGAACTCTTGTAACATCCTCTGAATGTAACGACTTCATCAACAAAATCAAATCTCACGGGGCATACTAATGATATATATATTATGGAAAGATTTTTTTTTTGGACTTTGCTTATTTTAAAAAACTTATTTTGAAAATAAAACACCAATTCATCAAAATAATTAATTAGCAAATATTCTTCGAGTCCATTAGGTGTCAGTAACGAAAACAGCAATGACTTTCCTAAATTTTTCTCCGACCTTGAGCAGGTGACATTATTGTAAAAACAAAAAGATTCAAATGCTCGAATAAAACTTTTATGCGATCCGGCGATAAACACGTTTTGTAAAAGTTTAAAGAATTTAAAGAAATTTCAATATTCTCTTTGCAGCGCGAAGCAGAAAATAGTCCTTTTGATTTGAAAATGGCTGTTAAACCTTTTATGGCAAAGTGTACTAGTATCATCCTTGTCGGAAGTTTTTGTGAAAATGTCAGAGAATGCTGCAAAATAACATCTCAGACCAATCATTGATTTCATGGCGAAGTGGTCAGTGTTCCCTCAATATTTTAGCGAGTAACGTCCGTTAGAGACATGACAGCACTAATTACATTCCCTGACTTTTTACGCAAATCTTTGCTCCTCTTTCTGTGACTTGTCAGAGATAATAGGAATGAATGCATGGCGACATCTTGTCCTAAACAACAACATGCTCCCTCGTCAACGGGGCGCCACAAAATTTAAGTTTGTCAAATATCGCTCTTCTTCAAATAGAAACACCTGCTCCCTGACACGAAGGTCTACGGAGAGGAAATAGGCGGTCAACTTTTGCGTAGGATTCGCGGGCAACTTTCCCATAGTTCTTACATCACGTCCCATTAAATTGCTTTATGAAAAATCCATGTTTTTTTTGTCACGGAATTTCTCTCAAACTTCCTTTCTTTTGATGAGCGCTTGTTAAGTTCCATTTGCGATTTAGCAAAGTAATTAACGAGGAGCTTTTCACGAAACGGAATTTATTATCACCACAAAGTTGCAAGAGTACTTTGGTCCGCCTGCGGCAATTAATGTTGTACTCGAAAACCACGCAGAACCAATAACTTAGTGTCGTGAACGTTTTAAAACACACCATTAAGAGAAAAAGCTCTTATCCTAAACGAAAATTTATGGAATCGTAAAGTATAATGCGGAGCGCCACAAAAACGGAGAGAAAATTCTAATCCGCTTTTTAAAACCAGCCAAGTACGTGCCGACGACTAAGGAGGAACAAACTAATGTAACATTCGCGTGATGCTGGCTTTACAAAGGTCACTTTACACAGGTCACTTTACACAAGTATCAAACAGCCCTTTCATAAATTATTATCATTTTCTTAACTCAAAATTAAAAACAACCTCCAGTTGCTAGGTTTAAGTCTGTTATTCTCTCAGGTGCCTTCGAGGCCGCTCGCCCTCAATTATCCCCTTCATGTCGCCGATATTGTCAGCGATCTCAAAATCACAAGAATTAATTAAAATTTTAGTGCTATATTTTAACAAAGGTTTTAACGCCAAGAAGGGGTTTTGAGGAATCACACCAGCCAACCATGATTCTAGTTTGTCAAAAATGCGCTGTCTCAAAACACTGTCAAGCTGTTTCTAAGCGTCTTTATTTATTCTTCATTTTCAATAAAACTTCACTTCAGGCAATACCGTAATATGTACACTACATTTCATGTTTCACGCATTCGGCGCGTGTAAAATTTTTAAAAAACTCTGAACAATTTTGGGACTATAATTATTGTCATTATTAAGCTGCACTTCAGGGCAAACAAAAAAAGAAAAAGAAACCAAAAAACCAAAAAAACAAAAAAACGAAAAAAGGCAAGCAATTTTAATGAGTTCACTGAATGGACTAATTTCTGAGACATTTTTAACTTTTGCGGTTTGACTTCCCTGTGTTAGAAAAAAATGCGAACTAAAACTTTATTTCTTAATTATACAGCGTACAATCGATGTATATATTTATATATATATATTCCTCACAGTCTTAATGAGTAAGAAATTAAAGGATTTGAACCGGCCAAAAACTGTAGAACATTCCGTCAAGGGAAACACGTTAAATAAATAACGATAAATAAATTTCTGGTTGAAACACAAAATGTCTTCGCGTTAGTTCATCCATTTGCGGCAATTCGGGGCACCGCAAAGGCATGGAATCTTGTTTTCTTCATCTTCAAAGTCGAACTTGTAGTCATACGTGAGCTGCAAAAGAAAACGGTGAGTAAATAAACTTCACGCACAACGAAACATCTGAGGTACGAATCCAATTCATCTGGGAAACTCCTTTAAATATGAAATTTTTAAAGGAAACGTACGAAGTATAAAAATTTTTGTTTGGTTCAAATCACCCGTACATAATACTATCGAAAGTTCACTTATGATTCTGGGGAGCATTATCGTCGGTTTCAATACAGCGAAAAACCGCTAAGGAAACGTGACATACTTAAGTTTGTAAGGTACTTGAGGGAAATTGATGTCAAAGTCGGCGTAACCATCGAAGATAGCTTTAATAGGCTATACTTATTTAAAGGCGTTTCCCAATTTGTTTATATTTTCAGTTCCAAAAGCACGATGACATGTTGAAGGAAAGCAAGAGCGATATTGAAACACTAACCACAATATTTCTCAAACTCGTGTGAAACTCTTCATAATTAATACATTTTCAAAAATAAAATCTTTTGGCGAGTTAATCTTCGTTTTTCTATCAATGATATTTTTCAAAGTTTCTCAAAAGTGCTCACAATTTCAAATAAACCCAAAAGGAAAAAAATTAATCATCTTAAACTAGAAGCTTTTTCTCGTCAGTTTTTTCAAGTTTAACGGTAAATAGTGAATTCAACATCGACCTACACACCCGGACATGTAAAACAGCTGCACTCAAGTGAAGAGCTTCGAACAACGACCTTGTATAAAGTAGATATACCATCAACGAGATTACAACATTACCTCTTCTCCTTTTTCAACCTTCCTGTTGGAGATAATAATAATCTTTTGCTCCTTTTCAAACGTTACAACTTCAGCAACACAGTTTGGCTACGGGAAAAAACACAAAATACTGCCATGAGAAAAGCTGACTCAACACTTTCAAGTCAACTTAAGAAGTTTGCGTTTAATCATTTTCCGATCCTCAAATTAGGAATGTGTTAAACCTATCTTGGACATTTATGCCATAATTTGACGTTGTCTCATTTTCCAACAATATCTTACAGTGAGTGCAGTTTGGTGTTTCTCTCGCTAGCCGGAGAAATGACGTAAAAAAAGAGCCTTGGAGCGATTTTTCCGGTAACCAGAAATCAAGCGTAGTTTAATCCACACTGAAGTCCAAAAATCTTTGTCCGTTGCAGCTTTTTGCATTCAAGTATGATCCGCGTTCCTTTTCGGCTGAATCATACCTCTCGGAGATGTGCTACCTTAGCAAACTATAATGTCAGGGCTCATTCGACAAAGGCCACTTCAACTGAGTTCTAAACGAACAAGGCCAAAATGAACCCACAGCAAATCACAACCGAGGTTAAAATCTGACTGGTTGTTTTGTTTGTAGAGTACATTCTCACAGGTGCGCAAAAAGGTTCGGTGCGGAGCAAAAAAATGATTCACACTGCTGGGGGTCGAGACGCCACAAGATCGTTAGTGATCTGAAATGATTAAATCTGTAAAATTCAGACAAACTTGTAACTTACCATACAGGAGTGGTTGATGTAACGTGCTGGTCCGCCGGCCATCGTGGCATCTATGACTGCGTCGGAGTCTATTCTGAACATATACACACCACGATTCTACAACAAATAGAGATGACAAACTGCTTAGTTTTGGTTCACAAGGATCTTTAACCCATATTCCTCAAGCTACATACTTGGAAAACACACTAGGAAAGAGAAAACTGTCTCAAAAATAGAGGTTTCCCTTCAGAGAAGTTAGCAGATAAAAAGTCTTAGGAAACGTGTTCATCTTTGACTCCTAAGACTGACTAGCATCTAATATCTCCTTACAGTTTCACCCCTGAATCGCACATCAAGGAAACATGGATAAAGGAATGATCATCCACTAAAGAAGCCCTCGATTGCTAAACAAATTCTTTTTGTCAGCACCTGAGGAAATGTATAGAGAACAGTAGGGAGAATTTGCATACCGATTTCAGGGTGTAAAGGGTTTAGAAGCACTTCGGTGATGATGTGACGTGCAACACGATGACGTCAAAAGCCGTCGTACACATAATAATAAAAAACCTTACCTGCTTTTCGTAAATTTGCTCTCTTCTGTTTGCGACTTCGTTTCGAATAATAGAACCAATGTATTCGATCACCATGCTTCCCTGTCGAAGACAAACAACACTGTAATTAGTATCAAAGTTTGTACAAAAGATAGCTATGTCATCAGCTCTGATGGAAACAAAGATTTAACTAACCGCTTCCATGTCCTTGTTTGCAAACAGCCCTAGGCCCTGAAATAGGAAAAAATACCAACTCTAATTATCTGTGTGTCACTGTTAGATTTTAAGTGCAACCGCGTCAAAAGGGACCTCTTAGAACCGATCATAACAGAGGCTCGCATGTTAAGATTTATCAGGAGTTCAAATAATTTTTGTCCATTCCGTAAATTTCGTCCTGGCGGTCTTCTTCAACCCTTTTACAAATTAGTAGGCAGCACTGCACGAACTTAAATAACAGAAACCTGTTTAAATCTCCTGTGCGTTGCGTCTGACTATAGCAAACTTCCACATGGAGTTTTTACAAGGAGGATAAATAGGCTTGCTTAGATTCAAATAGTAAATGCGATGTCTATTTTCGACCATTACACATAGTGTAAAGCAAGCAGAAAGTATTCGCAAGGTGTGACAAAGGTGTTGTACGGGCATTTTGCAGACGTTCCATGTACGAGAAAGTGGTGTGCCTGAGGTTCACAGATTTAGTTCTTAATCTTAATTATTATTTGAAAACGATATATCTGTTAGGTGGATAAATCATAAAAGAGAGGTTCCAACGTATATCGTGCTCACGACTATGGGACCGTTGCAATGTTTATATTTTTTTTACCGCAACAGTGAATCGTCGGTGAATATTTCTTACTTGAATATTCGACCTTCCCAGGAACACATTGGTTTTCCATTCTGTTTTAAGCTTGCGGTATTGTGTAGCCTTGGAGTAGACAAACTGTTTGAGGTACAATCCGGATGACTCTTCTGAGTTTCCTGCTCCACCAACAGTGGCCGCGGGCGACACTGCTGAACCAGAACTTGTGGCAGATCGAAGGGCACGTGCCCTGAAACGACAGAAATATATAAGATATCAACACACATATCTTTTCTTCTTCGAATCGTAAGGCCTCCAACTCCCAGAGGTATCTGACGCCGGGATCAGCTATTAACGTATCATAGAAAGAACAAGTTTAAAGTGATCTCAGAAATCTAGGATCGCTTCAGTTTTGCTTCAATTCGCTCTGTGATTGGTCCACAAAAATTCACACCACATCCTAAACCAATCAGATGCAAAACTAAAACCACCCGCGACTTAGTCGCCCGCGATTTCCCACGCTTTAGGCCGCTGAGTTGTTTCTACTTTGAGTTCTTATTAGCTCTTAAGAGCATTTTCCTTTCCTCAAATTGGTCGTTATGATTAATTTGGTTTGGGTTTGATCGAAAAGCGCTCTTGGGAAAAATACTGGCATGACATAGAGTAAAATAATTAAGGTTTTAACCGCAGGAACCCTCTTGGTGTCCCGAGGTAGGTCCTTGTACCTTGCGCTCTTGAAGTGCGACTTCAGCAGGGGCTCGGATCTAGCACTGCCCGTGGGGTTTACCGCCAGCGGCAGCTCCATGATGGGTGACGGGCCATAACGCATGTTATATCCCTGCATTTGATCAACACCAGGCATCTAAAAACACGTGTATAAAAGTAAAACATGGTTAACAACAGTGAAAACTGTACTATACCGACAGCTCAGGGACTCTCGCTTATGACCAACAGAATACATTAAAAAAAAAAAAAAAAAAAAGGAACAACAACTGCAATTCGAACCAATGCTACCGTCAACTGAAAGCCATACTCAATAACAGGATCATGAAAATGCTACTGGATACTAAATCATCTCAGGGTCTGGTCCCTTACGCTCCGTATTAAAATAATGAAAAATATAAAAAAAAAAAAGAAAGAAAAAAAACCAGGTAGACAATTAAGCTCCTCACCGACTCGATGATCCGCAGAACATACTGCTCCGACAAACCAAACAGATCCTAAAATGAGAGAGAAAGTCAGTGTTTTGAGTAACAGATAAGAGAAGGACCTCAAATTTGTATCCATGAGTTCCACAGTCAGGCAAAATCGGACAGCAAGAGACATGACGATTTTACCCAATAATAAATCCCTTCTTAACTCACCTCGCCAGTGATGTACTGAGGGAACAGGTTCACTAAACCAGCTTCTTTCCTCATTTTCAAAATAGGAACAAGAATCTGCTGCCACACATCTGTTTAGAAAAAACAATGGAAAAAAGGTCTTTTCATGTCAATATTTCAGATCGCCAGATATTTGGAATTACGAAAACAGCAAATACTGTTTCATCATTGATATGTTTTTGCTAAGAGGGAAAAAACTATGCCCACTTGGTACCCTGTTAAGCCTTTAACTCCAGAAGTGATTACGATTTTAACATCTATACATTATCCAGCCATCAGGAAATGAGAATACTCAATCTTATCAGGTAGAAGTTGTTGCCTTGATCTAACACCAAATCAGTTCTCCCTACTAATTATCAAAGAAATGTGTAGCAGCTTGAAGGGAGAATTAGCAATCAGATCTTGGGAGTGAAAGGGTGTGGTGTAAGGTTTCCAATTTACCTCTGGGTGTTTTTCCTCTGAACACCGGTTGCTCATTGTGTCCATCGTCATCAACCCTGATGGTAAAACTTGGCGAACCTTCCGCGTCTTCAACCACACAGTGATATTTACAGCGGCGATTCACAGAGTACATGCTCCAGTAGAAACGGATTGTTTTGAAACCAACCTGAGGCAACAAGTCTGAGTAAGTATTAAGCGAAGAGCACTCTGACTAATGTTCGCAAATTAAATTGAAACAAGAATCGGACTAAAAATAGTTAAATAAACAGAGAGAAAAGAAAGGCGACGGGCATGTTGATAAATAAGATATCACTTACCGGATACACGGCGTCTCTAGTGTGGAACGACTGTAGCTGATGAGGCAAAAGTTGTCCCAACGATTTCACCACCAAGCTTCCCACGCGTAATGTCTGTGGCTTGTCGCTGGTCTCTTGATTGTGACGTAACATACTAACAGGAAAAAGGACGCAGGTCAGAAGGCGAATAGGGTTGGAGGGGGAGGGGGGAGGAGGAAGGAAAGGGGGAAGGGAAGGGAGCAAGCAGCGTATTTAGATTAAGTTTTGTAAAACAAAACCACAAGAAATTACAACAGCTGATCAGAGCAAAGGAAACTAGAAAATAATCCTCTGATGACTCGACATGAACATAAGAAAATTGCCTGAACCGCGGACAAACGTGAGCGACGAAGTTTGGCCACGGAAAGGCTAAGAAGGAGGCGCAAGTTTTCTGGACCAATCACAAAGCTTAGTTAAATCAAACCAATGTAATCCGAGATTGCTGTTGACAATTTTTTACAGTAAAAGTGCCTATAAGTATTGGAACGATAACTACTCTTTCAAGAAGAGTATGAATACAAAGAATCTTCAAAGACGCTTCTTAACTTTACGAACAACCAGCCGAGTTTCGGCAACAAAATTTTGACCCATCAGTAATTCTTCAACTTAAAAAATCTGCCTTGCTAGAAAACATTCTCCTCATTGAGCTTACCTGGCGATCTGTTGAATCTCGTCCCTGTTTACATAAACTTTTCTAAACACGGCATAGGTGGTGAGTATATGGTCTCCGAGCGATGCAGCTTCTGGTCTATGTTCATGACACAGCATGGTCTGACAACAGGGAAATGAGCAAAATAAAGACACAATTTAACGCAGCTGTTGAGGATCTTTTGCTAAATTAACCACTATGTCGTGTAAGAACCGACTCCTTCAACTGTTTAAGTCATTTAAAAGTCTGTGGAACCAACAAATCAATGAACTTTATAACCACTCGCAAAATTCTACTTGGACATTCTAAGTACAGAACATACGCCTACCTTGTCCTTTAGGAACAAACAACCTTTAGAGATAGCACAACTGAAGTGATAATTGTTTGGGCAGCCGATCTTGGACAGGCCAATCTTCTGCTTACACGACACTGTAGCGCCTCTTTTATAGCAAACCACACAATTCTGTTTAAAAAAGGAAATGCATTAGCAGTTATGGCTTCAGTAACGAAACTGATTTCTGGTGATGAACCATTCCTGATTTTATTTATTTTATCTGCATTTGTCCACTTGGAGAAAGGAATAAAGGAGGTTAAGTTATCTTCAAGAAAAACCCTTCAACCCTTTAAAACCTAACATCAGTATATATTTTCTCTATAATGTCCTATAAACATTTCCTAAGACGCTGATAAGGAGAACGTCTTACATAATCAAGAACTTCCTCAGTTGGTGATCATATCCTTTTTTCTTGTAACCTGAATGTGTGATTCAGGGATGATGTTGTAAGGAGAAATTAGATACTGGTCACTCTGATTTTCTTTTGCCCTGCAGCTCACGACACTTACCGTAACAGTTCCTCGCTTCACAGCCACTTCGACATTCATCAATGCGCCATTTAGCGTTTCGTAAACTTCCAAGGACCAGAGAGCACAGTTGAGATGGACCCACACGTCTACGTTCAGATTCAGCAGCCTGAAAAGGTAAAACTCATTAGTATCATCGTTACCTTTAACTACCACGTCACTCGTCCATAACTTTAAAATAGCTCTCTCCGTTTCGCTTCGCGTTGTAACCAAAATCGACACATCTGTTCCCATACAGTTGTTTCTTAGCCCCAGTTACTAATCAGGCCAAGGATGGAGGATGGAATGTAAGTCAAAAGCCAGCAGAATATCCTTACCGGGCTGATGCATTGTTATCACCGTCTCCTTTCGCACCGCAAAGAGTGCACCTCCTAAGGTCATCCACTGCATTGGCAGGGGGCTTCAGTGATCCGTTGTGTTTCTCCAAAAGCTACAAAATAACCAGAACCCAGATTGTAAGGGGCGGTTACAGAACGGAGTTCCAAGGCAATGATACCTTTACGTACCTCAGCTGATTCCTCTGGTGTCAACTCTATCCGTTGTTTGTTGTCGCTCTTAGCTTCCTCGCTCTGTTGCCATCTTTTCCACCGCAACCGACGTTGTCGCTTAGAAATCTTCGCCTGCAAACAGAGCAGCCCAAATTATTCTCGCGAAAAGTGGGGCCCAAGATAGAGTCAACCCTGCCCAAAGGACATACTTTGACCACTCCAATATTCCAGGAACAAAATGGTAACATAAATAAGCAACAGCTCAAAATATTTTGTACACAACTCAACTTACCTCTTCATCTTCGTCTTCATCCTTCCAGCTGGGACTGCGTATTTTTCGTACAGATGTCGGCGGTAATCCATCAGCCACGAGGCTCCCCCGTGTCTCCACATCACTCACCGTCGTTACGTTCCCGGCTCCAATACTTGGCTGACCAACTGACGTCACAGTCGCTTCTAAAGGAGGATCTCCAACAATGAGGTCTGGTTTGCATTCCCGAGTGGGCGAGGAACACGCGGATCCGAAATGCGCGAAATATTGTTTTAAGCAAGCTTCCGAACAGAAAATGTCCCCTGTACAGTCGCCAGCTTCGACATTGACTCCGTAGATTTTATAGTCTGCAGCATCAGGTTGTGTCCTATTCAATTCATTTGTTTCCGTAGTCTTTCCACTCTCTTCTTCCGGTTTTCTTTTTACCCCAATACCAATTATCAAAACGTCACAATGCCTACAATATGGACCCTCGGGTTTTTTGCGCGAGGGCTTTTCCTCGCTGGGTGATAAGCTCAGCTGCGAACACGAAAAGGGCTGTTTTTGGTAAATGTCAGATGACGTATGACTCCTTGGAGCTATAGAATTACTTAAACTATCTCCACCTGGAGTTGTCAATGAGTTGGTCGCCATAAACCCTTTGGTAGCAAAGCCTTTTCCTGCAGGCTCAATAACAATGTCCGAGTGCCTGGGTGGAGAACAACCTATCAATTCTGCTACTGATGCTACAGTTTCTGTGACTCTTTGCTCAGATGTAGGCGACAGAGTTAGTGTCACATTTATACTATCCAAATCGTCAGTATCATTCCCAAGCCTTGACGAGTGGTGCGCTTCTAATTTACACGTAGTTTGCACAAAACTGCCTTCCGGAAAATTGCCACAAGATTGACCGCATGAAGCTCGGTTATCAAGATAGTGCTCCACCTGCTCGCGTTTGATTGCCACTGCCGGGAATGTTGGAGAGTCGGTGCTGTCACGATGCACCAGTGCTGAAAACTGAGGGGTCTGAACTCTGTTGACCGCGTCTGACTCTGGAGATGAAGAAGCTATGTATTGAACTGGTTCAGGTGAGGTCGAGGAAGAACTACTGTGAGACTCTTTACCATTGGCTTCTGCGTGCTCTCCGGGGAGATGTCCTCCAGATGATATTATTTCAACTAATCGATCGCTAACGGTTGCTGCTGAATCTGAGAGCGGCGGAGTGGGCATCGACGGAGGAACACTGACGCCACCTTTACTAGTTTCTAAGGCGCCCGTATACCGAGCTCGTTTGGCTTGATGTTCACTATCACGGCTGCTTGCTGATGGTTTGCTTAAATGAGGCAATTCGGCTCCATCGCGTTCTTCGGGCGAAGCATCTCCATTAACAAGAGGTTTTCCACTAGAATCTGTCCGGTGTTGATGAATTCCTGGTGATGGCGGAAGAGATGAGGGTGGGGTGGGTGGATGTCCCACCACAATGTCCATGTCAGATGATGGAAACTGTGCATAATAATCCACCATGCCATCCACTTTAGCAGATCCAAAATTTCCTTTTAGGAGACACTGCCCATTGAAAGCCCTGCTACCATATGGATGTGTTAAAGCATGGGTCAAAAGCAACTTCGGTTCACAAAGGGAAAGTGGTGTGGCTGGTTTGAGATCCCTGTGTGCGTTATTAGGAGTAGAAATCTTCAAGGAGTTGGTAGCATTGTTCTCGATGTCCGTCTTCTGTTTGGTGCGGCTGTTTGCATTGATGTATATCCTCTGCCTCTTCCTCTGCTCTCTTATCATCTGTTTCTGGATACGAAGTTCTTTCTGGAGCTCACGTTTCTTCTTTTGTTGTTCCTCGTACTCACGTTTCTTCCGCTCATATTCTTGCCTACGCAGCTCCTGAAGCTTTTTCTTCATGGGGTCTTCTTCCTTCGGCTGTGGTCTCCTCTTTACCGGGCCCTCTCCGCTAGAGTGCGAATTCTTTGACCGACTCGACGGCTTAGGTGTTTTTGCAGGTTTCTCACCATTCGCTGGACGAGCAGGGTTTGATGGGATATGTCCCTGTTGTTGGTTACTCTGATAATGGTCGAGAGCTTGGGGTATCTGTCCTACTGTTCCATGCAGAGCCTCAGGGCCAATAGCACTCGCTACATTTGCTATTTGTTGGGATAACGGTTCTAGGCTGTTCACGGGGGCAGCGCAGTTAATTTGCTCTGCCACAGGTCTATGCTCACCACCTGAAGCTAAAGGTATCTCACCATTACTAGTGACGACGGGTGCCACATCATTTACTAAGGGAACAGCATGAGTAGTCTTGACTGGAGATGCGACACTTTCGATGGTCTCGCAAGTGGATGGAATTAATTCAGGGACAGCTGTCTCAATTCTTTGATTGGTTAACGAATCATCGTATTTATTAACATCAGAAACACGCGAGACACCCGCTTGTTCGCTTGGTGTCGGATTTTGTTCTGTTTCCCTTGGTTGGGTGTCTTGGACAGCACTGGTTGTTTCGTGCAACATATCGTGCCTAGGTTCTTCAACAACCTTTTCTTGATCGGCTGCTGGATGAGCATTACTTGAGATACGATCTAACTTTTCGTCTCCATTCGTGTTTGTAACATTACAGGCAGTTAGTTTACTTGAATCTGAAGGAGTCAGCCCTACTTCTTCTGCCTCATGTTCTTTTCCTGCCGCACGTTTCCCCAAATCCGTAATTTTGTTGCCTCCAACCGCTGGTTCACTGGAAGCAGATTCAGCGAAAAATGTCTGACGTTCCTTTCGTCTTTCCGTTTCCTCAAGCAGAGGTGAAATAAGGCTCTCTTCGTGACACTCCAGAGACGCTACAGAATTCGCCTGAGAACCATTGTCCACAGCTTTAATTGGAGATAACAAACACTGCTCAAACTGAGTTTCTTCTTCCATGAAGTCTCTTTCGTAGATCCTGTCCATTTCCGGATCATAGACATCGTCATCCAAAGGCAAATGGATCCGTTCCAATTCACTCTGCTTTTCCAGTTCCTTACAGGCTTCCTCCTCGGTTGCCATGTCTGCAACCATTGACTCAAGTTTTTGTAATGCTTCAAGTCCAGTCCCATTGCATGGTTGTTTACTCTTATCAGCAGACTCACTAGAATCGTTTCGTGCGGAAGCTGGAGTTTCGCCGTCTGTAGTATTCATCTTCTCGTTCAACATATTGGCATCACTTTCTTCATTCCTTGCAGATGGCGCATTACAACTATTGCTCTCGCTGCTGGCTGAAAGAGAGTTCATTTCGATACATTGCCCTGTAAATACTTCCTCTGTAGGTTGTTCTTTCACCTCCTGCACTGCAGGACCTTGGTCTTCATCTTTACCATCAGGACCTTCATCTGCATCAGCACCAGTGGGGCCAGTATATCCGGCACTTTGTTGAGCGTCGGGCGTTTGAGGAACAGATCCTTCGGATTCCAGCATTTCCTGCTTTATAACTTGCGCTTGCTGAGATAGAGTGAGGCCCAAGCCCTGGGGATTTTGCTCTGATGAAGAAGAATTAGTCTGTTGCTGTTGTTGGAGATCCACCTCTGGGAGAACATCAACTTCTGCTGTCTTCTTGCTGCGAGGTTTTCCGGGCTTTCTGGTGCCAGGTGTTTTCTTTGCTCCCCCTCTGCCCCGACCTTTGCTTTGTAGCCCCTGAAACTGATCACTGAAGGGGTTGTTTGCTTCAGCAACGTAACGAACTTCTAGTTGCTTTTGATGGATCGGGTGTTTACCAAATTGCTGAAGATAATGCTCAGGCGTTGGGAACCTCTGTGAAAAAGAATTTTGATCTGTAGTATGGGGATATCCTGAAGGAACCTGAGCACTGGAGGATAGGGGCATCTGAGGTCCTGGTGTACCAGGTGGGAAAGCAACTTGCGAATCAGCTCCTGGTCGTGGCCCTTGCGAAAGCTCTGGTGTGTGTGACAAAGATCGCATTGGATGGGCACCATCAATGGATGGCTGTGCTAACATTCCTGGGTGTTCAACTATGTTTTGCTGAAGAGGCACTTGCGGCTGTTGCCCAGGTTGTTGTAACGGCATTGTAGGTTGTACACCTTGCTGTTGACCCTGTTCAACAAAAACTCCTGGATTCTGCTGCATCAACCGATGCCGCTGTTCCATCTGTTGGTATATTTGTTGCTGGAGCACTTGCTGTTGACGTTCAAGATCTGGATCATTGGCTTGCGGTTCTGACTTCTTAGATTTCCTCTGTCGTGGTTTCGACTGTTTTCCCTTTGGTGGCTGCCAATCAATGGCAGGGCTTTGCTGTCCAATCGGGGATGGCTGAGGTGTGTCCCTACTTTTGGACCTCGACCTCGACCTCGACCTTGGTTTCTGTGCGGGTCCCTGGAAAAAAATAAAAAAAAAATAAAATAAATTTTTTAAAAATAATAATAAATAAATAAATATATATATATATGTTGACCACTGATACAACTAAGCTAGAAACAAAACAAAAAGTCTATGATGCTTCATCAGTCTTGCCATGAAATGTGACGGAAAGTTAATTTTTATTTTAAGCATACAGCTCGTACCTTTTCAATAACAGGCACCCCAGGCTGTAAAGGGCCCTGAACACCCATGACAACAGGCCTCACCGGAAACACTCCCACTTGTGTTGGCACTGGAGGTCCTTGTGGAACTCCTGCAGGCCATTGGGGAGCTATGAGTGGTTGCTGCTGAACCTGCTGTGGCTGTTGTTGAATTGCAAGCTGTTGATGTACTGTTCCCCCCAGCTGCAGCTGCTGTTGTATAAGTTGCATTTGTTGCCAGTATTGTAACATGCGTTGTTGGAGAGCTTGTCCTTGTGATTGGACAGTCATTATCTGACCTGCTAGTACAGGGTCTTGTCCTCCAGCCTGGTGCTGTTGTTGTTGCAACTGTTGGTACCGCTGCACAAGAACTTGTCTTTGCTGTTGCATTTGCACAAACTCCTGCTGTGATACCAAATACTGCTGCTGCAGCAGCAACTGAGGATGAGGAGGTGGTACCGAATTTACTTGGCTGGTTACATTGTGTGGCTGAATAGGCGCTGGGTTGGTTTCAAGCAAGGGTTCAGGTTTACATTGGGGTTTCCCTTCTTGATGGGACACTTCTTTCATGTTTGCAGCTCCCTCCAATTTGCTGGAGTCAAGAGTTTGAGCAACTGCCACCTGCTCCCCTTGTGTTTCAATGCAAGCTTCTTTTTGTTCTCCAGAGCATCCCTCTGATTCATTTCCACCTTCACACTTATTCTCGTTTCCTGCATCAAAGCATATTTTATCTGAAGGGCTATCAAAATTTACATTGGCTGAGGCAAGGTCCTTTACGACATCGTAGTCTTCACTGGCCTTCTTTTCCCCACAGGTAACACTAGGTAGCTCTTCCCTCTGAATGGCTGTGGTGTCATAATCGTCAGACCTTCCCGGTATGTGCGCACTAATATCTTTAGAGTTTAGGCTGCTAGTCTTCTCATCATAGTTGTTTGTGGCTCTTGTACCATTAACCTCTCTACTTTCCTGTTCGCTCTTACTGTCTCTACTACAATGGTCTTTCTCATAATTAGTGTTCTCTAGCTTCTCGCCTTCCACAGACTCAGGAGATGTCTCAGCAGTACTACCGGCAACCTGGTTTGTTCCACTTGTACTAATATCTTTTCCTTTGGTCACTTGCTTTTCATTTTCTGTTCCAGAGCCCTCAGATTTATCAGGGAGTTTTTCAGTTTCAGAGTTGGTATGACTTGACAACACAGTTGTGCCATTGAGCTTCTCATCATCCACACTCCCACTGACTTCACCGCTACTTTCCCCTGCATTAGCCTTTCCTGCAGCAGGACTCGCTCGAGGGGAGCTCCTATGGGAAGTTTCCTTTTTCTGCTGCTGCATCAACATTTGTTGCTGCAACTGCATCTTGTAAAGTTGCTGCTGTTGACCAATGAACTGTCCATCAAGTCCCCCGTATGGCATAATGGGCTTCAAACTTGGTTGGACCATAGACGTTGGCTGTCTCAAGCCAAATCTCTGATGAGGAACTTCAATGAAAGGGCCTACAGCATGAGCACTTCCAACTGGGATCCCTTGTTGCTGTTGGAGCTCCTGCAAAACCTTGTCATATTGAACAGTTTGCTGGCCTATGTCTTGCCGCTGCGTCATTCTCCTTTGATATTCAGCGAGCAATTGCTGTTGAGTCATGTCTGGCATTTGGGGACGTATCTGTTGAGCAAACTGTTGCAACATTTGAGGGTTGGATGAATCCATTGTCAGTACACCTGGTGGAACAACTCCTTGACCACCTCCAGCAGCAAGTTGCTGTTGAATCCAAGCTTGGTGCATCAGTTGAGCTTGCATCTGCATCTGTTGCTGTTTTTGTGCTTGGCGCTGGCGATAGAGAAAACGAAGCCTTTCTTGATGTTCCTCTTCTGTGTCAATTTCAGGCAAATCTTTGGTGTTGATAGCTGTATTGAACCGTGCCCTTGCAAATCCTGGTTGGATAGCTGCATTCTGTTGCTGCTGTTGTTGTTGCTGCTGCTGTTGTTGCTGCTGATGATGCTGCTGATGTTGAAACGCCTGTTGCTGCTGAAGCATCTGAAAAAACTGCTGCTGTTGGGCTCTTATGAGTTGGTCTCGTTGTTGTCGCTGAACCATGTCCTGCTGTTGTTGTGGCTGTTGCAGTTGACTATCCTGAGGTTGATTTGAAATGGGTTGGTTGGTAGGAATATTGGGTGGCACTTGGATAGGGATCTGAGGTGGAGGTTGAAATGGTGTCTGAGGCATTGCCACGTGTGTCGTTGTAGGACCATGTACCTGGTGAGGTTGAGGCGGTTGTGGGAATGTGACCATTGGTTGTGTCTGTACTTGAGATGGTAACTGGCCCTGATGTAGCCATCCAGCACCCAGTTCGTATGGCTGTTGTGGAATAGTAGGTGGTTGCTGGGATGATGGCAATGGGGGTGGAGGTGGTGCCACCGGAGGAGGTGCTGGAGCTGAGGAAGGAACTACAGATTGAGAAGGATGAAGGTCATGAGCAGCAGCCACCTGAGCTCGAACTTGTGACAGTTCCTCTTGCCAATGCATAACAGGAATTTGTTGTGGAGGTTGTTGCAATTCCATAGCTTGCTGCTGATGTTGCTCTGTGGGTTTCAATGCCACTTGCTGTGGCACTGAAAAGGGAACTGCCTGCAAGGAGTCAGTTACAGCTGGTTGGTGCACTATTTTTCCACTATCAGAACTCAATGGTTGACTTGGCATTGGTGCTTGAGATGAAGGTATTGCAGGCACATGAGCATGGGACCACTGTTGTCTCTCACTGTTAAAAATGACTTGCTCATTGTTACCAAAGTTATTCTGAGAATTCTGTTCCTGCCGGACCCCTTCTTGTAAAGGTCTTGTGTTTTGTTCAAGTAACAAGACTCTGCCTTGTGCATTTTCTATCCCCGATTGATCTTGTATTGTCTCAGGTTGCAAGTTGTCACAACTCCATATATTATGCTTAGAACCTTCATGTGCCTGTGAAACTTGAGTTAAACTCAGTGAGCCATTACTTTGTTTCTGGTCTTGAAGTTGACTGCAGCTCTGTGACTGTTCCCACATTGATTCCTCAGCAGGGTGCACTGTCTCGTTCCCATGTTCCTTATCCCAAAGCGAAGGTCTCTGGAACTGGTGGTTAGCACCTGCCTGTGCAGAATGGATGTCACCAGCATTTGAGTTCGGGGGATGATGACTAGGATTCATGACACTTCCATCACTCTGGTTGTCTTCTAACAATCCATTGCCTTGTGTATCGTAAGGAGTCAAAAAGTCAAGAGACGGTTCATGTTGATATTGACTAGTAGATGCCAGGGCGTTTGCATTAGCTCTGGGTGCTGACGAAAACGAAGGGCCAGCAGGTAATACTTGTTCTTCTAGTCTACTTTCAGGTCCATCAGGGGGTGCCACGCTATTTTGAAAATTTGGCGAGTCGTGTGAGCCACTTCCAGATTTGTCAGAGGCCTTAGAAGCCTGCGCAGAAGCCCGTCTTCCACCTTTAGATAAACGCTTTTTCTTCTGTTCATCGGGTACTTTAGTTCCTTTTGCTTGCTGTTGTTTTTTGAGTTCCTGTCGAAGCAAGACATTTTCCTGCTGCTGTTGCTGTTGTTGACGCTGTTGCTCCAAAGCTCTTCTCTGCTGGAGGATTTTCCACTGCCGCTCTTGCTCCTGTTGAATGCGTAGTCTCTGCTTTCTTAATTCTTTCTCTCTCTCTTTTTCCTCTTTACTTTTTTTCCCTTTGTTACTCGTAGTTTTGCCTGAAGACTGATGACCTGCCATAGTTGCTGGAATCACAGGTCCAATTGGCGGGTGACCCATCACTTGGCTGAACGTGGGTGTGGTGGGTGTGGTCGGGGTCAAGGGGCCAGGAGTGCCAGGAGTCACAGGTGTAATCGACCTTGCAGGTGTGCTTGGTGTTAGGGGAACTGGCATAACACTATTTACTGGAAGCATTGGACTATCTGTGACTGGACAAAGAGTCGTAGACGTTGAACGCTGGTCATGCTGATGTAAGAGAGATTGACCTTGTGAAGATTGAGAGGGCAGCTGTTGGTGCTGCAACATTTGTTGCTGTTGTTGTTCAAGTTGCTGCTGATGCAGTTGTTGCTGTTCTAACTGCTGGTGCTGCATTTGCTGTTGTTGTTCCTGTAACTGCAGCTCCTGCTGCTGTTGTTGTTGTTGCTGTTGCTGCTTTAATTGCAAGGCCTTCTGAGACTCTAACTTTGCTTTCTCCTCCTTTTTTGCGATCAGCTGCGTAAAAAAGGAAAGAAATGTAAAACAAAATTAATTATCTAGTTTATAATCACACTGCAGACAGAGGTGCTCAGCACGACGACTTAGCGCCTTTTTTCTTTCCAACACTATTCTTCTAAGCATTTTTATCACATTCACTCCAACTTCTACGTCCAGTTCTTATTTCTGCGTATGTATTCAAAATGGCGTATCTTTAGGGTATTTTCTCAATCTTCTTTTAGAAAAGTTTAAACCCGTACTGGGGTGCACAATATAACGTCCTGATACCATGACACTTAGAAATGTTTACCTACCTTTTTCCCCTGATCTTTCAGTCGGACACGGTTATCCCTCGCCTTTAACTGCAAAATAGATTACTTTGCATGAGACTCTAAACAAACGACAAGGCCTGCGTCTTTAGTGTGTAGTACGTCTTGTTCGATAAAATAAGGACGCTCTGATCAAAGTTACTACAGTCAAACCTGTGTTAACTCAAGGGGAATAACGCTAAATACAGGTTAGTGTGATGCTAGTGTGTAATATTTGTCCAAACAGTGCAATTCTAAGAAAGATAATTTGCAATAAGTTGACGACATTTCAACTCAAAGAACAAACAGTGACTGCAGGAGATAAACATGGACTAAATTTAACTTGAGAGATAATTCCTAATTTTGTTTAAGAGGTTCGGCTATAAGTGACCGTTCAATACAGGTGAAAGACAACAACAACAACAACAACAACAAACCAGAACGCGTTATAGAGATGACCGCTTAGCCCTTTCCACCCTAACATCAGTATGCATATTCTCCATACTGTTCTCTATACATTTCCTTAGCTGCTGACAGGGAGAATTTGTTAAACAATCAAGAGCTTCTTTATTTGGTGATCATTTCTTTTATTCTTGTTACCTTGATGAGTGATTCAGGGGTGATAATGTAAGGAGAGTTTAGATGCTGGTCACTCTTAGGGGCTAAAGAGTTAATACAGGGTTACCACTTTGTATAGCACCGCTTAATACTGGTTTGACTGTAAACCAGAGTCAGACCAAATAACAATATCGCCAACAACCAGAAGAGATGTCCACCAAAACATCGTCCTAGCGTTTCATGAGAAAGAAACTTAACTTACCCTGTAAGGTTCCCTTTGCTCGACTGAAAGTTTTCGCCAAAGTCTTGCTATTGCTCTGTACCTGTTGGGCCAGTCTACAACAAATTGAAAAGAAAGGACTCATGTAATAACCACCACTAAAGAAACAAATTAACGGCCTTACTTGGGAGAGTATCCTACAATATCACAACCGCCGAGTTGATGACGCCTCCAATTACGATAAAATGACGCGCCACACACTATTTGATTAAAGACAACAACTAATTGAATTGATTGTCTGCAGCATCATCTGTTTTAGAATTTTGCTCGGTAAATCATGTTTTGTGTCAAATGGGGTTTCAACTATGTGAAAATCTAAATAACATGTGAAATTAGGTTAGAGGCGAATGAATGAAATGAGAATCCAGCATGAATAACATATCTTCGAATATAACCATTTTAGACAACACAGTAAGACCAAGCCAAAAACGGATCCACGTCAAAATTTGCATTTCTATCCACACTTCAAACCACACCCAAAGAAACGTGCATTTAGTTCACTCTTTTGACCTTTTTCGCTAAGCGTCACTTACCTGGATACTCCTGCTTCAGGTTAACGTGTTCCAAGTTGGCATATAATACCGGCGATATTGTTGCAGTTGCCCCTAGCTTTTCGTCATCTTCCCATTTCTGCTGTTGTTTCATCGGGTCTACCCGTGGGCTGGGAGGTCTGCGCCTCTCCCTTGGTAAATCATCCAGATCAAATTCATTCCCTCTAGGGAATGTACTGTTGTGGTTGAAACCCAGTTGACCCTGTACAACGGAATTAGCGAAGCCATCGATGTGATTCTGAGGGCCCCGTTGATAAGCCGATCCTCCACTCTGAAAGTGTGTTGTACCAGGATTGTAACCCTGATTGGCAGTGCCTTGGTTGAAAACACTAATTGGATGTTGGCTTGCTTGAAAGCCGACACCATGACCTGACACAGAGTTAGCACTCTGAGGTGGAAACTGCTCCTGCACGTTGGCCACGTTGTTGTCCATTTCAGAATCCAGAAAGCTCAGCGGTACAATGTTCATTTCTCTTTCAATATCCATGAAGATCTCTTCCACTTCCTGCCCATCAACGTGAGGTAGGATGTCTCCTGTGTTGCAAAGAATATCAAGGTCGTTTCCCTGAGGGCGAGTCTGAGCTTGATTCCAAGAGGATGCTGCCGTAGGAATATGTGACTGGGGGGTGGGTGCCGAGGAAGGATGTTGAGAAGCTGGTTGTTGAAGTGCTATAAAAACAAAACAAAAACGAATAAAATTAAAAGTAAGATTCAGAACACAGCAAAGTTTGCCGTGAGAGCCAAATCTTCACCATTGGGGAAAACAATACAATCTTTCTTCATGACAAATGATACGAGTTTATGGTCCGCGGCTTAAAAGAAGAATCTTGCTGCACAAGAAGGTAAAACATTTAACCAGCCAAACAGTGAACACTTAAACTTTAATAAAAAGTGGACAGTGTCTGTAGCATACTAAGCTAACCTCTGTTTGTGGAATGCGAATCATTCTGAGTTCCTGGTAAGTCATCTGTCAGCATATCCAGTGAACTGTACAGAGCGTCTGGATTGGGGACGTCTTCTGTCAGGTGGATGGCATGCGATGGAAATGGGTCTGCATTGGCAGATTGCTGCCAGCTAAGAAAATATACATCACATTCATTTACCACGAGAAGAGTTAAAATTTCTTTCAAGTCATTAATGGTAAAGGAAGGAAAATTATTCATCATCGTCATTCTTATTATTATTCATCATTATTTTCACTACTTGAGATTCAACTTGATGAAAAAAGATATCTTAGAATTGAATTGCTTTAAAAAGCGCTTTGAACAGTTTCCGGACCTTTCAACTTTGTTTATTGGAAATTTGGCCAACACAAACATTGTATTCACTGGTGGAAGAAGTTGCTCAAACTTACAAGTTAAAAAAGATTCTTACTTGTCATGTGCACTCAATGATCCTCTTGGAAAACCTGTTTGGTGAAGCGCCTCTGTTGAATGACCAGGATGCTGTCTCTCTTCCCCAGGCACCATCTGAAATGGAACTTGTCCTGAGCCATCAAACGTGGTCTGCTGCCTGTCGGGGGGGATTGAACCTTGTCTCACAGCAAAAGGGTCTTGGTTTGCTCTATCTTCATCCTCAGAAGGGGTTGACGGCGTCTTACCACCATGCTTTGATCGTTTCTCTCTACCAAGTGTGTCTAAAAGGTCTTTGCCAAAGAACGCCTCCTGAGATAAAAAAAAAAAACCAAAAAAACAAAATTGCAAAAGGCGTTTAAACATCAACCACAACACATCAAGTAATTTCCAGTATTGCAATCTACAATAAACAAGTTGAGTAGAATTGCTTCGGTGATTATAGATATGCGCGTCATATCTCGCTATAACCACCTTGTGCGGGGTGATTATAGCAGGGTCACTAAATTTCAAACTGGCGGCCTCGCGTTTTGTTAATGTTACGCAGGAAGTGATAGACGTGATAGAAGAAAATAGAATTCTGAAGAGCATAAAAGATGCTAAAAAATTGGCGTAACATATGTGAAAGTAAAGCTAAGTTGTTGTTGATGGAATTAAATAAATCTGTTAACCCTTTAACTCCCAGGAGTGACCAAGACAGAATTTCTCCTTACAATATCAATACAATATCAACCAGATAAGTGATGAGAATAAAGAAAAAATCAATTTAGGGATAGTTAGTTGATTGGATACAAAATTCTCTGAACTAACATCATAAAAATTGTAAGTAAGGTAAGTAAGTAAAGAGAAGTACAAACTTGATCTGGGAGTTAAAGGGTTAAATTCTACTAGAAACTTGCTGCTGTCTCAATACAAGTAATTTAAACAATTGTAACAGAATTTTCAATTTACAAAACTATTTATAGCAGAATTCGAAAGCACCTTAGTAATTATACAAAAAAAAAACACCTCACCTTGGGCTTTGTGAAGATTGTTGAATAATTATTCAACGATAATCACTTCGCCTTTGGTGAATAATTTTTAAATACCTCAAAACTGGTAAAACCAATACAGAAAAGGACTCTACCTGTATCCACTTAGGATACGACTCCTGTAGAGCATTCTCATCACAGGCATCAGCCCAACTGGCGTTGCTTCCTTGATTTAGCGAAGGCTCCAACTCAGCGAATGGAGAAGGTTTGCTAACAAAGGATGGACTATTCATTCCACTCTGATAAGTCTGCTACACATGCCAGCACAAAAAAAAACGATGGTCAGTTTCCAAGTGACATCATTTCCGTCTACGGCTCTGATAAGTTATTATACACTCTCCAAAAAGTACTTGCAAGTCTCAAACATTCAAAGTCAATTATCTTCTATCCACTTTATAACGTAAATTTATATCAATCGCACTTTTCGAATTTTCTCATATCTGTTATGGCCAAACTTTTCACACAGTAAATTCTTCAAACCACTTTAATTTTACTTTTGTTAATGTTGGATTATAATAACGAACACAACTGAAGAGAAAATAAAAAATCACATGGGCCAGTAAGATTTGACCAAAAAAACAACTACCCATAATATATCAATTAGTATGAAAAAGATAAAGAAAGGAATTCCATGAGTCACAAGTGCAACTTGTCTCAAAAAGTGCAATAATTACCTGCGACAACTGATTTCCCAAATGATTCAAGTTGGAAGGCCCTCGTGCAGTTGGAGTAAATGTAGGCCCTTTCTTCTTCATATTTGCTCGAGCACCACGACCAGCAAATCTCCTCCCTCCTGAGCCACGACCACGCAGCACAAATCCACCAACTCCTGGGCGCCCCACATTAGATTGCCTGGGTCTACTGACTCTAGATGAAGCAAGAGGTGACTTGTGTCTAAGGCTCTCCATATCATCCACCATATCCATGCTACCATCTTCCACAAAAGCCCTATTGAAAATGGCATCTTTGTCCTGCCAGTGGCCTGCAAAGCTGTTTCGTTTGACTGGACTAGTGGGCATACCAAACTTTTTGGGTTTCAGCTTGCTCTTGACCACTCGCCTCCTACTGCTTGGTGGTAACTTCAGCCTGTTCATATGCCGCACACCAGACTCTGTCAGTTCCACATTGTTCCCAGAAAAGGGTGCTGTCATCTGCACTTTGTTGAAGTGGTTTGATAGTGTCAGTTCTACCAAATTGTTGTTGACCCTCTGACAAGGATGTAAAGGCTTCCCATCTAGTTGAGGTTGTAGATCATCAGTTAGGGACTGAGGTCGATAATGGTGTAGAGCTGTAGCCCTTGGTGATGGGGGACCTGGTGAGAGACATACACCCCAGTTCTAGAACAACATCTACACTAATGTGTTACTTTTCTGATAAAAACCCTCCCTTTTGTTGATCCCAAGTGAAATGGTACAGAGAATGTACGCTGTTTGGTTTCATTACTGAAAGAATATTGACAGCTTTGAAAAGCAAGGCTGCATGAAGAGGATTAATGTTGCAGTGACTTGAACATTTGTCACTGAAAAGGGCTGTTACATCCATTCTGTCAGTCCTTGGGGTTTTTAATCCTTCAAACTCCAAATAGTTCTTTTTCCAAACAAAACATGCAAAAGTCCTCAGTACAAGATATCCATTAAATTTACCACAGGGGAACACACATGTATAAGAATTTAAATCTTGATTTTGAATATAAGGCAACAACTCATCAATACATAGCCCCCTTAACAAACATGCCAAAAAATGTATATCAATTAAAGGAAATTAAAGAGAAGTCAATTGGTAAAGAAAAGGAAACAAGACGCAGTGCACTAGAGAACCAGATGGTGCAAGTGATAGGACAGAATGGATAAGGAACAGGTTTCCGTTAACACCCTCCAAATCAAGACTTGTGCAGTTTGCAAGAAACACAGAGAGAAAAGCCAACTTCAGATTGAAGTTAAATGTGCCTTATTTAGGTCACCAAAGAGCTTAATTCTGGCGTCCTAGTGCGCTAAGTACAAGAGTCTGTTAGTACAGGTTTGCTTTTGTAGTAAATGTGTGAGAACAAAATCAGGACTGTTTCATGCATTCCCAATAGAAATGATGAATGACACCACATCAAAATATTGGCTGTTCTTGAGATGCTTAAGTGTTCAAAGTTGTCTGATGCTCCAACAAAGTGTCAAGGAAAAACTTAAAGGGTTCAAGAGAAACTTTGAATGTTTTCAACTCCTTTTGCAAAGCCTTTGTGATGATTCTCTCCTCTTAGTGCATTGAGGTAGGAATTGTGGAGGGGTGCACAGAAATGAGGTTACTAACCCTGCAGAGTGTTAGATCCAGCAGAAGATAAGAAGGAGAGGAAAGGTTGGGAAGCAGAGGAGGTTCTACAAGACATACCACTGACACCGACAAGTGCACGCTTGGTTTTCGGGCGACAATATAAACAATGATATCCATATTCTGCTGCTCTATCCAGTTCTTCTTCACTGACAAGACCATCACATGAACCATGAAGCCACCTGGTGGAAAAGAAGGAAACAATGTTCAACTCTGGTAACTCTGCCACAAATGCAATTTTCTCATGGGCATTCAAGTGAAAACTTAAATCGAACAGCAAATACTGATTAGTTCAGACAAAATAATTGCTTTCCTTATGCAGTTATTTTTCTAAGCTTTGCCTAGCAATTACCTTTTGGCTTGTGATTTACAAACTGACATCACACCAGAAAATCAATAAAAAGTGCCACCTATTCCCCAAATAAAACACACTAAAAAGGGGGTAACACAACAGGATCACCAAAGGTGCTTCCTACTTGTAATATCAATGGCAAGACCATTTAATTCCTCAGTGTCATGTATCAACAATGATAATTATCTTCATGTACCTGTCACAATGTGCACACTGTATCATAAGGTCATTTGTGTTGTACTTGATTTTGCAGACAGGACAGATTGTTTTACTAGCACAAGGCCCACACTGAGTGTAATTTGACATCCACTGGCAACCAACTCCAGGTGTAGTAGCTGCACAATCGAAACAGGTCACACACCTGACAGAAAAACAGTTCTGTAAGCTCTTTCAAAGTCAAGATTCTCCTGACCAATTAACATATCTTACTTTGTCAGCTTGTGTTGAGAATTTTTTGTTACACATCCATCAAAGTATTATTCCTGGTTCAAAATGCTCTTAATTCTATCTACTTGTCTACTTTGAAGCATATGAAACTGGTAAGAACAAATGAATACCAGTTGGCAACTTGTGAGAGTGAAAAGGTCAACAGACCACAAAACCACAAAATTTCTTCCAGATTTGCCAGTAATTTGTCACAACTTTCTGCATATATTGTTGCAGCTGAAACTGACAAGTATGTTTCAAGTTGCTGAAAATCTACCATGTAGAACACGCATGATGAAAAAAACAACACACATCTATCAAATAGCAATACACACTTCTGCACATGGAATTGATATAAAATATTTCCTGCCTTATGATCTTTGTTCATACTCACCATTTACACTTCCATCCACCCTGAGGAACATGACCTAATGGTGGGTCAAGGCAATAAGTGTGATATGAGATATCACAGCTGTCACAGAGTAGAAGACGAGCCTCGTCACTTCCTTTGCCACACCCCTCACAGAGGGTACAATCTAAGCAGCGCCAGCCTTTTGTCAAGATCACTTTGTTGACCTATGCAAGATCAAATGCTCGTCAATGTCTTAGAATGAACTCATCAAGATCTCAAATGTTTCACAAATTCTTCTTGTAAGTAACAAGAAATGTACAAAGAATAGTATGGAGAACTTGAAAACTGATTTCCACAGTCCCATACCTTTACACCAACACAGTAAGGGTGGTAAGACTGACCACACTGTGAGCACATTATCAGTTGTCCTTCTGGACCCTTGCCAAAACTTCCACAGCACAAGCACATGTCCTGTTTTGTGGTGAATTCATCATCGGCTGAGAACAGCACAAGAGTAGTGTGCAAGCTCTCTGATTCTTCTTCCTTGCTGGTCTGAACTAATGAATTTGCTGCCTTTGGCTGGGGAAAAAGAGTAAATCAGTTACATGCAATACAGGCTAACAAAACAATATTAAAGGAATCAAATTTGATCAGGCTTAACTACAGAGCATGAATTGTCTCTTGTTAACCCTTTCACTCCCAATTTCTATTAAGGAATTCTCCTTACTATCTGCCATACAATTCTAATGATGTTAGTTCAGAGAATTTGGTATTGGATCAACTAATAATCCCATGATTGATATTCTTCTCTATTCTCATAACCTGCCTGCTTGATATTGTATTGATATTGTAAGGAGAAATTCTGTCTTGGTCACTTGTGGGAGTGAAAGGATTAAGGTCCACTTGAAATAGAGTCAGTGAATTCATTGAAAACCTGTATTTTTAAAGGATAACTGACAAAAGATTTCCCCCACAAAATTATTGTTTTTTGAGGATTTTTTTTTGGTCTAAATGGAAACAGTAACCAATTACAGAAGACACCAGTGATAATTGCTTGTATGAGGAGACTGATAGAAACAAACACTGAAAACTTGAAGTAGCAAGATAGTACTATGACTCTGGAGGTAAAGTTCACGATCTACAACCCTGTGCTCTGCACATACCACCTGCACTGTAACACAAAATCCACCTGAATCATAGATTTACAACTTACAACATTCTCTTTGCCAGGGGATGTTTGTGGTGCTGCTTTGTGCTTAAGCTTATTGGGCGGACGACCTGGACCTGGTTTACCATGTTTTGATTTCTTCCTTGCAGGAGTTCCACCTGACTTAGCCTAAACAAGAAAAACAATTACTTGCTTCAAAAAACTACCACCCAGAATTTCACCTTGAATCTCCAAGCTGCACTACTGACTGTCCCCTTAGGGGAAACCAAAAACATGCACATGGGATCAAAACATTTTAAGATGTTAATGAAAAAAAAATAAAATAAATAAAAGCAAGTGTGGATAAGAATAGTACAGATAAAAAAAAAAAGGTATGAATGAAAAAGTTAAAAGGTGTTGGCTGTGTTTCACTAAGTTTTTCAAATTGCAATGTACAGTAGTTTCTTTCAGTTAACTAAATCTTCGTGAAGAAGCAAATAAACGAACCCTGATTTTGCTTGACAACTTCCTCTTTCCTGATAGCTTGGGGGGGTGATAGTTTCTTGGTGAATAGTAGTTGGGCATAGGAGCCTTGGGAACAGTGAGCTGTCTGTCCATTAACTGGTTTGTTACTGAAAGTGACGGCAAGGAACACGGCTCTGTAAGACCAGCTGTGTGTGTCAATAAATCCAACTCATGATCTGGCTTCACAACAACTTCCATTTCCTCATCCAGTGGTAACTTTTCACTTAGCTGCAACTTCTCAGGCTCAATGTTGTCAAGGTTTGGCATAGGAATGGTCTCTGTGTCATCAAGAACAGGGTCAAAATGACGCAGTGCACTTATATCATCCAGATGAGGACCCAAAAGAAGGTCATCATCTATGTTACAAGGGCTCATGCGGCCTGCTGCAATAGTTAGTGTACGCTTGTCTTCTTCTGGCGGACAGTCAAGATTAGCTATGTCCATATGGTTGTGCTGCTCAGTAAATGCTAGGTCTAGTCCATGATTCTTGTCCTAAGACAAAACAAACAGAGCTGTTTAGTTCATGTTACAAGGCCAGCAATTAATCACTCTGATACATTGACAGAATCTATTGTTGAGATCGACAACCCGACCCATAGGTTCTCCTGTCTTCAAGACAGCAGGACTTGTATGGATGAAATTATTAACAAAGTATGATATTTAAAATTGATCTGGATTACTCTTGTCTACTGCCCTATTTTACAACCTAGTGTAATGTGCCTTATAATCTCAGCTTTACAAAAAAACAAACAAAAAAAAAAAAAAGAGAGAGAGAGAAGAAAGAAGAGCCATCCAGGGAATGAATTATTTATGACAGATATAAAATTTAAGAAAGGCAAAGAAGACAGTCATTTATGTAATTTTTGTTGAGGTCATCCATTTCTCCTTTTTGAAAACAATTTTCATGAAGTAAAAACAGATCTAAGAATACCACCCACCAACAGCTGTAAGGATCCCTTCTTTGGCTTGCAGTTTGGACAGAAGTATGGAAACTCCTTGGCATTATACTTTTGATATTCTTCCTTATCAATGTTATCACAGCTTGCATGGATCCACTTCTCACAAGAGAGACACTGCACCATGGCCACATCAGTGAACTGTCTGTACGCTCTCCCACACAGAGGACAAAACAGACCTTTGTTACGTTGTTGATAGCAACTATCACACACTGAAAAATTATGGTGCCAGCGAGAAGTAGGCCCACCTCCAGGAGTATTTGAACCACAGTCTTCACATCGACGACAGGCCTATCAGAGAGAAGAAAGAGGAATTGAGAGGCAAATTTCTGAGAAAAAGCTGCATTTAAATCGGTTACACAGGACTTCCTGTGAAAATCCTCCCTGTCCAAACCCTAACACATTGCACTGCCATGTGCCTTAACTCAATTTACTTTGCTAGGTTGCTTTATTGGTTTCCCTTCATACCATATTTTTGGGTATAGACATTTCTTCCTCGGACACATTTGTCAGTGTTGTGTTGACAGGTGCCTTGAGATGGGCTATGTTTCAGTTGCCATGGTTACCTCTTTGGAACTGAGATTGCTACCCTCCTCTGTCACCATTGTCACAGCATCCCTGTTTAGTACTTACTCACAGTTTTAAGGGTTAAAGCAAACTTCAACCACTGCAAATGTCACTTCTGACAAGTTTTCTTTGCTAATTTGTACCACAAAAACTCTCACTTGGCAATAACAATTTACAAGGAAACCTGTTACAGGGAAATGCAACATCGCTTGATTCTTAGTTTGTTACAAGGCCATGCAGAAAATCTCAGTTGCTCACCACACACTTCCAACCAGTTTTGGGTATGGTGCTCATGGGAGGGTCCAGACAATATGTATGATATCCAGTGTCACACAAGTCACAAACCAACATTCTGTTGTCATCACCAGGTTGCCTGCAAATATCATATACAAATAAGCAGCGTAAAAAAATCATAGCACGAGACCTCAGATACAACGGGGGATAGAGAAACTGATGGTTTCTTTGATGATGTTACAATAATGAAGAGATAACAGCAAGCCAAAGAACAGAGGCCAAATGAAATTAACAAAGTCACCCTGACCCCTAAGATTGACTAACATGTTATTTCTCCTCACACTATCACAACCAAATCAAACATTAAGGTCATTAGAAGAATTAATTAAGGTACATGGGGTTAAAATCAAGACTTCTTTTTAACAAGAGAAGGTAGCAGGAGTAGGAAAAGGAGACAAGAATATTATCCACATCTCATGAAAAATTAACTCCAATCTCCAATTCAAAATGTGCACCCAGTAACATGAAAGAATTGCCATAGAGACTCATGGTGAGGAACAAACTCCTGAATTCCAATTTGGAAAGAGGTTTGATCCTTAAGAAAATACACATTCAAAGAGGCAAGTGACAAGATTTAGAAAATTATCAACGATGGAATGCTGCCAATTTCACAAAAAAATTCTCAGAACTTAAGTCAAAGTTGAAACATGAATAGCAGACAGTGAATTTGTTGTAAAAATTTGGCACATAACATGTTACAAGACACAAACTTCACCATTGAACAAGTAAAGAAAATCAGCCCACCTGCAACCCTGACAGACTTTACAATCTGGACACTGCCAGCCCATTCTTATTAGTGGAGTTAAATCGACAGAAGGATCGAGGCACCGGCCATGATAATGGCGACCACAACTTGTGCAGAATATCTGTTCTGAAAAATCCTTGGCATCCCCACAGAGGACACATTCAGCTTCACCCCCAGCTGCAAAACAAAACAAATCAAATAAAAATGAAGACAACTGTTACAGAGTTTCATCATGACTACTAAATAAAGCTGATTTATTACAATTCTTTACAGGGAAAAAGAATCCACTAAAATTTGCCTTGCTCCCAAAGAGTTGCTCTGTGGTTCAGTCACTGGTAACACCCAACCAGTACCCAAGAGACACTGATCTCAACCCCATTAACCCTTTCACTCCCACAAGTGACCAAGACAGAATTTCTCCTTACAATATCTATACAATATCAAGCAGGTAGGTGATGAGAATAGAGAAGAATATCAATTATGGGATTATTAGTTGATCCAATACCAAATTCTCTGAACTAACATCATAAGAATTGTATGGCAGATAGTAAGGAGAATTACTAATTAGCTCTTGGGAGTGAAAGGGTTAACACCCAAGTTTTCTCAGGCTTCTCTTTCCACAATTCCTTCGACTGCAGTTAACTTGTGAGAATCCTTTTGCAATTTAATCCTAATCAAATTTCTCCAGACTTTCTTGAGTAAATTTGTCTAGATTGTCTTTTACAACCTATGTTAAATAGGCCTGATCCTTGTTTTACTCAAAATACTGTGTAAAACAATCATTAAATAACTCCATCGACCTGCAATTGATATCAACTTTGTTGGCCACAAATATAATTCCAGACATTGTTTGATAAACTCTTTTGGCTTTTGCTTAGTTTTTTTTCCATGGGTGAATGGGTGAATGGGCAAATAGCATTGTAGTCGCATTAAATATACAAGGGTTCTACACATACTTACATTGCGAAATGCTGTTGGCATAATGTACACAAGAACATCCACACCAATTTTTTGCTACCTTATTTCTCCTTTTATTCATGGAATTATCTGCCTGTTAGCTTAAAATTCACTTACCAAGATGTCCTGCATCTCCCAAATGATCTGGGCATAACATGGTCATAGATTTAATGTCCTGTTTGAGAAAAAAAATTTTTTCTTATGAGAAAGACAAGAACCTAAAGGGGAGTCACAGCAGGTTTCTATTTACATAAAAGTGAAAACATCCCAAAATGGACATCAGTAAAGACTTGAACCTGATCAACATGGGAATTCTCCTTCTACAGCTATGTCTGTTTGTTCTAATCAAAAACAGGGAAAGTATGATGATAAAAAGAACAGCATTACTTGTGCTTTGATCATATGGTGATAGTAATTCTTAGATGAAGAAATTTTGTTGGAAGCCATGATGCCAGAGGGTTGCCTTTAGTTTGTCACCTTCCCAAAAAAGAGTCAGGGGCTTTTAACTCTCATGGTACTGATAAAATAACATTCACTCACTCAGTGGTGATGGCTAAAAGAGAATTATGAATTTCTGAGAAAAGTGTCAGCAGTTGTTGCTACGTGGTTGAGTACTTTAGTTAGACAAACCTGAAAAGAACCACTACTTGCTGCACAGGGATAGTGATAGGTCTTTCCACAGCGTGGGATTTGACAAACGACACTTGCACCAAACCGATTGCAATGATTACATCGCTGAAAAAGTAAAATCATAAAAAGCAAATTAAAAATAATCACTGAACAGACTCCAAAACATAGTTCTAAGGGAAAAAATGTCCTTAGAAATACTCCATTAATCTCTGGCAAAAATTAAAGATTTGTACAAATCAAAACCATGTTGACAAAGAAGAGAAACAAAAAGAAAAAAAAGGCTCACTGATTGTCAGAAACTTTGCCTATGTTGAACTTTGTGTTAACCCTTTAACTCCCAGAAGTGATTAACATAAAACTTCTCCCTACAATATCCACACATTATTCAGCAAATAGGTAATGAGAATATTCAAACTTATCAGGCAGAAGCTGCCATCTTGATGTAGCACCAAGTTCTCACAACTAATTTACAAGGAAATGTGTAGCAGCTAGAGGGGAGAATTAACAATCAGATCTTGGAAGTTAAAGGGTTAATGAACAGCTATGGGTGTTTTTAGAAGACTTTTTTTTAGAGAGAACTAGAAAAAATGTTGATGACATACCTCTGACATAGCTTTAACAACTGCTTTGTCAACATTGATTAAATCATAGGAATCTGTCTGGCTGACTCCTTCAGACCAAGCTGCACAGCAGTGATGGGCCCAGGTGTAACCATCTTCTTCAAAAACATCGCTTAGCTCCTTCTCCTTTACTGTCCCATATGTGGTCTTGTCAATTGTAGTGTCATTGTTACCAGTTCTTAATGGCAAACCTACAACCACAATTCCCTTCCGCCTTCCACGTCCAGGTGGTCTGCCAGGCCCGCGGCGAGTTACTACAGGTGGAGGTTCCGGGTGATCTTCAGCAAATTGTCCCGTGTCACAAGGATCTACATAAAACCGGTCTCTGAAAGGATCACATCCACTGTTCTGTCTGTGTCTGTTTTGGAGCTTTTTGACTGGGTTGAATCCTGGAGTGGGTGCATACCTCTGGAGTTTGCCGTGGAACATACGTTTCTCCACACCACAATTGCAGAATGAGCATGTTTTGCTTTTAGCCCTGTTTGAATGAAAATGTTTGACAGAGTTTGGTACAGAAACAAATCTAGCAGCTGGAAGGGAGTTAAGTGTGCTAAGCCTTTTTCCAATCATTCTACAGTGGAGGTTGATCTTAATCTTTCTCTTTTTATAATTAAATCTCTTATTATTTCATGATGGTGGTGATGATTTCTCTGGATAAAAGAGAATAATTTAAAAAAATAAAATGACTCAAACTTGAATTACTTATAAAATACACTTGGTCATAACATCACTGACTAAGTTCTGCAAGCTTTACTTTCTGTTGCTCATGGTACAAATTGTTGCTTTAGAAAAATTTACACAGCTTGAGAAAAGAGGCTTCTTTGGAAAACTCGCACCTCAACACAAAACAAGTTTGTATAACTTGTTCAAGTCTTCCAAAACAGAAAAGTTTTAGCATTAAGCTGCACAAACAAACATCATCAGGCTCCCTTCACCCATGCCTGTGAACACCCTTGAAAAAATTGAAACACCTCAGCTTTTGCTGTTTAAAATGTCAGCTGTGTAAATAGTGACAGTTACACACCAACTAAAATTCTCCAAGCACTTTGAATTAGAGTTGGAAAATATCCTGGCAAGTAACAGAACACCTTTTATTGAATGTACATGCAGCTGTTTCTGCAATGAACATAAAAACTTCTTATGTACTGATCGCCATGTTCCATATATGGGTTTTTTGTTTCTTCTCTCCAAACAAGTAAGGTCTTGCAATGAAACATAAACTGTGTGCACATGTATCAGTAAAAATCGAGGAGAAGGAATATAAAATACTGATTATTTTACTACTAATTTTCCAACAGAAATGAACAAATGATCAATGAAAGAGATATTTTTTTTGTTTGTTTGTTTTTTTGTTTTGTTTTTTCTGTTTCATCACTCGCTCAAAGTAAGAGCTACTAAGAAGAAGAATGAAAAAGGAAGGAAAATCAATCCTTACAGTTCTTCATCTTGGTCCACTGTTGGTTGTTTTATAACTCCAAAGCCATCAGGTGTCAAATTATCATACAATGGCTGCCCATCCAGAGGCACAGAGTACGATGACATCTCCTGTAATGATCAGAAAAAATAACACCTCAGCTTGTGTAAATTTATTCAGGTTCTTCATTGCAAAATTTAGTTACAGGAGGAAGTGGCTAGAAAAGGAAGAATATTACACATCTAGACAATAAATGACAAAGGTCAACAAAATTAGGCTGGAAAATTTTTTTATAGAAATCTCTAATGAATATACTGTTCATCAAACCCTTCAGCTTGCACAGTTAACAATCAACTACTCCCTACAATATCAATGCATTATTCTGCAAACAGGTGATCCAAATAGACAAAAAATTTCAATGAGAGATTTGCAGACAAATAGTACATGATGTTCCTAAACTAATTTACAATAAAATGCAATGCACCTGAGAAGGAGAATTAAAGCACATTTCAGATCTCAGGAATAAGCAGGTGAAACATCCTTGGAGTTTACATAATCAAACTAAGTATATTGCATAATACAAGATATCTCACCATCATGTTCTCATGTTCCACACTTAGATTACTCTCAGTGCAGGAACCAATCGGTGAAGCTCTGATAGGAGATTTCAACTTACTGAAAATAGAACAGTTTGCAGAAGAAAAAAAAAAACTTCAATAACTTATAACAAAACACAAAGGTCAAGTGATAAATTTATCGCATTAACACAATAATGAGGAGGACCCACTTGTCCAATGAGCAACATAAACCAATTTGGTCAAACTCTAAGTAATCAATCCCCAACAGAACCATCAATCAAGGTTTGATTTCATCAATTAACTAAAAATATCTTTAAACCAATTAAACATTCATTCAAGCACGACAATAACACACACATCTGCGTCAAGTTGTATGATTTCATGCGCAACATTTGACACTCCAAAAATTCAGTGGGAATCCCCTTTTTTCTGCACTCTTCCCTTGCGTTGTCAAACCATGGTGTTCAGCGGGTTAAATCATTTATTATAGAAGTAATTAACGGCCGTGATCTTGAACAAAAATATCACAGTAAATCCAATTAAATAATTGATTCTACATCTGGAAATTAAAAAAAAGAAATGTCTCAATCCAATTTAATTTCTGCTCTCAGAAGCACCACACCATCAAACAATATAAATTCTAAAAATAACTGTTAAGAATAGCTTTAGAAATCTAATATAAAACCTTTCATCCTTCCCCCAGAGGTCATAACACACAGATTAAAAGATTATTTTCATACTTCTAATCCTAAATACAAACAAAATAGTATAACATTTTTTTTGCATTTTCCAAAAAGTCACAAGGACAAGCAGCTGAAAGTGCATTGTAAGGGAAGAAAGTGTACATCAAAACAGAAAGATTCCTCCAGCTTTTTCGTCTCCATTTTCTTATTGTATTATTTTGACTTATCCAGATTCATTGTGTGCTGTTTGGTTAAAATATGACACAAAAATCACCAAAAAAAAAAAGAGACAAGGGTTTTTGGCATCAAACCAACCAAATATTTTCATTCTTGCTATAAGCTGAAAACAGAAATGTTTCATTCAAATTTCAAGTTCAGAAAACTACATTATTGCCTGATGGAATGTTTCACAAGCAAAGAGACTAAACCTCTATCAACCCTTAAACTCCCAAGAGTGATCAAGACAGAATTTCTCCTCACAATATCAAGACATTATCAAGTTGACAAGTGATGAGAATTAACAAAGATAACAATGGGGGGGCTATTAGTTGATTTGATGCCAAATTCTCCAACATAACATCATAGTAATTATATGGTGGACAGTAAGGAGAATTACAATTGAGATCTTGAAAGTGAAAGGGTGAACATCAAATTAACAACAAGAAATTTAACATCAAAGAGAGTCACAAACCTCTGAGCATTAACCCTTGTTTTCTTTGCAGGCTGTGGCTTGGGTCTGTTCCGCACCCTTGTTGATCTATTTTCTTCTCTCATACTCAAGATGTAACCTTCTTCAGAGTCTGGTGTCAATGGTGAACTCGGATATGGACTCAGGGAATGCTGAATGACCACAAAGAACTCACAACAATAAATATGCTGTATGCAACTTTAGTGCTTTATAAGCGGGTGAGAGCCGACACTTGTCAAGCTGTGCTCTTTGCTTCATACAAGTGTTCTGCTAGCTATTTAGGTTACATAATCAAACTGATTATGTAACTCAAGGTTTGCCTGATAATATCATAATAATCAACCATACAAATTGACATGTAACACTGTCTAAACCTTTCTACAACACCATCCTGCTTCAAAACCTAATGAAAGAAACATTTCAAATCTACAGTCTCAAACTTAACATTGTCCTCACTGAGGTGGTTACATGTAATACACAATTTCTCCTTGAAAGTTTGCTACATTATTTAATTGACAGGTCATAAAAAAGACAAAGTTATCAGTTGGTTGTCCTACATGTTCTAATATTCAAGTCAAGATTTAAAACAAAACATAACAAAAAAAGCTTAACTACCAAAAGTTTTAAACAAACTTATCTGTAGTGACAAATTCAAATTCTTTTTGAAATCCCTTCTACCAAAGTTTCAATTGTGTTCTTTTAAAGTTACTCAAACCAACAGTTCTAGTAAAGTAATAACTGACACCAAATTGCCAATAACAATATTCATGATTAAAGCATGAACTGATTAAAAAATCAAATCATTCCTGATCAAGACCATAATTTCATGAATGCTATACTTTAATTTAGCAACACATCTTACAATGGTAAAAATAAACAGAAGACAAGGAGAATTCTGAATTTTTCATATGCCAAAATCTGTACATTATACACAAAAGTGATAATCCACAGTATAATACACAATATTTGTTATGTTATGCACTCTCATTATATTTCCTTTGTTTCTCAATTTGTGTCACACTGTATTCAAAAGCATAATTCTCATAACACAACCACATATTGCACATGAAGAAATAAAAAGCTCTGTTCACAATACAGCAGAGAGTTAAAAGGAATGCAGTAAGACAGTTACACACAGTTGATGTCCCTCAACATTCAAACTGTGACAACACAATTCAAACATCACACCAGAAAACTATCCTTCAGGCTGTTTAGGAAAACAGAAAACAAACAAACAACAACAAATCTCTGACTAATTCTACCTTTAAAACATTTGCAGTCATGGTTACAACAACATTAACTCTATTAATAGACACTTCTCTTCCGAGACACAAAACAACAGGACACTCTAGACATTTGGTTGAATGTAATTATGTCTAAAAGTAATTTTTTGTGTCAAAAATAAGACACGTCAAGAATTCGTAAGAAATCATGGCCTCCTTTTAAACAAAAATTTCCTTGGCCTTGGTTCTGGCAAAGATTTTGTGTAAACAATATTTAGTGTTACCTCACCACATCTCAAATTATTCACAAATGCCAAACAGCACCATTAATAGTTAAGAACTTGATGTCACGTCCACATGTTAATAACTCAAATAACAGAGTATTCTGTTTGCATAGCAATTTAATCAGTAGCCAAACACAAAATACTAATAAAATTTGCCATTTTGCTGATGAGAATTTAAATAGGCTGCTAATCATGAACCCAATACACTTGCACACTATAACACAAATGACAGTCAAAACACTCTTTACAACTTGCACCCCATTCTATTCTGAAAATGGATCTAAACCTTTCAAGAGTAATTTGAGTACAAAAGTAACACATCAACCATGACAAATTGTGTATGTTTTGATCACATTCACCTTTCTGCCATCATAAGAGACACTTCTCAAAAACTCAGTCTGATAGAATTTACTGGCATCTGATACAGGATGAAATTTTCAATAAATAAGGCCTACAAAATCCATTTACACTGTATTTAAGGAAATGAAATTACTTAAGTCATCAAAACTTTCTGATTGACACAAGAAAATGTTTCTAAATACTTCCTGCTATAGATTTCATATTTCCCTTTACCTTAAAACTATAAACATTCTTCTCGACAGGACAGGAAACAAACCAAATCCAAAGTTGCCAAGATAGTCTACTTACAAACTAATTGACCAGTAGAAAACTAAAAATAGTATTAGACACTTTTCAATTTTAAGAATAAAACAAATAGTAGTTGAAGATTCTGAAAATTCTAAGTTCAAGAATTAGAGAGATGTTGTCAAAACTGCAGGCACTGAAAGCCAATGCTAGATTATGGTAAACAAAATATTTCCATAGTACCAGTAATCTGTATAGACTAATTCACGAAATAGTAGTCTATGCCCTTAAGCTAAAGAAGGTGAAAGTCATAATTATTGGTAACAATTTGATGCGAGCAATGTTTTAACTTGTAAAGTGAGGGCTTGAAAAAAATTACTTCTTGATAACCTTGAATATTTTGATATAACAAGGATAAATTCTGCAAATAGTACAGAAGACAGAACAAATGTTGAACAAAAATCCTAACATAACAGATTGCATTGCTTAGTGGTTGATTTTCAGTTAGAAAGCAAGGCTCTAATGATTATGTTCCCACTGAAGGTCACAATGAAGAGTGAAACTAAATTTGGTACACCCTTCTCTTGCTGTTCACTTAGGGTTGTCTAATAATTTTTTTCCTTTACAAAACTAACAGAGACTTGTTGTTATTCGCACAGGAAGCCAAGCTCAAAAGTTTGGATCCAAACAATAGATCCATTAAGGAGAAATGCAAGTTTTGATAAAATCTTGTGAGTGAACGTGTCGGAATAAGAAAGCAGAGATTTAACCCTGTAAACTTCTTTTCAGACTAAAATAGTTTAGCTACTTACCACAGTCTCTGTAATTCTTGGTCTACCTGGACCTCGTTTTGTTCTTCCTGCGATAAAGGAAGAAAATCGAATCCAATTAGAAGTGAGATAAAAAACAAGGTATATGCACAGATAGGAAATGTTGCTTGCAACACGCGCTATGATCTTTACACTAATAAACGATACTAAGCTGTATGAGACGTAGTCTGACTAAAAACAGATCAAGCGTTCTCGAAGGAAATAAGTTTTCTCAGCGCAGAGCGTCCATGACTTTGGTCGCTCAGCTGATAGCTTGCATCAATGATCGGTAGTTACTACGAACAAACTTAATTCAAATGAAGCCATGGCGATTTAAACTTTCAGTAGAAACAGTCATTGGCCTGACCGGGCGAAACGCGAGTCTTCCATTGTCACATTAAGTGAAATTGGCATCAAATCGCAACGTTGTCGATTTCAACCATGCACTAATTCTACGGGGAACTCCAGAAGAACAACAAATGAACATTCATAAATAATACAAAATCGCGAAGAACGCAGATGTTTCACCCGGTAAAAGGATGAAGAACAATTTAACAGAAGCGTTTCTTTGTGCACTGAAAAGACGCGAGATAGTAGGTGCCTAAAACGGACCAAGATCTTAAGTAAAATAGAAAAAGCGGATTTTGAGCGAGTCATCTTTTCGATTTTTTAACCGTCCGTTCCTCCGCCATCTTATGTCATTGGCAGTAATTATTCATATCGCTAGAACAGTAGTTCGTGCCTTTGTTCGCATTTTTAGATTCACTAGTTTCTCGTGTTTTCAATCTGCCGAAGCTCTTTACCTAAAGTACTTGGCGTTAATGTTTTTCCTTCCATACATATTGCAATCGCTTTATTCCAAAACCGTGTGTTACGCCCATCGAATAAAAAATCAACTGTTATTGGCAACATAACCCATGAATGGCCGCGGTTGTGTTTAAAGGAAAGGATAGCGAAGCGACAATAGGTTGGCGAATTTTAAGGTACTCCCTGGAAATTTCTGATCTCCTCGCTCAACAGAGATAGCCCAAATTGGTTTCCATGTCTCATATTTTCAACATTTCCGAGATTTTAAAAATAATTTTGAACTTTTCAATTGGAACGCGCCACAATCTTTGGACTTCATCACAAAATGGCGTCCTCGAGACTGATTGATACATACATAAACCATGCAAAGGAAAATTTTAAGCAGCGTCGTAGCTTGGTAAATGCCCACTGGATTGATTCACAATAGAAGCTGTATGGGAACCCAAAGAAACCATTACTGAAATGTGAACGTAAGCTAGCGAACAACCACTGAAGTTTGCGCGGATTTACAGTACAGCACGTCATCGTATGCAAGTCTCAAACAAAACAAATTTCAACTCGCCTGACATGGCTTTTTGATTCAGGTCCTGCACACAGTGTTGTAATTCCTAGAGTTTTCTCCCCTTGTTTCAATCCAACGCAATCCACCACACTCCCCAGAACAGATATGCTCCGCCTTTGCAACTCAGTAACGCGTCAGGTCGAACGCAGTCAAGAAGCTAGAAACGCAAACCGACGATTGAATTCATAGCACTTTTCCAATTCCTAACAGCGATCACGACGCCGCGAACGATTTTCCCTTAAAGTATACAGATTCCTCTCAAAGGCAAAACAATTTAGTTTCTTCATGCAAGCGTTGAAGAGTCTCCAAGAAGGGGAATTTCACTAGCCTCTGAATTTCGTAGCATGCCGCCATGCATGCTTGATATGCAATAGCCTTGCGCGAACAACACGACCCCCCATAAGGTAGCCACGCCAATCAAATCAGCCCGCTCCTCCTCCATTGGCGAACGCTGATTGGCCAGTGGTAAGTGACGCGGCGGCAAAGTGAAAGAATTTTCGTCAGCTGATTGAATTTTTATCGCGCCACGAAGTTTGCCAGGCGTTCTAAATAACGCCTGTTTGTCACGAAACCGAACGATTTTGAAATAAGTGGGTGTTTTAAATAAGGAAACTTATTAATCATTTAAACTGCTAATGAACAACTTTTGTGTTAAGCGAAAATATCAAAAACGAAGAATCGTGAAAAATGAAAATTTAATCCACGGGTATTTACAAAAAGTTTTTTCGGCGTTTAAGGTCTCCCGAAGAATCAAATGGATTACGAGTCTTGACATTGGTAATGTATAATACATTTGGGTTTTTCTCCTTTTTTTAA